AGTGGTGCGAGCAGGGAGGGAGGAAGGAGGTGGAGACGTACAGCGTCCCCCCACCTAGAGAATGTCCGATCCCGACGACCCTTCCGGGGTTTGAGAGCGCCGGGTGAGGGAGGAGGTGCGTTGGTGCCCGTTGGCCTGGGGAGGGGCGGTAGAATGTTAGGAAATGGAGGATGTCCCGGGCGTTGTCTGCCCAGTCGACTACACGCACGCATCATCACAGAACATCATCCGACCCCTCGTCAGCCATTACACTCCACAGAGCCAAAGCCAGACGGACTCACACGTATCCCCAAGTTTAGCAGCATTAACAAGTGCGGCATCCCCATGATTCACTGCTTCCCAGACCCAGATTTCCCGTATGCCGGTGTAGGAGGAAAGGAGGAAGGAGAGGAAGGGCTCGTAGACTTCTTTTGGGAAACCGTTTGCGTGGGTTAGGAGGATTGTTAAGCCGTCCTCTGCGTCTGCGCCTGCGCCTCCCGATAGGCGTGCAGGGGAGCGCATAAACCGGTTAAGGACGTTCCACAACCTCGGTTCTCCCTCATAACTAACCCAAGACTTTCTCTCACAGTCCCTCGCTCTCTGGGCGCGCATGGCGACTCTCAACCTTTCCACTTCTCTTGCTCGATCCTCTTTTTCCCTCTCGAGGGTAGGAGGGTACTGCGGGCGGATGTTGCGTGTCGTAGCGGTTGGGGAAGCGCGGGGGGAGGCAGAGGGGATGAGGTGGGTCGTTAGTTCCCAGCCTGGGAAGGGGGAGGGGCGGGGGGGAGAGGGCAGGGAGGGGAGAGAGGGAGGGGGATGGAGTGTGGGAGGGGGGAGGGGACGGATGGGGAAGGGGATGTAGAATGGGGGGAGGTGGCCGAGGGGAGGGGGGTAGGTGGTTGGGTAGGACATTGTTGTTAGTTGGGGAGCGAGGGAGAGAGGTGAGAGGATGGGAGGGAGAGAAGGGAGGTCATCAGGCTACATACACCCAAGCGTGACAGCGCCGATGAATCAGGGTCTAAGAGTAATAACCGGTACTGCAGGGAGTGGGTAAACGTATCCCCGGTAACGTGTAACTGTGCGGGTACCAGACCGAGTGCATTAGTAGAGTTATGGAAGATTACTCAGATTACGGTGTAAGGGGAGGGTGGGGAGGGAGGAGAGGGAGATGGTGGGGAGAGGGAGAGCGACGTATCACAGCCAGTGGATGGACAACCCATTGATCGCATTCCATTGAACATCAGACTAGGAACAGGAACGACATTCAAGCAACATAAGGAGTATGAGCATTCCTATCCTCTTATCCTTCAACTAGTTACTCACTATCATCGCTATCACTTATCAGCAACCAGAATATGGTGAGATCGTTACATAATCAAAGGTACTCACGTGCACTTACTCGTGACTTGACGCGACCCATCCATCACGCGTAAACATCCGCGGGTGAATGACTGCGAGTTGCTGCACTGCTCTCTCACCGACAACGACTGTCTTGTCATCCTCGAAGGAAGGGAAAGGATACAACTGTCAGTCAGCAAGCAGCAAGCAGTAACTAGTCAACAACAACAACATCAACCAAAAACATCCACAACAACAGTTTATACATATTTCGATTTCACTCACCACTCACCCTCACCGGGCATGGCCCACCCCAGGGAGTCAGGCTCCTCCTACGACTCCACAGCTGCAGGCTGGGGCCGCCTCTCACCAAGGCACATGGCACACCTCTCCCTCCAAACTGGGAGTTCACTTCCTGCTTCTGCGAGTGGGAGGGGAAGTCCTCTGACTCTGCTCGAGGAGGAGGAGGAGGAGGGCAGCGTTAGGTCTGCGTCTGTGATCCCTCAGGAGGCCCGCCCGCAACAGCAACGAATAGAACAGCAAGTACGTCCAGTATCTTTTCTTTCATCTATTGGTGAGTCCCTCTCTCCCACTTCTCACTGCGCACTGACTCCCCCCCGACACGGAGTAGAACGTCAGTCCTCACGCGCATCCGCAACTTCCTCAGGAGGATCCGACTACCAGCTCAGGAGAGTGAACATCTCCCCGCCCCGAACGCCCACCATCTCCGAGCGTTCTCTCGAGTCCTACCCTTCTGCTTCCTACCCCTCCGCTCCCGCCTCCGCAGCCGCTTCCGAACCCTCCCGCCGCTCGATCCTCTCCCCTCGTAGTGCCCAACAAGAAGAAGAGGAAGAAGTCGAAGCCTCGTTACTCGCCTCCCCCCGCTCCTTGAGCTTCCGCTCCCGTTCCTCCCAGTTCTCCCAATATACGCTAGACAGCGAAGGCGAGTCCGCAGCCATACTCGAAGAACTCCAGCGGTCCCTTCGTTCCCCTGACATATACACATTCCCGAGGACCCAGTTAACGCATATTTCTGAACGGTCGGAGCCTTTGGGAAGCACGAGGAGTGCCAGGAGCAGCTATTATGCTTCTGTCCCGAGGCCGGCGAGTACCGTACCTTCTGTGTCCATGTCGATATCGGCCCAGGTCACGCCCGTGCGCAGTGCCCCTCCAGGGAGGGACAGGGAAGTGGACACAGCACTCCAGCGGTTGGCGGGCAGAGCAGGAGAGCTCATCTCCCTGTTTGAGCAGCGGTCACATCCTCAGCCTCTGACGCCAACAGCACAGCGGCTCCCGATCTCTCGAGCTCAGGCACTCCAGGCCAGTCAGAGCTTGCCTTCCCTCGCCAGCCAGTCGCTGGGGGACTATACTAGAAGTCCGAGCATGCCTTCCCTCCGCCAGCAGAGTCCGAGGAGGACACTCCCTTCCATTTCTTTGGCAGAAAGCGTGCGGGACCGCCCGCTTCCCCCTCCGCCGGAGGAGAGGCCGCTCAGTTACCCACAAGCCCGGGCTCGGACTACCCAAGAACCGGGGGATAGGGATAGGGATAGGCCAACAAGTTTACCAAGTATGTTCCCCGGCACCGGAGGCTCGGGCTCGGGAGGGACGGGGAGTAGACAACCCCTTTCCCCCCTCGGCTCGCCAAGGACCAGAGCTAGGCAGCGGCTAGAAGGCAGAGGGAGCGAACGCTCGATATCCCCGTTATCCTTCGGTTCTGCCTCTGCGGGATCTGGCTCCGGTGAGGCGGGGAGAAGGAGAGTAAGTAGAAGACAGAGGGAGGAGAGGGAGAACTTTCCCCCTGCCCCTGCCCCTGCCCCTGCCCCTGCTCCTTCCCTTGCTCCTGCGCTGGCTAGTGCTCCGGCTGCTGCTCTCCCTAGGGGCACGGGAGTGCAGACGGAGTTGCCGGGGTATGAAGGTGAAGGATGGGGGGAGGAGAAGAAGCCTGCTCCGGCTCCGGCTCCGGCTCTGGTTTCTGGTTCGCGAGAGCTTGGACCGAGCGCTAGTGCTGGAGGGGGGGCGGGTGTGAGAGAAGCTGGGGAAGGTGTGGGGGAGAAAGAGAGCCCGCACCCGCAGGGGAGCGAGCGGGATGCACAGGAGTTCTTAGATCCCAGTATGGAGGTACCTCCCCTTCCCTCCTTGATCCAACCCGTCCCTAACCTCAGCCTCTTGCAGCCCATCCGCTCAGGCTACCTCTGGTACCTCAACGTACACCAACCCCCGCCCTACACATGGTTCCACGCCCGCGCACTCCTATACCCTTCCACGCTCCTCCTCACCTGGCTTACCCCTGGAGGAGGAAGGGCGCTTGTCAGGCTTTCGCTGGCGCACGCGACGGAAGTTAGGAGTGTGCCGAGCCCGATGCACCCGAGTGGGTGGGAGGATCTGGGGAGTCAGGCGGCGAGGAGGCAGAGTGAGAGTGAGGCTGCACTCCGCGCTGGTGCTGGCGCTGGCGCCGGGGAGGGGGGGACGGGGACGGGGACGGGGGCGGGGGGGAGGCCGTTGGAGGAGAGACTATGCCCTTTTGCACTCGTTTATCCGGATGGAGTGGAGCGCTTAGGGGCTGAGAGCGCGAGGGAACGAGTGCGCTGGGTGAGCGCTATCTGGTACGTCATTTCCCCAAGTGCGTAGGGTAGGATCTGGAAATGCTGATTTTGGTTTGTGGGTAGGGACTACGTCTCCCGCCCTCCTGGGGCACTCGCACTAGCACATACGAGTTCGATCCACTCTGTAGGCTCTGTTGGCTCCCGGCCTGAATCGCTAGCGTCCGAGCGCTCAGGGGCAGGGTCGGTGCACTCTTCTTATCACTCGGAGGATGTTTCCTCCCTTCCCCTTCCCCTGGAGCAGGAAACAGCCAGTGTCAGTGGGAGATCGTTGGCGCTCTTCCAAGGGAGGGGGGGGAGGGCGAGTGACGACCTGGGCTTGCCGCTCGTGGGGGAGATAACTCTCTCCCGCAGCTCTAGTATAAGACGTACGACCTCTGCCGGCGACCTGCAGGAACCGCTCGCCCTTGCCACCGGGTTGGGGCTGGGGTTGGTTAGTGTCGGGCCACAGAGGTTGGGGAGTACGAGAGCTGTTACTGCTAGTAGTGGGGCGATCGAGGGGCTGCCGCAGCCGTTGTCGCCCCCGCCGAGGAGGATTCAGAGGACTAGGGGGGTTGGCACGCCAAGGAGCGGGAGTGGGGTTAGCACGCCCAGGAGCGGGGGGGAGAGTGGGGGGTTCACTGCTGCTTCTGCTACTGCGGCGACTGCTACTGCTACTCGTTCTGCAACTGCGACGTACGGCGACACCGGGACAACCCTAACCCAAGGCACCCGCATCCCGCCCAGCACGCTAAGCCTCCGTAGGCCGGACGAGGCGAGCTTACTGGGGGACTCGCACGACACGCCCGATACTCTGAGCCTGTCAGCGTCGGTGCCGTCACTTACGAGGTCGGGGGCGAGGAGGAGGGCTCCGATGGCTGCGAGGAGTGGTTCTGCTGCTCCTGCTAGTGCACCCAGTTTGGGAGGGTACGAGACTGCTCCTGAACCTCAATCCCAGCTTCAGCCTCAACCGCAGCCTCAGACTCAGCTTCAGCCTCAGACTCAGACTGAAAGACTCAGCATAACAGAATACGGCACCGCCTCGGCCCGCACTCCCTCCCCTCGTACCTACCCCCTCTCCCGCTCGCGCTCCCGTTCCCCAACCACATCAGCCTTCGACCTATGCTTCGAGACTGACCTTTCGGGGTTCACCTCCGCCGGAGACCCTTTTTCCCCCGAACCGGGCAGTCCGGTACCGCTTATGAGCGTGTTTGAACGAGTGGATACGCGGGCGGAGACGGGGAGTTGGGTGACTGCGAGTGAGAGGAGGAGTGTTTCGGAAACGGAGTACTTTTCTCCTCTGAGGGGGGCTACCGAGTCGGAGTCGGCGTTGGAGTCGGCGTATTTCTCACCTCAGAGAGCAGCGACAGAATCGGCCTCAGCTTATTTCTCCCCCGTTGCTCCTTCCGAATCGGCGGCATTCTTCTCCCCTCTGCAATCGATCACTCCGACAGTGTATGCCACCCCTCTAGGAACGCTCTCTTCCCCTCCCTCGTCCTACGATACCGCCCCCGAGGCGGCAGCTTCCCGTCCTCCAACTGCGTTCTACACCCCTTCGGAACCGGCAGCTTCCCTTCCTCCGACAGCCTTCTACACTCCCTCGGAAGAAGGGAGCTACATCACCCTCGAAACGGAGTACGCGACTGCAGAGCGCGCCTCTACGGACTACGCGACTGCAGAACGCGTGTCGACGGAGTCGGAGTATGATTCTCTCCCGGACGTGGATGTGGCACGGACGGAGACGGAGACGGAATACCTTACTGCCCCTACGCCTATGTCGGAAGAGTTCTGGACTGCTGAGAGGGCGCCTTCTACCCGGCGCCCTACACCGGAGCCGGAGCCGGAGCTGTGGGTGCCTTTGCCAGGATCTATCCAGTCCGAGTCCGAGTCTGAGCCAGAACCGTCACCCCATCCTGAGCTCTGGGTGCCTCTCCCAGAATCGGTCTTGTCAGAACGCGAACCCTCTCCTCATCCCGAGCTCTGGGTCCCTTTGCCAGAATCGGTCTTGTCAGAACGCGAGCCCTCCCCTCACCCGGAACTGTGGGTCCCTTTACCAGGATCGGTCCTCTCGGAACCCGAGCCTGAGGCAGAGCCAGAACCTTCCCCCCACCCGGAGCTGGGGATCCTCTTGCCAGAATCGGTCGAATCCGTCTCCCTGCGCGAACTGAAGCCGTCCCCCCATCCGGAGCTATGGCTCCCCCTCCCAGAGAGTGTCCCGGAATCCGTCTCGGAGCCGGAACCGGAGCCGGTTATCCCCTCCCCCCTCCCTAGCATTCCGGACGAGTCGTTGCCTAAGACGCCGACGCCTGTGTTTAGTCCTGTTCCTGTGCCCGTGTCTGAACCGGAGCCGGAGCCGATCTCGAGAGAGCGGACGTCGACTCCTTCGTCACCTTGGTCTATCACCCAGGAGTATGAGCCCTCCTCGCCTAGGTCTTTCAGTCAGCCTTATGAGCCTACGACGCCTAGGTCTGTTAGCCAGCTTTATGAGCCTACGACGCCTAGATCGGTCGTCCAGGAATTCGAGCCCACGACGCCGAGGTCGTACAGCTTGGAATATGAGCCTACGACACCCAGGTCTTATAGTTTGGAATACGAGCCCACGATACCCAGGTCTTATAGTCTGGAATTCGAGCCCACGACACCCAGGTCTTATAGTCCGGAATACGAGCCTACGACGCCAAGATCAGTCAGTTGGGAGTATGAACCAACGACACCCTGGTCCATCAGCCAGGAATACGAGCCCACAACGCCCAGATCTATCCCTCAGCCGTCGGATCACCCACCTACGCCTATGGATAGTCCACAGTCGATCACTCAGCTCGAAGAGCTCACTCCGCCTGCCCTACCGGCCCGAACGTTATACACCAGCTCGACGGGCACGCTGCCATATCCTGAGACGATCATAAGCCAGCCCAGGAGCCAGTCGATCTCGTTCACGGAAGAGGCGACCGAGGATGAGCTCACTCCTGATATCTCTGCGACGGACATGTCGTATGAGTCGACTTTTATGTATCCTACGGAACTGAGTCAGTCTCCGGCTCTGCCGCAAAATGACGTGTCTTTTGACACTTCATTCTTGCGACCTTCGACACCCGGTGAACCAGGGGAACCAGGGTATGAAGTCATTCGGGTCCTACCACCGTTACCGTTGGAGGAGCTCCCGCCTGTGTCGCTTCCTCCTGCATCGCCTCCGTCTGTGTTATTGCCGCCCCCATCTCCATCACCACCACCGCCGCCGCCAGGACCAATTTATGTCGACGAGAATACTCAAGTTGTAAGTCTTTGTTGCGTGTAATATTGTTCAGTACTGACGTTTCCTTAGACTCCACCGCAGTCCGTACCATCTGAGCCTGCTTCGCTTCCTCCATCACCATCATTATCACCATCACTACCACCATCACCACCACCTCCTTCTCCGCCGCCTTCCCTGCCAGGAGAGGTAGAGCCAAGCGACGTGCCCACACCCTCCACCTACCCGCCTTCGATTCACTCTATCATTACAGTGCCCTCGGAGTTTGACGATTATGGTGGCGAACCGCCGATGCCGAGTCATATCGTCACACATGATGTGAACAGACTCCTAGAATATCTGCACGGTGTTAACCAGGCTAGGGAGCAGGACACGCAAGAGCTGCTTGATCATATCAATCGGATCGAGGATGGGATCGAGGACGTCACTAACATGCTTCGGCGCAAGCCTACCCCTCCCAGGCCCGATCGCTCTCAGCCGCCGTCTCCCAGTCGGAGTCCACGCTATTATTCCGAGACCCGCCCACCCCCGAATTCTGAAGTGACCGACCATATCGAGGTGCCAGAACACATAACAGAAGTGGGGCCGTTGCACCGCCAGGAGTCAGTTCGTTCTGTGGACTCTTCGATCTCGTGGCTGTCGTCTCACTACTCCGACGTGATCAGCGAACCTGAAGACGTTATCCGAGAGCCATCGCCTGCGGCCCTCTCTGATGTTACCATTCGTCCACCTCGCCGCTCGCAGATTCATATTCCTCAAATGCCCGAGATGCCCCAAATGCCCAAGATGCCCCAAATGCCCGAGATGCCTAAAATGCCCGAGACGCCCAATCTCGACTATGTGCGAGAAATGCTCCAACAGGTTCTCGATCAGAACCATCGGCTTATGGACAGTCAGCGAGTTCTTGAAGACCAGATGGACAGATGCATGGAGCTTCAACAGCCAGCCCCGGACCAAGAAGAGCTCGAGCGTAGACGGACGTCCACTCTAGGCAGGATTGAGGACGTTTTGCGCAATATTCTGTTGCGCGTTAGTGGGGATTCGGACATCGTGACCGAGCCTCCTTCCCAATCAGAGACGGAAGAGATAGAGGAAGAGGAAGAGCCCATACACCTACCGGCGCCAAGGGCGAGGCCCCCTGTGGACTTTTCTTCTCTGGAAGGCTCAGTATATGCGCCTACCGAAACTGAGTTCGAGGTGCCGAGACCTCCGCCACCCAGTATGCAAGCACCTGAAGTGGAGATCGAAGTGCCCAGGATTGTTCGTCGGCCACGTCCAACCCGACCTCGAAGTGCAAGTCCGGTCTTGACATTGCGTGTGAGTGAACAGCAGCCGCAGGCCTTCGAACCGTGGTACACGTCTCCACCAATGTCGGAAGTATCGGAATTCCGGCCAGGACGAGCGGGCCAGCGACCTCCAAGAGGTTATCCATATGATCTCGACTTCGAAGATCTCGTTCGTCGACGCCGTCGCATGAAACCTGGAGCTCGCGACGATGGCTTCTACGAGCCACCTCAAGTCCCGCTCCCTCCTCTTCCTCCTCAACCTCCCTTTGACCCTCCAGTGGTATGTGATCGACTTGGCAATACAATAATCTTCTGAACATTTATTTAGGTTGGAATTCCGCCTCGTCCCCCGTCCGCACCACCTGCCATCAGTGGTGGACGTCCGCCTGTGTCTGAGACGTGGTACACGTCTCCCAGACGCCCAGAAGGCGTAGCTGCTAGACCGGTAAGGGGATTTATGATTCAAAATTCACCCCCATTTCTGATGAACTATCTAGGGCGGTCCTCTGCCTGGACATGGCGGACAAGGTGTCCCATTGATTCCTATGGGACCCGCTCCAACCGGTATACCGGCCATGGGGCCTCAGGTAGTCCCTGTAGCGGTACGGAGCTCGTATTTCCGTTTTTCAAATGCTGAGATTCCGACCAGGGAATGGGTGCAGCCCCTGGTGCCTTAGAAGACCTGAGGGACATGATTCGGGTAAGTTTTGCATGAACGCTGGGTGACGATGCATGTTAAACGTATCCAGGAGGGGAACCGGTATGCTCGCGAAGGCTTGGAGCAGGGCAATGAAGTTATGCGGTACTTGACCGCACTCAACGACTGGATGCGGCGAGATGTTGCGGATCGCCACAATGAGGCTCGTGGAATCAACGACCGTCTAGATGAATTACTCAACACATTGGGTATTGGCCGTCCTGGTATGCACGTGTTTGTCCTTCGAAGGAAACCACCTGATTTCATACAGGTATGTTCCCTGGGGGTCCCCAAATTCACCCAATGATGCCGGGAATGGGAGGGTACCCGCCTGAGATGGTGATCCCAGGCTTACCTATACAACCAATGCCAACGGGCATCCCTGGGCCGATCCCAAACATCGGCATACCAGGTATGCAGCCAGGCATGGGCATACCAGGCATGCAACCAGGTATGGGCATACCAGGTATGCAACCAGGTATGGGCATACCAGGCATGCAGCCAGGCATGGGACCCATTCCCCTTGGAATAATTCCTGGGGTTCCCCCCGGCATGGGACCCATTCCTCCCGGAATGCCTATCCCTGGTATTGCGCCTGGTATGGGGCCTGGCCCTCCTGGGACAGGAATCCCTGGTATTGCGCCCGGTATTGGGCCGTTTCCTCCTGGGGCAATTCCGGGTATCGCAACCGGCATGGCGCCCATTCTTCCTGGAATGTCAATCCCGGGTATGCCTCCTCCAGGCACAATTCCTGAGGGGTCCTTCATGCCCGGTATGCCCGTGTATCCCATTCCGCCACCTGGTCCCCTCGGTCCTGGCCCTATTAGTGCACCAATTCCAGGCATCGGCCCAAGCGTAATTCCAATGGGGCCCGGCCCCATACCAGTTTCGGTTGCTCCTGGTCCGCTCATTCCTGGTATCGATTCAAGGATTCCCCAAATGGAACGGATAAGACGCCCTATGACCGCTCAAGACACCAGCATATCTCGCCCTGGCACTGCGGCTCCAGGCCTAGCTCCTCCGCCTGTGCAAATCAACGTAGGAACACAGCCTGCCCCGCCACCAGCCTTCCCAATCCCTGGAGTTCCCATTGGGGGACCTCCTGGAGTTCCCATTCCACCAATGGGTATGGGAGGTTATCCACCTGCCCCGCCGCCGGTGGTTCCCCCCGAGTTCTTCGTTCCGTATGCTCCTATGGTGGGCCCAATTGGTCCACCGGGCCCTCACAGCATGCCCCCTCACAGCATGCCCCCTCCTGGTGTGCCCATCCCGCCAATGCCGGTAGTGGAACATGATGAATTTATCCACGAGCCAGTCGTGATCCCCGTTCCAGCTGGTGCTACAGGTGGGCCTGGTCAGCCATATTCCCGTATGGGTGGTGAAGCGCATGGTCCCATGGCGGCCGCACCCACCCCGATCCCTACAGCTCCAGCTCCTATTCCATCACAGGGCATCGCGGGCATACCCGGACATGGGGCTATTGTGGTACCAATGCCATCACGTCCGGAAGACGTACCTTTGCCCCAGTCCGTCAGCCCGTCCCCGCCGAGAATACATGAAGACGCAGCGCACCTTCAGCCAACCCCGCACCCAGCAACGGAGCAGCCGCTTCTCTCCCCACAGGTTGCACCGGCCGGCCCTCCATCAGGATACACACATGCGGTCCCCACGATACAACTAGACGAGGACGGAGGAGTCACTGTGGATGGCGGGCCTGTGCATATTCGCCCCACTGACCAAGGGTTCAACATCCGCAGCAGGTTACCATCCCCTGCCCCTCAGCATGCCCCAATCCAGCCAGGCGATATTTTCCCGGCAACTGATTTCGCGCCGTCTCCTATCAGGCAGCCAACGCGCTTGGAACCATATGCGGATACACCTCACCGCGGTCGTCTGGCAGAACCGGAACCTGCCCCTCATCCTGTCTATGTCCCACAGCCAAGCTCATATCCGCCAGTTGCGTCTCCGCAGCCCACCGAAGTGCCAATGCGAGTTGTTTCTCCCGGTGGGCAGCATCTAGAGCCACAGATCGTGCGTGTCAGCTCCCCAGGCCGCCAGCCATATACTGTCCCATCGATCGCCGGTACTGCGCAGTATGAAACGCCCGGATATCCTCCCGAGACTCGGCCAATCCTTCAAGCAGCTGGTGCTCCTGCACATCCAGGCCGCGTAGCTTTCGAAGAGCCACAACAGCCGTATCCCTCTCATCCTCTCACTTCAGCTGATCAGTAAGTATCCCTCAAACCTCCTTGCTCCTCGTACTGACAGGGAATAGACCTAGTCACCCGGATTACGGTCCCGAGCCCACTGATCATGGTTATGGGGCAGAACCGCCTACCGGGGTGCCTGCCTACACAGGGGAGCCATCCCCGCCTCAACAAGCGTCTCCGCCACGCGCTGCCGCTCAGCCTCCTGTAGAGCACGCACCAACGCAACCCCCGATGGTCACTATACCCCCTTCCGGGGGTCACCGAGCACCCCAGGAAGCATACCCCGAAGAAGCTTATCCACAGGATACTCAAGAGCATGAGACTCCGTATACGTCTCGCCCCGTTCCCGCACGATCGGAGGCACCATCTCAGGTGGCTTCTCCTCCACGTTCAGAAGAGCCTTTTGAGCCAGCCTACCGACCCGAATCCGAGGGACGAGAACCCAGCCCTCCAAGGCCTCTCCCGACACCTCCGCAGAGACCGACAGAGATTGCGCATGAAGCCCCAACAGGCCCGTCAGGAGTGCATGAAGCCGCTGGAACCCAACCACCAGGTGTTCAAGACCATGCAGCTATCCCTGCAGATATTCGCGGAGCAACAGCTGCACGTCCAGCAACCACCGGACCAGCAGCGATCCGTTTACTCTCCCCTGCCGATCGCCGGACAGTGAGCCTCGCTCCTATCAGCGGACCGGCAACTATCGATCACTCCGCAGCTCAACCAAGTGCACCTGAGCCAATTGCGGCCGGGGCTCCCTCATTCGACCCACATGCTTTTGAAGAAATGCTCGCCCACCAGAGCAGTGTAGCTGAGGAAGCAGAAAGATTGCGACAGGATGCGTTCACCGCTGCCCAAGCCGAACGCGAACGCCTCGCTCAACAGTGGGAGTCACAGGAACAAGAACGACAGCGCCAATTCGAAGAGGCGCAACAGGCCCGACAAAGAGAGTTTGATGACACCGAGAACGGCAGGGCAGCAGAATGGGAGCAACAACGACAGCATGCGTCCGAGCAGGCCGACACCCTCCTGCAGCAACTGGAACAGGGCATCGGCTTGCCACGATCCAGGTTCCCGTCTCGGTCACGCCCCGGCTCGGCTGAAGGTCCTGGGCAAACCGGTCCCATCGAGGTGGGCGAAGAAGTACCGCTAGACACAATACCTTCCATCCGTCCCAGCCCGGCCAGGACTGCCCCACGACCGGAAGAATTGAGCGACCATGGGATGTCACCTCTGGGAATCGAAGAGCCCGAACTCCCTCCTGAGGCCCTTGAGGCCCCTCCCTTGCCCGAGGAAGACCTGGACGAGGCACCCGAACTCCCGGAAGGTCTGGAAGAACCCGAGCTTTCTCCCATTCAGGAGGAAGGCCCAGCACGCCGGAATATACCCGCCGTCCGTATTAGCTCACCCGATCGCCGTATGGCGTACGCACCTGAGCCTAGGACTGATGTTGGAGGAGCTCGCACCCCACTCAGGGGAGCCGTGACTCCCTCTCCCCCTGCTGAGATTCCGGCGTTGTCTAGTCCTGCTGGAGGTCCGACAACGATCTCCAGCCCTGCTGCAGTTCCGGCAAGTCTTCGCAGCCCCGGTGCAGTTCCGACAACACTCCCCAGTCCTGCTGGAACTCCGGCAACCCTCTTTACTCCTGCTGATGTTCCGATACCACTATCCCCCCCCACCGAAATCCCGGAGATCTCCTCACCTCCCGCTGAGACTGAGGCTCCTTCAGGCACTGCCTTGCCCCCTGCCTCCATGCCGGCAATTCGTATTAGCTCCCCATATCGTGTTCCGATCCCAGGAGGCCAGACCTCTACAGGTGAGCGCAAGGAGATAAGGGTTTTGGAATTGGCTAACTTTTTTGTAGCGGCACCACCAGGCATTGTCCTCAAAACAGATGGAAGTGCGGTACCGATCGCCGGAGACGGGAATGTCCCTGCCGTAAGCTTAGGCGATCCGACTACTACCACTGCACCGGAACTGGCCGAGCGTTTGCGCATTGCGGAAGAGGCGGCGGCTGCGGGTGCGGAAGCACAAAGGCAATACGACGAAGAGCGCCAGGCTCGCGAAGCCGAGCATCAAGCTGCCCTGGAGCAGGAGAGAGAACGTATCCGCCAGCTTGAAGAAGAGTTGGCCAACGTCAAAAATGCAGCCAGCCAAGAAAGGCAAGATCGTATGGCGGCTGATCTTGAGCGCCTCGAAACGGAGCGTGCTGAGCAAGCTAGACGCGAGGCAGCGTACACGGACGAATTGAGGGATATCAAGAACTTGCTACAAGACCGCACCAACGAGCAGAGAACTTGGCGTGACCAAGACGAGGAGCGTCTCCAAACCAAGGAAACGAGATACACCCAGAAGCTCGAGAGGCTGCAGAAACTGGAGGAACTCCTGGGCCAGATTCTCAATGGACAAGAGAACGACAGGCGGAAGGCGGAAGATGATGCGGCGGGACGTCCAAGTACGAGAACATTGCACTTCGGGCTTAGTTTACTCATTGTTCTTTGCAGCTCTCGAAAGCGTGTTAGAACAGCTGAAGGAGCAAGCCGCAACCCAGCGCGACCTTCTAAATCAAATGCAGGAGGGTACGTGATTGTTCGAGCATAATCACGTGATCGCTAATGTCCGTCCTCGTGTTTGCAGCATGGCGGGCGGATGCAGACCGACGGCACTTTGAGACGCTGGAGGCCGTGAGGGAGACGGCAAACCAGCAAATACCCTTCAACGTTCAAACTGTGCGTACCTTGTCTCCTCTGTCACTATGGCCTCCAAATCTTACACTTCTGGTCCTCCCCCAAAGTACCTCAATGACTTCAGCAAAGCACTTGCGGCGGAGGTTCGTATGTTGCTGTCCGAAGTGGGCAAGCTCCGCGAAGAGCGACGTAACCTGCAATTGTGCGTGGCTCTTGCTCCGTCATGTCCGGTCATATTCTGACCAAACCTTGTAGCGAAATCAGTGCGTTGATGGGCATCAAGGCCAAGCATGGGCCTGGTGGTATCTTCCAACCAGAGTTCACACTACCTGACGATGTGAGCATAATCCATGATCGCAGGAGCACTCTCGCTTAATGCTGCATTAGAAACCCCTGGCTCCTGCTCCTGCTCCCGCTCCAGCACCAACGCCACCGCCGCCACCCGCGCCTGCAGCATGGCACCGCGTGCATGGCAAAGCAGATCGTCCACGCCGAGGAAAGAAGGGCAAGGAGGAAGCACCCCCGCCTGCTGCTGCGGCGCCGCCGCCTCCCCCCCCAGCGTCGTGGATTACGTGGCAACGTAAGTGTCCTCGTTAAGACATGTGTTTCGGTGACCGGCTGATGCATGGATTTTCAGCCAACCCTATGCTACCTCAACCCGCGCCCACTGCTCCTTCAACCGCCGCTTCTACTCGCGTTCCTGGGGTACGTCTGGTGTGCTCCGCATGATGTACACATACTAAACCGATCGTCGACAGTTGTTCGGTCCTCGTTCACCCAGCCACAAAGACGGAGAACTCCCGTAATTTCTTTAGTTATTTGTGCCTTTTCTCTAGTTACTTTGCATTTCCCGTACTTCTAACGAACCCTATGCCCATCATGATTTCCCTTTCTTGTATTACCCATGTTGTGACGAGTCAGAATTGTTTTGTGAACGTACTCAGTATTCAATGCATGCTGGTCATTGCAGAAGTCCCTGGAGGCCACTCGACGTCACTGGCATTCCTAGGTGCATTGATGAAAGGTTGCACGAAGGGGAACCTAACGTGGGGGAGCAAGTTGAATGTGTCATTCGGACACTCTGCTGTCGGCCAGCTATTTGAACAAAATGACATGCACATCATGTTCATAATCGACGATAACACGGGTGTATGGGAGAATGTATACATGGTCATGCGCCCGTCCTCAATCACGGCTCTTCCAATACCTATGCCCTCGGGGCAGCACCAGGCACGGTCCTCCTCTCGCGTCTCGGCCTCTCAGGAGCAACGAACGCAGTAACTGGCTGCAGGAGGGTGGTCTTGATGTCCGAGTTGAGAGCAACCAAGAGAGCCTTGATCCCGTGTTAGTAAATTATACAGAGCGACAGCTTGGTGAGACGCACCTGGGTTTCAGCATCAACCTCCAGACCCGCCTCGCCCACATCAAGGGCCGACACCTCGGGCACGTAGTTGTCCTTCCTCTCACGCTCCTCCTCCTGGAGCTTGAAGGAGATACCGCGAACAGGCCCACGCTGGATACGCTTCATCAAGTGGGTGGTGAAGCCGGCGATCTTGTTCCGCAGGCGCTTGGAGGGGATCACCGCGACCTCACCTGCGAGACGCTTGTTGGTGTGGAAGTCGAGGGTGAGGCGGGGGTAGTATTTTTCGATGAGGATGCGCGAGGCGCGCTTGACGGTCTTTGTGCGGACGCGACCCTAATCAGACCAAGATGTCAGTATACGATTCTCTTGTATCACACCAGAAGAGCAAATAGGACGAAAGCTCTGCGCTGCCTGGGGACTTCCAAGTGTCGACAACGACATTCCCAGCCATCACAGAGCATAACTTCAAGCCAAAGCAGAAGAGGATACTGACCATTTTTGTTGAATGTCGAAGGCTGGACGGACGGTTGCAGCGGCAGACGGCGACGACGAGCAAGCTATGGTCCCCTTCAGGGCGAATGTAGACGGAAGCTGTTGGCGCTGGAACTGTACAGTTATCTAGCCACAGCAAGAGGAGTAGGATCAATTGCTTCCGTAAAGGCCTTTGCTACCAACTCATACTGAGAACCTTATATTCGTGACCTTGTTGCTTATTGAACATTCTTCGTAAATCGACAAAATATTCGACGTGCAGCCCAGATTTTCGGACCGGAAACCTTGTTCGTATATACCCAGAACCTCATGTGGTGACCGCCATTCAATCTCGCACCAGTGTTGTTCTACACTCCACTCTCCTACGTTTCTTGAGCTGTTAACTTTCAACCACTCTGCAGAAGGACTCTCGCCACCCTTTCCGTACAAATACACTTCTTGGACAATATTGTCTTGGTACTTTCTGATATGCTTCCTCTCTTCCGCTGCACACGTTCAGCACACACAGCTTCAACGTATCATAGGACGATACCTGCTGCAGACTGTTGGGATGGTCGTAAGAACCTGCTTCGTGTATTGCTGTGGTCCAAAACCTTGCGGATGCAGGAAAGTGCGTGGACCATCTAGTCTGCCAGAACGCGAGCCAACTCTCAGGCCCGGATCCAAAAGGGGGAAAGATACCTCACGGCCTCACCGTTGAGCAAGCCTGAAGGAGGCTTGAGGTTCTGTTTCGTATGGGTTATATAAGGCCAACATCCGCTTTAAGCCCGGACGCATGAGACTAGTATCAACCACCCCCGTTTCCACCTGCACAACGTAAATTGCCAGACGACCGGGCGGGTAAGGCAGTAAAAGTATGTATCAGCCAACACGGTGTGGCATTAGCGATTCAGACCCAGTACGCCATTTGTAGATTTTCGCTGGCTTGTCGAAAAGATGACACAGAGAAGTCAAGCGTACGGAGCCGAATTTATTCGGGATTAGGTGAGAGTGTCTATGGGACCCTATTGTCACTGGCCTTCCTCTCTCATCATCCACCATCTCCTGCTCCATCAGCAGACGGTCCTTCGTATCCTTTCCCTAACACCGATGGCAAACTCTCCACGTATACCAGTACCACAAGTAGAGGTCATCGAGATCATCAACTCGTCACCGATGTCTCTTGCTCTAAGTACGGCTGCGAGGCGTCGAACGCGCTCAAGATCACCATCGGAGCGTCGGTCTCCTGAGGCACCACCAAGCGGAGCAGAAGTACTCTCGGAGGATGTGATTGATATAGATGACTTGGTTGATGAGAGTGTGGAAATCGTGGAGTCGAGCGGGCATCTCAAACGCAGGCGTACCCAACCACCTCAGGTGCCTCCAACAGCCGAGTCCCGCACCGTTGCACGCGCTGTCTCCCCAGCAGGCAGTACCCCTGAGCCTCCTGGAGGGTGGAGGACTCGTCGTCATCCTATCATCGCTCGTTCTCCACCACCCGCACCGCGCACCGGCCCTTCACAATCTTCTCACGTGTCAAATGACATTATCATCCTCCCAACTCCACCTTCCGGTCGTACCCTACGCTCCTCGGCCCGCCGCTCGTCAGCAAGTATTGGGGGATTGGCCTTACCCGCCGGTGGAGTACGTGGCGTGGATCTCGACCCGAACTTCTATTTGCCTCCCGATCCCCCCCATATACCCTCACATAGAAACCGACGAACCGCCCGTCCCCAAACCCCGCAAGCTGGTCCCAGCAATACTCGCAAACGGAAGCAGCCACCTCGCCGAGCTCCTCCAGTAGTTTCTCTCCCAGATAAAGACGTGTTCATCGCGGCAGAAGTCAAGGCTCCCAGTCGCGGGCCCAGCCCAATCACTCCTCTGTCTTCGCCCGCCCAACCCGGATCCCCAACTCATTCCGGCTCCTCTGGTACGACCATCCCCGCTGCTCCTCCTACTCCGCCACCTCTCCAACCCCTCACCTCTTATACATGCCCCATCTGCTTCTCTCCTCCCGCACACGCAACCATCACTCCCTGCGGCCACCTCATGTGTGGCGAATGCCTCTACAACAGCGTCAAGGCCAATCTGGAGCGGGCGATGCAGGCCCCCCCAGGTGATGCGCATCCGCAGTGCCCAGTATGCAGAGCGAACCTCCACTTGAGGGGAACGAGGTTCGATGGTGGTGGCAAGAACTGCGCAGTGGGAATGTGGGCACTGGAGGAGATCGAGTTGCGGTGAGACGGTCTGGTTGCTCGGTTTACTTGCATTTCTCTGTATCATTGGAGCTTTGGTTAGTTCAGGTGTGTTGCATTATGCCTGTATTTGGTTAGTTTCCTCTCGTCCTTCCTTTCGTCTTGTCGTTCCAGATTCTGGCAATCTGTAAATTATTGCATGCCCCTACGAATACACTAAATTCTGATCTCTCTAACACCTCACAACCTATCGCAGCAACCACGGTCTCTGCTCCCAAAACTCATCAGCGATAACGTCCACATGCAAAACTTCCACTTCGCCGCTGGTACCATCCCATGGCGGCGGTTGTCTTGAGCGTGGCCTTTTGTCTTTTTTCACAGGTGAGTTGGAGGGAGAACTGAAGACGACGGGAAGAGGGAAGGGTGAAGACGGCGGGCTGAGCCGGGTATGGGTAGATCCCTCAGTCGGTGCACTTGATCCTCCAACAGCGGCAGGAGGAACCACTTCAGACGGAGGTGACCGGGTCGCAGGCACAGCAGGGCGGATGAAGGACGCTCCGACCTCATGTTCTTCAGGCTGTGGTTGAGTCAGTCGCTTCCTCTTTCATCGTCCGAGAAAAAGTGACTCACGGGCTTGCGAACTAGCACACTCCCCTTTCGATACCTCTCTGGTAAGTTGTTATAGTTCACCCCAAATCTACCGTGTAGTATCTCGTGCTTCTGCGCAGATACAGTGCCCTAATTATGGATCAAGATGAGTTTTGAGGGGCACGAGAGGATGGAAAAACGAACGCTGAGCTCGGCATGTGCGGCAGTAGGGGTGAGATCGCCTTGCTGCACAAGTGCCCAGAAGGTCGTATTGTACAGGTTATTGATATGAGCTGCAGGCACGCTATCGCACTATGAATGGGGAAGTTCAGGGAGAAATGGCGTACTGTCTGCCTGCCTCCAAGCAAAATAGTCTCGTACTTCCTGCTCTCCAGGGTAGAGCACGATTCGTGCATCGAAAGAGGGCGGGTATTGCAACTTTGTCTCCGGGAAGAAGTCGGGCCAATGGAAGACATAATGTGCCGTTAATATAGATAAAATGGAAGAAAGAATCTTGCTCTCTCGTCGATTGTACAGGGTAGTGTGTTTCTTAAGGAGGAAGCTGTGAATGGTCGGTCTCTGAAGGAGGGGAAACGAGGGAAAGTGACGGACCTGAACTCATCACTCTCCCCAAAAGCGAGCACCACGTCTCTGAGCTCAGTCATTACTCCCTCCGCAGCTCTGTCCATCAACCCAAGCCCGCGTTCATCGTTTGGCTTCAGGAACCCGTGGACATCTGTGAACCTGTCGAATGGACCGTCAGCCTTGGTCATTCCTGCTCGCCGCCAGCAGCTGGACGTACTTGTGAAAGGACCGGCCGTCTAGTCGGCATACTATGTACGTTGATGGAAGTAGTGGGTCGGGGAGCTCGAAAGAGCGAACATATGCAAATTTAGAGTTAGCCATAGGGTGGAAAAAGAACCTCCTGCCGATAATAGGCGCGCACGATCAAAGGGGAGTCAGGGACGCAATAACTGAGTCACGTGGTTGAATTTTGGAGTGCCTGGCGCGAAGAGCGCTTATTTCTCTCTCCAGTTTTAACGCGTACATGCACAAAATGGTTTCTTTCGTTATTGGTGCGTAACTAAGTGCTACTTGAGATCTGGTACTGAGGCGTATGTAGAGCACATGGAAGAGGACGACCAAACGACACACACCTTCCCACCCTGGGTGCAGCTGGAATACTCCGTAAGCCAGCTCTACCAGGCATCATGGATATCGACCGCTGATTATCATACAAGCACATGCGTACCCTCGCCGGTCCTAGCAGTACAGTGCACTTCACACACGTCTCTCCCACCGCTGCTTCCTCCCTCGACTCCCTCCTATCTCCCTCATCACCTTTGATTCCTCCACTAGCGCAGGTGGAGGTACACACTGAAGGGGTGGAAGATCTGATGAAAGCGAAGGGTGTATCGAAGGAAAGAGTCTGTCTGCTGGACCCAAAGGCAGATAGTGCGCTCGCTCCAAGTGATGGGGAGGAATTTGATTGGTTCCTGTTCGGGGTACGTTCTGCTGGGTCCACGGAGCTGACCATCGTTGACGAACGGAACAGGGAATACTGGGTGACGACCCACCCCGGGACCGGACATCTGAACTGCGTGCTCTAGGATTCCCGGGGCGTCATCTAGGTTCGGTGCAGATGACGACCGATACCGCTCTTGGGGTGACCAAGCTCGTTGTGGTTGACCAACAGCCGCTTGACCAGATTCCGTACGATGACTTTCCTACCATTAGGTTCAACAAGCAGGAAAGCGTAGAGATGCCGTTCAGGTATGTAGCAAAGGATGGTCAGCCGGTCATGCCTCCAGGGATGAAGGAGCTGTTGTACGAGGATCTAGATAAAGGGTTCGATTTCTAGATGTGAAATAGACACGATAGACACGATGCTGTATCCGATACAAGGGTCAAGAATGTGCGACAGTACAATGATAATGAGCTGACATGACAAGAGGTAGATGTGAGGTATGGTGCGATTATATCGTACAAGATGGAAACAATAGCCCAATGAGAGGAAGGAGAATCACGATGCCACTACCAGCGGAGAACCTTTGTGGGACGTTTCGCTCGAACCTCGCGAAGGAATGGTTCGTAATTGTTCGGGGGAAGTGCCCGGTGTCGCCGCTGGTGTTGGCACAGATTGCGCATCAGCCATGTTTCGGCGAATCTTGCCGATCCGGACTTTGATAAGATTGATATCTTCGACGGCAGTCAGCAACATCATCCTCAGGGTACGAGAACAGCTTACAGATATCCAATGTTATCCTGTCCTTGTCACGCTCCGGGTTGTCTGCCTGGAAGACATCATCGAACAGTGCGCTCAGGAGTAACAGTGCTGTCGTGTATTCCTCCTCGGCGAGCAACCACAACTCCGGCTGCGTCTCCTTCAAACCCCCGTCTCTGGCGAGTTCCAGCGCCTTGTTATAGATAAATAAATCCACTTTTTCGATAATATGATCACCCGCCACACCGCGCATCTCGTTACACCTCTTTCTTGCGCGGTTAAAGACATGGCGGAACCACTGGACGGCACCGTTGAACGTTCCGCTCGGCGGCGTGCTGTCCTGGCGCAGCTCCTTCTCCCGGGAAAAATCGATCGTCCAGTCGAGCGCTTTTTGCGAGAACATCATCACACGCATATAGAGCTCAACAGCCTCTGAAGCAGTATTGAGCACCTGGAGGATCTCCTCTTCCGACCTGCCGCATTGCCATGATGCGAGCTGCCTATCCCCAGCGTTGGCGGGGAAATACGCCTCTCCTAGCACGGGATGGTGGTCGTGTACCTTACAGTGCGGGACGACAGCGACGTCCCGCCGAGAATTGGCAAATTCGTTCAGAACGTGGGTCTTCTGCGAGATGTCTTCCAACCTGCGTAGGATATCTTTCTCTTCCGGGGGAATAGACGCGCCGACCGGTATGATATGCTGATTGCGTAGAGGGGGAGATGAGTCTGGTCGGTTGGGTAATGGAGTCCCAAAAAGCTTCAGACTGGCGGCTTGAATGGCCTTGGATAGCGCGCTGGTACTTCGCGGTTTCTCTGCTGGTGGGATCGGGCGCATGGGCGTGGGTGCAACGACAGTATCATTCGGCGAGGGTGGAAAATGGTGGTCCCTCCGGTCCTCGTTTCTCCTATGCCTCATCTGTTCCTCTCCAGCATTCTTCGGGTCAAAGATGTAGTTCGGTTTCTTCCTTCCATTGCCGTCCTGCCCATTCACCGCTCCACCGTCCACCTGCAGATCTGGAAGATCCCATGACTTGTATCCCCCTCGTTGGTCAACCGGGTCTGGTCCGTCCTTTGCTAGCTCACGCGCGCGCTGCATCTCGTCTGCGACTTGGTTGATCGCGACGGCAGGCGCTTCCTCGACTATGACGAATTCGCGCTCGAGCTCTTGGCTGTCGAGCCGCCGTGGATCGAGCTCTTTCCTTGTAGGAGGGCGGGACTTCCCTTCGCTGGGTGAGCGTGCGGCACCTGAGGCAGTACTAGCATCATAGTCAGCAATGAAGTCATATCTTACGTGGACAAAACACGGTACGTACGCTTTAGGGGTCTTTATCTTTGCCACAGGTGGTGCAGGGGCCGGCCTAGTGGGTACTATAGGTGCGATCGGTACCACTGGCCTCGCCTCTCTTTTGACCTTCTTGTCCTCCTCTTGGCTGACCCCCTTCTCTCTTTCCCTTTCCTTCTTCTCCCTCTTCTCCTGCTTCGGCTCCACCTCCACCATAACTCCCTCTGGCCTCTTTGTCGGTCTGTACCTGAGGGATAAGGCTTCATAAGCCGGCGCGCTGATCTCTGCGAGCTTCTGCATCAGTTGGATGTTCTTCTGCCTCCGCTCCGGCGGGATGAGGGCTTCAGCCTGGGAGATTCGGACCGCCTCATGAGCAAACACCATCCGATGGCTCGCGCGTTTCTCCACATCGCCCTGGAGTAGTATGGCGCATAAGTCGCGAACATCGCGTGGTACGGCCTGGACAGCACGCGTGTCCGCCTTGTCCAGTAATGTCGAGCCGTCACTGACTTTGTGCGCAGCTTGGAGCGCAGTGATCGTTTGTGCTAGGTAGGGCAGTTCACCGTAGGCGAGCTCGAAGAGTATGCAGCCCAGGGACCAGAGGTCAGCCTTGGAGTCGTATTTGTAGTTCTCGAGGTAGACTTCAGGGGCCATGTATAACCTACGAAACCCAGCCATTAGCAATCACTTTCAGCAAGCGTGGTATCACAGAACTCACGGAGAGCCACATAGTGTTTCCGCCAGCGTCTTGCCGGGCAGGATCCTCGCAAAACCGAAGTCGGCGACTTTAAGCACTGGGATTCCTAATGGATGGCCATTCATCAGTTCCCGCTCGCCCGGTAGCGTAAGCATGATGTTGCTTGGCTTGAGGTCGCGGTGGACCATGCTGTGCTGGTGCATGAACTTCATCACGTCAACTATGCAAATATCATATCAGCAACCTCTCAATATGCACATCCAGTGAGATACCTACTCAGTTGAACAAGAAACGATCGGACAGCGAATGTTGCTAGTCCGCCCTTTGGTGGATGTGGATAGTACACGGGCATCATCCCGAAGTCGGGCATGTACTCCAACCCCTTTATCTTCCCTCGCTTCCTCTTATATTCATGCAAGTCCCCGCCGCTGCAGAACTCCATGATGAGGAAGATGTTCCATTCTTTCTCCTGATGGAACGTGGTCAGAACCTTGCAGTGACGTGAGGCAGACAAGAGAACGCACCTGCAGTTCGATAAGGGAAGTGATACGAGGATGATGAATCTTGCGAAGGATCTCCGCTTCTCGTAAGGCATTCGCCTCGAGCTTGGCATTGTATAGTCGCTTGCGAGGAATCATCTTAATCGCTACGACCTTGTTCGTTTCCTGAGTGCACCAGTGAGCTACTCTGGCTCTCGTGCGTAGATCCCATGATGCGTACCACATGGTGCCCCTTGAAGACGTTGGCGAATGTCCCACTGCCAACCTCTGCATCCCGGATGTAAGGCAGGCAGTTCTCTGCTGCTGCTTCAGACGGGACAGGGGCCATGTTGCGGTTGTCGTTTGCCCTAGTGGGCGCTTGCTGTGCTATGCGCTCCAACGCGTTACTCTTGCCCTTACGGGCTGACAGCTGTAAGAGTTGAGTACAGCTGTACGTCGTGGTGGTCGTCAGTGACAACGAGTGATAGACGGTGCAGCCGATAGAGTCCGACTAGTTGAGGGGGTGGATAGGGTCGGTCGGGGATGATCGCGTGCTCTGGCAACGTGGTGTGTAATGATGTCTCAGATACAGATAGGCGCGCGTCAATGACTCCTTTTTCCCCGTGACCGAAATGCAGGTTGAAAGAGTTGCAGCGGAACTTGTACGCGGCTTAGAACTCCTTTTAGAGGAGATGTGGTATTTGCTGGCGGGTGCACTGCCCGCACTTCGACCCCGGGGGGTGACGGAGTTGATGCGTCCTATTGTGATCGAAGCGGCAACCCAAACACAGAGAGAGAATGCCCCCACAACTCGTATCCATTCAGTGGGTAGATCATCAACATTTGTCCTCTCGGAGCCGAGTAAGGAGGACCGTTTCCACTCTATACTTTGGTGCTTATCGATACATCGGAAGTCTATCAGTAATTCAGCATTGTAATGAACTCCTCGAACTCCGATGATTACGTCATATCGATAATCACGAGTGAAAGTATTTAACCTATCAATTGTTGGTTGACAGTTGAAGTCACCATCGACAACGAGCAGGGATCAATGGTATAAGGGCAAGGGCTCGAATGGTCAAGTGCCTCATAACCACTCGCTGCTACATCAATCAGCCCATGCCAATGCTCGATCCTCAGGCGTAGGAGTCTACGAAAGATATTCGTCGATGATGCCCGGCGCCCTGCCGTCCACCCTGGACAACACGTCAATCGTCTCCTTCTACAGCCTAGTCAGCAAACTGCTCTTCGCGAACGATCATCAACTGAACGCACCCAAATCCTCTCTTGTATTCTTTGCCCCATCTCCGTCAACAGCCAGTCACATACCTCCTCCTCCTTGCAGTCATTATAATACGCCCCCTGCTTGCCTTGCACCTCCAAGCCCAGCGCGGCATGAGCAATCACTCTGCTTCCCATCTCCGCTGTGCGGAAGAACCAGCGCTGACCGAGGCGCACGAGCAGGAGGTGGTCTAGATCACGCTGCAAGGAGGAGGCGCAGGCGGAGGGATTCACGCTGACGACTGTGAGCCCAGAGGAGGCAGGGATGCGCGAGCCCAGCGAACGGGCAAACATCACGTTAATCACTGAGCGAGCGGTGAGTCGGGGATGTTCTGAGGAAGCCTAGAGACTCACACTTCGACATCGGGTACCGTGCCTTCTCCTTGGAGAACATGCTAAATGTCATCTGCCTTATCCCTCATCAGTAATAGACTCGCAGGGCCATGTGCCCAGCACTCACACGGTATCCTCGAATGTGCCGTCCTTGCTCAAGGCTTCCAGCAGACTCCCCTGCGGCTCCTTCCCCACAGCAACATAATAGTGCATCTCGCTCGCAACCCATACCATGCGCGGCGTCGGAGGTGTGGGGCCTGCTTTGGCCATATAAGGCAGGAGGAGGAGTCCCAGGAGCTCGGGACCGAGGTTGTTGACTTGGAGCTGCACCTCCCACCCGTCCGAAGTAGTCTTGTGCGGTCCGTGGTGGTTGATACCTGCATTCTGGATCTAGACGCTGTTTAGATGACAACGCGGGGAAGCCAAAGGAAAGGAGCGCACAAGAAGGTCGAGCTTTCCCCCACCCTCTCGTTCAAACTGTGACACGAATTCTTGCACACTCGCAAAGCTGGATAGATCCAACTTCCAGCACTCGACCGTTTCGCACTTGGTATCCGCGATTATTAGCGTCTTCGCTTCCTCCGCGCTTTGAAGGTTGCGACAAGCGAGGATCCTGTGCGTTCGTCAGCTAACTGTCGACTTGACGGGGGGCCACATTGACGAACAACTTGCCAGGATGGAGCCGCGCAAGATACTTAGCCGTCTCAAAACCCAGTCCCGCGTTAGCGCCCGTAACGATAACCGTTTTGCTCGTCAGATCAGCACCGTATTGCTCAGGCGTAGGGAACCGTTTATACAGCCCGCAGAACCAAGGCCAAAGGCGGAACTTGCCCATGCTTGCCTCGAAGCCCAGTAAGCAATGGATGAACGAACCGGGGTCACCAAAATGATCTTAATGTGTTGTATGGCAGATTTATACGCCGATAATACTTGGGCACCGGGCGCCGAGCCCCGCTTCTTGGACATCATAAGGGACCACAAATAAGGTCCCCGTTCGCAACATTCCACGTTCCGCATGGGTATGATATCCACCAGAAAGTCCTCAGTTCTGACACGGCCTGTGTGTTCAATCGTGAGTCAGAGCGTTTCTGTCGTGATCGTCGGTGAATGGAATGTCGTATCCATCCAGAGTAAGAGTCTGAAAAGTTGGTCTGAGCTACATCAAGAAGACAAAGTAAGGTAGTAGAGTGTAAAAATAATGACATTAGCCATCCCATGTTGATTCTCTGCTGTCGAGAGAATCAGACACTTCTTCATAACATCAGACAACAGTTCATAAAGTAGAAAGAAGGGATGTGGCGATGTTGACCTACCCTGAAGTTGAAAACTGTACAGCACCACGCCACTCCATCTTCCCTTGCTGGATGCAAGTCCCGTCCGCGCCACCGCCAATAAGCTGCTCGTCGTCGTCTGGGCTCGGTAAGTCGTTCCTTCGCACCAACTAATCTGTGAGTATTTCTCTATGCGTCTCTGTGCTAGATCTCCATCTTCTGTCCTCCCTTTTTGCATCTTTTTTGTCGTTCTCGCCCTTCCCCTGCTCGATGCTCACTGGTTGTTCCAGTTCAAAATGGCCCAACGCGTAACGCTCCGCAAGCGCACTCCATACAACACAACCTCCAATCGCCGGCGGGTTGTCAAGACCCCTGGCGGCAAGCTGGTTTACCACCACCTGAAGAAGCCGGGTACATCACCCAAGTGCGGAGACTGCGGCATGAGCCTTGCTGGTGTACGTCTCCCTTCTCGGTATCTCCCAGGAGGATAAATCGCTGATTGTTGGTGTGTGAATTCTAGGTTGTTGCTCTCCGCCCGAGGGAATACGCCACCATCTCCAAACGTCAGAAGAGTGTGACTCGTGCATACGGGGGCAGCAGGTGCGGTGACTGCGTTAAGAGCCGGTGCGTCCTACTCCTTCACCCACACCCCTCCAAGCGCTCATCCTGTCCTAGCATTGTGCGCGCATTCCTTATCGAGGAGGCAAAAATCGTCAAGCGGGTGATTAAGTCCCAGGCTAAGCCCGCCAAGAAATAGATGGTGTTCCTGGTGTTTTTCTTTGGCTGCGTGGATGATGAGGGTTGGGCCGAGGGAGTGGGCAACAGACGAGGTCACAGACGCCTAGCGCATGCCCAGCGCATCACACCTGTATGCAACATCATGTGAAATGACATGCTATGCCTGCGGAAGCGGAGCCGTGCAATGCGCAAGATACATTGCAAACTAAATACTTTACAACAGTACGAGTAAGAAAGAAAAAGTCGTGTGAGCTGGTTGAAGCCAGCTGAAGGGTATCACCATGTTGCGACTGGAATGAAGTCTGAGAACGAACCAATCCAGTTAATCCAGTACAATGATCTCCGACTCCATATGACCGTTCGCTCTGGACGAGCTAGCAACGACCCGCCGACGATTGGTCCTTCCATTGTCCTCGTTATCTGCATCGCCATTGCCCCGCCTTCTCTTCCTTCCAACGGTAGCCTGTACACTGGATGATCTCACAGTACCGCCTGGTTCTGGCGAGGACTCGATCTCGATCGGATTGTCAGCGGATGACGACGGAATATTTGAGCTGGATGCTGATGGTTGCTCGTTTGACAGGTCGATCGTCTCTCGTATCGATGGAGGATGCCTACCTGATCGATTCCGCCTGCGCGCAGAGGGGGCGGCAGTCACCGTAACCTCGGAATTGATCAGGCTTACGATACTCGCAGCAGCAGGTTTCGATGAAGCACTTCCCGCCGTTGCAGGCTTCGGTTTCGGCTTAGCGTATTGTTGTGTCCACCTATGTGCAGTGGCATCATGCTGTTTGCGATTGCGGCGATACAAATCGGCGATCTGCGGCACCAAGGGATCACCTGTCACCAAGCTCAGCCGTGACTGCGCATATACAAACCAACACAGGGCACCCACCAGGATTTGGATCAGTCAAGAGGGAGGAAATACTGAGGACCACTTTGTACAAGCTCAATGCGGCGCTCCAGTTGGTCTTAAGGATATCTATACAGATGTTTCCTCCTGGATCGGACACATTCATATGATATATGCGCGTCTTGAACATTACCCGTGGTGCAGAAAACCTATCATTATCGTCAGCTTTGGTTCTATTCAATTTCATTTGGCGATGAACTCACGGATAGTCATGAGGTAGCTGTATGCCCAACTTGAACTCGCCGCCTTCATACGGACTTCCCTCGGGTCCTGGCAGAGTCGCTTCCCAGACGAACATGGATTCATCAGATGGAGCAAGTTTGATATCACCTTTGCGCCATCGTATGAGAATGACTCCGATGAGGGCAACCATGTTGCTCACCCGTGTCCTCCTTCCGAAGATCGGCAATCTACACCAACACGGAGTTGTCAGCACACGACTCTTGGCCCATCCGGTCACGTTCACTCACTTCGCGCGAGATACGCTTGACCGTCATACTTCCCGGGACTGATGGCGCCATCTCTGTCGGTAGAAAGCAAGAGGACTGATGGAACGAGAGTGTAGAGGAAGAGAAGTGTATGAGTGACAGTGACAAGCGGTGAGGGCGCGTGCAAGCGGCCACCGGAGCCTTTTGGGCGGCCTTGACGCCCGTTCGGAGCCGACCGGAAATTCTCGCTTGAGCAGTCCAATCACATGGTTGCGATTGACCAAGACCAACCTTGTGTGTTATCCTCACCTCTATACCTCCTGGAAGGTCGTTCATAAGTGTAATGAGCGGACGGATGTTGATATTGTCTTCTGCTTTAGTACTCGACGATCATCCAATAATATCGTGACCATCTGTTTGCATGCGCAGTTGGTATTCTCAGGTCGCACAGAGGTAAAAGCCAACAGGATACAGATCTTATGCTCTGGTTTCATGGTCATCCATTTAACACTGTGTCCAATCAAGGTGCCCTGGCATAGCATGGATAGCTGCAGAAAGAAGAAAAAATGTCAAGTCAATCTCCGTACTTTCTCCTCGGTGATGCATCCATTTCCTCAAAGCAAGGCCACCGCACGTCGTAATGAGCTGTTTTCCGTGCGAGGTTAGGGATGGTCAGCAGCATGAACTCTGGGTATCCGGATAGAATAATGTGAAGACTGCTGTAACGCTCCATATGAACAGTTGTCACCTTCATCTTCTGGAAATTTGAATAGAAACTTTGAACGTTTTTGACTTACACACCCCAGCTAATGTATAGGCAAAACACGACTCGGACAACGTATGTGGGGATAACCACGCCATGCAATTCCCCGGAATACTGGAACACGCTGCATGCTACGTCGTTATGAAGGTCGATCTAGAACGCCCTGAAGTTGGAGTATTCATATCAATTCCCGCGTTCCTTTTGGAGGCTGCATCGGTCGATCTGATTTGGCAGACCGTTGAGGCGCTTGCTTTGCCTGAAAGCCGGAGTATTGTGAGGACCCCGGTTCGCCGCTAACATAGCTCCAAGCCAGTTATATTAAGAGCCTTCATACATATACCCAGTGACCACTTCGCCTGAGAAGGAGGTTTTCCACATACATTCGAGACGCTGTCAATAAAATCATAGCCATAAAACTTGTGATGGTATCGCTGTGGTGCTCTTCATGGCTGTACGGTTGTGAAATAATCCAATAACGATACGGCCAAAAATCTGATAAACAATCGAAAAAACTTCGCACCCGTAATCAGATAGACTAAGAATCCGAATCACGGGTTTCTTCCGTGTGCACAAAGATACCATCACGAAGCGTCCCAAAGTCGGTGGTGCCTTTCCGCCCTCCAAACGGCCTTTCGCCCAGTTCGAGGCTTTCTCCACTGCCCGTTCGGATCCGACTTGGGTACGGTTTTCCGACTTCCGACTCGTCCTCTTCATGCACGCTGGTTTGCTGAAGCGCTCGTACTGCGACGGCTGACCTGCGGTACCCGGTACCAGAGGAATGACCCACAGTATGGAGGACCGTGTCCCACTCCTTCTGCCTCTTTTGCGCGACGCGTAGGCGGACGACAATGGCGACGCTAGTTATCGCGTAAAGGTGGGGAATCGACAAGTTGAATGCCCAATGAATGACTTGGCCGTTCGCAAAGAAGGCGAGGTTGAAGATCAGGCAGACCGAAATGATTAACCCGCTCTCGACAATGGCACGAGTGAGACGAAATCGGCGTGAGCGCTGCTCGGGAGGTAGTAGTCGAAGGTCTTCCGTGAACAATAGTCGATATCCCAAAAGGATCGTAATGACAACCTGTACAGCTGTGTTGGTGCCAAGGGAAGCAGCGATCGTCTCTTGGAAGGGGGCCATGATCGACAGCGCCAGATAGGTATCTCCAACAAAGCGTAGCACAGTCTCCGCGATGAGAAGCACTACAGGAAAGGTGACAATCCACCGACTGCTTCCATATAACCTCCATACTCTGTAGACCTGTGCCATGGCATCAGTCTCAGGTGGTCGGTGGGAGGTGGCAACTCTTACCATGAGTGCATCGCAGACGAGGATGAGCAGGAGGTAGTTAAACTCCTGCAAGGTAAACTGCCATCCAGCTGACGAATTGAAGAATCCCTGTGGACCCTCACCATCCAGACTTTGCCAAAATCCCTGGATGAGCATGATGAGGCAGCGCGCCGCGTCGATGTTGGTAAATACGAAGACAAGCCATGATGTCACGGTGAAGTACAGAGCCAGGCCATTGTCCTTGGGCATCGAGAGCCAGTAGAAAAACAGAGTGAGGTATATGCCTATTGATATGTCAGTAAGGACTTATACCAGCGGTAGACAAGAAGACGCACCATGCAGCAACGCATTGATCCATATCGCGAACAGGTATGCAAGAGCCGTCTCCATCTTGACGGAGCGACAGCAAAGTTGTTGGTTGTGTTGAGAGGAGTGTCTTATACAATAATACAAAATCCAGTTCTTGCCAGTGTCTGAAGGCTGCGCGGTCGCAACATGCGCTAAGAATACAGGGAGAGGCAACGTCCGCCCAGGGGGAGACAACGGATTCGAAGAAGCCTGGTTCAGTCCCAGCAAGGCTCCGCGAATGCACCCCAGTATGAATTACTTTCGCTTATCCCGTTCTGAGATATTCGGGGTATTACTTGGGGCCCCTTCACGCTTTACAGAGCTAGCAAGATTGCACTGAGAAGGGAATATTTTGGCAGATGATTCTGGAGAGGGGCAGAAAGAAGACGCAGCAACTCATGGATGCGCATAATCTACCTGAGATATCAGAGACATTCGATTCGGCATGGCTCCCATTCACGAGAATCCAGTGCATGACAGTTTACGCCCAGATGCCAGCGCAAGCATCACAGTTCCAGATCTGGCAGATTCGCATCAGGAGCAGACTGGGAAAGCGCGGCTCTAAAAACCTTCCGGTGAGAATGATACGATAGTATCGCTTTCCGGAGATGAAGACAGCATGACCCAGTGATTGTATATAGCGAACAGAAACGGTAGAAAAGAAACAAGCAGTTGATGCGGAGAGAAGGAAGCCATGTACGAAGACTGGTTGGAGCACGTGAAAGGGTAGACGTGGATGCTAATCGATGCGCGTCGCGTCGCGCTCTTCATGACGGCTGTAACTCGCCGACCCCAGCCCAGCACGAATTTCCTGTCCACTTGAGTACACATAGCTTGGATTTTCTCTGGTCCGACCTACAAAAAGGCTGTTGTGTGCTGATCGAAGCCATACGCTATGTCATCCGACACCGAGGACTCAGCGAGCGTGACGCTGTCGACAGCATCATCGCGGGCACCATCCCCCGAGCCTGTCCCGCAAACGCTTTATGATATTCTTTCAATTCCGATTACGAACACCATTTCTGCTCTCGGTGCACCTTCACCTGCAAAAACTTCGGTCTACGTGCTGGGTGATGACGTTTTAGGCTGTTTGCGTGACTTGAAGCGATATTGGCGCCGCGACGACAACGATGAGGAGCGAACAGTCGCTAGGATCTTTGCCAAGGCGAATGTGTTAGAGAATGATCTTGTGCCGATATTGGTACAAACTGCAGAAAAGATTCCAAAAGTTGCGGTCGCTTGTGGTATGTCTGAATATTTTTGTCTTGCAAGTGCGTTCTAATGGCACTCCAGCGGATCTCATCACGAGTATGACATGGCCGATGGACTTGCCTGCTGAATTGCAAGAGCTCCATGAACAAGGCATTACTGGACCATCAACTGACTATCCGCTATTGACTCGCGCCCTGCTCTCGTACAAATCCGCAATAACGCACCACGCTGGCGCGGTCCGAGCCCTTGTTCTTGTGGCTTTGCCATCACTTGCTGTCGCTCCTAACAAGCGAACCGAGCGGGAGAAGCAGATCGTCAACGTTGTGTTCCACTGCATTCGAAACGTATTGGCGATCCGGGACTTACGAGGCGATGTGAACAAGAGCGGAGATTGGGGCGAATTAGCGAGCTTGCAGAGCATGCTGATCCGAAGGCTGAAGGACAGCAGTTTCTTGGATGTATTGGCGACAATGACCAGCAATGCGGATACTCCTGTTGCGAACACATATTCTTCAATTATGCTTGAGATATGGTATCTACTGTTTCGAGGTGTGTCAGCAGCGAAGCTGACCTTGCCATCCGCTCAGGCGAGCGCGCACCTTTCACCATATGAAACCATTCTGAGTTCAATTTAGCGTCCAAAGGAGGAGCTTCGTTCTCTGCTAGACTTTGAAGGTGCCATGAAACGTGGTCAAACAAAAGCCACACGCCATTCTCGTTTCGGGACTGCCATAGCTATGACAACTGTGAGTCACATTGCTTGTCCAATGATCATGGTGATGACCTTTGTTACAGGGCAGTGGGAAGGATAGATTCATAATGTCTCGTCAGCAAAGCCTTCGAACACTCCCCGGGGAAACAATGGACGCTCGGAAGAAAGGGCTTGCGAAGAGGATGAAGCACGTCGACGATTTAGGCCCAGAGCAATCATTGTCGTATGATGCCCTCAATGTGTTGAAGGACCTTGCTGTAGTTTTTCTGAACTCGTGCTTCAATAGTACGCTGCCTTCTACTCCATTTCCGACCTCCTAGTCTAACCTATGTTGTAGTTTTCTTTGCTTCGTTCCTGAAGGACATCCGATATGAGCGACCGCACATTACTGAAGCCGACAATGCTCGCCTACTCGTTCTGTCCTCTTGGTTCGTGGAATTCTTCCTTGCCTCACGAGCGCGGGCGGAGCAGCCACAAGGAGAAACAGAAACTTCAGAGGAAGAGAAGACGTGGACAGTGAGCAAAGTCGCGGAATGTTGCGAACAAGAATGGATCGTCTGGGTTGTTAAGAGGATGCGCTTTGCTGGCGACGAGAAACCAAAAGCGTGGGTTGAACTGCAGGCGTGTATGGAGGCCCTCACTCAACTGGTACCCCGATTCATAACACTTGTGTCTGTAACGCTCACTGATATCGCAGTTGCTCCTTGTGGAATGCATGTCCAACAGTCCGAGCGAAGAAATTCGAGACGCATCTGAGGCGTTGCAGCATAAACTATGGTTTTCGAGTGAACTCATGGACGTCGCCCTTGCAAATGCTAGAACTTATACCGGTCAAAGTTTAGCGTAAGCGCAATACTTTGCACATTGGACCTGTGATTCAGCTTTCACATAGGTACCTTGAAGCCGTGGTACAACTTAATCATGTGCTGCTCAAGTTGTTGGAGAGATATGCAAAAGGGAGGAGCGCGATGTATGTACGGAAGAAAACCAGTGCGAAGAAGAAAAAGGGTAAGCGTTTATGCTGCCTTCTGCTTGGAGTTCTGATATGTCCTAGGCAAGAGTATGAACGAAGGCGGTATAGAAGATGACGCTGATGAGGAAGAGGAGGACCACGGTCCCTCGTATGAACAGCGTCGATTCGAATTCGAAGCATTCGAGCTGAGGTTCGCGAATGAGGACGTAACACACACACTTCTGCAGTACCTCTCTCGATACCGAGACATCTCAGCCGAAGGTGTTATCGGAGCCGAGAAGATTGAGCGGGTCGTGTCCTTACTACATAGGCAGGTCGTTAAAGCAAAGGCCGAAGGCTTGTTCTTCAAGGTTTCAACGCTGGAACTATTTCGGCACATAATATCCGACGAGCGCACTCTTCCCAATGATGCAGCGCATAAGGAACTAATCCAACTCGCTCGATACACCCTCCGCCAATTCTTCAAGGAAGTGGAGAAAAAGCCTTTCCTTTTGGTCGAAGCCTTCTTCCCGAAGAATCGAAACAGGTGGAAGGAATATTCCTCTTATCAACCTCCGGAGAAGACACCGCGAGTTCGCCCCTTAGCGGACGAGGACCACGGACCACGGGAAGTGCAAGTGAAGGGGAGCTATTCTTGGAGCGAACAGCTTGGCATTGCTATGGCTTGTCTTCAAGAAGAAGGGCAGGAAGGGTTCATTGATTGGGTCCGCGAGGTGCGTATAAAACACGACTTGATCAATCTTGTAGTAAATTTCTATTCAGATGCTTGTCCTCGTACTGGCCGAAAGACAAGCCATAGTCGCCCTGACGGATCTCCACGAGGTACACAGTCTCGATGACGATATGGACGAGGAGGGCCTCCGTCAACGGGGAAGCGGTCCATCAGAAGTGGCTATTTCGAAGTTCGAGGAATTCGGTGGGGAGATTCACACATTCTGTCTGCATTGTATATTAACTCACCCCAGCGATACGTTGCGACAAGGAGGGACAGCAGGATGCAGCCACCAAGAATCCCCACCTGAAGCTCATGTTCCGCCTAGTAAAGTTCCAGGCACGTGATGAAGGTATGATTCGCATTCTATGGAGAGACGGCGATTCTGATTCTCATCCAGTTGCGGACCCCATGGAGTGGTTCTGCCCTGCATTTGTTCTGCCTAGCGAGCTAGAAGGCTCTATCAAAGTTATCGATCATTTCAAGCTAAATCCCTTCGATCTCGACGGGAAGAAAGCGAAAACCCTGATCAAAAAGAAACCTAGAAAGCGTCGCAGGCGCAATCTCGATGACGAGATGGCGGAGCTCTTCTCTGACGAGGAGGCACCGCGGAAGCGGAGGGAGAAGCGACAGCAGGAGAAGAAGCAGTACAAATCTGCACAATTCATCGAGGACAGTGATGCAGATGAGGAAGCCGACCGGGCTTTCTTCAAACAGGAAGCCGAGTTGCGTGCCCGGATGGCACAGATCTCCGAGGTGCAGGGGCATACGATGCGCTCCCATGGCACGAAGAAACGGAAGAGTAAAGCGAGGGAACGGAGTGCAAAGAGGCGTAAGACCGGTGACGCACAGGACCTGGAGATCGTGCCCACCCAGCAAACTGAGAGGGACTCAGCTTCCAGCGAGAGTGACGCCGAGCTCAGCGAGCCTTCGACTTCTCGGCAGAAGAGGAGTACGCCGGGCACGACACCGCTCTCCGATCCTGCGTCCCAATCCGATCATGATGATTTAGACGTGGACATGGAGGAACCACCGCAGCAGAAGAAAGCAAAGATGCCGCCACGACCTCGGCGTCTCATGCCGATCCAGCTAGTGACCGAGGCTCCTGCGTCCGAGCTCTCCTCGCCATTTAAGGCTTCAGGCAAGGAAAACATCGGTCAGTCGGATGATGACTTGTCTCTGGCGACCATCCACCCGATTGGTAGAGCACAACGACGCCTTCTCTTATCTGATGACGAAGATTGAATAATATTTGTACGAATGTGTCGCATAATACATGTGAATAATATACAGGACACTCGGCCGATTATCTTGCACAGTTCCTGCCTAATCTGCGTGTGCTTTTATCACTTCATGCCCCTGAACTGTCTCTCCCTGGTCCACGTCTCCACGCGGCGCATGTATCTCCTTAAGGGCATCAAGAACGCGAGGAATAATGAGCTTGTGCACATCTTCGCCCCAGAGCATATCAACGTGCTCATGACCCGGTATCTACAAAACAACCTAGTCAGAGTGGTTCACACGATTGCGGAGAAAACGCATATACCCCGATAGCCACCGTGTGCTCAGGCAGTTCTTTCAGCATGACATCAATGTCAACCCTAGAACACGTTAGATTGAACATGACAATGCTCAGATCTCGAGAAACTTACAAGCTGTCGCTCTCGCCGTACAGAAGCACGATAGGAGTCATAATATTCCGGGTCGGGAACCGAGCTGGATGGAAGAAACTTCTCCTCGACAGTGCCATGCTCGGTCCTTCGAAATCTTCATCATACATCTGGAATTTCTGGTTGCGCATGATCTGGAACCAATGTACGACGGACTTGACGCTTGTGAAACTGTACAAGTGGGCATAGGCAGCGATCTTCTGGGACTGGGTGATGTTGCGAGAGCGCCAGTTGAATAGTTGAACGAGACCGATATCGATCATCTTGACGAAGATGGGTGGATATAAGACGGATTGCCAGAAGGTAGCGGAGGAAAGGATAGCGCGCCGGCCGAAGAAGAGATACATAAGCGACGGCGATGCTTTTGTGAGCGCGTCTACAATGGGCGAGGACAGGCCGGGAGGTGCCATAGCAGGTGCGAGAGCGACGAAAATATCCACGACCTCGTTCAGGTCCGGGTGCACACTGAGCGCTGCAAATGCCTGCGCGGATCCTTGGCTAAATCCAATATAGCTGAGCTTGTCGACCTTGGCAGCCTTCAGAATGTAGTGTATCGAATCTGGAATATCGAACAGACAGAATTCGTCGATCGAGTAGTCCCAGAAACCGTCTGTATGCACGTTGCCCATGTGTGCCGTCTTGCGCGAATACTTGTTCCCGCGGTTATTGCCAAGCCAAACGTCGTACCCTGCTTCGGCGAGCACGAAAGGAAGGCAACGTTCTTCAGCGGTAACACAGACCCAGACTTCGCTGTTCATCAATAGACCTGGCGCAATATTAGGCGCATATACGACACTGAGACATTGCACTGCGAACCGTGATGGAGGTAAACCACTGGTTTGCCTGTCGTTGTTCCCGGTCTCGCCTTTTTCTCGCCTTTCTTGCACGGCAACCTATGCATAGCCAACAAATACCCATCTTTCGTCTGCACGACATGTTCCTCCGGAACATAGCCCCAAATATTGCACAGTTCTTCAAAGTCCACAGCAGCCCTCACCCTCTCTACAAGTTCCCGGTGATCTTGCTGCGATTTGGGTAACTCTGTGGTTTGCCTCTGTCCGGTTATAGTGTGCCACAGTTGACGCGAGCGTTGATAGAACCAGTCGACTATAAATTCCGGCAGCAGGTAGGTAGCGATACGGAAGAAGGATTCGAGAATCAGGAGGATTGAACCGAGGATGAGATGGCCATACTCCGAACTGAGGGATGCTTAGCAGTCAACCCAAAATGACCAGTATGATATGCTTACAGACGTAAACGACCAAGAAGAGGAAAACGGGCCATGATATTATCGTCGTCGTATAGTAATGGTTTGAAGCAAGTTAGGGGACGTGGATGAGGATGAGGACCAACGATCATTGATGTCCCATATGGCGGTTTAAGGGTCTGTTTCAATTGGATGGAACCGTGTGACGTAAAGCATTTTCACAGACCCACTTCGGAACCGAGCTCCATTGATCCGAGAGTGACGTATTAAAAAGTCTAAGATATCAATGCTGACGCAGCTGAATGCTGTATCATCATGAGTCATCTTCCATCTGCCTCGACAGCCAGCTAACATCGCATTGCTGTCGAGCGTATAATTTCTGTCTTACTTCACAACCGACGACGGACAAGGAACTATATCTTTCGTAAACTTTGCTGGGTCGGGCTCCACGGACGAGCCTCTTTTGCATCGCTCATCTAGGACGGAACAATAGCACTGCATTATATAAAACGACATTTTCCTCATTCTGATCTTCCTCGAAGTTTGACATGACTGTAGTGGATCCCCATTCTAAGGTTCTCGTTACAGGCACGTCTATGGTCTCGTTTATCCTGTTCGACATCTCACGGTCTCCTGCAGGAGCTAATGGCTACCTTGCAGTATGGATTCTCCGCACTCTGCTGGAGCAAGGCTACTTGGTCAAGGGTGCGGTTCGCAGCGCGTCAAAGGGCGAGTATCTCAGGAAGCTCTTCGTTGAGTACGGCGAAGCCTTCTCCTATGTTGTCGTCGAGGACATGGCCAAGGTATCGGTTCCGTACCAATAGATTGACATTGAAGTGTACTCAAGTATGTTATCAGAATGGTGCTTTCGACGTACATGTACGTGATGTGCAAGCAATTCTCCATACAGCGGCGCGTGCCACATCCTACGCGAAAAGCCTTGTCGAACTGACATCCACCAACGTCAACGGCACGATTGGGCTGCTCAACAGTGCCCTAACGCATGGACCGAATATCCGACGGTTCGTGTACACTTCCTCTACGGGAACGATCATGGAAGAGCCTGGCAAGACACTCACAGAGGAGACTATGAAATGGAAGGAGCATATTGTGGAAGAGGCGAGGAACAACCCCAACCCACCGGGCATTTATTATTATCTTGCTAGCAAGGTGCTCGCTGAACAAGCGGCATGGGCGTGGGCGGAGGAGCACAAGGCAGAGATAAAGTTCGATTTCGTCAGCTTGATCGTTCCCTGGGTAAATGCACTGGGTTTCAGCTCAACCACACACGCTCACACGACCTCAACAGGTTATCGGCCCACAGATCCAAGAAATCCGCTCGCGCGCCGATCTCACTGAAGCGATCTCTATCCTTCAATCCGGGTTGGACAACGAATGGTCCGCCGAGGAACGTTACAGTCATTTCGCCAACTGGGCGGACGTGCGCGGCATTGCTCTTGCCCATGTGCGTGCGATGGAGAGGGAGCCAGCTGGGGGACAGCGGTTCCTCATATCCGCTGGGGCGTTCTGCTTGCAGGATATATATGACGTCCTGCACAGTGTAGAGAACTCGCCGCTGAAGGACGTGCCGTTTGGGGATCCTGCCAGGAAAAGAAAACCGCTTTGCCAACATGATTCGAGCAAGGCGCAGGGAATATTAGGCATCACTTTCCGACCACTCGGGCCCAGCTTGACCGAGGCACTAGCGGATCACCAGGCAAAGCTGAACGAATTCCCTGCATAGATATTAATACATCGTGCTTTGATGACGAGAGTCCAGTAAGCCAACATAATGCGGAAACAAGAGGTCATTTCTACTCGCGAAGGATAGAGACAGTGACCTCTCCTCCCAGTGCTTCTGTACATAGCTCCCATGCCCAACGTGTGAGTTTCAGGATGTCGTCATCCCCTGTATCCTTCTTGACGTGGACATCCACTGTAGCGACGAGTGGTCCACGCTCTGTCGGATCCGACGGTGGGGGTGTTAATTGCCATACATGGGGGGCGGGCACATGAAGAACGATTGGATGTCCCTTGACTTCTCGCAGGGCACGATCGAACTTGTCCATCTGACGATTCGGAAGGCCGCGGACCGGCGCGGTTTGAAGCAAAACTTTGCCGAGAGAGACGGCAGCAGGGTATGCGATGGCAAAGGTAAATACAGTCTCAACAGCCGCAAGTAAAAGATCCGCTGAGCGGCGGAATTCCCTGAAGTTGATGAGTACGCGGGCAATCCATCGATAGGCATCTAACTCACGGTTCGAATAACATAGAAGTGAGAAGAATTAGAACTCCAAATGCGACGGGTGCGAGAGTAAATGGATTGGCGAGAAATCGCACGATGCCAGATGTCTGAAGGGGATCCAATGGGGAATCAGGTGACTTGATTAGATTATATAGAGTAGGGAATCGGTAGCCGATTGCTACCCGAACCAATTAGTCAGTCTTCAAGCATCATTGGGGTATGAACCCACCATCGACCAATTTTGAGTGATTGTTATATATGAAGTTGGATAGAATAATGAGAGACGACGAGAACAGAATGAGGAGATTGGGGAAGTTCAGGCTGATTGCAATGTCAAACAAGGTGTCTGCAGAGGGGAATAAAGCAGACGCACGACTCGAATTCATCATCATCTGACGCACCGGTATGATGATGATGCTGCTCGCCACCACTTGAGAGAATGACATGCTCCACGGTTTCTTTGCATATATACACGGCGGCGAACATTAGGTATACTGATTGTGCGAAAAGGGCGACTGTTTCTATGCGCAAGTTTCTGAGAGGCAAAATCAGGACGAAGTTCGAAATATGAGCTGTGGTACGTACCCGAAGGGATTCCTCAATGTCCTCTGACTTGGGTCCGCGTATCTCGTCATGCTCCGGGCCACGCGCAAGTACACTCCCGCTGCATCGAATACGACCCAGTACCCCAGCCCAGTACTCGCCAAACTCTCCCTCTGTTGGCCAGTAACCCATAATGTGGCTCCCACACCAAACTGCACCAATGCGAACAGCAAGGCTTGCTTGAGTGAGTTGGGAAGCATCAGGAAACGCACTAAGGTCGATCTGTCGGCCATCGAAACCGCTGCGAGACTCGCAAGATTCTGACTTGAGGAAGAGGGCAAGACGGTTCCATCGATGGAAGGGAACGTGGGCATGCTGTTGCTTGGAGGAAATGGAGAAACTGGTTGCCAGGGTGTTTCGAGGTTGCTCGGGGTGGAGAGGTGCGATGTAGCCGGCGTTGCAGGTGTGCCGCGCGGTGGAATAGATCCTGGCTCCATAAAGCTGAAGAAGTTGTGCGAAAGTGAATGTTTATGATGGTGCCCTCTCCGTGCGCTCCCTCGCGGCGCAGGGACGCCGAGACCGTCCGGAGAGTCGTCTGAGCCAGGAGGCGGCGGTTCTCCGAACCGGAACGAGTCACCTAATCTCCTCGGCGGGGGTGTAGATGCAGTTGGAATGAGGGTGACGGGAGCTTCAATACACTGTCCAGCGTCCTCTGCTATGGTCGCTTCGCTCGGGGCTTGTCCCGGGCGAGGAAAGAACACAGATAGGTTCCGCGAATGTATGCGCGAATGCCGTCGAAGATGTTCTGGGGGAGATAAGTTGCCATTGCCATTGCTGATGGGGGGCGAAATCTGAAATGAGGGGCCAAGTGGCGATGGTGGTTTGAGCGAGGGAGCAAGAGATGTCGAGCCCGACGACAGCAGGGTCATCTTGGTTGGGGATATGTCTGGCGGTATGCTCGTTTGGGATTGCAATCCGCCTATTTTCGAGGATTCTACAGGATCCCCGGGTATCTGCAAGGAGGTGGAACTGCTTGACGCTGTCGGCGCAGCAGTTGTCAAGTTGTCATCCTCCGTGCTAGGCTTGCGTCGATGCATGGTCACGGGTATCGCGGTTATAGCGGGCCGTCTAGGAAAGATTTTTAGTTCGAGGACAGCATCGTGATGTGCAATCTTCATGGTACTTACGACACCGTTCACAGCCTAGCAGATCCCCTCCAGCAAGTTCGAATGCCGAGCTCGATGTTTGTGCTAGGGAGCGCGTTGTCCTTTCCGGTGAACAGGTCGCGGCTGTAACGTCGTGCAGAAGCTACAGTACGGGGGCCGGAATCAAACCTCCATGTGTGAGGATTGTGCATTGAAAGGCTGTGATATTTCCTGTCCTGTTTCTTTTCGACGACAAAATCCATATCTACAATACGGTACAATGTGTTCAAATTCGACAGTATCCACAATACTCCGTGCAATCTGAGTGGAAGTTCCATGTACACGTGGGCGGACATTGACCCAATAAACGTCGACGTCCTCGTCAAGTTGCATTCATGGCATCAGCTTGCGCGATGCTGCGAAGAATCTCGTCCTCGGACTCGGAAGATCGAGCCATTTCTGATCGAAAGTGTGCGGTGACCATCGTGTTTATCGTGTCCACCACCTCATGGAGGCGGTTCCAGCCGCTTTCGCGCATGATGTGTTCTTGATGAGTGTGCATGGGCCACCAGGCGGCAGGATTCTGGGTCGAAAATCCCGAGGGTGGGCGTGGTCTTATCGGCCATTCTTCGTATGTTCTGTTTACGAGAGTGTAGATTTGTGCCCAGGGACCCATAGTTGAGACACCGACGATGAGGAGGGATTTCCACTGTATACCCATCAACTCTTCCATTCTATCGCGCATTTGCCCGTCTGCCCTCTTGCGTAAGCCTGGGCTATTTGCCCAGACCATTGGCTTCGCCTCCCAGTAGAGCACCACTGGCCCCCTTTCACCAAGAGGCACTTTCACATAAAAAGACAAGCCACTCTCCTCGTTCAACCTTACGCGAGGTTGGATATGAGATACTCGGAGCTATCGAAGAGCTTGACCAGTACCATGTTAATAATCCCATACCACTCGTGTTCGTGCTCCTTTCCCATGCGAGGCATGAGGTCTCGATATGCGTGGACGATTGCATTGCCCCAGCCCTTTTTATACGGGTCGTTCGTGTATACACGAAGATATTGCAAGCGCGGAACTTCAGTATTGTTGAACCATTCCCGAAAGCGAATTTGATCCTCAGTAAGAGAGTCTAGAGATGCAGTCGTCATAGCGGTGAGCGTACGGATGTGCTGGCATCGACTTCGGTGGTGGTCGTTCAAGAAGAATGACAGGGTAGTTTACCACGTGCTCCGGTTCCGTCCCTGAAGAGGGCCGCCTTCTTTCCCCTGCAGTTCTACGTCCGGCTATCATAACTTCTTTTCTATTTCGACCTCGGCCGTATATCCTAAGCACTCTATTCACTTCTTCCATCTGCTGGTCAATGTTATGCGGCAGCAGCACGTCGATCCCCCGTCCGATGGTCATGGGATGAACAGTCATTCCCCCCAAAAAACATACGACCTTCGGGCAACCAATGGACCGGTTATGCATACAAAATTGCTCTCTCAGAACAGCCAAGTCAGGGTTTTTCTCATCATCATCATTCCTATGCGTTCATTGTCAGCCTTGAAGTTTGGAAAGCAGTGCTACCGCCCTTTGTAAGTCAGGGCGACATCACATTGATGGGGTGCGAACAGTAGTGGCTTACTAAGCACGCGGGCCCTTTGTACGTAACATTCATTACCTTTGAAATATGGCACAGCTCTGAGTCAACGTGCCACAGCTCGGCTACCTCTACTCCGAAAACGACCGGATCTTCCCTTGTGGTCCCCGCGTTACCCAAAGTTCTAAGAACGTTGTGCACATTCCAGACAAATACCAACAGGAGTAAGCAATGACTTCCCTCGCCTGCATCTGCGCAGCGTTAACATATCTTTTGTACAGCTCTGATCTGTTGTACGGCAACCGAATTCTAGTGGCATGGTATTCATGGCCGTCACACCACATCATTTGGCCGTGCAAACTGCCGTGGAACACGTCGCATCTCGGAGGAGCACGGAAGAGGGGGGCTCCACTCAGCGACCGTTGTCTCAGCAGCAAAGGTCTCCTCGCTTATTTCTTTATCGGCGTGGCTAGGACCGATAGGAGAGCGTTGATAGCGAAGATGGTCAACGTGTAGCAACAGCGAAAAGAAATTTCGAACGTCATGGACGAACCACAAGATTCCAGGGTCTCTGGTGGTGCAGGGGCCTGCTGGACAGCCGAGACTCAGGTGGCGGTGTGCACTTGGCGATAGACCCGTACCATAGCGCGGGGAAGGATTCCCCCTATGGTGTGTTCTCCATGCCTGCGCTCTGGTTGATCGATTCCGTTTCATTCCTTAGGCACAGGAGCACGATTGCGCGTCACTTGTCAATCTGTCTCTCGCGTGTGCTGGAAGGGCCATGCATTCGGCGGATTCCCGCTGGTCTGTTCATCAACTTTTCAGCTGTGCCGGGTTTAGTCAGCCCTGCCTCCGTTATGACTACGCATCGTTGTCCGGACCTCGGACGGTATAAAGGTAGCCCGATTCAAAATGTATACAAACTCTTCAGCCACGACACAAACACTATTCTCCTATCTTATATCCACCCATATAGGGCAAGATTTAGCCTTCGACAACTCTACCTTGGAGCCCGTAGTACAATACAACATACCCAACGCCACCCAACTTTCCCTCCTCATGGCAACACCACCGGTAGTTCTAGTGACGGGTGCTACAGGATTTATTGGTTCACATACTGTTCTGGAGTTAATTCGACGAGGTTACCGCGTCAGAGGGGTGTCGGTGAGCGAGATTCCTTGATTGGCTATTTCCGCGATGGTAACATGACTAAGCAATGAAATGTTTAGCGCTCACGCGAAAAGTCCGAAGAATGGAATGCCTTGTATCCTCAACAGGCGACGTATATCGAATGGGTAACAATATCTTCAATAGTCGATTCGGATTCACTCGACCGCGCCTCTATAGGCGTTGATTATATCATTCACACAGCCGCACCATTCACACTTGACTTCGAGTACAACCTCGAAGACATGCTGGTTCCATCGGTAGTCGGCACTCGCAACATCATGCGAGTGGCTTCAAAACGACCAAGGGTGAAACATGTCGTGATTGTGAGCAGCCTTGCCGCGGTGGTCGACTATCGGGAGGGATTGAACCCAGAAAGGCAATATACCCCGAACGACTGGGCACCCGCGAGCTGGGAGGAAGCAGCACGTACGGATGACTCTACATATGTATGGACGGCATCGAAGGCGAGCATATTTATCAGATTTCACGTGCAGCACTAACAAGGAGGACAGATTTTTGCCGAACGCGCCGCATGGGATTTCCTCCAACAGGAAAAGCCACAATTTTTCATAACGACATTTTGTCCACCCGTTATTCTCGGACCTCCCGGACAGCCTTACGATGACTTCGACGAGCTCAACCAGTCACTTCAGCAGCAGTGGTCGATAATCAATGGGGAAGCCGCTGCCATTCCACGCGCATTTTTTCCTGCTTCGGTGGACGTTCGTGACGTGTAAGTTTTCATCAGTGGCAATTTCCGGATGGAAGAACTAATCAAAGCGATCATTTAGTGCCAGACTGCAGGTTCTCGCTCTTTCCACCCCACGAGCCCGGAACCAGCGGTACATCCCCATTTCATCCCCTTTCACTAATGGCCATGCCGCAGCCATTGTTCGCCGCGGCTTCCCCGACCAGGCACGACGAGTAACACCGGGCCCCGACGACGCTCCTCCTCGCTTCCAAGTCGATACCAGCCAGCTGATGCGAGATTTCCCAATAGAGTGGATACCCTTGGAACGCACTCTTCTGGATCTTGCCGCTGCGTTATACCAGAAGGAAAGTCAACTACAAGAAAGCGGATAATCAGGACGACATCTGTGTTTGTCAATGTTTCGCCGTCACCAGTACGCATCTGATTACGATTATATATGATCGGCCACCCGGTCGAATAGACGCATGTGTTATTTATAGCCTGCAAGCATTGTATTTCATCTAATTATTTTCACGATGAACATCATTATATTTATTGGTAGTTGACCACATATCGAGCACTGTATTAGAATGTGTGACGACAATGACGAATAAAGGAATGCCGGAGGCCGGAGCCCCAGACTGGGGTCGGATCATCGGCCGTCGCGAGACCTGATCAACTCGATGCTCCCCGAGCTTTCCAGGTTGACATAAGTCCGGGGCTCCGTAAATCACAATCACCAGACCCATTAACTTGGCAACGTGATTGGGCCAAGTAAAGATTAAGCGACGGTGTTTGCGGCAGCAGCCCGGACCATCGGCAGCACGGAAGGATTCATAACACGGGCCGGCGTGTCCGAAACGGTCCATTCGGCTCCGGGAGTCCCTGAGCAACGCCGGCCGGTGCAACTTGTAGGAGAACTCGATCACCTCCGATTGGCCCTCGATCATCCCGATCAATCCGTCCGGCCCTGTGCCCACCGCGACGACCGTCCAACACCGACTGCACGTTCACCATCTCCTCCTGCTTACTATCTATCATCCGTTCCCCGTCACATTGTATCCAATATATATCCCTGGACACATGCTCTTATCATGTTTGGCTCACCGTTCGTCCGCTTGCATATTCGTCTTCTCGCGGTTAGAGGACACAACATCGCAACAATGACTGTGAACGCGACTGGACTTTCGAGCACAGCGGGAGGTGCCAAGAGGATGCTATCCACCCGTGTGGGAAAGGTGCTGAGTGCAGCAGGTTTGCCTATTGACGGAGAAGTGGTAAAGGGTGTCTATATGGGCAAGGGTACCTGGGGTGGGAACGGAGAGGTGATGGAGAGCGTCTGCCCCAGCACCGGCGAGGTCTTGGCTAAGGTTGCGACTGTAAGTCACAACACTTAGCATATACATAGATATGCACTCTGAAACGACACAGGCTACTGCAGCAGAAACCTCTGAGGCCGTAAAGCGTGCTCGTGAAGCATATAAGACCTTCCGGAAAGTCACTGGACCGAAGCGCGGCGAGATCATTCGTCAGGTCCGCAACGCTATTGCAGAACATGCGAGTCTTCAGAACAACCTGGAAAGATCTTTAAACTTATGAGGCTGTAGAAATCTGCGCTTGGTGCATTGGTGTCATTGGAGATGGGAAAGATCATTTCCGAAGGCGAGGGAGAAATCCAGGAATACATCGATATCGTATGTCACAACCGACTGACATACATGTGCAGTGTTTCTGACCTTGTACCAGTGTGATTATGCCATTGGTCTGTCTCGCAGCGCAGCCGGACGCGTCTTGAAATCTGAGCGGCCAGGCCATCAGATTCTCGAGGGTGAGCCTCGTCCTCCGCGGTGATCAACAAATAACTCATCTGAAGCTTTCAGTGGCCAATCCTCTTGGTGTTGTTGGAATCATCACAGCCTTCAATTTCCCAGTTGCCGTATGTGGGTGGAACTTCGCCCTTTGCCTAGCGGTTGGCAATGCTACCGTGTGGAAGCCTTCTCCTACCACCCCGCTCTGTGCTATCGCGGTGACGCGCATTGTGGCCGATGTTCTGGAGAAGAACGGTATCGATGGTGCCGTTGCGAGCTTGGTCTGTGGTGGGCTGGAGGCAGGAGAGGCTCTTGTGAATGACAAAGCAGTCGATCTAGGCGAGTCTAAACAGGTATGTTGAGCTGCTTTCTCACATCTATTCAGTGAGCTTCACTGGTAGCGAGCGCGTGGGCCAGATCATCGGCACAAAGGTTCAATCTCGATTTGGGAAGATCTTGCTTGAGCTCGGTGGTAACAACTGTGCCATTGTCGCGCCTAGTGCGAATCTTGACCTTGCACTCCGCACTCTTGTTTTCGCCGCTGCAGGCACTGCTGGACAGCGCTGCACCACTACTCGACGCCTTATCCTCCATCGATCGATTGCAGACAAGTTCCTTCCGCGGTTGGTTAAGGCTTACGAGAACCTGCAAACACGTGTTGGAGATCCGCTCAAGTCACACACTCTCATCGGGCCCCTTCATACGCGGGGAGCGAAAGATACTTTCTTCAAGGCTTTGGAGCAAGTAAAGAGGGAAGGCGGTGAAATCCTGGTCGGAGGCGAGTCATACGCGCCCTCCAGCGGCGATCTAAAGCAGGGCCACTATGTCTTGCCTGCCATTGTCAAACCTGCCTCGCCGGAATCCCCCATCTTCCAAGAAGAAACTTTTGCACCCATGTTGAGCGTTGCTATCTATGACGATCTCGACCAGGCGATCGGCTGGAACAACGGAGTTAGGCAGGGTTTAAGCAGCACGCTTTTCACGACGGACATGCGCGAAATGGGGAAATGGATCAGCGAGGAGGGTAGCGATTGTGGGTTGGTCAATGTGAACGTGGCTACCAGCGGAGCAGAGATTGGTGCTGCTTTCGGCGGAAATAAGAGCACGGGGTGGGGTCGTGAGTCTGGTGGTGATGCATGGAAGCAGTACGTGCGTTGGTCGTCCTGCACCATTAACTTCACGGATGATGCGCCCCTGGCTCAAGGCGTGAATTTCGAATAAGCAATCAATTGTACAGACTGTCCCCCAAGCATAGGACTTCATAGGCAGTCTTAATGTTAACATGATGTATCTGTATGCGCCGGATATATGGCATTTACAAAGAGTGTGGTGCATTGTCTGGCGTTCCCAAGTCTGTTCGCATACTTTCCGCAAGGCTGCGGGGCTCAACGACCCAAAGCCATGCAGTTGCACTGCCTCCTTTATCTTGTTTGTCCTGCTGCGGCACTAGATCGGTGACCGGATCGGCAGACACATTGTTGGCGTGAACGCTTCGCATTTCTCGCATTATAGCGCGGATTGACATCTTGTTCGCAGTGAGCGTAGTCATACCATCTACCGCTCCCTTGAGGAATGAGCGAATGGTGTGAGCGGTGAGATGAGGCACGATGGGCTTGGCGGGGTTGGTTCGCGGGACCGATGCTTGCTCTGGGGCTGACGCAAGTACTGCCTGGCAGGTGTGGGCGAGGCGAGCGAGAAAGGCTTCGGAAAGGATCGGAGTGGAATAGGGGACATCAGAAGTGCGGACAGGTAAGCCAGGGAGATATCCAACAGGATGTCTCGACCCCTGCCAAAATGCGTTCTTGTCGGGATCATTCACCGTTGAGTCTGTGATGAACAGAGCAGCCGCACGCCGTCGTTCACCTGGCCCCCCAATTTTGGTCACGATAGATAGGCAACGCTGCATTGCCTCTTTTGTTGTCCAAAATTCGACGGCGGCATCGCTCGATGGTGTACAAGTGGGAAAGAGGATGTCGCGCATGTCTTCGAGTAGACCATCTTTCATCTCTTGCTCAAGCTGAGCTGATAATGCGCGAGAATGGTCCCCAAAGTCGCTATCTTCATCATCTTCATCCAGCTGACTGGAAATAGGTCGGTTTCTCTCCTTCCATGGACGTACAGGAGATCGAAACCGGCTATCAGCCTCAACAGCCGATTGTGGCAATGGCGCATGCGTCAAGTCCGAAATGAGCGCGATGAGGAGAGAAAGGTCCAGGTTAATCTTCCGGGTCGGCCTTAGCTCGTTGGGCAATAGACACAGCGCATCTTCGGATTCAGCAGGAGGCCATTCTCCCAGCTGAACAGTCACGCCCATTGTTCGCAGTTTATCCACAGTTTGCTGTACTCGGGAGTCGAGAACATCATTTTCACCAGACCCAATCTCTAAGCGCGTCAAGCAAATCTGTATTCGTGGGATCTCCTTCCCGCCTGGAAGTGGGTTATTTGCCGCGCCCGTCAGAAGATCGCGTGCCATGCGGAGAATGGAGTTATCTACCTCCGTAGCCGGACGTGTGGCTGCGAAGGCCCGAGATGTCGAGGCATCGCCCTGCTCTTCCTCAGACTCATCCTCAGAGATATATGAGTCGATCTCTCGAAGTTCAGCCAGGAGTCGAGAATTTTTAATGCTGAACACTGCCTTAGCAACAGCATTCATAAGCACGAGGGCGTTGACTCACGTGTTGACACGTATCCACTGACGTCCGTCATCAGCGATGATATCCACTTTCACGGAAGGCTTATCACGGCCATTTGATCGTGGAATGTTGACGTTCTTTCCGATCGACAGTATTGATGGGGGGGCACGCAACACCTCGCGCCACACCGCGAGGAAGTACTGGGCATTTGTTGAGAATGTGGACAAAGAGCGGTGCTCATTGGCGAGAGACTGAAATCTCCTCATTCTTAACGACATCAAACGAATGGAAAGAAAATTGCGCACTTTATCAAAGGTCTCAATCTCTCTTCTCACCGACCCCTCAAAGAATTTCAGGCCTGGGACCTCTGCTCCGTTCTCTCCTGGGGACTCGGGTTGAATGATTGGACCGCGCCATAGCTGGCTCGTTGTAGATAATGCTTGTATAGATGTAAGCGTTTGAACAAGCTGAGCACGTAGAGATATAAGATCGTCCAATTCCATCGTCGTATATTGGCGGCGTTGTGGACGAACAAAGTATGACAATGGATTCTGCACTGCCACATTTTCCCTGAATTTCAGCCTCGAGATTTCTGTGCCTCGCGACGAGCAGCACCACAAAATCACTGACTCGACCAGCGTCAACCAGCGGGCAACACTAGAATAAATTTAACCAGGCTGCTCTGTAAACTCGCTTCAATTTGAACGTAATCAAGGGCGACAAAAGGCACACTATGACGCTGGACGTAACAACTTTCATTGACGCGAAGGGGGGCAATGCGGAGGAGATCCGCGTGAGCCAGAAGAAGCGGTATGCCTCGGTCGAGTTGGTCGACGAGATTATCCAAATGTACCAGGATTGGGTGAAGAGTGCGCTTACTATATATGTCTTGTGGCTGCAGGTGCTGAGCAGAATATAGTGGACTATGAGACCAACCAAATGTCCAAGGCGACGAACGCTATTCAGAAGGAGATTACTGCGAAGCGAAAAGTCCGTCCAAACTCTCCCCAAAACGGAAGATAGCTAATCTCAGCCAATCTTAGGCCAAAGAGAATGCTGATGAGCTCATTGCGGATAAGGCGAAACTCGATGCGGAGATCGCTGGGAACAAGAAGAAGGTAGCGGAGGCTGAGGTAGCAATGCGTGCCAAGGCCGCAACAGTCGGGAACTTGGTATACAAGGACGTTCCTGTCAGCGACGATGAGGTGTGTTTCTCTCCTGTCTTCAACTTCCGGGTTGACTTATGGTCCGTTCAGGACAACAACGGGATTGTGCGGACATGGCACCCAGACGGACCGAATGGACAAGTCCAAAAGAAGGACAACGAAATCCTGCCTCATCACGAGGTCATGCATTGCATCGATGCTGTCGACTTGGAGCGCGGAACGAAGATTATGGGACACCGCGGATATTTCCTTATCAACGATGGGTTGGACCTCAATCAAGCGCTCATCTCCTACGGCCTTGACTTCCTTCGGAAGCGCAACTACAGGAGAATCCAAACACCGTTTATGATGAAGAAGGATATGATGAGCAAGACCGCCCAGCTGTCGCAGTTTGACGAGGAGTTGTACAAGGTTACGGGCGACGAGGACGACAAGTACCTGATCGCGACCAGCGAGCAGCCGATCTCGGCCCTGCACTCGGATGAGTGGTTTGACCAGCCGCAAACGCAGCTTCCTATTCGGTAAACCCGTCATATCATTCCTAGACGATACTCGTATCCTGACTACGGTTCATTAGCTATGCCGGTTACTCGACGTGTTTCCGCAAAGAGGCCGGTTCGCATGGGAAGGACACCTGGGGAATTTTCCGTGTGCATCAGTTCGAGAAACTCGAACAGTTCTGCATCACCGCACCCGAAAAATCGTGGGAGATGTTCAACGACATGGTCGCCACCAGTGAAGCATTCTACCAGAGCCTTGGTCTTCCTTATCGTCTGGTCGCTATCGTTTCAGGCGCACTGAATAACGCCGCGGCGATGAAGTATGATCTGGAGGCGTGGTTCCCGTACCAAGGGGCGTATAAGGAGCTTGTGTCAACGTCAAACTGCACGGATTACCAGAGCCGGAGGCTTGAGATCCGTTACGGCCTGAAACAGAAGGGTGACAGCAAGAAGGTGTATGTGCACATGCTGAATGGTACGCTCTGCGCTACGGAGCGGGCGATGTGCTGCCTTGTGGAGAACTACCAAGACGAGAACGGCATGCGCATTCCCGAGGTACTTCAGCCGTACATGCAGGGCCGCACGCACATTCCCTGGGTTAAGACGCAGCCCAAGGGATCGACGACGGTCAAGAAGATCCAGCTTGCTGAACCGGCTGCTGTGGAGGCGCCCAAGTTGTAGAAAGTAAACCAGATTGTATTTCCATTCACAGACGGGTATCCAGAAAGACAAATCATGTGCTAGCTATGCAGGGTACATTAGAGCTGATCTACTCATACTGCTGGTTCAGAATACTGATGACCATTCCAAACGATTCTTTCTCCACCTGCGTGCTCAGCGGCGCTTACCGAGCACCTTGAGCAACGCAGCGCGGATGACACCAGCAGCCTTCTCGGTCTCCTTCCTCGATAAGCCTGCTGTGACAGCGATCTTGATACTCGGCCTAGGCTCTAACGCCTCTTGCCCACGTAACCGTTTCACACGGGAGATCAGCACGCCCTGTGCAAGTGCCTCGTCCACCACGTCCTGCAGCAGTCTTTCCTCCGACTCGATGTCGAACACGTCGGGGTCGGCGGGAACCAAGCTGTTAGGCTTGGACTTGTTCGTCTTGCGTGCGATTCCGTTTGGCACTTCCAGGGTTGCGGGGCTGTTGCGCACGTAGATGTGGATTAGCGGCGAGGCGGGATGACTGGGGATCTCGATGCACTCGAGCCTGTCAAGTACCCCGCGTACGACACGAACGTTTTCAACCAGTTCTCTGAGGCAGCCAGGGTTGTCGCGGAGGATGCCGATGGCCTCGCTCGCGCTCACTGCCAGCAGGGCGGGCAATGCGGCAGAGAAGACGAACGCGGTACCGTTGTCCCGCTGATGCTCAGTCACCACGTGGGATCCTGCGCAGAAGCCGCCGGCGGAGTTCAGCCCTGTCGCCATGGAGCCTACGAGCATATCGATATGCGTCGCGGGGACGTTGTACAGCTCGGTCAGGCCACGACCAGTGCGACCAACAGAACCAAAGGAGATGGATTCATCCAAGACAAGCCGGTACTTGAACTTCTGTTTTAACTCAATCTGCAGACTCGTATGTAAGCTCAAGGGTAACCATGTTGGCATATATAACGCGTACCAGCTTGGGAAGATCAACCATCTGACCGTCGTTCTCGAAGACACCCTCGGAAACGATGAATCGCCGGGTAAGTGGTGCACGCTTCTTCTTCATCTCCTTCTCCACGCTGACCAGCACCTCCTCCAGACTCGCAAGGTCATTATGATCGTACCACCGGACGGTGGTGCGACTTATCTGGATACCCTTCTGGAGTGCAAAACTGACGCCACGATCAGCGACGATGATATCGCCGCGCTTGCAGAATGCCGGGATGACGGACGAGGCGGTGGAGAACGCTTGGGAGTAGATGATCGCGCTCTCGCTCCCAAGAAAGTTGGCCAGATCCTGTTCGAGCTGCATGTGCACGTCGATTGTTCCGTAGAACCCGGGGGGACCACACGAGCCTACACCATACTTGCGTAACGCGCCGATTGCCTGCTCCTTGATATGCTCGTTCCCCGCGAGGCCGGCGAAGTTGTAGCTCGTTAGGTTGAGAACCGTCTTCCCAGACTGCATCAACTTGACCTTTGGCCCTGCTGGACCAGAGATGATCGGGAGCGCGTTCAGCTGTGCCTGTTCTGCGGGGCTGAGGGGGGCGACAAGCGGCTCAGGGACCCAGTCGTCGACAAGCTCGTCGATTTCGGACTCGCTCAGCTGGACGTAGTTCTTCGCTGCCCTGTCTGCACGCGTACGTGATTGAAGGATCGTACGAAGAGCAAAGAGTAAGAGGATAATCTCGAGCAGAGTGCGCAAGGGGTCATTTTGATAGGACGAGCGAACGTAGCGGATGAGGATGGATGAGCCTGGGATGGAAAGAAACGAGTGGTAAAGATACGACAGCGAGGCGTTGACATAGTTGAGAACGGGTTCGAGTGCTTGGGAGTTGTCCGCCATCACTGCCGTGCTGTTCAACGCCGTTGCCATCGTTGTCGTCGTCGAGAGGAAAGAGCGGTGGGTTGGTCGACGAGGTCGTGCGGGAACATCGCAGCGGAGAAGTCCTTTCCTTTTCTGCCTCGGACACAAAAGCAGCACGTAAGCACGGTGACATTCTCATTCCAAGCGATACAATTTCATGACAATAAAATGCTCCAATATACAAATGCAATACGAACAAACATAAAATGACAGTAAGCGATCAGTTAAAATCCACTTTGAATACCTTGATTATTCCAGCACGATCGGCACTGATAACCCCTCCTCTGAAAGGACTGTCGATACAGGCGAGTGCAGTGATACAGTCCTGGTGCGCACGGAGAAGCTGCTGCTGGTGCTGGCCGATAATCATATGCCTATCCAGGCGACCCCTCCAAATCGCAGCACCAAGCCGCGAACCCCATGCCTCGGTATATGTGCCCTGCTCGCTCGCGCTGAACGTTGGCTTCTCTCCGTCCGCGCTCACCCCGCTGATAAGGAAGGAACGGCTCACTCGCCCAAGATCCCAATACCGCACCTTGCGGTCCTCGCATCCTGTAATGATGAACCCCTTGGCCTCCTTGTTCTTGCTGGGGTAGAGATGGGAGCGTCGCTCGCGTCGGATTCCTTCTTCCTCCACAACACCTGCAGTCTGCTGCGCAAGAGCGGTGAAACCACCAAAATCTGTACCAACAAGGATCGCCCGCACATCGGGGCATGAAGGGTTCAAGTCTCCAGGAAGAGCAGCGTTGTTCGCCCGCGGACTCCGGATCGTCTCGTTTGTTACTTTGCGTTGTCCTGTCCCGTTCGCCTCCCTCGAAGCGACAAAATCTGCGATGGCTGATGCGGGGTTCTTCTCCGCCTCGTTCCCTTTGGTTCCAAGTGCTGGGATTGACGTCCCGTCCGCCTCTGCACTGGCAGCATCTTGCGTGTGGATAAACATCTCGACAAGCGCAGCCTTGTCGACGTCCCATACTTCAAGAGTGACACTCCTCAACGGCGCGCCCTCGCTGCTTCGCGTCGGGTGCGACTCTACCGCGACGATAATCCACTTGTCACGCCCCTTCACAGGATGAAGCACACATTGGTGTACCGCCGTAGAGGACCCGCCATATAGGTCAGCACTGGCGACATTCCAGCTTCTCAGACGGAGTCCGAATCGAAGGTCCCAGAGAGTAAGTACACCGCTGAGAGTACCAGTAACAAGCCAGGCCCGCCTTCGGTCGATGCATAATGTCGAGATAGGACCATACTGGGTGGGATTGACCATATGAAGCACGGTTTCCATCGTCCGAACATCCAATACGACAATGTTGCCAAGGGTCGTCGCATACACGAGGTTCGACGTGGTATCCGCATTGTAGTGCGTCATGCATGTAATATAATCGCCTGGTGCTTCCAGGCGGTGTTCTCGCACAAGTTGTGCCCTGCCATACTTGGGCTGAGAGCCACCTGTTCCCACATGAACCCGCACAACATGAAGTGACCCATCATCCGCAGCGCTCGCAAAACAATGAGTATTCTCCAGCATGCAGATGCATGTAACACGGGCGTGATGACCCGTGTAAATATGGCGAGGCTTGCTGGTCACGTTGTTAGCGAGGCGCGAGGTGTCCCAAATTTGTACCGTCCGATCGTTTGAGCAAGTGACGAAGAAGACATGGTCGGGCGCAACAGCTATGCCGTTGACCGCGCCCGTATGGCTGGTTAAATGCGCCACTAATGTGACATCCGTTCGTCGAGAACTGCTCTCATGCGGTGGGAAGCTAGCCCGAGCAGCGGCACGCCGGCGAACAGGGACATTGGGGACGCGAGGACCAAATTCGGGGATACTTTCTCGAAAGTTGTCATGATAAAGACCTTCAATGATGTTCTTCACACCATTCTCTTGGTTGCCCCACATTCCGGTGGTCAACGTGGGTGTTTGGTAGCGCATTCGAGATTCTGGCCGAGATGTCGGGGTAGGTGACGATCGCCCCGATGGGGGCAGCTCGTCCTCGGGCCGTATCTGAATAGCTGTTTCCAGGTGCCCCATAGCAATCGTCTTACTGGGACCTATAGCAGGTGGGGCCTTGTAGTTCTCAGCATGTCCAGGGATACGTTGCATCCTGCGAATGGCGGTCGCATCACTTGAAAAGTTCGATCCTGCAGGACTTGAGGATAGCGCAGGTTCGGGTTTCGGCGATTTGATCATTTCAGATGTTAGGGCGCTTTGCACGGAGACGGCCGAAGACTGCCGCTCAAGTCGACCAGACGGCGGCATGAAGTTGAGCGAGGTCGATGAAGCAGACATCAGCTCCTTCATCCGGAGACCGCCAATCGGACTGCCAGGTGAGTTGGTGGCTGAGGGAGAAATGGGTAAACGGACGCTGGAGCGCATAGAGTTGTGGAGAGCAAGATCGCTACCAAAGCGACGAGCCGACTCTGGTCGAGAACTACTCTCGGAAGGTCGAGAACCTAAGAAAACGGTTGTTGGCCGTACTCCAAGTTGCTGTAACTGCACATCCACGCCCTTCAACAGCTCTAGGACATCGCTTTCTATGCGGGCGCGGGTCATATGTCCGCCTTGTGCCGCAGCAACCTTGAGTATGTAATCGCATAGAGAAAGGATCTTGGCCTCATCAGAAGACGTCATGCCCAGCTGTTGCAGCTTGACGATCTGACTCTCATCCCTATTGAACACGTCAGCTTTATCACAAGCATGAAGAATAGATATCCTCACTCGTCAGATCGGGGGACTAGTGCACGACTTGCAGAAGCTGTCACTCGACGCAAACTTTCTTTGCCGATGTCTGTTCGCGATTTCGCGTCTCTCGAAGTTGCTGCTTTCCAGAACAGGGAGTGATCCCTCTTCGTTGCCCATATGACAGCAGCATCGAATACTTGTCTGGACAGCTAGAAAAGATCATGTGAGACGAAGGCCTGAAAGAGCTGCGGGGAGACTTACAGGAGCCTTAATGGCTGACAGCAGGGAGATCTCGTCAATCTCTGCCACATCAGACCGCAGTAAGGGCCGAAGAGAAGGGTATAAGATTGCCCACACATCGATCGCCGGGAGATGCTTGGCAGCAGAGGCTAGGAAAGCCGCAGCCCCTTGCTTGATCCACACATTCGGGTGGTACAGAAAGCCGATGGTCGCGCTCATTAATTCCCATAGACGCATCTTTCCAAACAAGCTCAGATTAGACAGGCTTGTAAGCGATGATAGCACACGTGCGACGACGGCCTCTTCGGTATCTGTGCCACAGATGAGCGACGAGTCATCTTGTGCTTGACATATGCGTACCCGATAACGCCTGGATCATTAACGGCAAGATGTACTCCTCCAGGCTCCTTGCTCCTACGCACACAGCAAGCCCAACGATACAGTCAAAGAACGCATAACGAAGCATCCAGTCCCGACCATTCAGGAAGGTGATCATGTGACTCAGCAATACATCGTTCGTCCTCTGTCGACCGAAGAAGACACATAAGGGAGCGATGTTCTGCAGGACGGCTCGCTTGACCGCGCTGGAGGAGTCGACCAGAAGCGCGATAAGTTCCTCTTGAATGATCGCTTGTATGTCTTGCAAGCCGGCGTCGTATGTGCGCTGCAGAGCCGTTGAGTAATCTAATACTTGAGACTGCACCAAACGCACATCTTGCAACGAATCCTCCTCGTCACCATTCTCTGGTAACCGCAAATTTCCCTGCATCTTCATAGCCTGGTCCATCTCCAGATACCTCACACCTGTCTCAGCTAGTGCGACAATGCACTGCGCATACATGCAACGGATCGAGACTTCTGGATCTCGTGCTAACTCCATGACATTCGGGAATATATATTCAGGGAATATCTGAGCGTTCGAGGGTGTGATAGATTGCACGGTCATGAGCTGTTCAATATTAGCAAAGAACTCGTTCATCCAGGAAAAAGGTGCTCACAATCTGCATGAGTGTTCGCACGGACGCAGCCCGGACCAGTGCAGAATCGTCACGTAACATGTCCACAACATAAGGCACCATGCGATCGAGTTTGGCTTCATCCGTCAGCTGTGGAGTCAGCGCGAGTAGCAAGTCCAAGGCCCGGACTTTCGAGCTGGCATGAGCACAGTTACGGATGTTAGCGCAAACGATGGAGAGGATGATCAAGGCAGGTCCATCTTTCATTCGTCAACGGTGCATCCATATGTCAACTAGAGGCACGTACTGGCTGTTGCAGCTTGCCTAGCAGGCTTTGCAAAATCAAGTGAGATGTCCGGTATTTGCACTACAACAGGGAAGACGTTCTGTTTATGTTCAGGATCGTTTGTACTAAGCACGGAAAGTGACACGCACCGAATATGATGTTCTCTCTTGTGTCTGCTCCCCGTTTCTCAGCTCCATGATCGTTGCCTCCCCGTCGCCCAAATACGGTTCCACGCTCTCCCACTCCTCCCACAACCTATCAATCCTCCGATCAGCATCACTCGGCAGCTTCTGCTCCTTCTGGTCTGGCCGGCCGGGTGTCTCTGTTCCCTCTGAGGCGGAAGGCGCGTAGAATGGGGACGATACAGGCTCGTTGAGTGAGGCGATATAGTGGTGGAAGAACGTGTAGAAAGACTCGGGAAAGACGGTGTCCCGTGCATCGGCGAGCGCTTCATCAAACGTTGGGCGGAGGAAAGGGTTGAGCGACATCATGCGCTTTACCAGTGCCTGTCGCTGGATCAGCACGGCATACAGGAGTACGCAAGTGAGAACGTACTCGAACACCTTCATCAACGATCTCTCCCAAATGCGCATCCAGCCCTAGATCACCGGCCTTATACTTAAATAACTGACTCAAGCTGAACACCTGCCTCCCATCCAAGAACATCTCCGCCAGCACACACCCGGCGCTAAACACGTCCATCGCCTCCGTGACCTTGCTCTCCCTCTCCTTATGCTTCCCAATCGTGAACCGCTCGGGGGCGATGTAGCATGTCCGCCTACCTGAAGTGTCGAAGTAGAAGGAGAAATCAGAGGGGTCGTCTTCCGGCAAATGGACGGGCTTGAACTGAGAGGAGAAGTCGGTGATAAGCACCCAGTTCCAGGATGTGACGAGGACGTTTTCTGATTTAAGGTCGCCGTGCGGAATCTAGAGACTTGTGAATACATTCCCTTCTAGAATGAAGTCACAACTCACGTTGCGCATCCGAGCGTCTCTCATACCGCTCAGTATCTGGAATGCCATCCACTTCTTCTCGATCATACTCAGAAACGGCCGTGTGCTGACCAATGTTAGCCTCACATCTCCTTCGAAGCAGTTCGACTCACCTAATCCGGTCATACAGGTTGCTACCTACCCACTGTCGGATCAAGTAACCCGCTCTCTCCGTCTCCGCGAATGTCTGGTACCCGTATACGTTCGGTAAATCCGCGAGCGTCTCCCTTTCCGCTAAAATTGCCAATCAGTCGCCCTCTCATCGCCCACGAGATCACCAGCTCACCCTTCAGCCGCCTATGATATCCCTTGAGCCCAATACCAAGATCAGGCTTGATAAAAATCTTCACGACGACCGGTCCATTCCTATGCTTCGCCTTGACAGTCTTGAGGAATCGCGCAGTGCCCATACTCTTCTCGTACACTAAGCCGCCACCGAGCTCTAGGACGTAGCTGTCGAGCGCACCGCCTGGGCGTGCGGCAACGGTTGTAGAGAGTTGGTTGCCCATTATTGAGTATGTTGTGGGAGATTAATGGGGGAAAGAGCGCATAGGAGGTATACAGGTGCGGACGATACGAGCGCCCCCTTATCGGAGTTAAGTCAGGAAACGATTATCCCGCAGCTTTCCAGAAGCCACAGAGTAGTGAAAGCAGAGAGTAGTCTAGCAGATTCGAACGTAGGTGGTAATTAGTCTAGCTTGAGATTGTTGGCAAAAAGGACTGATGCGTATACGCCAGTGCTCAATGTGTGTGGTGGTTGATGGCGCTCAGCAGCATTCAGGAGCGCACAGCGGAGGCTTTCAACGTCATCTCTACAATCGAGCGACGCGACGCGTAGTACTCCTCGAATTATTCTTCACTGAACGGCCTATGTACACAATCTAACAAATCGAAGGTAAACTACGACACGACTAGCATAACTGGTTATATTCTAATGAGTGGGGTGTATCAGTCGCATATCACGTTCCCGGGTATAGGGGTGCAGTAACTACATCAAGTCCTGCGCAACGCGACTGCCGCGTGGGAGCCAGCCGATCTCAACTGTATGTCTAATCCGTAACAGGGGGCTTGTTCAGACTATGCTGTACTTCGTGCAGGCGCTGCCCAGACTGGTTTCATAGTTAATTTACGGCCAGGGAGGACATAGAGACAGAACTCACCAGATATTGTCGGATGCTCTCGAGACTCGTCTCTACGATCGTGTTAAGGGCGTCACGCGTCAAGAAGGCCTGATGCGGTGTGATCCTTCGAACGGACTTTTCAGCACTCTTCTCAAAGGGGAAAAAAAAGAGATACTCACAAAACCTGAGGCAACAACAACAGCCTCCCAAGGTTGTCATCATGTATGCCCGCCTCCCTATGATCATGGAAGAAGATCTCCGTCTCGTTCTCATACACGTCCATGCCAGCAGCACCGACCTGACCCTGCCTCAGCCCCTGGAGCAGCGCCTCCGAGTCCACGAGGCCTCCGCGAGCTACATTCAGCAACGTGAACCCACGTTTGCACTTGGCGATAAACTCGCGGTTTACCATCCTCTTCGTGTGCTCCGTAAGGGGGCAGTGGAGAGAGATCACATCGCACTCCGGAAGCAGCTCGTCGAGCGTGTCGACGTAGGTGATACCGGGGGTGTCCAGAAGGGATGGATTTTTGTAGATGTCGCTGCATAGGACGCGCATGCCGAACGCGCGCAGTATCGTCGCAACGATCGCACCCGTCGCGCCTGTGCCAATGACACCGGCGGTCTTCCCATACAGGTCCCAACCAACAAGACCATCCAGGGAGAAGTCACCGTGGAGCATCTGCAGCTTTCTTGAGCTTATCGCCCTCTCTCTCAGTTGAAAAAAGGCTGACCTTAGACGACGCGCGATGTATCTTCCTATTTACGCCCAGGAGCAGGCCGACAGCGAACTCTGCAACCGCATGCGGAGAATACGCCGGCACGCGCGTGACCGTGATACCGTGCTTGGTGCACGCTGCGACGTCGACACCGTCGAATCCGGCACAGCGCAGGACAACGAGACCAACACCGAGCTGGGCGAGGGTCTCGGCGGTCTTGGCGTTCAGCTTATCGTTCACGAAGATGGAGACGATCTAGTAGTCCTGCCTCAGTATGAAGGAGAATGAGTGAGATGCACGTACATTGAAGCCCTTGGCTTGGTTGACAGTGTTTTCACTCAACAAGTCAGAGGTGGGTACGATCTCGAAAGGCGACTCGTCCTTCTCGATCTGATACTCGTACGCGTTTGTGCTCCACTGCTTGGAGGCGTACATGAGGATGCGTTCTTTAGCCATGTTGTTGCAGTTGAGGGTAAGTAAAGCTCTGAGGGTGTGAGTTGGTCGTCAAGAAATGCCTAGATATATGTACTGTCCGTCCTGTGATACCGGACTGAAAGGCAGACAGGAGGCTTGCAGTGACTCCATCGTTGATGAACGCGGTGCTTTCGCCGCCGTTGCTTCAGGGTTCCGCTGTCTTTCGAGGGCGACCCGCCTCTCACGTGTCAGGGGGCGTTCCTTACCCCGCACTCCTGGCTTCCTCTTTCCTTTCCAGGCTTACATACAAACGGCCCCCATCCCTGCCTCTCCTCAAGCAACGTGCCGTCGCCCACCTGCTCTCATGATTAGACTAGTACAGCCCTATTACTGGCAGGCGTAACAGCGTACACAATTGAGAAATCGGCCATGTCGGCCTACGGGGAGACGGCCCGGATACCCTCCAGTGGACCCTCGGGGTGAATACATGCCGTTGCCGACCGGTGACACCTCCAGCAAAGCGAGCCATAAAAGCAGAGACCATCTTATAAACTGGACGGAGGTTGCCCGTTTCACTGTTCACTCTTACACTTTCTGAAAGAAACAAAGCGACATGGCCGGTCAGATGAATAACAAGCTTCTCCAGACCTTGCGCGCAGGCAAGCAGACGTTCGGTATCTGGCAGATGATCAACAGTCCTGCTATTTCACGCACGCTGTCCCTTCTCGGTCCAGACTGGATCTGCGTCGACTGCGAACACGGTACGCTTCTGTTTGTTGTACCATTCCGGGGGCATACTGATGGTGATATAGGGAACATCGACGATGCTGGCATGCACGAGGCGATCCACAACATCCGTGCGCCCGTCACACCGCTGGTGCGCATCCCCGACAACCAGAACGTGTACGTCAAGCGCGCTCTGGATGCGGGTGCACAGGGTCTCTGCGTACCCATGGTCAACACCGTTGAGCAAGCGAAGTACCTCGTGGAGTCTGTCTACTTCCCCCCACAGGGCAAGCGCGGTCTCGGCTCTCCCTATGCTATGGCTTCGTACGCATCTAATGGTGTCGCCCCGAGCCTCGGAGACTATTTCTTCAATGCGAACGCGCAGATTCTCCTTATGGTCCAGATCGAGACGGAGGAAGCGGTAAAGAACGTCGACGAGATCGCTGCGCTGGAGGGGGTCCACATGCTCATGGTCGGGCCGTTCGACCTGAGCAACTCCCTCGGCGTGCCCCTGGTGAGGGGAGAAACCGACAAGCTCAAGGAGGCTATTGGCAAGATTCAGGCGAGCGCGGAGAAACATGGCAAGTGGTGCGGGATATACAGCACGAGTCCCGAGGACGCGGCGCGCCGTGCTAGAGAGGGATGGCATTTCATCGCTCTCGGCAGCGAGATGAGCTTCCTCCAGACCGGCATTGTCGACGGGCTGAGGATTGCGCGTGGAGGCGAAACCAAGCAGAGCAAGGAGGTCCCCTACTAGTGGCATGTATAAGATCGTGTCTGAAATCAAGTGCATTGCGTCTATTCATGATTGAGTATTGTGGTTAAGGCTATACTTGTGTCTAACGTATTATTCAGTGATACAGTCCTTGCAGAACGCGCCCCAACCACCATGCGTCATCCTGATCTAATCAGTTGGAGCATACTTGCTCTTTCTCCGCAACCTTGCACCCCATACTCGGAGAACGAACGGAATAGGGATCATCAGCACCGCCAGGCAGCCCAGGAGGGTAGATGCCCATCTCGGGTTGAGCCGGTTGTACATCTGTGTTGCGAACAGGGGGAAGGCTGCACCGAACAGACTACGTACGATGGTCGATGACGCGAGGGCCGAAGCGGCGACCATCAGATATGCATCGATGATGTAGTTGAATAAGCTCAAGAATATGAGCACGACGCCGAGACCAAGGAGTGAGGTGGCCATCATCGGGCTCCAAAACGAGATACTGGGGAAACTCGTCCACCCGAACCAGAAGAATCCGATGGCGAAAATGGGCGCGCCGATGAAGGCCATCTCTAGCCTGTACTCTGGTGGTACGGCTTTCGGGGCGAACCGCTCGATGTGCTTCTCGTATCGGGGATTGAAGAGGAAGAGATAGCTAGCTGCGCCTGTGCAGCCGCCGAGGAAAAGTGGGAGGAACATCAGCCCTGAAGTACCCTCATCCATGTGGTGCCCGAGAGTGAAGACAATCGGGAAGGCTTCAAACAGAAGGTAGATGCAGCCGTAGACGAAGGACATGTACAACGTGATGAAGAATAGCATCGGCTCCCGGATAAGCATCTTGAAAGGTCGGCCGAAGATCAGGTATGCCAACCTCCGAGGATTCTTCTCCATGACTTCGAGGGCGGAGAAGTATCGTGTATCACCGGTCTTCTTCCTCAATGCACGCGCCTTGCGGGTCAGAAGCGTGGGACTGTACATGAAGATCAGTACGTCGTCATGAGATGTGAGCAGACGGGACACTTACGCAAACGTCTCTGGGACGGTGAACACGATGCCAATGGTGCAGGCTGCAGCGAAGAAGGTCAAGACCCAGAAGAGCCACCTCCAATGAACACCAGCCACCGTCATGTAACCGCTGACAATAGGTCCCAGCGCTGGGCCGGCAAAAGGTGCCAAAGCAAAGAAAGCGATTGCTCGGCCTCGATTGTCGGGATCCCACATATCAGCGAGGATGGCACCTGCGTTTGTGAGTGGACATGCGGCGCACAGACCACCCAGGAAACGGAAAGCGATGAGCGCACCCGTGTTCGGCGCTACGGCACACGCGACTTGGAAGATGGTGTATAAAGTGAACGCGATTATAAAGATGGGCCGACGGCCGACGGCTTCAGATAGCGGAGCCCAGAAGATGGGACCGACGCAGTATCCCAGGACGAAGATGGCGATGAGGAGAGTTGCTATTTCGGTGGACATGTTCCAATCTACGATGAGTTGAGGTAGGATTCCTGATGGTGCAGATGACGCGAATGATCTGATTCAGTAGTCAGCAGGGAAACTCCGTGCACTCGACAACCAGAATACTCACGCATTGAAGACGAGGAGGCTACCGAACACGGTGACGTACCATCTTTTCAACTTGCTCCAATTCTTGGGGTTTTCAGGGTCGTCCGGGCCATCCCAGTGTACGAGGAACTGGCTTAGCTTCTCGTTGAGTACCTCTGGAGGACGCTCCTCGTCGACCATGAAAACCTCGCCGATGTCGGCAGCGCTCCGGTCGGGATCGGCCCATGGCTCGGGAAGCGCTAGGCCAGAAGGACGCGACGGACCCGAAGGAACGACGGTGCTGTCATTGGATCCGATAGAGGCAGATGGTGAGGGAGGTCGAAGTGTCACCTCCGGTACTCTCAGCTCGGGAGTTGTGGTCGGTATCGACGACATGCTGAAATGCGGACAGTGATGTTCTAGATGAACTCGGAAATTACTCGCGTTGGGCAAGAGTGGGTGTTGACCTCAAAGCGCAGAAGTGTTATGGTCAAATCCATTCCCTACATCCCGCATGTGTATATATGCCCATATACCTCAAGTCTTTACTTGTTCGCACAACGTCAGCGGACAAAAGCGAGCGGTGCTTTGACTCGTCAACATCCCCATGCCGCGGAACGGCTGCGCTGCAGACAGCGATAGGCAGGATGAGGAGCTGCTTTTTCTCGTGGGACAAAATGAGGACCATTCAGTGGGTGGCCTGCCTGTTTCACGCTTCGAGCGCCCAGCGCGTACCCGACAAATTGTCATAGCCGGAACAGAACATGACGATGACTCAGCGTCGGGATCCCTAGGCGGCTCGCGCATTTGCACATGCTTGTAGATTTCGGAGATTTTTCAGCGGAAGTTCGGAGCAGAAAGGGAATATAGAATCGTCCAGAATGCTTGGGACCACCAGATAAAGATGGGACGGTCGTCGGGGACGCAGCGTGGTAAGTGCGCAGAAGCGTACAAACTTTCGAAGGTAGGGTAAGCTGACGTCATGGTGAAATGTGTCTTAGCCATGTGATTTCAATTACCGGAGCCGAACGACGGATAAATTTCGCAAGCTCTACTTGCTTCTTTGCCTTTAAATTTCTCCTCATGTTTTCTTACTTTAATCAACTGGAAATTTGCAAGCCGATGACTCGTTGGCTTTACGCTTGCACCGAAGTCTACCCTGACATATTTCTGTTATCTAGGGCCATGAGGCGTTGTGTCACAAGGACGACGACATCGTGCGCAGGTGCCCGGAGGCCTTGATACCGATGACTGCTCTGCTCTCCGTCCTGTTATCACCACGGAACTTCCAGGACTGTGGAGGTTACACTGCGTATCCATTTCACTTCTGTATGGCCTACTTGTATGAATACCATCCGAGCCGGATACGATCTGCCATGCTTGTGGAGTCCAGTCACCCCCCTCCGACTGGCCCAATGGGCGCTAGTGCGCACTCTCCGTGAGCTCACGACCTCCCCCTTCCAGCCTGATGGTCATAGTCGCTTCTCACCGCCTGCTCAGGTCTTCTGACCCCATCCCGCCTCTCCCATTCAGGAGCTTTCCTGTACTGTTCTCCCGACCTGACTGGTGGCCTTTCCCTTTCGGAGCTACGCCTGGCGTGTTGTTCCGTGGGACGGGCTGATTCTCTCCTTTCCCATTCTGCGGCTGGTCTGTGATGCTCTGCGGGCCTGTTGTGCTGCTCTGTTGACTGACGTTGTTGTTCTGTCGACCTGCGAGGTTGCTCTGCCGGCCTGTATTGTTGCTCCACCGCTCGGCGCTGCTGCTCTGATGGCCTGGACTGTTGTTGCTGCCCTGCGGTCCTGGGTTGTTGTTGCTCTGCGGTCCTGGGCTGGTATTGCGCTTCCGGCCTGTATTGTTGTTGCTCTGTGGGCCTGTGTTGTTGTTGCTCTGCAAGTCTGTACTGTTGTACTTCAGTCGGTTTGTGCTGCTGCAGTTCTGTCGGCTTGTATTGTTGTTCTGCCGGCCTATACTGCTGTTCCGACGGTCTACGCTGATGTTCCATTGGACGGCGCTCCACCGGTCTGTTGTGCTGTTCTATCGATCGGTGCTCTTGCCTGCTCTGTTGTTCCGTCGGCCTAACATCCTCTCTCGTCCAGTTTGCAGTAACGGGCTTGCGATGCGCTTGGGGGAGTTCCGGGAGCAACTTCTTCTCCTTCCTCTCCCAGTCTGCACCATGCCTCTCCCCCCCACCCTTTTGGACCAGCACTTCCTTATCATCTTCGTCCACCCTCAGCCTCTTGATGTCTGGATACGAGAGCAAGGAGATGTTCCTCTTCAGCTGTGCTTGGCGCTTGCGCCTATTGCGCCGGTGCACGAGGCACAGGCCGAGGATGGCGAACACCATCGCCCCGCACACTCCGCCAACGACGCCTCCAATAATGGCTTTGGTGTTCGCCGTGCCCGCATTTGATAAGGACGTAGCGACAGGTCCAGCATATGGGGAGGCCGTGACTGCATACTCCCCGCTCTGCAGACAGGAGGTGTTCCCCGCCTGCACGGTCGTCAAGCCGGAGACGAACAACTGGCCATTGGCGTCGGAGACGACGTATGCGAGCTCAGTCTGATCCGGTACAGGCATGGGCCATAATAGGGTGTACATCGTTGGTGGGGTGAACTCTGGGTCGGTATTGTTGGAGGTGGCGTTGCTGAGGGGAGACTCGACGATGAAGCTGTCACCACCGGGGATGACGACCTGGATCTGGACGGGGAGGGCAACGTCGTAGAACACGCTTTCCATCGTTGTGCACTCTACGGGAGGGTCGGTCCAGGTAGGCACGAGCGTGAGGTAGTCGGTGTTCGTCGTATTGGTGAGGCAGCTACCATCCCCTGTTGGAGAAGACTGCACGGTATAGAGCGCGCTTGTGCCGCCCGAAGCCCACCCTTCTCCGTCACTTGCTACGACGACAAGAGGGGCACCGGAGGGGAAGGGAAGGACGAAATCCAGTTGGACCGTGTCGTTCGCATCTGGGGTGATGTCCACTCTTTGCCCTACACCCCAGTCGGTGTAGTTCACCCCTGTGCCGGCGAGAGCGAGGAATGTAAACGTGTGCGGAGCGACACCTCCAGACCAGTTGAGAGTTAGAGAACCGCACTGTGTGGGATAGGAAGAGACCGTGAAGTTCCAGGAGGCCTGCGCTTGCGCGAGCAGCGGGAGGACGAGGAGGTGGAGCAACGCTCTGCGAGTGGAGGACAACATTGTCGGTGGTATGATTTGAGGTGAGAGGTGGGACAGACGCCTCAGCCAGCATCGTCCTCCCTCAGCCAGAGCATTTAACACCCAGAGAGTAAGTTCGTGTCATACGATGACGCAGGCATCTGAAGTCCGCCTTTCAGCAAGCAGAAGCACAAAAATAAAATTGCGTAAATGTCTGCCCGAGGACACTAGTGCGCTGTCGAGCTCGCTGGCTGCATGGGAGGGAAAGAGGCTGAAATTGCTGACGAGCTGGAGGAAAGGTGGTGCCAGTCGTGTGAGATGTTATATCTGTGCTGGCTGGGGACCGAGAAGAGCGGGGAAGCAGTAGGGATTTTCACAGAGGTTCGTCGCCTGGGTGAATTGAACACCTGGAGCGTGGCTTGATAGAGAGTGACCTCTCTATCAGGCTTCAGAGCGTGGCGTACGTTTTGACTTTCAAGACTGCTGCACCCGCTGTTGCATTGCCAATTTGCTATCTCGTCCATTATCGGTAACCAGAAGCTGCCGGAGATACCATTTTCCTAGATCTGGTCCATATCGGCTCACTGCGCAGTATCGCAATATCAGATCATATATGTTACATCAAGGAAAAAGATCTGCAAGAATCGGAGGTTTGTTTAAGCAATCTGGCGTTGACGGGGGGGGGGGCTATATTTATCTGTTATTGGTTGAGGATAAATGATGGGCGATCGGCACGTTATTCGTAAGGCGGGCACTGGATAGGATATTGGAGAACTGCACAGTCCATATAAGTAGTACTTAGAATGGCGGTAAAGAGAAGAGAGTAGTGATACGCCTCCTTGACTCTCCTTATTAACCAGAAGTTACCAATAATATAATGCACAGCCCCCCGCTCCATCATCATGTGCTGGCTGACCGCCCTTTTCATCCGCACCGTCTCCGCAATATATCTTTGGAACGGGCAATTGTCACCCATCAGCAAGTCGCCGAACGACGCCGACGGCGCATATATTCAGCTCATGACGGCATACATTCACTTCTGACCGTCGTACATCCACCTGCTCAATCATCTGCTCAACCCTGATCGTCAGGAAAGACCCTTTCGTTCTCTTTTCCATCATACGCAGCTCAACAACGACCATCAACATGGCGGCAGCGTATATCCTCCCTTTCGCCATCATCCTGCCCCTCCTCATTCGATCTATACATGCTTGGACGTTCACGATCCAGAACTACCCCACCCAGTGCATCCCGTTGACATGGATCTGGTCTGGCGGTACAGCACCACACAACTTCAGCCTCGTCGCGCTCTCCGGGATCCAAACACCCTTTGCCGACTGGACATCTGGAACCGTAGCGGAGTTCAACGCGGACGAGATCTGCGGCTCAGACAATACATGCAGCATCGATTTCATGTGGCCATCTGGCACACCCCTCATCATGGTCGGGAGCGACTCTACAGGGTTCGCTTCGGGAGGGACGAGCGACGTGTACATTGTACAGCCCTCTCCGAGCAACGACAATAGCTGCGTGCAATCTAGCACGAACAGCAGCTACCTCGTGACTGTGCCCCAGTGGACAGACCCACCTATTCAGTGCGGGCAGATGCTCTCTGCCTTCCAAAGCATCCAGTGGCCTCCACAGATAAAGGTCATCATCCCCGGTGGAGAGAGCAGTGTCGTCGAGAGCCCTCAGGTCAACAGCACCGACACTACCGCTGCGCTGCTCTTCTGGAACATGACCGTGCCGGCAGGGACGAACGTCGTCTATGTGGTGGAAGACGCGAACGGCCCCCTATTTGTCAGTGGACTTCGGACGGTGCAGGCGGGCAGCTCTGCATGCATACAGGACGGTGCATATTCATCGACCGCCGGCCCCCCCGCCGGTGCCCTTAGCACAATACCTCCGTCCAGCTTGTCCAGCAGCGGGGGGCACACCAACGCTGGTGCCATCGCTGGAGGCGTCATTGGCGGTATCATCGGGCTCATCCTGCTCATAGCGCTCGTGATGTTCCTTATGCGGAGATACAACCAGCGCAAGATGCTGGCGAGGAGGCAAACGATTGGTCTCGTGGCATATGCCGCTACTCGGCCGGAGAGGCTGGAGAGATCGACCTGGCCCGAAGGGCAAAGGTGGGAAAGGTACAAGGACGAGCCTGGGCGGCCGAGTGGCGAAGTGCTCTGAACGGACCCCAGCAACAGCTCACGGTTGGAACAACGCCCGATATTCGTAGAGGGAAAGAGGGAAGGAATCGGTGACAGAAATCGCAGCTCCATCACACATACCTTTGGATCCACGTTGTTTTCGTCTGGTTTTGTTATCTGCTTCATATCTGCGTTATTATGCAAAGAGCTAATTTTTTCTCCCAATTTAAGACTCTTTTTGTTGTATAGTAGTATTCGGATTGCCCTTGCTGCTCATTCGCAAACTAGTGGATTGGAATTGATACTTTTGGTACTGTCTAGGTGTATGACGTCGTCGCCAAGAATAGCTGGAAGAGCACGTGCTCTGCCGTTAAACATGTCTCTTAGTGCTGCCTTAGTCCCGTTCCCAACTATTTGCGGTGTGCACATGTACTGTTTTCACTGACGTTTTTTTTTCACCTCTCTGGGGGTATCGGCGCGACGTGAGTGTTCTATCGTCTGATCAAATTGGCTGAAAACGCTCCCTCTCCAAAATAGACATATCATTCCTCCGGCCCAGTGAGCGGAGCTCAGCTGTTGAAGAGCCTCACGAGTCGTCATCGTCTAGGCCTCGTCGTTTTGATTCTCGACCGGTGGCAATCGGCAGCTCCTTCTCAGCCGAAAGACAAACGGGATTGCTCTGTATGCTCCGTATGGATGAAATCGCTGGGTGTGGAGGTGCAAGCCTCCTCGAGGTGATGGGGAAAGAGAGCACCTACTATACACGGACCCGCGGCTGGTTGTCTGATCTTGCGCGTCTATTTTCCGAGAAACTCGGAACCAGAAGACCTCAAGCACCATTTCTGTCAGATAGTGCGCCATCCTGGACGTTAAACGTGGAGTACTTCGGATACATTAGCAGATTTGGATACACTCCTGGCAGAATCCGGGAGAGGAATCCAGAGTGTTTAGTTCATCCGAGAAAGGCGCCGATGCGACTATAGTCAAGTGTCATATTGCCTAGAGAATCGAGAAATTTAGATCTACTTCAGCATCTGGAGGCCGTCTGGGCACATTTGTACGAGTCGTACAGGATGTATGAGCTATCACAGGGTGCAACAACAAAACAAACAACAAAACAAGGTTCTGATTTGTGGCTATGCTGTTGATACTGCAAAGAAGTGACGTGGCGCCTCTTTCCGGAACTGCAGGCCTCCTCAGTCACTTTCCCTCTGGATGCAGATTATCTCCTTGGTCAGTCTCCCAACCTGATATGCGCTCAGTCGCTGTTGATACGCCCTGCCCTTCATCTATGTTTGTCCAATGGGTGACCCACCCAGTCAGCCAGATCCGGGGGGAGCGGGCTGGGTGGTTGGCGCTGCAACTAGCGGGTGACGGGTCCTCCACCACCGGGGGAAGACATTATCTTGACCATTCTGGGCTCCGTTTCGCGCTGTTTTGCTCTGTCAGGGGACATCCATAGAATGTTCTTGGCAAGGGAAGCCACCCAACTGGGACACGAGCTGTGATGGAACTCCTCGCATTGCTGCAAGAGATAGACGCCCGCTCTTCTGCGTTGAGCCTTCCCACTGACGATCACGATGAACACCCAGCCTCATCTCCACAATGGGTCGGACACCCGTATCGTCCTGGAGAAATAAAGCAGCCTTTGGCCCCGTCTTACGAACCCAGGGTATTCACAGACCACCATGACCCGTCTAAGCGTCGTCTCGCTGGCATTTCTTAGCCTGCCTCTGGCTTGGGCATGGACATTCACCCCCTCTTCTTCTCCAACCGAATGCTCGCTCTTCTCTATTTCGTTCGAGGGCGGCGAGGCGCCTTTTCAGTTCACCTTTCTCCGCCCTGCTTCCCTTGATCCCTCCCTCCCCGTCGACCAATGGGGACCCGGCTGGGCACTAGTGTTCAACGCGACATCCTCCCCGGCAGAATGGATACTTCCTTGGCACGTCGGCGATCCCATACTGATCGTCGGCTCCGACGCGACGGGCTTCGGCACCGGCGGCACATCTTCCCTTCTGACCGTCAGCGCCAACTCGTCTTCAAGTATGACCTCTTGCCTCACCAACAGTGCGAACAGCAGCTATGCTCAACACGTCACGCAATGGAATGGCCAGGTCTCCGAATGCGGCCTCATGAGCACTGTACTCACCGACGTTCAAGATCCCATCAATCTGGCCATCGTAATCGCCGGCGGGTACAGCTTCATATACAACAACGAAACCGTTCTTGGCCCCAGCGACGCAAGCACAAACGCAAATGGCGAGGATGTCGAGTTGTTATGGTACATGTCTGCTTTGGCAGGAGAGAACGTTACCTTCTTTGGGAAGGACGCCGATGGTCCACTGTTCGTCTCTCCGCTCATGACGATCCAACCAGGAAATTCCGACTGCCTCAACACAGGCTCCGCAATCCCCAATGTCGATGGACCCGGACCCCTCGTTACTGGTACCGCAGGGTGGTCAGCCGAGCCTGTTGCCACTAGCGTGCAAGGGGTTTCGGATAGCTCGACTTTTGGACTCACTCCAGCAACAAGGGTTGGCGCAATTATCGGGGGAGTGGTAGGAGGGATCTTGGTGACGATCGGCATTATGGCTCTAGTGATGTACGTTATGCGTCGGTACAATCGACAGAGACGACTGCTCCGGCTCAAGTCTTCTGCCATTGTGGCCTATGCCCCTCGGAATCTGGAGAGTATCGGCATAGATGGACCAGTAGATTTGACAGAGCTCCGTGGCGAGAAGCTGGGAGCAAACCACTTGCCTCTTCCTTAATTTGGGTGTAATATTTTGTTACGTTTCGCTCAGGACTTTACTAGCGGACTAAAACTTTGACTTTGGGATACTATTATTAACATCATTTTCCTACATACACGCCATATTTACATTTCAACTAGCCAAATGAAATGATGAACCTCTAAATGGAATCCTCCTCAAGCATTTGTACTCTGTACAAGTTTGCAAAATTCTACTGCTAACGTGCATTACCGGTTTGGTTCTCATGCTGGTCGTGTGGAGAATATGCATGGTTACAACAAAGGACAATCCAGAGTCGAGCCGGAGAAACTTCAGAGTACATGAGTTGATTCAAGACGCCTCGCCACGAACCGGCATACTCTGTACCGGCATACTCTGTTCCGGTTCTTCCGGAAGGTCGGTGTACCTTTTTCCAGCTTGCGCCGACCTGTCAGGTCCGGAATGTCTCCAAATTTTGAGGGCGAACTGTTGTTGTGCTGCCATACGCTTCCTGCGGTTGTGCATCCGCATCACGAATAGAGCGATCGTGATGATGAGGAGCACGCCAGAAACGCCGCCGATAACGCCGCCGGCAATAGCTCCAGCGTTGTTGGAGCTGTCACTGCTTATGGACATTCCGGTGGCTGATGTTAATCCGGTCGCCGTGGAGAAGGGCACGGGAGAAACGCTCTGTGGGATCGACGCGCTGCAATTCGATGTGCCTGGCCCGACGTTCATGAGTTGACTAAGGACAACAGGATTGCCGATGTTGTTGAGGTTTCCGTAGTCACCGAGAACGAAGGCAACTTCGCTCCCTGCCGAGACGTCGATATCCCAGCTGAGGGTGCCGAAGCCGGAGTTGAGCGTCTGATTCGTCATTGTTCGATAGCTCGTACCACCAGGGACGACCGTGTCCACTGTGATAGATCCAGGCAGAGAGCTCGACCATTGGACACTGAGGGTATCACATTGAGACACGTTGGTTGGATACTGTTGAAAATAGGCAAGAACGGTGTTATTCGGGGGAAGATTCCACAGGCAATCAGTTTTGTTGTTATCCCCGATCGTGTAGATTGCCGTGGTCCCTCCGGTGCCATAACCCGTCGCATCGCTGCCGACGACAACCATGCGCTGGCCAGCCGCAAACGGAGGTTCTAGGGCATATGGTGCGATGCTTGTCTGTGTCGTATTTTCAGGGAGCTGGAATACGAGGATGGAAGCTCGTCCGCCCGTAACAGTCCAATTGGACGGTACGGCGTCTGGGCAATCGGCAGGCGGAAACCCGAGGAAGATGAATGATAGAGGAGATACGCCGCCTGATATGTTGAGGACTGTTGCTCCACATTGTATTGGGTTGGATGAAAGTTCGAATGACCAGTCCCCCTGCACTGCGACAGCGATCAGGAGCAGAGAAGCCAAAACCAGTGGGAGGGTCATGCTAGACGGTAGATGCACAGGGTGTAGAGCCGAACAAGAGTATATAGCCAGAGCATATCCGTTGACATCGGCCTTCTCCTTTAAACAATGATTTGTTGGACTGCATCAGGATGCCATCAGCGGTGCGATACCGGGTGTAGAGTTCCCGGGAAATCGGCACCAACAAAAGGTAACTTATTATCCGAAGCTGACGGATACAAACCGATAGTAAAGCCCCATGAAGGGCATGAAGACTGCACGTGCCTCCGAGCGTTGCACTGCAAGCATCAGCACCTGAACAAGCCAGCTGGAGGGATGATCGAACTGGATACTGATGATGATGATCCCGGTGATATCAGAAGGTTAACCGATCCCAGGGCTGGGTTGTTGAACATAGGCGACGAATCGCCGGACTCAGAGACGTGGATGAGAGGCTTTCCATTATAACAATCGTCCAGGCCAATGTGGTATCCAACTGGAGATACCATGACAAGTAACTTACACCAAATGCCTGCAGATCCAGCTAATAATACGATGTAAACAAACAAGAGATTTCCTTTATGCTCACTATTCCGTGGTTGTCATCCGCCGATCCATATGCTCCCAGAGCTTGTCCTCCGGTCCTTCCCTCGCTCTATCCGTTAATTCCTCCTCCGGGTCATCTCTGTACCTCCCCGGCCAAGTGTCTCTCGACAGTCGTTCCGGCTTGGTCGGGGAGTAGGCGGTCAGGCCGATTGTCTGTCTTCGTAGGATAAGCTTGCGCCTGTTGTACCGGTGCACACCGAAGAGGATGAAGGCGGCCACGGCAAAGGCACCAACCAGTCCGCCGATGACGCCGCCAACGATGGCGCCAGTCTTGTTCGTGCCGCCTGAGAGGCCGGACGAAGGCGGGACGTATCCCGCCAGGCAAGTATCGTTGCCATTCTGGACGGACACCAGCGCGCTGGTGAAGATCGGCCCGTTCGCGTCGGAGACTTGGAAGGCGACGTTCGTTCCTTGCGTGAGGTTCATCATCCATGTGTGCATGACCGCCCAGCCCTCGTTCCCCGGAGAAGTTGTGGGATACTGCAGGTTACCGGTGGACGTCACAAACGAGTCGCCGCCGGGGACGAGCACCTCGATCGTGACCGGGAGAGCCACGTTGTCGAGCACGATGGTCATGTTCCCGCATTGGGTGACAGGCTCGGTCCAGGCGGGCACGGTGGTGAGATAGGTTGTGTTGTTCTCCTGTCCAAAGAGGCAGGAGGTTTCGTTGCCCGTGCTTTGTGCGATGGTGAACACTTGGGAGGTGCCGCCCGAAGCGAACCCCGTAGCGTCGCTGCCGACGATGAGGAGTGGTGAGCCTGCGGCCCAGGGGAGTATGTAGTCTGCCAAGACTTGACCAGGGACATCACTCAATGGGAGAGTGAAGTTCCACACACTGCCGTTTCCCCATTGCGGGAAGGGTAGGTCATACCCCGCCAGCCTGTAGAACGTGAAATCGTATGGTGGTACACCAGGCGAGGTGATGTTGATCTCGAGTGGGGCGCACTGGGTCGGATAGGTGTCGGCCTCCCATGACCAGCCAAGAGCCGGTGCAGCGCACCCCAGGAGGAGGAGAGCGATGAAAGCGTGCATGACGAGCGTTGAGACTTGGGGGGGCAAGTGTGGGGGGCGAGTTCGTGGGTAAACGAGGTTTATCAATGTCCTGCCAAGCCGCCAGCCAGCCCACCAGGCTCGTGCGTCCGAAACGCCATCGTGGTGGGTTAGATAAGCATCAACGCGGGCAGAATTGGAGCGATCGTGGCTCCTCCGGGGATTCTATAAGAACAGGGGTAGAAAGGGTGACAATAATCGTACGTTGGTGACGATATGTGTGAATGAAAAGCCCTGACCGCTGATAGGCGGCGCCGAAGTGCGCAGCCAAGAAGCCGATGTTCACGGGTTGCCCATATGCCAATGCATTGTTGAAGCGACGATCCGCTATTGTTAGCATTTCTTCCAGCTATTAGGCTGGAGTGCTGAAAGCTTGTCTTTAAAAACCCTTCTTGGGAGGCTTCACTCACTATACTGTTACTGGCCATCACATTGATGAAATGCCTCCGTCAGGCTCATTCTCACGCAGTTTCGCCGATCGTCAATTACCGAGTGCTAGACATGGAAGTCTCCAAAGCTCGTAGTCGACTATATGCAGCATAGAAACCAGGAGCCGACATCGACCTAGACGACAACAATGTGCAGGACGGTCGGTCGTAGGGGCATCAAGGGTTTAAAGAACTATCGCGGTGCCGTACCGTATGAGCCCACACAAACGGGATACCACGCCCTCACCCGCAGGATGACGCTCTGAGCCCTAAAACGGTACTTGACCTACCAAATCGGGACGAATTTGTTTTCTGTCTCGAAATTATTCCATCATAATGGCGATCTTCTCGTAAAGAAGCTCCAGACATTTTTTTCCCTCTTTCTCGCTGTCTTAGCCAAGGTTGGACGCCCTCGATCTGTGTCTCAAAGTGAGGGACTCCCCTCCCTCTTAACGGGTCAGCACTCGCCCTGCTCCTCTTGTGGTCTTCTTCTCCTTTCCCTTGACCACCATGTCCCGCAACTCTCATGAACCTCTTGCCGCTCCCTCTCTGCCTTCCCAAGCCGATATCCCAATCACCTACTCGTCGCTCCCCAGCCCTCCCCAGACTCCGGGTGGCCGCGGAACACGCAAAGGCAGCTTCTCCTTTGGGAGTCCCTTTGCGCTTCTGGGTGGGAGCAAGCATAAGGGCGAAAAGGCGAGGAAGATGAGCATTGGAGAAGCGATTCTTGAGGGGGAAGAGGATGCAAGTGGGGCGAGGAGGAAAAGACTGCCTTCTGGGTGCGTTTGAACTGTTTACAACGCATATATGCTCCTAATGCGGGGTGGACAGGGGCATCGTCCTCATCAAAGGTCCCTTCTCACAGTCCGAGTATCTCCCTTTCACCCCGCCCGAGGATGTACCCTCCCTGCCGCCCCTCCCACCAAACCTTGCACAACTTAAGGCCGCCACCATCCACAAGATCCCCTCCTCGTCGCAGCACCGGCGATCGCTCTCTGGGTTCAGATCGGCCCAGATCGGCAATGCGTTGAACAGCCTTCTTTCTGTCGACCCATCACCAGAAGCGCTTCTCAGCAAGTCGCTCCCCGAAGAATGCTCTCTTCTCGCCGCAGCCCCTCTTGACTTCGCCCCACTCACCCTACCCCCCCTTCCAAATGCTGGGCGCTCCCGCTCAGGATCACTTGCAGTGCCTGCCGGATCAACAGCGCACATGTATGCGCCTCCACGGGCAAGCATGGGCGCCCGCCGCCCATCGGTTGGCACATCGCCTCCCCCTCGCCCACTTCCACCCCCTCCCCACCTCGGTCTAGGTTCCCTTAGTCGACTCAACAAAAAGCCCCGCCCTCTCTCAAAGAGCAATCCCAACACACCAGCACACGAGATCCCAGACCCATTCTCAGGCGTGTCCCTCATCCAGACACTCGGGAACGTGCCAAAGCCAACGCCGAAGGGACCTGCGATCAGGGCAGTAGAACGTGCGGACGCGAGGCTGTCAATGAGCAGCGAGGCGCCGCGGCTGAGCGGAGAGACGGTGAAGCTGAGTATGGAAAGCCCGCTGGCCAGGCTGCCGAGTATTATTCTCAAAGAGGTTGAACCATTGCGCATCTCACCCAGGACGTCGCCCCAAACTGGGCTGTTTGACTTGCCACCCCGAAAGGATCTGAAGATAACCGAACTGCCTCTGAAGACGTTGGCACCTGTACTCAAGGCTGAAGCGAAACCTAAGAGTAACCTGCCCGATCGTCCCAGTACATCGCCCAGTGTCAGCCAGTCTCCACCTATAACAGAAAAGGAGAAGAAGATTCGATCTGTGCTCGGGTTAACCTTTCCCCATCCCCCGACTCCACTTCTGTCGTACGCAACTGCGAATTCTGGATTGAGGAAGGAAGGCGCGAATCCTCCGGCTTGCAAGGCAAAAGACCTTAACGACGACTCTCCTATCATTGTTCCAGATCTTCCAAAGACTCCTCCCATGCAGCAACGTGTTAACCACAGCCCTCGCAGCTCACCAGAGCGCACCGTCAAACCCAAGCGGAGCTTGATTCTTTCCCGTGTAGATTCCTGGAAGCAGCACAAGCGCAAGCGGAGTCAAAGCATCGCAGGATCACCAACAACCAGCTGGCCTGCAACCGGAGATGCGCCGGCATTACCTCCTCTTCCAGTTTCGCCCAACAAGGACAAGGACAGGTATGATCGACAATGGGAGGCTCCCATCTCGCCGATCTCGCCGACACTTTCACCGCGTGCATATGCGCTTGCACACGCCCAAGCGCATAACGAGGCTCAAGCCCAGGCAATGCGAGCCCTCGGAGGTCCTTCACCGACTCCCATGAGCAGTCCTGCCGCCAAAATGACCACCAGTTCGTCTATGCGGGTGGGCGAGCTGGAGGAGGAGAACAAGCTCCTCCGTGAGGCTCTCAAGGCACATCGTGAGAAGTTGCATGTCGCTCTCCGGCAGAGCACGGATCGTGCGCCTCACTCTAACACACATTCGTCCGGCCCCACTCAGTTGCTGCAACCGGCACATATCATAGAGGGACCACCTCCTGTCCCTTTACCTCCTACCCCAGCCTCGCCCATGAACATGCTCGCCGTGCCTGCAAGTCCCAGTCGTCACCACGAGCACCACTATCCGATGGTTCGTTCGACCGGATCAAGTGCTTCGATCGCCTCTCTCGTGACAGCCTCGTCCACCTCTTCTTTCTCCAATTCTCGCGCTGAAACACCTTTGACATCGTCCCGGCGCGAAACCGGAACCCTGTTTGCGGAGATCGCCTCCCTCCAGACCCAGCTTGCTCAGGCACAAGGAGAGATCGAAGTTTACAAGCTGCTTACTACAAACACCTCACACACAAGGTCGCCCGGTGATGACCTTAAGAATGCAATGAAGAAATGTCGCAGTGAGCCCATGCTTCTTGGGACGGTGGGCCTGGGAATCGAGGGTTTCGATGGTGAATCTGCTGACGACGCGGAAGTACGGAACTGAGGAAGTGAAAGTAGGTGGAATTGGATTCATCAGCAAAATTCAGGACATTCTGTGGGAGGTGGACCGGTCGTTATGGATTCCCGTGCTCTGAATGTTTCGTTCTGTCGTCTCTATTCTCTATGTTGCGAGTCCCATGAGGTACGCCGCCCGTCAGTATGACGGCTGTGTCCACAACGCCGCGTCCCCTAATTTGTCTCGTATGGCTTTGCCCCACAATTGCATTGTAGTCAAACAGAAAGCGATGCTGGATTATAAAGCTTACCACTTTGCTCAATTCGATTACTCGATATGGAATTGGCAGATGAGCTAAGAGAATTGGAGATGGCGCAACCGGGCGGGGGATGGTTACTCCGTCAATGATATGTTCAGGGACGTGTACGACGTGCCAGCAGCCAAGGCAGCCCTCCCGACCCCGATGGCGAACGGGTATATATAACGATGATGAGGGGTTTGACGAGCGTCAATCACCTATCTGATAATCTATTCACCCTCAAACAGTCTTGACAATGTCTTCTTACAAAACGTTTGCCATCGCCGGTGCGGGCACAGTGGGCAAGTACATCCTCCAGAACCTCGTCAAGGCGAAGGAGGAGGGCAAGATCGACTCTGTCGTCGTCTTCACCCGTTCGGTCCGTGTCTTTCTCCCTTTTCTGCGTCGCGTGGTTCATTAATAATCATAGGCCGAAGGCAATCCTGAAGCTAATGCACTGGGCGTCAAGTCCGTCCAAGTGGACTACACCTCCGTCCCCGCCCTCACCACCGCGCTCAAGGGGGTCGACGTCCTCATCTCCGCTCTCGGTCCCTTCGGTCTCGGCTTGCAAGGGGACATCGCCACCGCTGCCAAAGAAGCGGGGGTGAAGCTGTTTGTACCGGCGGAGTATGGCGCACCGGCGATAGATATGGGAGGGATCAAGAGCACGCTCAGGCGGAAATTCGAGAGCTTGGGACTGCCGTTCACGATCTTCTTTGTGGGAGTGTTCATGCATTCGTTCTTCTCTCCGTGCGTCTAGCTTCGTCAGAGGTGGTGGTGGTGCTGACGGTCTGGCGTACGCGTAGGGCGTTGAGCGTTGACCTACCAGGTGGGAAGGTCACTGTTGGTGGGAAAGCCCACAACCCAATCACTTGGACCACTGTGAAAGATATCGGAGCGTACATCGCTCATTGCCTTACTACGCTCCCTCCTGCGAAGCTTGAGGGAGCCACCATCCTGATCGAAGGAGACCGTGCGGTACGCCTGCCGTCATATCTGCCTGATGTTGTACTCCTTCTGATGCGGGGAATTTGCAGGGCATCAAAGAAGTCATCGCCGAATACGAGAAGCGCACGGGAAAGAAGGTCGAGATCACCTACAGGACACTGGAAGGCCTGAAGGCTTCCGCCGCTGCGAACCCGTTCGACTTCCCGAGCTTGCTCTGGCTGACGGTTGAGGACAATCAGGGAGTCATTGGTGCCCCAGACGAGGTGAACTTGTACAAGTTCCCAGGGTGGGAACCGACCAAGGCCATCGACTTTATTCTTGGAGAATCGGCGTAGATTTCTGCTGAGTGTATAGGTCGTGTGCACTAAATTGTTAAAAGTAGGAATTGTATAAATGATAACAATGCCAAGGATAGTATATTACTAACGTGACCGTGATTGTCACATCCACCGGCATTTACGTCACCATTACTTGGGCACACGCTTCTCCGTCGGAATCGCATCTCCGTTAAATGGCACAGGTGTTTACATTGTCACCTTCGCCGCTCTTTATTCTCCAACAACCAGAAAATGTCCGAGTTCGAACACTTTGTTGTCCTGGGTTCAGGCCGTCTAGGCGTGTTCATCATCCAGGAGCTGGTGGCGCTCAAGAAACAAGGGAAGATCAAGTCGGTTGTGGTGTTTACCCGCTCTGTAAGTTCCGATTCTGAGTCATTCTCGCTTCTTCATCTTTGCTCAATTCTCCCTGACGGCTGATGTCGGAATAGAACGACTCGCATGAGAGAATCCTGCAGCTCGGTGCCAAGCCTGTTAATGTGAACTACTCGAACGCGGACCAGCTCGTCCACGCGCTCAAAGGCGTCGACTGTGTCGTCTCCACACTCGCGTCCAACGCCGTCGAATTCGAGAAGGAGGTTGCACGCGCATGCAAGGTGCTCGAGGTCAAGCTGTTCGTGCACTCGGAATGGGGCTTGCCGAATGTGGACCATCCGGGGAGCAGGAAGGGAGAGGTGAAGAAGTATCTCAAGGAGATCAAGCAGCCTTGGGCGTATTTCTACACAGGGGTGTTCATCGATTTGGTATTTACACCGTAAGTCTTTATACTCGCAACTTTGGAGCTTGACTGAATGGGTACAGGTTTGCGGGTTTCAATTGGAATGAGGGGAAAGTCAGCATAGGCGGCTCGGGGAACGGACAAGTATCGTGTACTGCTCGAACAGACATCGCACGCTACGTCGCATATGTACTGATCAACCTCCCCGTTGAGGAACTAGAAAACAAAGCCTTTAGGATAGAGGGCGAGCGAACTGTTCGTATCCCCCCTCCTTCCCTCCCCGCCCAAAGCTCCGCTCACAGTGTGAATAGACATTCAACGCCCTGTTCTCCGCCTGGGAATCGCGTACTGGGAGAAAGCTCCAGATCACCCGCACACCACGAGAAGAGCTCGAAAAGCGCGCGTCGCACGATTTCCACTCTCGCTTGTACCTCGCTATCGAGGACGGTGACGGCGTGGTCGGCAGGCCGGAGGAGACGAATTTGTATTGGCCGGAATGGACGCCGAAGACGGTTTTGCAGGTGGTGCTGGATTGAGGTCAGAGCTCGCTGGGGATGACAGAGTAATAGGAGGGGAAAGGGGGGGGGGAGAGAGGATACCTGCCGAGTCGAGATGTAGATATGCATGATGTATAGAACTGAACCCACCTGATTTGTTGTATCATCTTCCTGAGCCGCAACACTTAGGTTCGTTCAGCGCTTCCGCCGCTTCTTCTTAGGTGGCTCCATATCCGCCGCAGTTAGCTTGGGAAGCTGAGGCATCTCAAGCAAGTCCTGTTCATACATCTCCCTTATCTCCTTAAGCTCCCTGTCCGCCTGCTCAACCGTTCGCCTCCTCTCCACCGCTACCCCTGTCAGCCTCTTAGTATCAAATTAAATGGACAGCGTACCTCTCCTGCCCTCCTCTCCCCCTCCCATCCGTTCCCAAACGCGTTCCAGCACCTCTCTGCTCACTTCCCCAGAGACAGCAGCAACCTCGAGCACGTCTTTCCACCCGAAGGGGAGGAGGCGGTCTTGCAAACTGGGGGCGACTCGGGGCCGATGGACGGCGAGGAGGTGTAGCAGGTGACTGAGGAGAAACAGGGAAGAGGATGTAAGGGCTTGTAGGTATGCTGCTGGCAGGTCTTCTTCATCAGCGCTCGATGTATCCGCGTGCGTAGCAGATAAAGACTCTGATCCAGAAGGGACAGGTTGCGGGAGAGCAGCGACTTGTCGTGCAATGACGGCCACTTCGTCCGCCAGCGTCCACTCCGGTACGTAAACATCTTCGATCATCAACGGCCAGCGTACATCTCCAGGCTTGGGTGTCCCCGTCCTTTGCTCATCTTTTGCCTCAGCATCCTCAGCCTCAGAAGCAGAAGGCCTCCACTCCTCCCCTTCCTCCTCCCTCTCCCCCTCTCCCTCCGCCTCAGTGCTTAGCTCCTCCGCCGCCCTGCCAGCATGCTTCTTCCCCCTCTTCCCACATCTGGGCAAGGGCACATGCCTGGCAAGATCCTGGATGTTGTCAACTTTGAGCGAGCGGAGTAGATGGGTATATTCAGCTAGTTCAGAGCGGAGTGAAGCAGGAACATAGGACCGTTTCCTAGGCATCGTCGTAACTTGGAGAGAACACAGTCGAGCGCCTATTAATATTGAGAGAGGGCGCCGGAGATGACGCGACTGACTTCTCGGCTCCGAAGTATGGAGCACGTGATTCCGAAGACCAAAGAACCGTTTTGGAGCTGTACAGTACCACCCCACCCGTGGCATAAGAGCGGAGGCAAACGGGGTCGTCTGATCTCTCAACTCAGTCTCTTACCGTCTAACGTCCTAGTGATTTAACGTGAGTTTTTCTCTCATTTATTGGTGAATATTCTGTATGAGCTGCTGATGATGGCGTGGACGTGCGTAGGATGAGAGAAAAGTGGAAAAAGAAGAGGTCTCGGAGGCTCCGGAGGAAGAGGAGAAAGATGCGCGCCCGCTCTAGTCAGTCCTCCCTATCCTTTGCTCATGCACCTGCTGATCCCCTCGCTTAGAGTAAACGCCTAACGATGGGCTGCCGCTTTGGAGCCGAACCCGTTCTTGCATGCGGTATCCCGCTGTCTGTATCTCCGACCGTCCAACCAGAAACGGATACGAGGCAGCAAGTCGTTGGTGTTTGTTGGCGGGTGTCATTGCGAACCTGGATTACACGCTGTTCTTGGAGACTCGTGCAGGCCGGTCAAATGCGCTTGTGCTGTGCTTCAGGGTGTGGCGTTTGGGGGAAAGGCGCTCGTATATGCATATGTTTGAAGCATTAATGCGACTGGTATATGCTGCAGTCTGTGACTGTTCTCGTGTTCAACATGCATTCATGAGATTGAGGTTCTCAGCCACAGAAGTACATGAACGAGAGAACAGAGGTGCTTGTGTGGGGTTACCCATTCCACAAGCTGCAGCCTCTACCGACCTGGGCACTCTAAATATTGCATGATATCTGTCAACCGATGCTATCCACAAGATAGAATTGTTTACTTGTGGTTGGTTTAGTTTGTCAGTTAACCACTGACTATTGGCATTACAGAGACTGCCATGAGTGTGTTCACCCTAGATGCTATGAAATGGGTCGGTAACAGTCGTCTGCTCTGTTCAAGTCTGCAACTCCAACTGCTTCATGTTGACAATAACACTTTCACAAATAGTTGCTGACTGCCCACAACAGCAAGCTGTTGCGGTAATTTTGATTTATTATTATACATAATTGCGTACGTACACAATGAGTACATCTTCGACGGCGCGACCCTGACGTCTTCGCTCATCTTCCACCAGCGCCATACCCGTTCAACGACAACAACGACAATGACCAGCTCATAGCACTCGTCTTCTTCGCCAACGACCATCATGTCCTCCTCACCGTCCTCACCGTCGCCCATCTCCCCATCTCCCAACGACGACAACATCTATGCCAGCCCGCCCGCCCTCACCCCTTCATCAGCGTTCGACCCCACAAAGCCGATCCCATTCGACCCCCCTACACCCGTGTCCCACTCCCCCGACGTCCAACCCATCTCACCCACTTTCGTCGGTCCAACAGGGTTCAACTCGCTGAACTACCCTCGCCCTGCACGCCCCGTCGTCGTGCCTAATGGACTCAACATGGATGCCCACCTCGACCCCTCCCTGGAGCCGCACGGCGATATACCCAATACCCCGCTCGCGGTATCCCTGATCTCCTTCTTCCTCGGTGCGGTCTTCTGCGCTGGACTGGCGCTGCTTGCCGCCCCGCCGAACTACTGGTGGGCGGGCAGGGAACTGGGGTTTTATATTGCCTGTTGGGCGGGCTTTCATTGGGGCGAGTTCGCGGTGACCGCAGAGTGGAACAAGTCGAGGTTGACGGTGGACTGTGAGCCTTCTTTCATACATCCTGCTCTTGCTTTCCAGCACTTGACATTTGGCTCCAAACGACTTGGAAGAGAGTAGCTGACAGGAGACAGCGTTCTTGCTCAACAACTTTGCGGAATATCATTATGCGCATGGGGTTGCGCTGTTCGAGTACTTTGTTGAGCGCTGGTTCTGGCCGGGGATGAAACAACACTGGCAGCTCTCGGTGCTTGGTACGTCCCTCCCCTCCACCTCCGTATTTACTTCCTTGTTCGAAACAAATGCTAATTAACCGACAGGAATGGTCATCACCCTCCTGGGCCAAGCGCTGCGGAGCATGGCGATGGTACACGCAGCAGGCAACTTCTCCCACTGGGTAGAAACACGGCGAACACAAGGACACGAGCTCGTCACAACCGGCGTCTATGCGTGCGTCTTCCCCTGCGTACCAACATGATGGAGCCAGCTAATCTCGGACGGTCATGGATAGCTGGATCCGGCACCCTTCATATGCCGGGTTCTTTTACTGGGCATTGGGGACGCAGATTGCGATGCTTTCCCCCGTTAGCTTCGTAGGGTTTTGGGGGATCATGTACTGGTTTTTCTCGAAGCGAATCCGGGGTGCGTCTATTTCTTTTCCTATGTTCTTTCCTTCCATCTTCCTACCCGCCTCCCTTCTCTTCTCAATGATATCCTTCAATCTTCCTCTTGATATAAATTGTTCGCAATATCCGCGAACCTCGGCTGACAGAGTTGTGGACTCTAGTGGAAGAACGGTTCCTCGTCTTCTTCTTCGGAGACGAATACAGGACATACCGCCAGCGCGTCGGCTCGGGCGTGCCGTTCATCCGGTGACCGTTTCCGTGAATATAGCGTGTATTTAGATGGGAAGAAGCGGTGGCTCCGATATTTAGCACTTAGAATTGTTATGGTTGCTGGTTCGCGAAGGCACAGATGATTGTCCATTAATGATATTCGTTATCTGATTCTAGTATTCTTACTAACACAATTATTACGATTACGTGAATTCCAGCGAGTATTTCGGCATTTGCAGGGGGTAAAAAGAGCGCGTGATGTTCTTTGAACCTTGTCCTCCGGTGGGATGAAAGTTTGATTAGCGCCACACTTGGACTGGTACAGTGGACGTGAACAACTTTCTAAGGCGCTACATTCTTCATGTCGGCTGATGAGATCACCAACTAGCAGGGTTCAATACTTTGGCTACCAATCAGCAGTCTGGGTGCTCATGGACAAGGTTACACATCACCCCACGCGAACAAGGTACAACTCGTACCTTGCTCAACAAGTACTCTAGCTCATGTCCTCCAACCATGCTGGCCGATTCGCCGAAGGATAATTTCTAGGGCCCAGCGAACTCCGGCCGGCTTTGACCTTGTCCACCTGGAGGTACTGGAATGCGCCTACATCTAGTCCACATCGACGCCAACACCCGCTTAAGCCCGTGTTGATCTCCTTCTGGTGGAAGGCTCGCAAGTTGGGGTATATAGCCCTCCCTGGCACGAGAAACGTACCTTGCCCTTGGATCGTCCCCTCGCTTACCTTTACCCCCTCGTACTGTTTACCCAAAGCTTCTCCCCTGAGCTCCTCTGTTATACCTCTCTGCGTCCCACCGACTCTACTCTTGCCTCTGCATTACTGCAACGATGCCCTTCCTCGTCCACCGCCGTAACAGCCCACCCGTCGTGGAGGTTCATCTCCCTTCCGAGAAAGAGAAAGAGACACGGTCGATGTCCCGCTCTTTCTCTCGCAAGGAGAGACTGCGCGACTCCCTCATCCACCTCTCACGCTACTTCTCCCGCCCGAAATCGGCGTTCACCGTCCCCTCCTTATCCTCCTCCCTCTCCTCGCGCTCGTCGGATGAGTCAGGAAGATACTCCGACTTTCCACCGCAGAAGGAGAAGATCGTTCTGCAGAAGACGAGCACGCCGGAAGGATTCGTCGTCATCAGCAAGAAGCTGCAGTCGGGCAGCACCCTCCCGCTCACAGTAGCGGGGAACGACCGACTATCGGTGCATCATGAGCACGTCCGAAGCATGTCTGTCGCCCGTAGGCGCGCTCAACCCGTGCCGCCGCCCAGCAAGGCCCAGCTCGCAGCGCTCAAAGTCTACGCGGAGAAAGCGCTCCCTCCACTGCCCATGTCCCGCCCAGCTAGCACCACGCTCTCCCCTACTCCGCCAACAATGGCCATCCCTCCTCCGGCATACTTCAGCCCTCGGCGGGTGAACACCATCTCCGAGCGGTCAACGTCCCAGACAGTTCACATGGCCAGCCCGACCAGAGCGCGTCAACGGACTTCCCTCCGGCCCAAGACCCCCAAGACACCAAATAACACCGACTCATTCCTCTCCTTCTCCGCGACTCCACCACGACGATACTCCTTCCGCGCAGCAGGGGGCGTGGTGCGCACGAGCTTCCTCTCGCTCACGCCTAGCCCGCCGCAGGCTAAGAGGCCTCAGCCTGCGCACCGGTACTCTACCACAAGCCAGCGGATGGGCTTACCGGAAGGGGCGGTACTCCCTCCTGGACGGGTGGAGCTGCGTGCGGATACACCGATCACGGCACTTGCATTTCGTCCTCTGTACCAGCATCCGTACGCTACCGCTACCCCTGCACCTGAACGACATTCTGGCAGATACGACTGAACCATTGATTGACTGATCGACTCAACGATTCATGTGTTGTGGCATGTAACGTTGTTCGTGTATATCTTATGTTTGCATAGTGTGTACTAGTTGCTTGTGAATTGATGTACAAATACAGATTGGTTCTTGTTGGGTTCAAACTACTGCTGCTTCGACACCGAGGCGTCTTGCGAGCTCCACCAGCCCGCCTTCGTTGATGATCATGTCGAACTCGTAGTTGGATAGATCGACGTCCATGTCCTCCGTCTCCCGGTGGATATAGATACTCCTCATCCCCCTGGCCCCTGTCAGTCCTTGTACATGGAGGGGAAGGAGATGCGCACTGTTTCTTCGCTGCCTCGAGATCAGATACATGGCTCGCGACCATAGCGCATTCCTCTGGCTTGAGCTGAACGGCCGCCATCGCTGTCTGGTACATGCGCGGCTGGGGCTTGTAAGCGCCGACGACGTCCGAGGTAAGGAGGAGGTCGTACAGTACTCCAGTGCGCTTATCCTACCCATCCAGAGGTTAACCTCTTCCGTACTGCGAGGAGCGCATGCTCACAATATGGATCAAGTACGCTGCACTCCCGTTCGTCAGTCCTACGCAGACGTACTTTGTCTGCAGGAGCTCAACGCCGGCTTTCGTATCCGGCCACACGTCCATCGCCCACCAAGCTCTATACATCTCCTCCCTTTCCTCCCTTCCCCATACGTCTAGCCCGATCCCGTATTTATCGCACACCTCGTCCAGTGCGCGCATATACACTTCCAGCTGGATCAGGAGGGGTTTCCCCTCCTCCGAGACAGGGAGGGACTTGGTAACCCTGAAGAAAGCGGCACGCCATTCGTGTGCGAATCGAGCCCAGTCAATGGGAGGAGTGCGCCCGGCGAGAGAGGGAGAATGGGAGGCGTGGGATTGGAGTGAGAGGGCGACGTTGGTGTGCCAGTCGAGGGTTGTGCCTAGGAGGTCGAAGCAGAGGGCACGGACGGGGCGGAGAGAGGCAGGCATGCTGCTCGTCGACATGGTGATGGAGTGGAATAGAGTAACAATATTGGCATTACGACAATGAACTTGATTGTAAGAATACGCGCTTCTTTCTGTCCGCATAAAGATAGTGATTATGAATCCATTTACTTCGTCACATTATCTACATAAAATGGAATACATTTACCCAGTAATTGAGAAGATAGGTCGAATCAACCTCTTGCTGTCCTTATATTGGCATGACATCGCAAGGTCAACATGCCGAATGTACAGCATGCCTAGTTGTTCGAAATACTCGGATTAATGATGTTATTTAACATTCAACTGCGCAATGAATATTATCCAACAATTATTACTTATCATTCAACAACACATTTAATTATCCGCATATTCGACACAACAAGTAACTGCGCAGGTACAAGCCACGCAGAATAAGACGTGTCTCTGCGGCACAGGCGGTGGTCGTAGTCACACTTCCGAGGTCGGAACCCTGGCAGAGCAGTAAGGAGTGAACGTCCCTCTCTCTCCTCCACACCACCACCATCTCCACTTCTTCTACTGCATTGCTGACAACCGGATCACACTCAAAGATGTTGTATACGTTCATTACGGGTATCATCTCGTGAGTAACGACAGACTGTGCTTGATGTGCTTTCGCGCTGACTGATCACGCGATCAGGGGCGTTGCTGCGCTGTTCTATCCTTCCTACGCCTGTTACAAGTTGCTCTCTCGCCGACCATGCCCAGAGGAGCTACTCGAGAAATGGCTCATGTACTGGGCGGTACTAGGCTCTTGCTTTGCCATCGAGGTTGTCGCCTATCCCGTGCTGATGTGGTGCGTCGCCTGCTGGCGTCTGAGCGCCTGATGCTGACCGCGCGCTAGGGTGCCGTTCTACCACACCTTCCGCATGGTGTTCCTCATCTGTCTGGCGGTGAACGACGGCCATCTGGCGACCTTCATCTACGCGGGCGTGCTCGTTCCCTTCCTCGAAGAGAACGAGCAGCTCATCGACAGCAACCTCGCGGCCATCAAACCGCAGATCACCGAGTTAGCGCGGGACACAGCGAACAAGCTCTGGCGCTTCCTGCAGTCGTATATCGCTGCTGAGCAGCAACAACAATTGCAGAATGTGCAGCCTCAGGCACCTCCGCCCACGTTGGCGGATCCCGTCTCTGGTCCTACAGCTGCCATGTGGGGTTTGTTCAGGCAGTATGCCCCATCCGCAATGGCCGGCCTCGCTGCTGCCTTCACCGGCCCTGCCGCTGCCCCTCCTACTCATGGGGTCCCACAAACTCCAGTCCAGGGGTACAACCTCGACCCACAGGCGCTTCACACCAGACGCGCGCAGCTCGAAGCCGAACTCGCCGCTCTCAGCTCTTCTGCTTCTGGCACTCATGCTCCCCCCGCTGGCCCTCAGACCGCCGCATCTCTCACTTCCTACTTCGCTACCCTCCCGCGCGGCACAACCGCTGCCAGCACAGGTGTCGCCGCTAGCCCGTCGAACGTCCCGCTCCCTCCTTCCCATCGCACGCCGTACGAGTTCCCTCCTTCCCGCAACTCCCCCGGTGACTCTCCTACCGGCGTGCGCTCGCGTTCGCCCTACGACAGCGAGGACGAGCGTCAGAAAGGATATGATGTGATGCGCAAGGACGAAGCTGAGCAGTTTGTCGGCGGGTTTGTCGTCTCTGGTCAGCAGAGCGCGCAGAGGCCAAGCTGGTGGGGCTGGGCGACTGGTGGTTCGGCGGAGCAGCAGGGATATCAGCGGGTTGGAGGAAAGGAGGGGAAGGACGAGTGAGCGCGAGGAAGGATTGTATGATAGATGTATGGAATAAGTCAATGTAACGTAAAGAAGTATGCGATCGTCATGTTATGTATACAAATAATGCCTGGGGCGACAGATTGGGAAGGACAGTAGCACTACATCTCAAGCGTAGATTTGTCGGAACGTGAGAGATATACGGCCCCGCTTTATACTTGGTTCTCTTGGTATTTCGTGCTGTTCACAATTAAGCAGATGATACTGCCCACGAACTGGGTCCTCACCTTCCAGTTCACTTGGGTATCACCTTGCATAACGAGAAGGCTTCCGTCTGCCGGTCGCAGCTTGATCGGTTCTGCGGCAGATTTCTCTCTTGGGCGGAAGATGAACTGCCGTTCAGCGCCAAGGCTAATACTGGCTATGACCTACACTCCCGTTTAGTAGTATCCGCCGTCTATGAGGTACATTGCGCACCTTGTTCTCTAGCGTATCACTGTGTCTCCCGATGCTCACTCCTCCGTCCTCATACCGGTTCAGCATCACATGATTAAACTGCATCCCCAGCACAGTTTCCAGCACTTCCTGTATCTCCACCAGTACCTCCGGGTACGGATGGTGCATGACGACCGTGGTCCCTGAATAACGGACCACAAGGTCGGGGGAGACGGCGTACGCTGCGATAGAGCGTGATTGTTGGACGGTCTTTCCGTGCACTTTTAGCGTGGGGTGGTACCATGTTGGTAGTTCGTCGAGAGCGGTATACCAGCGAGAGGCGGTGGAGTGGTCGACGAACTGAAGAGCATTAGCGGGGCTGGAGGGAGAGAGAGAGGCGTACGGTTGGCATGTAGTACGCTTCGCCCCCCGGCATGTGGGGAAGCAGGTATTGGGATACGAACTCTTCCTTTGTCACTTGTTCTCCTTCCTTCCAGTTTGATTTCCCTTTTATGTGTGTCTTCCTTGGGCTCGACGATGTAGGCTTGATGGGTCTTGTTGGTGCTGGTTTTGTGGGTCCACGAGTTGACAGTCCAGAGAGTTTGAGCGACAAGCGGGGCATTTTTTGTGGTAGAGGTTGGGAATCAGTCATTGTTGAACAGATCTAGTAATATAGGATGGAGAAAAATAACAGTCACGTCAAGTGCAGCATAGCATGAGTTATCAACCACCAGGAGGAGTCATCGCCGCCCTCATGAGTCGCGGGTAATTATCGGAGACACGACGCGTCCCTTTGACGCGTTCTCATCACCGACGGAGCGTGCTCATCATTGCTCAAGCACGCCGACGTCGACAATCCAGGGATGCCAGCACCGGACACTTCTCAGCTTAAGACGCTTATACATCAGATCACACCTGCTTCGGCGGGTAACACGAGTCTGACGAGGGAGCTGGTGGATCATGCGCAGTATTTCCTTGATAGGCGAGGTGCTCGATGATGCCGATGTTGTGAATGTTGACAAGATGCATACAGCTACCTTGGGGGAACGAACCAGGCGGAGGATCTTGCGGACCTGGCGAATTTGATGCAGAGACATGGTGTGTACTCTAATTGGTAGACGAGGATTGCAGTCTGATGCGGGTTTGAGTGATGCAAACAAGTGGATCGTCGACACCGTCTCTACGGCTCAACAACCTCCTATCCCGACTATATGACCAGGTGCGTACTCGATCTTTCAAGGGCTTGTCATCTAACCTATATCAGACTGCTCTGTCCCGCAAGTACGCTATTCTTTCCTTCCTCTATACATTGTCACAACAATCGCACCCAACCTCGTCTTACTCGACTATCTCAAATCCTCCGGCTGGTACAGCACGGCGACGAAATGGGCCATCTCCTTTCAATCCTTCCCTCGATGCTCCCTTTTCTGCGAGCTCTGGGCACCGAGGTGCGAACGGTGGACCAGCACGACCAGAACCACCTGTAGAAGGAGGCATGAAAAGCAAAGCCGCCCTGCTGCGCGCCTATCGCGAACGGATAGGAAAGCCACATGTCCCCATGACTGTCCTTCTGCGGGATGCGATCTATCTCCTGCAAGGTATCTCCGGCCATTGTGTGCAATTTGTCTCTGTGACAACGGATACGATGGAGAAGGAAGAGCGCATCGAGTTTGTGGCCATCAAGGAGGGGTTCATCCCCCCTCCCACCCGGGTCCTGCTGCATCAACTCTCGGAACTTGGACATCTACATAGTCTTATCGCTTCCTTTTTGGACGAGCGCTCCCTCTCACCTACCGTTGGTCTGGTCGAGCAAAGTCTACACCATGAACTACGGTTCCAGCTGACCGAGTACCATAAACTTATCGCTCTTCTGGAGAGTCATGCTAGTAGGAGCAAAGCGGGTGAAGACGGAGGAGGGCTGACATTGATGCGACTGGAGGCCTGGGTCGGAGAATGGAAATTGAGGTTGAGGTTGATGAGCGTGTTCGTGGAAGGGTCGAAGAGTGAGTCTATTTCATTGTTACCAGTGTCGTCGTTTTCAACGCATGATACAGACGCCCACGGAGGAAAGCTAATTAGCCTCATCCACCTCCATACGAAGAACGGTGATCCCTTCATCCGTGACTTCAGTACCCAAATCCTCGAACAAGTGTCCAAGCCGTTCTTTACCTCGTTACAGGCCTGGCTCTTCGCCGGCTCACTGAGCGACCCCTTCGGCGAGTTCTTCGTCGCTCCCGGTAAGCGGAGTGGGAACCTTGGCGATCGACCGGAGAGAGAGGATGCCGACGCAGACGAGATCGATGCGGATTTTGGTGGGGACATACATCGGACGTGGCAGGAGAAGTGGATGTTTAGAGCCGAGATGATGCCTAGTTTCTTGGATGAGGCTTTCGGGCGCAAGGTTTACTCGACGGGGAAAAGCTTGAATTTCATCAGGTACAACTGCCATGATGCGGAATGGGTCACGAAGCAAGCTAGTGCATCCACATCTAAATGTGCGTAAATCTTTATTGTTCCTATTTTTAGGCTTACATCTAGCAATAGCGCTCAAGTACAGTGATATTGCTGGACTCGAGAAATCGATCGACCTCGCGTATAAGGTAGCCAGCCAGCGGTTATTTGAAGCCTTCTTGGTCAAGTACCGGCTTGTTGATCACCTGCAAGCACTCAAGGCATACCTTCTCTGCGGATACGGCGATTTCCACGATTTGCTGATGGACTCCTTGTCGTAAGTCTTGGTACACGCCTATCATACTGACCGGGCTGATCAAATTGCAGCGCATTACTGGCCAAGCCGGCGAATGCTCTATACCGACATACTCTTACCACCCGTCTTCTTGACGCAATCAGAGGCTCTAACGCTCAGTACGATCCACCAGACGTCCTGCGTCGTCTAGACGCTCGCATGATGGAGTATTCTCACGGGGAGATCGGATGGGACGTGTTCACGTTGGAGTACAAGGTGGATCCTCCGATCGATACTGTCATCGACCCCGATGGAATCAACAACTATCTCAAGTTGTTCAATCATCTGTGGAAGATGAGGAGAGTTGAGGGGAGCCTAGGTGCTGCCTGGGGCCGAGTGACGAGTGGGGCAAGAAGTGTCAGTCGTGTTGCAGGTACGACGAGCGAAGAACGTTAGTTCTATCTCTGACATCAGGACAGATTTGCAGAAGGACTGGCATCAGGTTCGCCTCGTTATGGCGGAGATGATTCATTTCGTCAGACAGATGCACGCTTGGTGTCATCGCGAAGTCATTGGTGCAGCCTGGAAAGACCTGACAGAATTCATCCATAAGAAAGAGGGTGACTTGGATGGGCTTATCGAGGCTCACAACGAATATCTAAGCCGGATGGTCAGAAAGATCACTCTGCAAGACTCGAAAAGAGGGCATGAGAACAATCTCGCAACCGTGAGGGAGATTTTCGAGACGATATTGCAGTTTCTCGACTCAACTGTATGTTCCATTCACTCCATACTCCATTCACGATCTAACGGGAGGTAGGATGATTTTTGGCGATATACAACACACGCAGCACACATCCGAGATCGCGAACGAGACAATGTGAGAGGGGTATACACTGCCCTCAGTCTGAACACCCGTGACCCTCAAGTGAGCGAAGAAGCTCTTTCGGGCATTCTCAGCCGGACAAAGGAGTTCAGTGGCAAATTCTCACATTTAGCTGGCGACCTCGTGATATCGCTATCGTCTCACTCCGATCTGGACATCAGATTCCTAGCTGTAAGCTTGACTGGCTTTAGCACGTTCTATCCAGGCCGACGGGATTCCTCGAGAGGTTGAGTTGGTCTTGTACTTGTAGCTTGTTAACAACGGGTTTTAGGATCTTTGTCGTAACATGACCCTCATGTAAATTTCGCCAGGCTTGGAATATATCTGCACGAATGGCTGGTGTATACAGACGTGGACGCAGATACGGGAATGCGCAACAATCAATGTAATCAACGGGTGTGAACCGCATAGAGGCACACAAAAGGATGCGGCACATAATCATGGATTCATAACATGATGATGCATCATGGACCGTACTACAGACAAGCCCATGCTGACAGGACAACCCACTCGCACAACATCTAGAACTACAGACGATCATCAGACAATTATCCAATGACAGGAGGGTATGCACACGCACCCTTAATGGTGTGAAGAACCAGCGGTTCTTGCCAGATGTGTAACGCTCCTCCAGCATCTTCTTCACGTTCTTCTTCGTATCCTCCCTCGTTGATGGCTCCTTGAAGGTTTCGGGCTTAACGGAGTCCTTCAATCCTTCCAGCTCGAACTGGTAACGGGTAGGGAAGAGGTGGGTGTAGTTGACGACCTATATGACTGATCAACGCCTGCTACACATTTCTATCGCGATGGACACACCTTGATGAAAGGCTTGACCTTGTTGCGCCTGGCAAGCTTCTTGGCACCCATCCGCTTGGTTACCTTCTTCGGGTAGCGCTCAATGCCTGCAACGATAGCATGGGGGTACTTGCGCTCCTTGGTGCCGTCATCAAGATGCTTGATGACGACGACCTTCTTGCCAGCCTGCCGTCCTTGGAGGACGATGGCGACTTTTCCGGGCTTGTAGACTGCACGTGGAAGTCGTCAGTATACACAAGTTAAGGCTGGTTGTACGACTCACTTTTCGGCATTGTCGGTGGAGAGCGCTGGACTGGTTGTGGACGGGCGGCGTGTTCTCAGGATACAGGTCGAACGCGCGGAAGTGAGCGGAAGCAATTCAGCCGCAAACTGTACAGTTCCTCTCCAGGGTTACTTTAAGTGGCTGTGTTCCCGATATCGGGCTTTAAGCAGATGTCAAACGGCGATGCTGTTATATTGATAAAGTGTTAACGTTAATATGTCCGGTATGTGTAATGCTGGCCGCAACCACGCCTCGGGTACCCCCATGCATATTAAATTTGGGGTTATGGTACAATGAACAAAGGCTCGTGAAAGGACAAGACGAAGGGTAGCGACAGACTGGGACAATCTTACTAGACACTCGAACTAGCGGCGATAAGAGCTGGTTGACTTCAGTTTGCCACGGAGTCAAGACATCCGAGTGATGGCATTAGACAGTCAGAAAAGTGAATTGGAACGAAAGCGATATAGATATAATGAAGGAATGCATTAAGCCACAACACCATCGCAGAGTGTGCTCCCCCTCCAACCCAACTGCCCAAGCTAAGTAGCAGCCTTCGTCTTACTGCGCTTCCCGACTTGGGCCTGGAAGCCGGTCTTGACAGCACTAACTGAACGACGTGAGCCACAGCTCTCGCACTGCACGAAGAAGATCCGGTTCTCCTTCTCGAGGAGCGTATCTGGCGACTTGCAGGTCTTGCAAGTGACGTACTCGACGATATACCGCCTGAGCACGTTTTCGAGCTGCTTCTGCTGGAAGCGACCCTTGATAACCAATCGAGAGCTCCCGTCAACTGAGCCTGTCGTACCCAGTTCGGCGAAAAGGAAAGAGATGACGTGATCGGGTGAACGATGGATACGTTTCGCAATGTCGACGATATTTGCAAAGATTGTCTTCTTGTTGCCTTCACGCATAACGGAAGGAGGAGGAACGGTATGACGACGCTTGCCACCAGCAAGCTCAGGGTTGTTTTGCCGAAGGATGCGGTAGAAGCGATCAAGAAGCTGGACACGGATCAGCTTGATGATTCATTCCCAGAGATAGAGCCTAGCTGACCTCATCATATGTGTAATCCCTGTCGGTACCCAACCACTTCTCGTCACCTTCACCGGTATCATGTTCGCCATCGCGTGCGAACGGATCATCTCCAAGTTCTCCCTCATCATCCTCGCCTTCTTCCTCATCCTCGTCTTCAGTTTTTGACTTCTTCGACTTCCGATCAGCAGTATTGGCCTCCTCAAGCTCTCGCTCGAATGCCTCCATATCCAGGGCTTTCTTTGCCTTCTTCTTTTTCTTCTTCAGATCGGAGAAGTCAAAGTCGTCCTCAGCAGTAGCTCCGTTAACACCATCAGCGGCCGGTGCAGGCTCGCTGTCTCCCAAGTCGTCTGGAATCGCCTTCTTCTTTTTCTTCTTCATGCCGGCGAACAGGTCTGCATCTACAGCCTCCTCACCGTTCGCACCATTGGCGGTGGGTTCCGCCTCCATGTCTTCTGGCGCGGGTGAAGCTTCAAGGTCCATTGGTATGTCCTTCTTCTTCTTCTTTTTCTTCATTCCCTCGAACATATCATCGCCGTTGGCCTCCTCGGCTGGTTCGTCAAGCTGACCTCAATCATCAGTACAGGTGTACAGGGATGGGATGAATATGCATACCCCCTCCAAAGACACCTTCTTCTTCTTCTTTTTCTTCATGCCTTCGAACATATTTGCGTCATCATTTGCCGCGTCATCATCGAGGTCCTTGGGAGGTACGTTTGTCGGTTCCAACTCATCGGCATCAGCACCAAGGGGATCCTCAGTGAACGCAACAGCCTTCTTCTTCTTCTTTTTGAGACTAGGATCAAACATGAGCTCTTCAGACGCCATGACTGCAGTAAAAATACAGCAAAGATGGTCGTGCACAAGGAAGTGTAGTGTCGTCCGAGTCAGCTTACTCGCCGCGTCAGAGGGTGACGCCCTAAATGAAGTGCCAACCGTTCCCGCATTTTGGTCCCGTCATCGGAAGCATCCGGCAGCTGTCCAGCTTCGGACGTGCTCACCATCCCGACCTTCGTCCTCATCATCCTCCCCTTCTCTCTTCGCCGTCCTCCTTCATAGACAGCGATGTCAATGCTCGCTCGCGCTGCCTCCCGCCCATCGCTGGTGCGCGTTGCTCCGGTTGTCGGTGCGGCGCCGGCTGCTGCCCGCAACATGGCAACGCTCCGAGAAATCGAGCTTCGGTTGAAGTCAGTCAGGAACATCGAAAAGATCACCAAGGTGGATTGTGTAGCATGACGCATACATCTACGGAGAAGCTAATATATGCTCTATCCAGTCCATGAAAATGATTGCCTCGACGAAGCTGGCTCGTGCGCAGCGCGCGATGACATTTGCCAAGTCGTACGGCATTGCCAATACTTCAATCTATGAGCACTCCGAGGCCGAGAAGACCGAGACCGAGGGAAAGAAGAAGAAGCTCTTTATTGTGATATCATCCGATCGTGGCTTGTGCGGCGGTATCCATTCATCCGTGTCCAAGGCCACCCGCAGGGAGATCGAAAACGATGAGGACAGCACAGTCGTCGTGCTCGGAGACAAGAGCAAGGCCCAGCTCTCGCGCCAGCTGCCCGGGAAAATTGCTCTCACCTTCAACCAAATCGGAAAGGATATCCCCACCTTTGCCGATGCTGCGGTGATCGCCGACCAGATTGTGAAGAGTGGTATTGAGTACGACTCTGTTTCCCTGGTCTATAACAAATTTGTCTCCGCAATCTCATATGAGGCGGCTGTCATCGAGGTGTTCTCTGAGGAGACACTCAAGAACTCCCGTGCGTCCAGGTGTACTGATTCAGTCTAGTGGGTGGAACTGATTGCATTATAGCGAACTTCCGCGTTTATGAGATGGAAGACGACGTAACACGGGATTTGTCCGAGTTCGCCCTCGCTAATGCCATCTACGCCACCCTTGTCGAAGGTCATGCTTCTGAACAATCTTCGCGCCGGAATGCAATGGACAACGCATCTAAGAACGCCGGTGAGATGATCAACTCACTCACCATGCAGTACAATCGTGGTCGCCAGGCCGCTATCACCAACGAGCTCGTCGACATCATCACCGGTGCATCTGGTGCGCTCTCTCCTCGTTTGTTCCTACTGTCATGTTTGCTAACCGCTTCTTCAGCCCTGTAAAAATCGACATGGGACTCCCTGGTATGGTTACAGCGGTGTAGATGGATCCCAAAAACACTGTCTAAATATTCCAAATAATATCCAATTTCTGGATCTCGGAATCTGCCTAGCTCAGAACAACATGAAGTCCAATATGTCATTGTTTCTCACGTGTTTCAGAGACAAACAGTGCCCCAGGGCAGTGACAAGGGATCAACAAACGGCAAGATCCGCAAGAACCTCGGCACGTAATTCGCCTATGAAAGGTTGGATTTCACATCGGAATAATATCTGATTAGCAGTGGCAATCTTCCGGCAGGGGATATCGGAGCCGCGAACACAAGCCGCCCGCTCTCCGTGTTTTCTGCACAGCTTTCTTCATTAACGCTGATCTCGGCATTCCAGCAGAGCACGGATCCACGAAGCACTGCACCGAACCACCATGCTAACTTCCCCTGTTTTCGCTGCGCGTTCTCTGTTTGCCAGCTCGACGCCGTGATCGTCGGAGAGGTTTGTCTTTCTTGCTTTAACTGGTCATACCTCGAGACACATTTACGTATTGACGTGCTGAAGCTCGCTCGGGATTCGCGCTCACACCAGTCTCAGCCGACTGTTTTCCCTCTGGGTATCCCGACCCCGGACGGAGTAGTCAGCATGTCCCTTTCATGTACGGCACCTTCGAGATCTTCTGACACACTCTATGCCGGTTCTGCGAATTCTTGGTCAGTCTTTCTCTGGGATATAAATCGGGGATGTTACCATGATCTGGGGCCAACAACAACATAACCGTCTACCCTTCGGTTTGCGCAAACTTTGCGTTCCTAGCACTTCACCTTCTAAATCGACCTCATCTTCGTGCCTGATTGGGCATCACATTCTACTATCATGTTGTTCTACAAACCTGCCTTGCTCGCGACCGTACTCGCTCTTTTCGCTGGCGTCTCAGCAGCACCCGTTTCCGGAACCGAACTGGAGGCTCGTGTTGGCCCCTCTGGCTCTGTGATCTTCCCGCCTGGAAATACCAAATTCGTGAACTTGGGCGGCACTGGCGATCTCCATATCCAGTATCAACGTGTTAATCAAACTCTGTCGGGCAACCGCGGGCCTGCGTGGACCGTCGGTGTCGACTTGTTCCTCGAGGATCCCACTGGAAGGCAGGCTAGTTTCCCCGTATGCATTTTCCATCTCTGGTGTCTCCGATATCATTTCACATATTATATACAGATTTGCTCTGATCTTCGGGCGAATCCAATCAATGCGGCTGTAATTGACGCGCATTTCGTTCCGCCCGTGGGTGCATGTGGAACCTACAGTTCGTCTCATTGGCTCTGTCCGCCCAGTATCGCATCCTAACATGTACAACAGACCTAGTTTTCCAGGAGCACCAGTTCTACCTCGGGCAAGTCATCAGCTTCAGGGCTGCTGCCCCTTACGTCAGCATCACCTGTGGCCCTATCCAGTGATGAGCCTGATTCCTTGTTGTTCTTTCTCGGACCTTCTCGATCGGACAATGTTGGACGGATGTATTCGCACGTCTATCATCGAGATCTCATTGTAAAGTTTTATCTGAAGGATGTATCTATGACGTTATTAACTTGCCCGACACTGCTTTGATCGCATGCCTTCTCTCCCTGGATGTTCCAGTGCTATTCTCTAACAGGCGCTGCTCGATTCCACTTTTCTGGTGTTATCGCCTCAGCCTAGGCTGCCGTCCATCTCGGATGTTGTTCGCTCCTTGAAGGAACCTTGTAGTGGTGCCGCACGTCCTCTTGCCCTCCAAGGTCTCTTTCGAGCACTTTCTTGCGCAATGTTCACAGCATCGGTGAATAACCATTCCGATCAGCGATAACGCACATAGAATCAGGCGGAATGTCCGCAGTGCCCGGACTTTGGGGTGCATCTAGCGGGTTGGTCATTCATTATAAATTTCAACAATACGTGATGTCCAACGCAACAATTCAGCACGTCTCACGCATACTTCAACACCACTTCAGCAACATCTCCTCTCGGCCGACATGACTTCCTTTAGGCACGTACTCTTCGTCTTGTTCTTTATGCTCCTCGGCTTCACGCATTGCCTCCCTGTCCTCTCAAACAGCCCAACCATGTTTGCGAGGGCCGCTGGTCCATCTGGATCTTGCGTTTCTCCATCGTCGGTGAGCCCCTGTGCTTCTCTCGGACAGTGCTTAAGAATCTTCAGGGGAGGCTCAAGTATTCTCAACCTTGGTGGTGAGTATCTATCTTGTCCTACTCTGGCCAGCCAACGCAGACCTTGTTTTAGGGACTGGTTCAATCCATGTCGAATATCAGGGCGTCCAGGGCACCACGCCTGACGGCACTCCATACCATACGATGGGTATAGACGTGATCTTGCATGATCCAACCAGTGCTATGGCGGACGTGACGGTATAGCTTTCAACTCGCGTCGTTGTCCTTCTTCTTACCGTGACACCAGCTCGCTCAAGGCTTGAAGCCCAATCCTCCTTCGGGCACCTCCATCTCCGGTTACTTCACCCCTCCATTGGGTGCTTCTGGTTCATTCAGTCAGTCGATCTTTAGGCGAGACGAGGGACGCAGACTCATGACATTCCCAGACCTCATAATCATCGAGCATCAATTCATCTACAATGAAGTTCTCTCCTTCCAAGCCGCTGCTCCCCAGATTACTATCCAAGCCGGACCCATCCAGTAAACGTTGAAACCCGGTTTCTCAGAAAATGAATGGACACAGAACAGCGTGCTTAATCTCCGGACTCGTTCGAGAATGTAGCTTGGCTCGCATGGACTCCTCCTAGACTTTCTAAGCGATAGAATCTTCTGACCAATTTTGTATGTATTCTCACCATTTAGACTGTATTAGACCGTATTTCCGTTCTCATTTCTCCTGTCCCACGAGTCAATATCCAGAACAATGAGCCTCATTGAATAGTTGACTTACCAGTCTGGTCATTTCGAGGGGCACGTGAATCGTTGTAACAGAGCGGGGATGACCGGGTGAGACGTGCCATTGAGTTGATATGAACAACACCCTTTCTCCTTGACAAGACACAGTGCTGGTCTCGCACATGGGGGCGGGGAGTATATACAGGTCGAGAACATGCGAGTTTGTGAAATCCGAACCTCGCGGTACGTTCTCCAACCTCGTGACTCACATTCACCTCCCCGTATGACTTGCCACAAGGTCGCTAGAACGATGGAAAGACCAGTTGCACGTGGCAAACGCGGTGAGGGCTCGGCAACACAAACTCGACGTTTCACGCCCATACGAAGCAAACATTGGCCGATCGTTGCTCCAAGAGCTATCTTCTTTCTATGTACTCGCTGCTAGGCTATACTGCATGTTGGAAAGAGTTGGAAAGTGAGAAGGGAATTTCGAAACACCGAATATGGTGCCCCGTCTTTGAGGAGCCTCTGCATGGCCCCGCCAAAAACAGGTGGCCACCATACATGAAGGCCACATGTGTCCTTCCGATTGTTACAACTCAGTCCACGTAGAGTCTGTTTCTGAAACGACCGATTCATTGGAAGCTCATGTGTACCCTGGAGTGTTTTGTGACGCAGCACTGTTCACTAAGACATGAAGTGGTAGCTTCGTGCAGTGGCTACGAAATGAAGCTTCGGACCGGTTGCGGATGACGGCGGGTTGTGGGGCAGGCCGCTTCTCCGATCCTGTGTACGTACACGTGTGCCTGGAGACCCGTTCGTGGTAGGTCACACTCAGACCCATCGTTGAATGGCATCAAAATGACATCCACCGCAGAACATGAGAAGATCTCCTGCGGAACGTCAGAACCCATAATTCCCCCAGTTGCTTCATGAGCTTGTTGGACAGCGGTTGACAATACCCGGTGGAGTCTTCTAGAGATAATTGGCGAAGTTACTCTTGCTCTTGATCACGCGCATTGGGGGTCCTTTCACGGAAGAGGAGGCACCATATGGAACCGGGTTTATCGGCCGCGTTCCTTGCCGATCCATAAATGGGGATTTATTGAGCTGACCGACCAAGAATCACAGCAGGCGGCCCTGTGGAAACGGATGAGAGAGTAATGTACCAGGCCGGACAAGGCACAACGAGGCCTCCCTCCACAAGGCGACGGTGGCTTTCATGGCGGGATAACCATCTGGCCGGTTGCTGAATCCGACACGCGGGGCATAGCCAGAGAAAGTTCCACAAGAAAGAAAAGGTGCCGGGAGTGTCTTGCGCAGTTTTGTATTGTAGAAAAGAATGCAAGGAGCGATTGTACTGCCCCTACACGGGCATCGGGGCAGATTGTAGCCGTCCCGAGATGATGCTGTCATCAGCCGGACTTTGTCCGTAAGATATGAAATGTATCAATCAGCGTTTTGAAAAGGTATTCGAGGAGATACCGGTGAGACCTCAGGAGGCGGCAGCACAGGATATCGGCCTCTAACAGGGTGCGAAGTCAGGGACGGTCATTACGTTATCGGCGTTTGTATCCCAAGGTGACTCGTGTTCTTGCGAGGACGACGCACCCCTGATTGAGGCCTCAGCTGCTCCGCTCGCCGAGGACATCACTGCGCTTCCCCAACGTCTCCAGCACGCCATCCACCTCCTAGTCCTCTCACTTCGCCACACACTCTTCTGTATTATTGCACTTGTTGTTGTACTACAACTTGTACTCTAGTCTCTTATCGCATCTTATCTGTATCAACCACCTCTGACACGACACGCGACGCAATGGACTTTGGCAGCGAATGGGATGTACACTCTCTGCCATCCGACTTCTCCCTCTCGCTTCCCTCTTCTCCAGGTCATGGGCCAGCCGACTCCCACGGAATGCCTGGTACACCGCTGTCGCTTCACTCCGTTCCCGACTCGGTCTTTTCCTTATCTCCTCACTCGGTAAACCATGCTTTCCTGCCACCACCAATGGAAGATAGGGAGAGGGACAGAAACGGCGCGCTCGAAACATCACGCACACTCGTTCTACCGTCCTTGCCGTGGCCCCCCATGGCTAGCCCGTACGGGGAGACTATTGGGGAGATGAAGCTTATACTGGTTTCCCGTGCCAGCGATGAAGAATCTCGGGAAAGAGTGCGCAGGGCGCTTCTCGACGAGAACCACGACGTATTACGCGTCTATTCTTCTGAGACTCTGCCTGATGGGTCGAAAATGATATTGGCGGATACTACTATCCGGACGGGAGAGACTGAGGAAGGAGTGAAGAATGTTTGTGTCACCGAGACTCTGGGGTACGATGAGCACGGAGACGTACGTCTGTTTTCCGGATTATCTCACATTGAAAAGCTACATTAACATCAAAGGTTAACGATGCAATTCGAAGTGTTCTTCCCTCAGTGTACGAACCGTTTCGACGCATACAGTCTCTGTTGCATCCCGCCGCCGGCCCAACAGCTTTGTTGATCGACCTGCTCGCGTCACCAGGCAGCCACTTCTTCCTTGCTTGTGTCTTCCTCTTACCCCAAGGTCAGTAGTTTCGCCATCTCAGAAACCTAATGAAGCTTACTCCACGGAATCCTGATCACTTGACAGATCCCACTCCGCTGGAACACACTCTATTCCGTGTGTTGGAGGCAACGATGCCCATTGTCAGCGTGGGAGACAGCACCACGTCATTGCGGACGCAATCGTCATCTTTTCCGTCTCCGACCCGGCGGCAACTCCAACCTACGCATACCGTTCCAGAACTTGTTTACACACTATTCCGATCCCCGCAAGAACGCGATAGGTTGCGGCGAGAAGCTGCGGCTGGCTTCCTTTCGTGGTGGTCTGCAGAGCGCGCCAATGTGTCGTGTCAAGTCGATCAAGTTGATGTTGTGGCAGCAGACTCATTCTATGGCTCCGACAAAAGTCGAGAGCTGCAGCAGAGTGACGCGCTGTCCTCCACGCCACTGTTCAGAGCCTTACCCATGCCGGTTCTGGACCCGCTCCACCACACTATGGTTTTTTCGCCTTTGACGCTACTGCGACCGCTGCTCCACCGAATGGCGCAGTGGACACTTGACACCGCCGTTCGAGGTGGCTGGCGCTGCAATCAGTATACCAAGGTTCCTTGCACTCCCGCATGCATGGAGCCGGCTGAGAAGAGATTTTCTTCCCCGAAGACATGTTCTTTAAAGATAGCAAAGATACCAGCGTCCGACTGGAACGGACCACACTGGACGTGGGGAGGCATCGCACGCGGTGTCGCAGGGTTCGCAGCTATAACTGTGATTTGGGCTGGTCTCGTATGGGCCACGACTATATAGGTGATATCGAGTCACACCTGGAGAGGTGATGCTATTCTATCATTCGATCTAATAGGTTTTTTTCAGATATGTCGGATGCGTTCGGACCGCATCTGTAGCTGGTCTTGGTTGCGGATTATATCCGCTCCAGGTGCTTCCGCAACCATCACTGTTTTATGCATTTTTCATTCTGTTCGTATGATGTATCCATGGGGAATGTAAGGCTAATCAGAAGATACTGCGGATAAACAGACTGAACCCTGGTTGCATTCGAAGCTTCTGTCCAGATCTTTCAGTCCAAAACATACCCATTGTCTGTACGATGACGACAAAGAAGGAATCGGACTGTATCATGACAAGGACGATACAGATAAGATTTATCTGAAGAGTCCGCATCTTTGCCGTAAAGCTCGATGCGGAGAAAGGCGTCTATCAGGGCCAATGTTTGGTAAAAAGGGCCTAAACCCAGGCTTACCTACTTCTCTCTTACGTGACCGGATTTGCTTACCCCCGTGGGTTATGGAGACTGACGGAATCGCTGATTGCAGACTGGGTCAACCCTGGACAGGGTTCCGTCAACCATCAACAGAAGGTCGGGGGTGACCGTGGGCAAAAAAAGAGGGACAAGTGGGCAAAGTGTGGCGTCTCACGAGGCATGATTGTAATGACGTGCTTACGGCAGCAACGTAATTGAAAAGGCTCGTGATCGGGATCTTTGCTTCCCTTCCTTCAACACATCCACCGGGCCTCAGACAAGCCCGTGCGCGTGTCCCTAATCAACTCAATCAAGAAATCCGGGAAAATCTACTTAATTTCCGCTTTTATACCCCTCCTTCTCGCGCTTCTCATCAGACGGCCCGTTTCTCCATACGGGAAATTCCCCATTCTGCCCGGACAAGAAGACTTCCATCAGGCATACGGTCCAAATTTAAATGCCTGCCTCGGTCGAACCACGCTGAGAGATGGGTTCTGCGACTTTGATTTCGCAGTAACCGCCAGCGCAGTCAGGGATACAATGTATTACGTGATCGAGCGGACAAGCAATTATCTTCCGTAAGAAAATGGTAGGGTGCAGATGGCAGATCAAACCCCGATGCTCCTCGGTGAAAGGAGGTTAGACTAAAAGGCACCGTGTTTCTAAGAGCAACAACTGTATTACAGACGCATTGTGCGTCTCTTTTCGGCATGTCGCCGTGCAACAAGGTGCACACTTCACCCGGATGTCCACGAGCCACGAGCACGAATAGAGTTCATTCTGATACAGTACCATTCTGTGGGTCTGTCTCGACCAACAAGCGGTGGCATGCGGGTCAGCTATGTACGACTTGCTGTCGATCGTTCTGACCGGTTAATTTGGCATTGCAGTACAGTTGCCAAGAAGGAAAGAGGGGGTAGGAGTGGAAGTGTATTATTTGCTCCCTGAGCGGAATAGGCAGGTGGCCGTCGGGGAGGGGAAGTTTACACGAGTGTAAACATGCGCCAAGATTCCCGCTGGGCAGACCGGTTCACATTACTCGGAAGCAAATTGAAGCTCCGCCCAAGTCCTGTTTCGTGCCCCAATGGGTCGGACGGAGAAAACGGGCACAAGCCCTTGCGCTCCGGCCCCGGCAAAGTGCATATACCCAGCCCCCGCCATACGAGGAGACCCAACTCGACCATCTGGTTTCGAAAGAGAAAAGAGGGGAAATATACAAATAATTTACTCCTACAACATCAACGTATCAGCTATAACCGACAACCGACGTATTCCCAACGCTGACCAAGACGTCAACTTCGTGGGCGACCACACGGGCGTTTACACAACCGAGTGGGTTGAGAGAGCGAGAGATTCATACAAAAGGGGGATTCCCTGCACGTCTCGTATCTGGGGGTTGCGCGACGCAGCACGACTTTCGAGCAACCAAACTTCAACCTTCCGTCACTTTACGTTGTTGTCGTGGCCAAGAAGAACGACGCGGGATTGCCAACTGGACCAGCGCCTACTATCGCACTTTTCCCCGGTCGGACCTTCAAGAGACGAGTCTGAACGATCCAGACACTATATCCCTTTGTATTTCCGCTTGGGTCGGCCCCCGGTCAAGACTCAGGCCAATCCGGGAGTCTGGTGCAACTGACCCAGTTTTTTTTTTTTTCGGTGCGGAGTTGGGAGAAGCGAGGGACGGAACCCGAGGCCGAGACTCAAGTCCCTCCATTGAATCGTCCCCTTTGAAGGTCAACCCCGTCGGCAGAGTCGCACGATTTTTTTCTCTCACGGGGAAATCAACACCAAGCGACCCCTCTCGTCCACTCGCAATTCCCGCGCTCGAACATCCCCCCGAGCTATCTCCCTCCTCATCCCCCTCTTCTTCCTCCCCCTCAACTTCAAGTCTGCACCCGTTTGTCTGCCTTCTGTCTGAACCCTCCTTCAAAGTGCGTGATCCTCCCAATCATCACCACTGCCGCGGCAGAGGAGGCGACCGCACTCCGTCCCACCGGAGACCACATGCACCACTCCTCCGCCTGTCTAAACACTGCGTAACGACATCCTCACGTATCGATCCCGTGCATACCGATTTACCGGACCCTTCAAGAACCGCTCCGCGTCTCGAAATCACACCTCTCCCTTCGTCCCTTTCCCTCTCGCCTCCTCCCCGCACTAAACTTCCCCCCTGCCTCTTCCTTTGCCCCTATCACGGCGTCGCAAGTAATTCCAATGTCGTATCGTGCATCGGGTCCGCTGCATGATTCACCTTCCCCTGGTCCAGGCGGAGAAAGACCGGAGAGGAGTCGAAACGCGAAGGCTCAGGCCAAACATCGCGCGAAGCGGGCTGCTTATGTCAAGGGAGTACGTGGACCTCTTCCTGCAGATCGCCACATACTGACGTTTGTCTCCAGCTTGAGGATGACAATCTCCGTCTCAAGGCTCAGCTCGAGGCGGTGATGTCCCAACGTGGCTTATCTGCCATGGCGGGAACATCGCACGGTGCCATAGGTAGCGAGCCGGAGAGTCGGCGTCTGCAGGAGGCCGAGCTCGAGCTCGCTCGGCTTCGTTCTGAGAACGTTTCCCTGCGTGCTCAGCTTGAGAGGACGGGCGTCAGCGTTCCACAGCACTTGGACTTGTATGGTGGAGGCATTGACCGCCCGCACAGTGCCTCCTACCCACAACGTCCTGCTGTGGATATGCATGGGGCCTACCCGCCTCCGCGGTCTGGCTCCACCTCGTCTAATAGCGAGTCCTCAATATCTCCTGCCGTACAGCAGCCCGTTCCTCCAATGCTTCCACGCTCGCACCAGGGTGGTGCCGTGCAGCCGTCTCAGGAGTCTATGGCGAGTTCCTCTGCCTCCATCCCTTTCTATCTTCTTCCACTCCCGCCCAACCATCAATTCAATTCACTGCTCATCGCTTGCGCGAGAGCGGCCTCGCCCCAGCCGTCTTCGTCCACGGCCCAGTCGAGCATATCCCCTTTAACCTCTTCCGTGGCGGACCTGCAAGGCACGCCGCATTCCCTGCGGACATCTTCGGATGGTCGTGGTCATGGTCACCCTTCTCCGCCGTTGCTTCCTTCTCCCCACTCTGCGTTTGGAGATGTCGGTAATAACCTCAACCTTCCTCTTTCCTACGACAGGGCCCCATTCCGAGAGTTTCTTCCCCCGCAGCCGTCCCAGGAGGACTTACAACAAACAATCTATCCGCCAGTTCAATACGATCACCTTACTCCCAGCCTCCACTCCCACCCGGCCAACACAATGCCCAGCACGCTACCTCCAATACGCGCGATTCAATGACCTATCAAAACTATCTCTCTTCTGGAGCTTATGCTGTGCGTCATTACTTGTCTGATCTACCCTAGTTCGTTAATTTGGTGAGCAGTCTACCACTTCTAGAGGTCAATCGTTCATGCCACAGGATGGTTACATGGTAAATTAAATCCATCTTCGAAAAAGCACTAGTTTGATAGCCTGTCGATAGGGACAATCGTCATCATACCCCGGGTCTTACGATCAGCAAACGCAGGCCCAACCCTGGGCTACTTCATACAACGTTCCGGGGGGCTCCACCACCACAACGCCCAACGCGTCCACCTATCAGTTTCAGAACGCTTTTGCTCATCCCCCGCCACCGCAGCAGCAGCAACAAAACACTCGGCAGCCACCTGCAGGAGGTGGAGGTGGCATGGTGAAGTGGGAAGCCGAAATGTAATTCCAATGTACCTATGGTCTATCTCTAGCCCTTGTTTCTCTGTTCTGCCTTGCCCTTCCTTGTTTCCCTCATCACCAACGTTTCCACAACATCCAGTGTCCTCCCGCTGTATCGATGAGATTGTTTTCCATTTAGACCTTAAAGGTGGATAATGTGAAACAAGGTGATTAATTTCCCGAAAGTTAGTTCGCATCACATTCCAATCGCATCTTCCTGAGCGCCCCGAAGGGTGACGTTGGTCCAATTGAGAACTGCCGAATCCCAACCGAATTGCAACCGAGAGTGGGGCCGTTTGATGCCGAGTGGCTGTCTGAACGGAAGCAATCGTAATATTTATCGCGTTTGTTCATGCCTCGACTTTTTTTCCTTCATCCACCAATATGCGGCAGGTACGTTGAGTTAATCTTCTCGATCTCTTCAATTTTACTAATGTCTGGTTATCGCTTATGTGTATTAGTGCGAAAGCTGCGAGGCTCGACACACGACAGGACCGGGTGTCTCACTACTGGGACATCTCGATCCTCTGTTCTCGAGCGGGAAGGTCTGAGCATATTTGTCCTCCTTGATCGACTCTAGCAGGGTCCAGCGGTAAACCGCTGAGCGACGCACCAGAAAAGCGGTCCCGAGCACCTCATTACATACCAGTATGTAAACGCCCAACGATCTCTGGTCGAACGGAAGGAGGGCAGGAGCTAAACGGATCATGGGAAACGTCGCGAGGACAGGGCGACGGTGTCTTGGTTCCTGGCAGCGCATCGTACGGTCTCGCAAGGGGCCTGCGCGCGCTGTTGGGCCCGTCGTCCTTGGGTGCACTTCGCAGCTTGGGGTCACGCTCTACGCGAGCATCTCAAAACTCGATTCAGACTATTCTTGCCCTGCCGCATCGGTGTTGCAATTTTTTCCATTCCTCTCCTTCGTGGAGATTCAACCTTGATCGGTGCAGCCCAAACGCCACTTCGCGTCATCAGCAAATCTGTGTGCTTCAGCGAAGGAAGTGTCTTTCCGCGAAACGCCCTATCTCACGAGGGTACATGTGGTGTCTCAGACTAGGCCCTTACCACATCTCCACACCTGTATGAGCCTAGTTCTCAGGCACGAACACATTGTATTGCAGTACGCTGCGTGGATCCTTTATTTTGCCCAAATTTTTGTAGGATAGACCTATTCCATATTCTTTATTCCACCTGTCCACCTGCACCTCCTTGGTTTAGCTAACGACGATCAACGGTGTGGAACCTCCCAAATGCCTCCGTTCACGACCACGCGACGCAATCCACATCAAACTTTCTTCTACGTGTGATCGAACCGCGTTCAGCCACGCTGCTTGCCTGTGGTGTAACTTGAAAACAACTATAGAATCTGATGAGAAGCCGGTTCTGCTACAGGATGTGGTCTGTCAACACGGTCATTCAATCCCCAAAGCGCTTCTCAGGAGAAGAACGGCATGGATCACATCGTGACAGCGCAATTGATGCCTGTTCACTGCGTCCACAGAGGCCGCGTGTGGAGATTTTCCGTTCCCAATGCGTGAAGAGCACAAATACGACCGAACTTACTGGGAGAGCCGACCAGGGAGTGTCTCACAGAAAATACCTCGCAAGAGCCGGATAGTCACATGCTGGAACCCCAACACACCCATCGAGACATGCTACTTTCCCGGCCATAGTCTGAAAACGGCTCTGAGACTTTGCCTAGCATGGGATGGACAAGAATTTGCACGCCACACATCAAGGAACATCAGAAAATGGACCTGCGACAAGTGCCACGTCGTTGATTGTGTTAGGAAAGCGAGCATATATGCTAAAAGAAGCTAACTTCTAGACACAAGGCTCCAGTCACGTTCTGAATGAGAGGGCCGTTGAACCTTCGTGGGTTCAATAGAGCATGTGGTCGTGTTCACCAGCAAGGAAGGGCATATCGAGAGTGGCGAGGCTACCTTTCCACGCAGAAAAGCAGGTTGAACGGGAAAAGATTTTGTGAGAAGTCTTTCCCCTTTCAGTCAAAATCCGTTCTGACCTGGGAACTGATGCAAAGAAGATTGATTCAGGGCCACGAACCATAATAGGAGCATCAAGGTCCTCGGGATACGAAACTTCTTACCAGCCAAGGAGGAGTTGTGGTGTTCCGGATGCGAGCGCGCGCGACAATAATTCAGCCCAGAAGAAACATATCCAAGACATGACAATGAACCATCGAGGGATAGGGTCTTGGCCTGGACAAGATTAACATAATCGACTCCATCGCAGACTGATCCTGCTTCTCGTACGCAGCCTGGTTCCGGTTTCCTTACCGACTCGTCTCAGGTCTTATGGTTTACCGTCTGCGAGTGCACCTATCGGCAGACGTTTCTTTTGAGGACACGCAATCGCTGGCATCGCGGCATGAATATCTCAGCGTCCAAGTGACGTGGCCGTATACAGAAGACGTTCTGGCCGAACCGGCGTCCTGTCGGTCAACGCGGAGAAGTAGGTTGCGGAGTCAATCTTCTCACCGAGACTAGCCTGAATATAAGCACGTATCCGCATACAGACGAGTGCTTCCTGCATCCACACCCCGCTTCAGTCTTTGCGGGGCTAGCTGTCCGGAAGGCTTCGTTTCCCATTTTTTCTATATAGTGGCCGAACTCACAGATGGTGAGGGTTTAATTCTTCCCCCCCTCCTCCTTCACCGGGCTCATCATCCGTCATGGCAAAGGCAAATATTTCGACACTCGCGCGAGTAGGACGCGAACTTCCTTTCGAAGTACTGGATGCGATCGTCAACCTGGCAGAAACGAAGGCTGACATGGCGTCGTGTGCATTGGCCAGCAAGGCATTATGTGAGATTGCCCAGCGAGCCATGTATCGGCGACTGCAGTTTGTCCTGCCTACGATGACAGTCAAATGTTGTCAATCAATGCTTCGCAAACCCATCCTGGGATCATATGTCCGCTTGCTCGAGGTCGCAGTTATGACTCGTGCTCTGGAACATAAGGATGGCACCCTTACTTCTCGGTGCTACGAGCCTTTTGAAAGCGCCATCTGGCGGATTCTTTCAGAAGCTCTTGAGCTCATGACCGGGCTCAAGCGGCATCTTCTTGTTGCGCAATGGCATGGTGCTATGGAGATCCTGGTGGATCGCCCATTCCGTCTCAAAACATTACACATCAACACTGTTGATCAGCTTCCCATAAAGCTCCTGCGACAACAGGACGCTATCAAGGAATTAATTTTCTGGTCGACGGCCGAGCCATCGGACGCCACCTTACGGGCAATAAAAGCTCAGTCTAGGGAACTTTTAGCCAGCGCCGAGCACATTGGAGGGAGATACCAACTTCTTTGCCCTTTGCTCTCTGGACACGTTCTCAGAGGCTGCGACTTTCTTATTGGTCCTCCAGTATCCTCGGAGAAGCTCTCAGAGCTCCTGCAGAGGACAGGCAAGGCGTCACCCAAGTTGACGTATGTCCATCTCTGCCTGAAGACACTCGCTCAGCTCGATCTTGTCACCCTCAGCGAATCGTTCCCATATACGGAAGTGATATACATCCACATCTATGGCGGCGACATGCTTGATGTACGTCATCATCATCAATTCCGTACAGTCGGTATCTGATTAGCGCCCAGTGCTTCTTTCTCGAATGGATGCAACGAGACGGCACAATGGAAGCTTTTGGAAAGTTCAAAGCGCTCAAGACGATCTTGCTCTCCCACGCTCAGTTTACACAGTTCCACGATCCGGACCAGTTCCAGGCGGCGCTCGATGCGCTCGCGATCGCCTGTCCCACGCTGCAGTCGCTCTCCGCCCTAGCTGCGCATATCGACTACATGCGTTCGACACGAACTATCATCAAAGACTCGTATTGGCGCATCAGGGATGGCGAGGCACCGCCGTCCAAGTTGAAAAACGGCGAGCTGATGAGAGGCGCCAATTTGGGAGAAGTGTGGATGATCGACCATGTTGTCACTGTCAACCCGATTTCTCCGGCTTGGTCCGCCGCGTATCCGCTGGAATTGACAGAGAACTGTGTTTGGGATGTGAACATCGTTGTACGCTTCCGTTTTCTGGCATTTCACTTTGTGGCTAATCCAGAGAATAGAGTGGACGGTAGGTTCCATTGCCCACTCCGTGGCTGCAATAAGGTTCTCGCGACCCCGATACCACAAAACTCGCTTATCCCTTGGCTCCAAGGTGCTTGCAGAAGAAGATTGGACTGTTGAAAGCTTGGACGGACGGAATACAGGTTTTTCTCACGTCGCAGCGGTTCCGCTTCTCAAACCAAGTTTCCGTATCAACGTGCAAAATTCGTCCAAAGGATGATCCATCTCCCCTCCCATCTTTTCACACGTCCTCTTATATCGTTCTTTTGATAGCCTGGGTATTGGAAACACAATCCCTTAGACAACTGCCTGTGGATACCATTTCATTTTATTTTGTGTTTTTCTTTCTTTATCCATTTTGAACTTCCCTCTCTGAAAAGGCACGACAATACCTACCCATTTCGAAGGAACGCATTCATTAGCAACACACTGAGTACAAATGCATTGGAGTTTCCCATTACGAAACCAACATGTTTCTCATTAATTTGAGTGATTGGTGCCGTAAGTGACACGTCCTTGTTGTCCTTGTTGCCCTTCGACGTGAACATCCAACATTAACATATCAATGCTGAATTGCTCATAGTATGGCAAACAAGAAATCTTCAAAGTCATCAGCACCTTCCACTTCTCAACAAGCAGCAAACAAGCAGAATGAACGTCCCTCCTTTCCCCTCGCACGCTACAGCACCGTCTTACCTCCTCACACCCTCCTCCTCCTCTTCACTCTCATATACCTCCCACGCACATCCTCACTCTTCTTCCCCCTCCCGCCAGCCAAATCAAGCCTCGACCACCCACAGCCAGCATGGATGGAGCCAATTACCGCCGCACCGGCGTGGACGCTTGTATGGGTCTGCTTAGGGGTGTGGGGGTGTGTAGGCGCTTGGGCGGGGAGTGTGCGACGGTGGGCGAAACAGGAGGGTATGGCCAACCCGAGCAGCGAGTGGATTGTACGCCCCTTCCTTTATTCAAATGACTTTGTATCTGATAACATACACCCAGGCGCTACGGAACGCCCTCCTCTCCCTGCTCATCAGCACTCCGCTCTTCTTCCTCCTCATAGTCCTGTTCGGCGCACCAACGACACACCATCTCCCGCATACATTCCTCCTCTCCCTCCTCCTCTCACTCCTAACGGCTTACGTACCGGAGTACGTCCTCCCCCCGCCGAGGCAGGACAGCTCGACCGCTAGCTTAGTCCTGAGGTACACGTGGACGCGGTTGTTCAGCGAGTTCGTGTACGTCCCACTTTCCCTACCTCTCCTCTGCGGTACCTCTAGCGCACAACAATATTAACACGCGCACAGGACCGAAACGGAATTGGAGCGGATCCTCGTCTACCCCGCTCTGGGCACGCTCGTCGGCGCCTGGGCAGGCGTAGCCCCAATTGCACTAGACTGGGACCGGCCCTGGCAGGTTCGCCCTCTTGCATACATGCATCTTCCGCAACAGCTGACGCGTTTGTAGGCGTGGCCCCTCACCCCGGCTTATGGGGCGGTACTGGGGTACGTGGGAGGGTCGTATGCTGCTATGGGCATGAATGGGCTCGTGTATTTCGCGGCGCAGGATAGGGAGCTGAAGAAGCAGTAAGAATGCACAATAGAGCTGGGAGTTGAGTGGGTGAAAAAGATCCTTCTATTGGTATAAGTTGGTACATCTATAATCCAAATCCACCGTCCGATTACTCCGCTGCCCGCAGCACGTCTACCGCTCCCACAGCGTCCAACCCCCCCTTCTCAGGGCGGATCACGAATCCGCGAGCTGCACCAGATCTCCAACAGTGCGCATCACGTACGTAGGCTTGATATCACTCGCATTGGGCCCCCCGACATCTTCAGGCTTGGCGATACCGGTCATGACGAGGCAGGTATCAATTCCGCCCTCGATGCCGAACTTGATGTCCGTCTCTAGCCTATCGCCGATCATGAGCGTCTTATGGCGGTCGAGATGTTGCCTATGAGAGCACTTTTCAGCGAATACGAAGAGTACGTGAGAGGGAAAAGACGCACTTGGCAACAATACAGTCTAACATCGTCTTGTTCGGCTTGCCGATACTAACCGGACTACGCTTGAGAATATACGTCAGCGGGGCCGACATGCTCCCCGCACCGGGGAGGATTCCCAGTTTAGCAGGGTACGTGCTATCATCATTCGTGGCAATAAAATGGCACCCTTCGTTCCTGACCAGGTACTGCAGGGCTTTGCTGATCTTGGTGTACGTGAGATACTGGTCCAGGCCAACGATGACCGCTTTGACGCTCGGGTCGTCGGTGAACGCGTCGAGCTCGTATGGTCCGGCGCGGCAGTCGAGAGGATCGGATCCACCGGTGTATTGGATGCCTTCCGCTGAGAGCTCCTCCTCGATCCCGGACATGCCGATGATGTAGACCCGGTCGGTGGGTTGGAGGTTGAGCACTGTTGAGCAGTAGACGGCGGTCGCGTATGCTGAACCGAAGACTTCTTCCTGGAAAACCGTCAATGGGACTCAGAAGGGGGAGGGAAGGGAGACACCTCGGTAGCCTCGATCCCGAGGACGTCGAACTTTTTCTTGTACGCTTTCCGGCTCTTGGTAGCGTTGTTCGTTACGAAGATGATGCGTTTCTCTGAAAACAATGATATTTCAACGCAGAGAAGTGTGATGAGACGAACTTTGTTCCCTGAGGAAAGCGAGTGCTTCTTTTGCACCGGGGATAAGGACATCCCCTTGCCAGAGAACACCGTCGCAGTCAAACAGAAAGGTGTCGTATTTGAGGAGAGTGCTAATATCCTCCGGAGTAGTAAGGTAAGCCATTCTATAAGAGTGCAAGCAAAAGAAAGTATAGCAAGAATAGAGGAAACGAGATAGAAAAGTCGTGGTTGAAGGAAGAGATGTGCACCTAGGGAGGGATAAGTAGATGAGGTAATGTAATGTTGGCTGGCCGGGGAAATAAGCCGGATGTTACCGAGCGCAAATCCCTGACTGGGGTCACGTGGTCTATCCCTTACGCCCCTCCCTCATCTCCACGTCTCCTCGACCGTCAACATGGCCGCCGTTCTACGAGAATATAGGAACAAGTCCGTACGTGCACCACATGAGGTGCTCAAACTAGGCAGGAAACTGCTCCAGACGCACAGTCCGGGTGCGTTGGGTGATGACCGTGAGCCCCCTCATTCCGTTCCATCACCCACAAACACTCACAATACGCATCTTGTGACACAGTATGGCCCTTACTCGAACAGACCTACCTCGCCGCTCTCGACATGGGCGACACCGCATTAGCCGGGGAATTGTTCTCCCAGCTGGACCAGCGGTTCCCGGGCTCGCAGAGAGTGGAGATGTTGCAGGGGGTGAGGCTGGAGGCGGATGGAGAACTGGATACGGCGAGGAGGCTGTATGAGGAGATCTTACAGGGGGAAGAGAGTAATCTTGTGCGTTGCGTCCTTTACTCACTTTATATCCGAGTCTACCCTCTTTGGGTATCTTATTTTATCTCTATTTCTGGTTTCTCGCTTCTTCACAGCGGGACTGCAACTCATGCCAAGCAGATAATCTGGAAACGCCTCATAACAGTATACAAACAACTCAACCAAGTACAAAAAGCGATCGACAGCCTCACCCAGCTATTGGACGTGTTCTATAACGACCTCGAGGGTTGGCTGGAGCTCGCGGCCCTCTATACGGAGATATTCCAGTGCGTCCCTCCTATCCCTCTTTGTCCCCGTTCCTGTGCCTTGCTATCCCTCTACTACGCAGCTTCTCCTCTGCTGCTTTTGGCTCTTCTCCATTTTCCCTCCCTTGTCCCCCACCCGCCGGTTCCGGTACCATCTCCCGTCGAACATCGCTAACCCTTACGCCAGGTACGACCACGCTCTACAAGCGCTCTCCCACGCCCTCCTCCTCGCGCCGCAAAACCCCTTCCACGCACTCCAATTCGCGGAAACCGCGTATACGGGGGGCGATATCCCTCTAGCCCTGTCCCAATTCCTCCGAGTGACAGAGCTCGTCCCTTCCTCTTCAGGGCAGGGGGTGGGACTGAGAGCGTGGCTGGGGGTCAAACAGTGTATAAGGAGGATACAGTATGCGCCTAAGAAGCTTGAAAGCAAGAGTGGAGCGCCGGGGGTGGAGAGACCGGGGTTGGTGGATGAGTGCGCGACGGAGAGGGTGTTGGAGGCTTATGACGGGGAGGGGGTTTGTGTAGAGGGGAAGAAGGCGGTGCGGAGGTGGTTGGGTGCGTAAGCGGGGTTGGGGGTAGGGATGCTAGATTCAGACGCATATGATACAGAGTACGGGATACGGGATAGAGTACGAAGAGCAGTCGATACCTGGCTAATGAGTCTTTCTCCTGCCGCTTAATTTCGTCCGCCCAGTTTTGGGCTTCTTGACCATCCGCTCTTGCTCCTCCTCTTCCTCCTCTTCCTCGTTCTCTGCATCTTCCTTCCCTCTCTTTCCCTTCCCCTCCCCTGCTACTTCCCCTCCCCCCTCAGCAGCGCCCCACCACCCCTCCACGCCCACCCCCGCCCTTCTAAACCCCTCCAGTACCTTCTGCACCCGACTAGCAACCTGCCTGGCGCTCCTGTCCACCCCCCGTTCCCTCATCGCGCGAGAAACGGCCGCCCAGCGCTGTCTTGTACCCGGAGGGATCTGGGGAAGGAGGGACTCGAGCAGTCGGTGTTCGGACGTGGACCAGGGGAGGGAGTGGGTTGTGCTCCGGGGGCGGCCGCGGGGGCCTAGGACCGAGGCGGGGGGGATGGGGGAGAGGAGGGAGAACCGGACTGCTCGGACATCGGGTTCTGACTCGGAAGAAGTGTCGAACAGGCTTTCAGGCCAGTCGGCTGCCTCATCTTCTGCTTGCCCTGTCTCTGTCACTTCCTCTCCTGGCGAATCCGTCTGCCCTGCAGGCGACTGCAGCTCCTGCTCCTGCTCTTGCTCCTGCTCCTGCTCCAACGGGTGATCCCTATACCCAGTCCGGCCCACCGGGGGAAGCCCGACTTCCTGCGCGAGTGCATCTAGTTTCTCCCTCAATGGGTGGGGCTCTCTCAGGTCTAGAAGTGTGCGTTTGGGAGGGAAGGTCGTAGAAGGGGGAAGGAGGGACCAGTCAATTTCCGGTACATGGAGGTACTGAGCTGGAGGACGATGGAATGCGGGATCCTTTAGCTGTCTGATGTTAGCGCTTGAGGAGTGGACGGGAGGGAGTGGGCGTACTTCTGAATCGATATTGGCGAGAAAGAGTTCTGCACTTGAGCGGACTCGCTGCCGGAGAGAGTCCAGTTTTTCTAGATCTGCTTTCGTACGCTGCAGATGTTCATTCTGCGTTGCTATAAAGTGTTGTATATTCGCTATTCTACGAAATGAGCTGTGAAATGAGCGATATAAAATTGCGTACGACGTTTCCTTTGATATTGTCATTGTCAGAATTATGAAATAAATTAAATGATGACTGTCAGGGTCCATTCTGTTCAATTGAGTCACGCTGTTATCACGTGATATAACGCGTTCCTGTTCATTTGATTCCGTTACGCGTCGGTTTCTTTGTTCAATTCATCCGCGCAATTCGGATACAATCCTTCAGCGCCTCTTCTCTCTCTTCTTCTCCTCCTCCTCCTCCTCCTTCTTCTCTCCCACCACCACCACCACCAACATCAACAACATCAACAGAATGACAACCCGCAAACCAGGTACACACAGCACAACATACACACTCGCACCACCACCTCCTCCTCCAAACTGGTCACAAACCCCAACACCAGGGGGGACGATGCCCTACCCCTACTCCTACCCCCAACCGGCGCAGACGATGGCCCACCACTTGCCTGGTGCGCAGCCGCCTCCTCGTGCTTCTCCTTCCGGGCCAAGGAGGGAGAGTGTGGGTGCTCCTCCGCCTAAACCGCTCGGGTTACCAGAGAATAGGGACTTCTTCGCCCCACCCGTATCTGGGAACGGCAAGGGCAAAGGGAACGGACGCGTCACACCGCAGAACGACCCGCATAGGCGGGGCATGTATATCCCCGGATCTCCAGGTGAGGGGAGTGAGTCGGGAGACGAGACCTACGGCCTCGAGGACGATCCTTGGGGAGACCGTAAGGGCAGGAGTGGGGGTGGAGGGATCATGGGCGCCGTGGCGGGGTACGTGACTGGCAAGCAGGGGAGAATGACGGACGAAGAGATTGAGCTTGAGGCTAGGAGGGCGAAGGAGGAGAGTAGGCGTGAGGCGGAGCGCATACTTGCTTCGGAACGGAATGGGCGGAAGGTGTCCCAGGTAAAGGCCCTGCTCTGTTGCTTGGTGCGGTGCTGATTGGTTACAGTCGCCGAACGAGATTGACCGCCAGAATATGGAAGATGAGGTGCTACGCATGCTACAGTCTTCTGGCCCGCCTGTCACCAACCCCCAAGCGCCCGCGCCCACGACGCCCAGCACGCCCAAGTCGGGCAACCCCTCCTGGTGGACGGCGGCCAGAGCCCGCCTAACGCCAAACAAAGACCGGTCTCTCCAGCCCCAGTTGGACGAGACCGGCAAAGAGCTCACCCCAGCGCAGCAGATCGCGCTCGAGTCGCGCAGGCTGAGGAAGAGGAGCGGGTCCGCTGGTGCGGCGGGGGCACAGAAGGGAACGAGCTGGTTCTCGTCCCGCTCAGAGGACAAAGATAAGGACAAGGAAGGGAAGGCCTGGCCCGCCAAGGGGGACAAAGCTGACGACCCGGCCTTCGCCCTCCTGAACGGAACTGCAGGGCGTATGTCGCTCGACGGCCCACCTACGACTGGCCCGCCGGACCACTCGCGTCCGCGCACGCAGAGTCTTCCCCCTCCCCGTCCATCTCAGGCGTCCGGTGGACTCTCCGCCCCTGGCACACCACTCCACGCACCTCCTCCATTGGGGAACCAGCGCTCTCCAGCCCCGTCATTCCTCTCCGCCGCCCCTCGCTCGCCCTACCTCTCCCACACTCCCACCGGTGCCCTAAACATTCCCGAATCGGTCCAATCCATGGCTGCCCGGCTGGAAAAGCTCGAGCGGTGGACCGTAGCCCACGTCCGTGCCCTAGAGGACCGCATGCGCGAAGTGGAAGAATACATCGTCGGCCGGGAATCTGCGTGGGACGGGGCAGAACAGGGTGTTCGTCAGCTTCGCCATGGGCTCGAAGAGCTTAAGAACGTTACGACCGCTCTGAGGGCCTCGGCTCCTCCGGCACCGGAGGATACGGAACTGGGCAGGGCGATCAATAGCGCTTGGAGGAAGGAACATGCTTTGCCTCCTGAGGGGGAGGTGAGGGAGAGTAGGGTTGCGAGGGTGGTCTCGGGTGTGAAGAGTAGTGAGGATGACTTGAGGGCGAGGGCGAAGGGTGAGAAGGCGGAGGTGGCGGAGAAGCCTACCCCTGCCCCTGCTCGCCCTCTCTCCCGCACTCCTATTCCTGCGCCTGTGCCCGTTCAGGGAAGACTGGCAGCCCCCAAGGTAGAAGAAGACCGCGTGAGTCTGACAGGACTCGCGGACACCCTTACGGACTATAGCAAGATGTTCCTCTCTGGCACCGATCCGGCTGACGTCTCCCGCAACACGTCCCTCGCGAGGAGCGACGTTTCCGGCCGGACGGGAGACTCAGACGCCGAGGTTTATGGTCTTCCTGAGGGTCACCACGAACACCACCAGAGCCAAGGAGAAGAGACGGAGGAGGAAGCAGAGGAGGGCGACGCAGCTAGCAGCATCGCTTCCGACGCGACGGAAGCCGCGCATTCGCTGCATTCCGGATCTGGCTCGGCAGAGGACACAGCTCCGCATACCCCGCCTCCAGCTGCTCTTTCCCTTCCTGCCGGGAAAGACAGCCTCAACCTCAACCCCGCTCTGGACGGGAGCGCGATCCCCCGCACCCCCAGCCCCGGGACCACTCCCCTCGCAGGGCGGGGACACCTCCCCAGACCGATAGGGGACTACGCGACTCCCGACGCGAGCCCTCGGGTGAGCCCGACCGCGAATCTCAAGCTTCCCCGTGAAGAGAGGGAGTCAAACGCGAACCCCAGCCCTGGAGGGGGGAGGAAACGCTACACCGCCGCTCTAGGCGGGAAGGGGGACCAGAAGTCCGCGAAGAAGGACGAAAGGGAACGTGGGGAGGGGAGGGCGTTGCTCCCTACCCCTGATACTCCTGGCACTGAAGTGTTCGAGCCTTCCCCCGAGAAGAACTTGCCTCTTGCCAGGCCGAGGCCATACCGCTCTCATACGGCTTCTGCGAGTGTTTCTGTCCCCCAAACCCAGACGGGCAAGATCTCCCCGCCGCCAAGCGTGAGCAGCAACGGCACCAAGAGCACAGATTCGGCCGGGACGAAGCAGACTGGGTTCTATACCACTACCCGGCCCCGTCCTCGGCCGCACAGCATCTACGCCCCTCTGACCACCCAGAACCCAGCGCCTATCAAGATCCCCCCTACGCACACGCGGCCCAAGCAGGTCGGCCTGGGGTTCGTCGACCCACTTGTTATACGCAAGGAGGTGAAGGAAGTAGGCAAGGGCGTGCAGAGCGCTGAGGGGCTGAAGGAGGTCCGAGCGGGGAAGAAGACGGCTAAGGTTGGCGAGATGGTCAAATTTTTCGATGCGGCGCCGTAAATTCTTCGTGCTCGGATTTGGTTCTTGCTCGACTTCTAAACCTTCTTCTCAGAAACGTGTTTGATTGGTTTTCCTTCTTTTCTTGATATTCGAACAACTTTGCACCTTGCGCCTCCCGTTTGGAAGGTTCATACAACAAAAACCCATGTTAGAACAGGCCATGCCGGTATGGCACTATAAGCTGTATGCTCTTGTCGTTTCCGTTTGACTATGTTGTGTTATTCCGTTCATCAATGCAGTCGTTACAGTGATGCACGTGTGCGTTTCAGCGGATAACCTTACAGGATGAATGTATTAGGATGATATTTGGAACGTTAGCGAGATGACAGGGGGAGATCGAACCGTCAAACCCATACAACAAGCAACGAGCAATACAGGGATACACCAAGGATTTACAAGACATGTGTCGCGAGCTATACGCGCTCTTTTACGATTGTTTATTTTGATCAGATACGTCTTCGTTTGTCCAAGAAATCTGGTTCAATGGATCAATATCTATCAGCACACGTGTTGAGTAAAAGGACACACAAGGAACAGATCCAGGCTCCCAGCCCACAACTTCCACAGCAAGGTCTCGCAGCGGCTGAAGCAGCTGCGCATTGTCCACCGCAAACTCCATCGGGACTCCAATCATCTTGAGATCCGCCACAACCGGAACGTTCTTCCTGCTCTGAACGAGCTGAACAAGCGGGTCGACCCAGAACATCTGATGGTCGATCCTGAGCATCTCGAGAGCCGGTACGTAGATCCGGTCCAGGGGAGTAGCCTCGCTGACTCGCAGGAAGTCGACGTGTGTGAATGCAGAGTGCTGCCGGTCTTTGAACGCGAGACTGAGCGATGTCGTGAATGGCGTTGCGCGCAGGATGCTTTGCAGGATAACGGCGCGCAATCTTCCCAGCAGGGAGAGCTCCCGAATGCTGGCAAGGTTCGAGGCGCACGCCGCTGTGAGGGTTGTAGGCAGTCCTTCTTCTTCCCCGCTCATTAATAAGACTTCGAGCGACCGCAATCGTGGCGCAGTAAAACTGGACAGGATGACGCCACAGTCAAAGGCGAAGACGTTCACGAGTTGGATAGATCGAAGATGCGGCAGCGTGGGGGCATCCAGTGGGGGAATGTACGGCTCTGTGGGCCAGCCTTCAAGATGCAAGGTCTCGATAGTGTCTACCTTGCTGATGAGATTCGCTATGCCTTGAACCGACTCGACTCCTTGCTGCATGAAGACTGAAAGATGCCGTAGGGACGGCCAAGATGTGCGCAGCGGGATACTTGAAGGCATTGGCGCTTGTTGAAGTGTAGAAGGTGGTGGGGTAACATCATTGTCTAGATACATGTGAATATCTTCGACTCGATTCTTGGCTTCTACGGCAAGAATGTCGTCTAACTCGAGTACACGGGCCAGCCCAAGAACCCATAGAGAAAGTGGCGATTCCGCACTCCTGGTGAGCCATGTTTGGATATCGTTTGGAAGGTGCTCATGTCGAGGGCAATAAGCGTCGCTGTCGCCATAGAAGATGTTTCGCCACAACAGGGGAGTGCCAATCGAGATTTCTCTCCAGCGCATTGACACACGACCAATTGCAGAGAGGAACTTCCAGAGCTCTCCCCATGCCGCATTGACGTCCATCTCCCAAGAGGCGACATATGACTCGAACACCATGCTGAGCAGCTCGTTAGGCAGACCAGCAATGCGGCTGCTGAGAACAATTCCGGCCATGTCTTTCGCTTTCGCGTAAATGGCGCAAGGTAACAAGAATGAAGCGCGACACGTCGAAGTCGAGGCTCAAATCAGATGTTGATGCGCAGCCCGAGAAGCTTGTGTCCAGAGCGGGGCTGTCAGAAGATGTCAGAGGTTGAGAAGGTAGGGTCGCCTGCCAAACGCCCCAAAAGACAGATTATATGGAGCTGGAAAAGGAGTTGAGACTGGCCCTTGTAGGAGTTCGCAAGACAGGTTCTGCTCACAACTCAATAACGAGCAGTTGTGTTTCCGAGGCTAGAATAACGCTGTAGTCGAACGCGAGACTTCATGCGATAAGGAATCGATACATTCTCCCAGGTAAACAGGTGCAGGCAAGAATTGGCGCTTTCGTTTTCGGGAGTGAGAGATCTGCAAAACGAAGCGAAAGGCAGACAACCCTTTGATTGTCATGCCCGAGTGAAGGGGGGTAATATACGATGACTGCTGCCGTAAGACATTTATCGCTTGGTTCCGTTCGGCCGTATCCATGAGGGGGGTTACCATATCTGGAAACAGGACAGCCTCCCCTGCACGTGAAACCCCGCGCCTATTCTTGTTTCACGTCATGCAACACCCTGCCTTCGGCCACCGACTACCCTTCTAGGTGTTCCACTAATGACAGGTTGAAATCTGCGGCTCTTGGGATATTTGGTCACAATGAAGATAGAAGCGAATAGAGCTCAGTCCCATGATCCACCCTCAAGGACACGGAGAAGGCTCCCGACTTTCATCCAACCTGTTCTCCCTCAATTTGACCCTGCAAACCCAGGAAGTCACACAATCATCATCCTGGCTGCCTCGATCATTACTCGCATCTTCACGGCGCTTCTCATCAATCTGTGTACCACCTGGATTCGTTTGCCATTATTTGACTCGTCGCCTCTTGTAGAAACAAAATCTGCCTTGTTGCGATGGGATGTGTTCCATTTCGTACATATCGCGGCTCTCGGGGGTACTCCGGAATGGGAACATGAGATCGCATTTTCAGCTCCTGGTTTATCTTATATTACAAACGCTTTTGTTGCTGCGATGAATCTGCTCAGATACAAGAACGATCATGCCACCCTCCGCGATATTCTGATCCTCGGAAGTTGGGCTGTTTCTGTCATTGGTGTTTTCGTCCCCATAACGCTTTACAAGTACGTACCGATCTTTTCGTTCTTTCAACCACTTGAACTCGCTAATAGACTCACTGTTGAAATCACTGGAGCACCCGCATTTGCGCTGTGCGCGTCTTTGCTCTACTGTCTACCCTCATCTCCACCAACCACGCTCTACGCCGGGTATACCGAACCCGTCTTTGCTTTCTTTGCGTTCAATGGTGAGCTCGTATCCTTTCGTTTATGATGCAAACACTCAATGGAATTAGGAATGAGACACGCCGTGAGGAATGAGTTATGGAAGGCCGCGGTCCAGTTCGCGATTGCCCAGTCTTTCCGGAGTAGCGGTGTTCTGCTGTGGGCCTTCCCAATCTGGTATCAGCTTGCCGAACCGGCTTTAAAGCGCCTCATCAGCGACATCAAGGTATCCGTTTCGCCTTAGAACAGCGAATCAACCGATGCTAACGCAAGAAAGCACGTGCGTCCATTCATGATCACCCGCCGAACAGACTTGTACATCCTCAGCGTCGGCTTGGCGGTCATTTCCCTTCCCGTCGCACTCCTCGTGCTCGAACTCGCCTTGCAACGTTTCACTTCTCTGAAAGACTTCTGCACTACCACGAGGATGCGCCCTTGGTGCTTCGACGGGGAGTGGACACATTGGACCTCGTATGCATTCGTGCAAGAGCACTATTGGTAAAGACTTTGCAGGTCCCCATTAACCTGATTGACGGGCAATGCAGGAACGTCGGCTTCCTACGGTACTGGGAACCAGCACAAATACCCAATTTTCTGATTTCCGCACCAATCTACGCGATGAACTTCTTTTATTGCTCCAAAAACATCGAATCCGGACTGCAGGGTTACTTCGGCAACCCTTCGTATGCCTTTGGGAAGCCGTTCCTGCCGTTCGCTTTGCATGGTCTGGGATATAGCCTGATTCTCTTCTTCACCGCCCATGTCCAGATCATGCTACGCCAAGTATCAAACCTGCCGATAACGTACTGGGGTGCGACCGCGCTGCTCTCAGGTCAATTTGGGGAGAGAGGGCGATTCTGGGGCCGAGCGTGGGTTACGTGGAGTGTGATGTGGGGAGTCATTAGCTGCGTTTTATGGGCGACGTTCCTACCACCGGCATAACGGTGTTGTACCCTCACACGTTTGTCCTAGATACCTTATCCGAAGATACCTTCGGCGTTGCCGTATAAACAGATAGGGCGCAGGAGGAAAGGAGAGCATGTCATGATATTGCATAGCTCCTATCCATACAAATGGCGCAAGCGACAAAGAGCCTCGGGCATATGACCCACTCCACTCGCATCTCAACCACGGAGACGCCGGCAAGTCCACCTCACATGCCCCATCCTGATGAAAACTCAAAACGACACGTAGGTGGCAGTCATTGCAATCATCTATTTCTCTGGGTTGGCGTTCCTGTATGTAAGAGTCAGAACAGTTCAATCGAAGAGTGATTAAACAGAAAAGAATCAGATAGGAGCGAAAGACATTGAAAGATGCAGTTGTGTCAACACGATGTGTTCTGTGTGAACTATGCAAAGCAGATCGGTTCATCAGGTGAAAGGGAGAGTGCAGTACGCGAAAGAAAGCACAACGAGCAATCGAGAACAGTACTCACATCCTCCGCTTGCCACCAGGAGCAGTGGTAACGTTGACGAAGCTGGGTGGATGGTTAGCAAGAGTCGTTCGAGCAAAATGCCTGCATGGACTCACCGACGGTTGTAGAGCATGCGCTTCTTTGCGCGACCCTTCGGCTTCTTCTTCTTCTCCTGCTTATCAACCTTTGGTGTCTGCTGCTTGACCTTACCCGCACGGGCAAGGGATCCGTGAACTGGGTAAATGGCATGTCAATGAGGAACTGATGGTCGTCTGACAGAGTACTGTACCTGTGGACGATATTAGTCAACGTGTCAATGCTGGACTAGACGAATGAACGCACCTTTTCCCATTCTGGACTGTTGAAATTGTTAGTAAGAGAACGATAGATTAACGTTCTCTTGAAGGTGCCGATATTTGAAGGCGAATACGGCGGCGTAGACGGCTCTTGCTGTATCGACGAGTGGAGAGCTGAGACGGCACTGAGTAAGGGTAACTGAAAATGTACAGCACCTTAGTCTAGGGCAGGTCTTTACGGAGGCAATGCGGAAGCAACCCCTTCGCCACCTGGTAATTATTTCCGAGTTCGGTTCCGGGTGACTTCACCGTTCGGCTCCAACAAAATAAGGAACGCTTTGAGCGCCGAATATCATAAACGTCCTTCCGTGGCGATTCACGGCTCCGCCTTCTGAAATTTTTGGCTGCGTCGTGCCAATTACCATGTCAGGCACACTTTGCTTCTAACGCTGTGGAAATGGTCTGGCCATGCTCGGCCGCCGCAAGCCAGCATAGACGGCACAAATTTGGATTCTTGTTCAACGGATGTCTTCGACGAGTCACTCTGCTGCTTGTTGTGCTATCAATGGGTGCTTGTTGTGCTATCAATGGGTCACCTCATTGTCGTTCCTAGTTACTCAGCACTGCCAACATGGGCAGTATGCAGTGCTATCAATTTTGATTGCAGTGCGGTTCCTGGGCTGTGCCAAGACGGCCATTGCTTATCCTGTGTTATTCTGTCACGGTAACGGTCTCGCTGTTCCTGGCCTCATGCCCTACGCTGGTTTGCAATCACTTCATTTATGCATCCTCCGACAGTATCATGGTCACCCTCGTTTCGAAATTTCTTCTATTCCGATTGGCCGGGATGGCTCGGCTGTCGTTCCTGGTCTGATACGAGCCTCTTTCGTCCGACATTAGCGTAGAGTATACCAGGAACAGACTAGCTTCCGCTGTGTCGGCCTTCCTGCAACAAATGTTGGCCCACCACCGACACGCCGGTCACCTTTACACAAATTTGTCGCTTCTTCCACCCGCACAGGGTAGCCTCTCTCCTCAGTCTTACCTAGCCCGTCTCCTTTCTCCCGCCGTCCGCCGTCCGCCGTCCGCCGCACGCCTGAAGAAGCAACGCGATTAGCGCACGCTTGCCTTCTCTCTGCTTCGTGTGGCGTGACGCTCTCCTCGCCCTTGGTTTTCTCCTGCCAGGCACAGGACCGGACACGTCTATCCGGCCACCTGGCGGTCCAGACCTGAAGCGGGCCGAGCGCCTACAGCCCTGTAGGGTTCAGATAACCACGCGGGAAGGAATACATGACTATTGTCCCCGATGGAAGCCACTGATCTAGATAAGAATCACGCTGTACTTCGACCTGGGGGAGGCGCACCTCCCCCTCGTGTGGAAGGACATAGCGGAGAGCGCGGAGCACCAGCGGGTCGCGAGAAGGCCTTTGAGCGCTCCGCGGCCGTCCTATCTCCCCAGGGGCCGCTGCGCTCGCTGGCCAAGCTACGGGGGAGGCGCAGAAGCTTGGTAGAGATTTTGACTCGGGCATAGGCAGCAAACAGCAACGTGCTATTGAAGTCTACAGAAAACGAGCAGTCACGCTGTACTGGCCGGCATGAGCGTGCACGTGGGGCAGAAGAGCCTTCGAGATGATGAGACTTCCCACGGGCGCCGGCTAGAGCTGGCAAGGGGCAAGACTGGTTGGTTAAACGAGGGGGGAAGCGTCTCCCCAGACTGCAGCTGGAGAAAGCACGGGCTGGTGAACCTGATACCCACGCAGACTTAGAGGAACGCTGAAGGAGGAACGGGGTGAATCAGGGCGAAAAGGATATGATTCTCGCGTGGTTGTTCGGTGAACACCTGGCAAAGAGGTGTTCCTCTTTCATACAATTTCGTCCAGCTGCGTCGAGCGATGAGCGACGAACATCCCGAGTCCCATGCCAGACCCGTGCAAGCTCGACTGTTCACGAGCTGAAGAAGACGAAAAGCTAGTTCGGACGACCCTCCTGGTTTGATATTCACAGGATAGTCACAACAATTCTCCACCGTGCGATGCGATACCCAATCCAATGCATCCCAGTCCAGCCCAGACCAGATCCTAAGGCTTCGGCCGACCGAAGCAGAGCTTTCATCCGCCAGGAAGGGGGAGGATTAAGGAACAGAACGAACAGAACAAGGGGAATGAACACTGGATGGAGACAGCTAGTGGGGATTTTTGAAGAAATTTCATTTTGGGGTTGGGTTCTGAGCACATGGGTACACTTTGGAGGTGCGAAAACCCCGCTGTTTCAGAGTCCTAACAAACACAACAACAAACAAATAGGAGGACATTTTTTTGAAGATAGATAATAATGCCAAACGAAAGAGAGAAAAACAAGTCCAAAGCTCAAAGAGACGGGCCCAAAGAGAAAAATAAACCCACATAAACACCAATGTTCGGCAGGAAAACCCCAGGCAAGGGGTGTCTAAGACTGAACTGAGAAAAATGGGAGTGAAATAAGAGGTAAGAGTACAGGTACATCACTTGAGCCTTAGACAGGCGTACAGGCGTACAAGGGAAACGACGAGGGACATAAATTAGGCGTGCTGGAAGGGCACTATGCGATGCTTTGGATTCAGGCTCGATTCAGGCTCGATTCGATTCGTTTGGTTCGGTTTGGTTAGCTTGGTTTGGTTGTGAGGATGGTTAAGGTTCAGGCGATTTTGATTGATTTTGATTTGATTGATTTTCGTTTGGTTTGGTTTGGTTTTGGTTTGGTTTGGTTTTGGTTTGGTTTGGTTTGGTTTGGTTTGGTTTGGTTTGGTTTGGTTTGGTTTGGTTTGGTTTGGTTTGGCTCGGATGTCGGAGGACGCTGAGATGGACAACAACGTCCACAACGTCCACAGATCGAGGTGAGGATGCAACAATGCGACAGTGGAAAAGTGGGAAATGGGAAAGTGGGAAAGTGCGAGTGCTCAAAGATGCGGAAACATGCAAAAACATGCAAAAGTGGAAAATGCAACAGAAGGGAGAAAAAAAAAAAAAAAAAAAAAAAAAAGGCTCGCCCCGCCCCCACCCTCGCCGCCGGGCTTCGCCCTTTGTTCTCATCGTCTTTCTCACGCCACACCGCGTGCTCGCGTGCCCCGGCCCAGCTCGCGCCGGTCGGGCCTTGGGGCTTGGGGCTCACCAACCACCGAGTAATTCCCCTCTTGGCAAGTCTAGCGCTCGTCTTCTCTTATCCCTATCCCCATCCCCAACCTCAGGGCCCACAGCATCGACAACATCCATCTCCATCTCTATCTCTATCTCCTGCATATGTACGTCTTCCTCATCTACGTCTCCCTCCATCCCCATCCCCATCCCGCGGAAGAGCCGTTTCCCCAGGCCTAACTCTACGTCCACATCCACGTCCACATCCACGTCCACATCCATCCCATCCTGCTCCGAAGGGTCAGAAGGGTCCACGACAACCACTTTCGCCCCTCTCCCATCTGGAGGGATACGGAATGCGGTCGCTAAAGGTAGGGAAGGGCGACGTTTTGCGATGGAGGTGGGGGTGGGGGTGGGGCTTGGGCTGGGGCTGGGGGGGAAGGAGGTGTATGGGACTCCTCGGGTGAGCTTGGGCCGCTGGACGCTGAGCGCAGGTAGGGAGGGCTTGGAGTTGGAGTTGGAGTTGGAGTTGGGATTCGGGCGGAAATTGGCGTTGCCGTTGGCATTGGAGTTGGGGGCAGGGTTACGCACCGTCAGCCTTGTAGACCGGGGTGGAGCCGGTAAAGTGCTCGGCAGAGAAGGGAACGAGATCTTGCTCCTCTCCCTCGCTCCCCGTCCAACCCCATGAATGGGCACCTGCACCGGCACCGGCACGGGCTCATCCACGTCCTCCTCAAGCCGGAGAACGTTAACCAACGGGCTCCTCCTTCCCATCTCCCTCTTCCTTGGTCCTTCTTCCCTCCACTCTCTCTCCTTCTCTTCCAGCACCGCTAGCAGCCCCTTGAGCTCCTGAACCCGGGAAGTGAGCCTCGAGTACGCGCTTAGTTGGCTCGCGCTCAAAGGTGTCGAGAACGTCAGGCTGGTACTCGGCGTACTTGGGCTGCTGGAGGAAGAATGGGATAACGCAGGCGTCGGGGGCAGAGCGGGGAATTCCGAAGAAGAGCAGGAGGTGACAGAGGATGAAGTGCTTCCTGCAGGACTGGGAGGTTCGGAAGGAGCAAGCAAGTCCTCCAGCTCTAGACTCGTCTTTCTCAGCGCTTTGAGAGCGGACCAAGCGCCCCACCCGCCGGCGGACTTGTGGACCCGTTGGGTGAGCTCGGGCTGCACGTACCGGGCAAAGGCGTCGACTAGTGTTGAACGGGCGGAACGGCGGAATGTGCGGGATGCGGGGGTGGGAGGGCCGGCGAGGGAGTGCGTGGGGGTTGGAGGGGGGGAGAAGGGGAGGAAGGAGGAGAGTAGGGAGAGAAGGGAGGGGGAGGTTAGCGCCGCCCGTGATCCTGATCCTGATCCTGGTGCTTGTGTAGGTGAGGGAGAGGAAGGAGGCAAGCCGCGTTTTTCCCTCTCAGACTCTTCTGTTGACCTCGCCACGTCGGCGCATACTTTGTCCAACGCAGATCTGAGCGGCTGCGAAAGAGGGAACGAGACAAGGTCGTTGTCTACCATCCTGCAGTCTACTTGCGAGCGAGCGATGTCGAATGTGACGGAATGGAGGAGCTCGACTGTTGCGCATGCGCGGTCGAGCGCGTGTGCTGAGGGAGGGGGAGCGAGGTTGTGGGATATGGCTAGGGAGAGGGTGGATGACCATGCTGGTGGGAAGGGGAGAGGGGAGGGGAGAGCGGGGAAGGAGAGGGTGAAGAGGATTGTTAGTCCTGGTGACGGGGGAACGACGCGTAGTATCATTGTGGGCGGCGGCGGCGGTGGTGGTGGTGGTGAATGGTGAGTTGTGGAGGAATGAGTTGTCGGGGGAGGAATGTGTGAAAGTGGAAGGGAATGGATATGGGTATGTTATAGGCTATGAAGGGAATGTAAGATGGCTGAACGAGACAGGATGAGGCGCACGCACTTGTCGCACTCTCTCTACTACGTGTGTTATCCCTATCCGCACCGAAACGTTGCCGCGACTGAGTGTTGCGGGTGTTGCGGGCGTCGCCGTCGTCGTCGTCGTCGTCGTTGTACGCGTCTGAGATGGATGATGGTGATGGTGGTGGTTGAAGAAGAAGGAGAGAGCGCGTTCCCCCCCAAGAGCAAGGTGTATGCGCCTCGAGTGTCGGTATGATCTAGACCTTGTTGAAGTGAGACAATGTCCCCAATAAGACACAAAGCTTCCGATCCAATGAGCGTTGAGTGAGCAGTGAAGTGAGAGTAAACCCCAAATTAAAGAGGGAGTGCAATACATAATATAACATATATCGATATCCCTCTGCGGCCAGGCCCTTCCCTACTTTCACAAGCATATCACAACCTTCTGTCACGCGTCACTCATTCTATCCCCTTCTCACAATCCATTCCTTCTCCGGTCCCGAACTAACACTAACAAATGTACATCCTCATTCTATACCCTTCTCCACTTATCATACACCACCACCTGATATTATAAGGGCACTCTTTCCTAGTAAGGACTCAGTGCCACACCTAGTTAGACACTTAGACTAGGAACAACTTGAACATATGTATTGACGCCTTTCAGCCACCTACATCCGACAAACACTCCGCTGCGGTAGTAACCACCCCGCCAGTTGCAGTTGCACATCGGACCTCCTGGATTGTCGGCGCTCAGCATACCATACCTTGACAGCCGAGTCATTCCCGGTGGCTTGCAAGAGGCACGCACACGACCAGGCATGCATGCATATATATATGAAGGGAATGTTGTCTCGTCTCGTCTTCAAGGGTCTCATGCAAGGGAGAGCTAGGTGTCTTACGGAGATGGAGAGCGGGATAAGCCACCGGAGTAGGTGGAGATCTCGGCTTGAATTTGTTTGACCTTGACCTTGAGCAGGGGTTAGGAAATGAATGTGGATGTGGATGTGGAGGAGTGGAGACCGGGTACGTACGAAGTGAGTCAAGAATAGGCGAGTACGAGACGAATACGAACACGACGTCAACCCTCTTACAGCATCAACACATCAGCACGTCTCCAATACCTACTCCAATGATGCGATTATCATCCCAGTCTTCTGTTCTCCACCTTCGCAGCTCGCAACTCACCCGTCGGGCATCAGCGCCCACCTCGTTAGGCACTCCCCATCCCCCACCCTGACAGCCAACACAGTCAGCATCCAGACCGCACATCATTCACCCTTCCTCTTATCCTTATCATTGGCCCAGTTGCACCCAACTAGCCAACTAGCCAACCCTTACTATCCTTAGAATAGACCACCAAGCGCGAGCGCTTGCTTATCCCCAGAGCGTGCTAGCGGCCGCATCCCTCCCGACCGCAGAGGACCGCGTACTGTATTTATTATCTGGCGCTGGTGCGGGCGCTCAACCTACTCCTGCCATCCGACTGCCGATTACAATTCCCATAGACATCCCCGTTCCCGTTCCTTGTCATTTTCTTCCCATCCCCGTCTCTCGCCGTTTTCTCAGGCCTATCCTAGCCCAGCATCCCGGCCCGTCCCCCAATCCAAACTTGTCTACAAGTCCGGTCCCCGGGACGTGAGCGTTACTACAGTAGAAGGACGATAAGCTACTGTAGAATCGAGAGCCATGCAGCTGGAAGGAGTGGCCGAGTCGGATACATGCAGGTAGGAGTGGACGTGGACAGGGGAAAGGTGAAAATCCGACAACAACCCGTGTCTTCCTCTCCCCTTGGTCCGCTCATTCGCTCCCAGTCACGGATGATCATGATCAAAGTGTCGTACCATCCCCCTATTCGTATTCGGGCTGCTAAGGGGAAAGGGGAAGGGGAAGGGGAACCGAAGAGCGCCCTCCCACAGTGCAGATCCTCTGATCCTACTCTCGTCGTCCCCGATTTGCAGACAGCTAGCTAGGGTTAAGCCTAAGTCGCGTACGGCTAAATATGGAAAAAGATAATCGCGTGGCTCTGCTGGTGCTGGAGAGGCACGTTCCATGCCAAGGAATTCCGCTGCTCGTACGTACACATATGTATGTACTGTACGTGTAAGGAGGATCAGGTTGTTGCTGAATGATGAGCAGGGAGAAACCGGTAAAGCGACGAAAAGGGTTAACGTGTGCTTTATCCGGGAGAAGACTAGTCCCACTCTTCTTCAGGTAACACTCTGAGCAAAGTATGTCCAACGCGCCTCTACGTACGAGCCTATTCATCCCCTCTAGTCCGCGTCACCGTCCTGCGTTCTGCGTTCTGCGTCCTGCGTTCTGCATCACTGCGTCATACCCGTCCGTACCTCAACTTCTGCCTCTTAACCCCGTGGCTTCTGCCTTCTGGAGCATCCGACGCGTCATCGACTGCCAGTACGAGGGTTCGGCGTGGAGCCTGGGTCTATCTGAGGAGGGGGAGGATCTGGAAGAGAAGAGAGGCTGTAATATGGAATAGGAGGCGACAGCGGATGAGGATGACCGGCGGTGGGCCGTTGGGCCACGCTAGCGCCAGGTAATATAGCTCGTAGCTCGGTGTCGTATGATACTTGCAATTGATGGGGATACGGTCGCGTGGAGTGCATCTAGAAATGAGGAAGAAGACGTCATCGATTGATTGATTGATTGTTCGCTCGTCCTTTCTTGTGTTGATGTTGATGATCGTCGTCAAGGATTCGTACTTCATATGAAGCACGTCGGCTCTTACACCCAAGGCAGAGCGCTTCTTTCCTTCTGTTCCGTACTCTCGGCGGGTGTACAATCAGAGGAAGCATCTGCAGTCGGAGTACTGCCAAATCCCTCCCTCGCCCGTTCCCAGCTGCCTGATCAGCTCGCGATTGTCGTTCGTCGGTATCTGCTCATGCCCTGTTTGGGAGATTGAGGTCGATGGGCTGTCTGCCTTCTTCCCCTCCTTAGGAGTAGTAGGAAGGGGCGTGTCACCTGGGGCGTTCCCAAACCCTTGCAAATTCCACACATCAAAGTCTCATTTCATAATAATAATGGTGTGTGCATTAAAAGTTGCACACATTACTTATGCAATCCGAAGGTTGCTTACTATTTAAGGAAATTATGAGGCGAATCCGCCTCCGAGGTGCGCAAGGACACAGGCACAGGGCACACTTCTCGGGTATACTCATCAAACGGCCAGTTCCTAGCTGCCTGATCCTGCTATCCGTTTCACTCCCCCCGCGGTTGCGCAACCGCAGCAACCGCATCTCCTCCCTTTCGCGTCCAGTCAGGAAGTCTAGCTTGAACCTGGGTTGTAGAGCAGGACGAAGCTCTGTGCGCGAGCTCGACGCAGACTGTTTCTGTTCTGTCCATCCCTCCCCAGGCGCAGGGGGAGGCGTGTCGCCCGGGGCGTTTCCAAACCTTTGCATCCTCCTCCCGGAGCTCGTCGCCCTGATCATCCTCTCGTTCAATCCAGGCGGTAAATTGTCGGCATTCTCAAGCATCCGCACATTCCGGGAACCTGATGGTAGGCCTTCTACAAGTCCTTCATGAGCTTCAGGAGGCGGGGGAGGAGGAGGGTCACCAGGAGCGTTACCGAACCCTTCCATCCTCCGCCCCGAGGCGAGCTGCATTATCATCCGTTCGTGCACTCCGGGGCCGGGGTCGTAGAAGTGCAGTTCCTGAACAGTTCGCAAGTTTTCTGGCAACCTGAACTCGTCTGGTGCAGCAGGAGGAGCAGTGGTAGCGGCGGTGGTAGTACGCCTATACGGAGGAGGCGCATTTTCTTCAACCCGGCGGTACTCTGGCAAGACGGCGGGCGGGGGGTTAAGAGGCTCGCTGTGGCTGCCAGGCACATGGCTATTGTCGACCCCCAGGAATTCGATAAGAGGTCCGGTAGTGTAGCGGGGAACGTCGTACGCTAACCTTTCGCTGGGATCCGTGGCTGCAGGACGTGCGGTCCGAGGTGTTGCAACAGGATCGCGGGAAATGCCGACAACCTGACTCATGTAGGATGGAGGCACATCGTTCCCCGGAGACCTCCCCGTAGAACTAGCGGCGGTAATAGAAGTGTACGGAGGCGAACAAGAGTGAAGAGGATCGTTGTCCATGCCTTCTGGGTATCGCGAGATGACAGGGATACGCTTGCGGCTCTGGGTAACGTACGGTTACCAGTTTGAGAGAGAAAACAGTATTAGATATCCGAAATATAGCAGAGGACTTACAGTTGCTCTTGTGTATCCCTGTAGGGGATCAACAGATCGTAGCAGTGGATCGTTAAGGAGCAAGCTTGTCGAGACCTAGGAGGTTAACCACCGACTCCGTTGGAGTTGTGGTCGGGATCCGACACAGGATCAGGTGACGCGCTTTGCTTGAATGAACAATTTTGTTGTGCAAATGACTGGACGATCAATTTGATACCAGTAGGCTCGGTGGCATTGGTTTCGGCACTGCCAGCGCACCCCGGACTCGGCGATTCATGAGCCTAATTGCCTCGGTTTCCACTTCCGGCGCTTCGAAGATGCGAATCACTTCCTGGGAACGGTGCCGATGCGACTTTAGTATTGAGATATTGCTAGTGTCCAGTTATCTGGGGAAGAGAGGAGAAAAACGGTGCCACGCCGCGGAGACGGCCGGTTGCAGGAAGACCGGAAAAGCCGAAGGCGTGCGCTAATAAGATCCGTCTTCTGCAATATTTTCTACGCATCGTATGGAACGCGTGCTTGCCAAATCGTCCGATGTGTTGTAAAGACGTCATCCATTGTCTGCTTGATACGACATGCGGCCGTCGAGCACTGCAGGCGAGCCGTAATCTTTGATAATTGTCGTCAATCTGGAATGGTGTTGTCCTTCTCACGTTCCCTTATGTCACCGACACGTTGCTTCTTACGGTCAGGGCAAATCCGCCGGGTGTCTTATCTTCAGCGCCAGAATGCCCGATACCTCCGGTGTTCATTTCCAGGCCGCTGATGTAGAAGCAGTAGAAGCTGATGTTCAGGGACGATGTAACAAGGAATCACACGAAGCCGGAATACCGCAGAGGTTGTGTGCTCATAATAACGTGATTATCGGCCCTGGGGTATGGTGTTCTGATCCTCCCGCACACATGGTGTGGCGACGCCATATGAGCTCTGTGGCGCATCGTCACCGGAGAAGCGCTCGGCTAGCGAGCAGAAAGTTGAGCAAGAAGCGGAAATACACCAACGAAGAGTGCGAGGCGTGGCTAGCTCACCGCAGATCTCCGGACGCACAGAATACCGTTGGCTAGGTGGCCACTGCTTGTCGACGATGGCACGAGAATATTCGCTTGTTTACTGCTCGTCGCTCACGGATAGTGTCGAAATGCCCTCCGAACAACTGTCAGGCTATTCCATTTTGGGCCTCTGTGGCGTCAGTGCTCCTCAGGCGGCGTGACCGTGACCGGTACATCACCCGGGTGTTCTCGTATCGATTAGCTTGAAAAGCAAGTCCCCGACCACCACAGACCCTGTAGGGCCGTGGGATTGGGAGATGGTAGCCCAGGGTTGCAAAATTGTAGCCACGAAACGGTTCTCACAGGCCCTTGGTCGGAAGACGAACGATGCATTTATTCCTTTCTTCGTGCGATGTGCCAGCGAGTTGCTGGTAGACAGAGAAAGTACAACCACAATTGTTCGAGGACAACGATGGTCCGGGATGAGCTCGATTACTGCTGGTGAGATGTGGCATCTCCCGACGCGTGGATGATGAAGCGAGAGACTGCTGTTATGTCTTCTTCGCCGCTGCAGCTTGCATTTGTCGTTGTGTTTCGTCGTAGACGTAGTCATTCAGACCTAATCGGTTACGAGCAATCTGGCATACTAGGTTAGAGCATCTCATCTTTGAAGAAAAAGATGACAACAACTGACCTCTATCGCACACCACTGTAATACGCACAATATCAGCATTCTCATAACTTCAGTTACGCGCATCCAGACTTACTTGGATCTTGAGAACTGAACAAAGATTAGCCCGTATACACACAAGGCAATAGGTCAACGTGCCCAACATCGCATTATGCTCTCCGTACTCCTCTTTCGCGTTATTTCTCAGCAGGGTTCCAAAGTTATAATCTTTCAGCTTCTTCTCGTACCTGCTCGCGTAGTCAGCGTTCTTCTCCGCAGCCGAACAAGGCAAATCGACGGACTTAGCCATCCACTCTCTCCACCTTTTCTTCGCCTCCGGGCTTTTCAAATCCTCATCGTCCAGTTTACTCAGCTTGTCAGGAAAGTCAGCAAGCTCTGGGAACCCCTTCTTGAAGTCTTCGTAGATCTCGTCGTCAATAGGGGTCAGTTTGAGCTTTCGTGGCGGGATGCGAGTGATGAGGTTCCAATGTGTCTGTGCGCTTGTCAACATCGGTCACGCTAATTACGGGGAAAGACGCACCTGAGCATGTTCTACGGTTCTGACAGCAAACCTGCACGAGTATATGTTGAGTATCCGCAAATGAATCACGAGAGAGAACTGTACTGTTTGTCGATCTGCAAGCCATCGGTGAGCCAATACGAGCATACATGCGCGTTCCACACACACCTCAATCAAGTTCTCTGCTGTCTCTGGGTCGAAAGGCTGCGCCATGTTATTCACAGAGTGTTAGGGAGGATATAAAGACAGTTGCGTAATCAGAAGCAAGTGATGGTATGAATGTACAATAATTTCGAAGCCGGCTGAGGGTCCGCATTTGTCCTGCGTACCCTGCGGTGTACCATAATCATTCAATCCAACTGTATTAATACGTCTCCAGGCTCGTAACTCTGCTTCGCTGTCTGCATTATCACACACCCTCTTCATTGTTCGTCCAGTAACCGTAATCCGCAGGACATTACGGACTGTCCGCCGAGCCTCAAAAGCATGGCAGCGGGTGCGCTCCCCAGCTTGACAACATGATGGCGCTTAGACCTTATATCTAATGTACCTCAGCTGAAGACCCCGCACACGTCCGATTTCTCCAACTTGCGCTGGAAGAAACTGCCAAGTGTACACCAGTGTCCACTGCCTTCTGCGTCGGATGCGTCATCGTCGACCCATCTGGGACAGGCCCGCATGTCGTGTCGACTGGTTACTCGCGCGAGCTGCCGGGAAACACACACGCTGAGGCGAACGCGCTTGCTAAGCTACCCGAGCATGCGGGGCATTATGGACTCGACCTGTACACCACACTCGAGCCCTGCTCTGTCAGGATGAGCGGGCTGCAACCATGTGCAGAGGGGATCGTGCAGTCGGGAAGGGTGAAGCGGGTCTTTATCGGGGTTGGAGAGCCGGATGACTTCGTCAAATGTGATGGAGCGAAGTACCTGTTGGACCATGGGGTAGAGGTAGTTTGGGTAAAAGATCTTGAGGAGCAGTGCTTAAGTGAGGCAAGAAGAGGGCATTGAATTATCGGTCAGACGTCCTTTAATTGTCTCCAGCCAATGTATTATCTGATGTCAAAGGGTTGTGCCTCATAGAGTTCCATCTAAGTGGAAGTGATTTTGGTGTCCATCGAGAGCCTGGCTGGAGAAGCGCACTTCGCACTCCACTGCGCACAATGTAGTACCTCAATCACAGATGGATCACAGAAGCGGGAGCACCATCGGCACTGCACAATGGTTTGTGACTGATATTGATACTGATTACCACCACCTAGAACTAGCTAAGATGGCGACGGTGGTTATAAATACAACAACGGAGATTTGGGACAAACCAAGTGAGAAGATGGACAAAACGAATCAACGTGAGACGATGTACAAAACGAATCAAAAAGCAAGTCCACCAAACGTGGCATTCAACCCCCCAGGTGGAAGATACAGACCAAAATGCAGATGCACAAACAATATTTCTTCTAGTCGTTGAGGCGACAGATCGACCAACAGGCTAACCAGCGAACCAGGCTGATGCCTAGTCCGCCCTATCGGGAGGGAGGCATCACTTCGGCAATTGGCGTTATTTCCTCAGAGCGCGAGATTTCTTCACTACAGCCAGCGGGGCGGCAACTTTAGACACTGCTGTTTCTTGAGATGCACCAGAGCGTGTGACGCGGCTCCTTGTCCTCTTTACTGGGCTCGGGGGCAGCTCCCTGTCGATGGTTGCCGTTACCGTGGCAACTGTTCGGGCCTTTCTGGTCCTCTTGGCCGGCTGAACAGGTTGTTGTTCCTCCGCCGCGTCGACGAAATTAGATGTACGCTGGCGCTTAGGTGAATGCACCTCGATGGCTTTGCGTTCTCTCAATGCCATCTTCCGACCGCCGCTCTTGACCACGAGTTCCTTCGTCTCTTCAGCTGCTTTCGCATCGGCTTCATCAGCTTCGACAACCCGTCTACGTTTCCGAGTGACCCTGGCAGGCTCCTCCGCAGTGGTCTTCTCCACAATGACAATTGCCGGTGTGGCGAGCTGCTTCGGCGCAGTATTCTCATCTCTCGACTGTTGTTCGACAACGGGCTCCGCTGCTTTCTTGCTACGCCGCGTGCTCCTCGTATTGGTCACAGGTTCTGGGACTGATTGGACAGCACTTTTCGCGGCGCGGGAGCTGCGTAAACTGCGAATAGGCCGCTCCTCGACAAACTGCGGCTTTTCCACAGGTGTAGGACCTTCCATCACGGTGGGTTCTTGCCCTTCGGTAACTGTCTGTACGTCTTGGTGTCCGTCCATGTTTACCGGCCCGATGGGCATCAACGTATCTTGCGCGATAACTTCACCAGTACTGTGTTCTGGAGGTTCGGCGGTCAACTCAGCCTTGGGCGCTGGTTTGACGGCGGTCGACCTGGCTATTCGGCGGCGTGGCGGAGCCTCAGGAACGTCCGCGACAGCATTCTTCCGGGTGCGCCGCAAGGGCTTGGTGGGACGGCTGGCGCCTATGTTATTGGTGTTGACATCGGCGACGCTGATCTCTTTGGCAGGCTCAATCGAAGGTGCAGCGTCGAGAACAACTTCCTGTGCTTTGCGTCTGGTATTTGTGCGGGATGCCTTTTTGGCGGGAGCCGTGTCGACTGGGGCGACAGAGTCCTGCAGCTTGCGCTTGCTGCGTCGTGCCGGCTTTTCTTGTTCCACAACAACACTGCGTTCTTGCACAACCATATCTCCCGTCTCCAAGATTTTGTCGACTCTGACATCACAGGGTGAACTAGCTGGCGCGTCGGCGTTGAGCTCTTGTTGGACCTCTTCTGATGTTGCAGGGTCAGGAGTCAGATCGGGTTCTGGTTCTGCCATGGTAGTCTGGGATACGACATTGGTAGTCGGCGCATCACTTTGCGTCGGCGCTAGCTCGTCCTGTTCCCATGTGATGAGCTTTACACGCAGCCCATTTACTGAACTACGGACCGAAAGAGTGGGCGTGCTGATCTGCACAATAGGACCACTCTTCTCAAGCTTATCAGGCTCCTGAGGTTTAACATTAGCTTCGCCGTCATATGGTCAAGAAACCTTGCTCACGAGATCTGTATTGACGCTCATTTGGGGCGGCTCCGTTGTCTCGCTGGGCGATGAATCCTGGGTCTTGTCAACGGTCAGGGATGGATGCCTTTCAGTGGAGTCGCCTGCTTACCAAAACTCTAAAGACGTCCGGTGTCACCGCGTTTTGGGTCTTCGCTTCATCTACATCAGCCTGATCGATTGTTTAAGTAACGGCTCTCATCAATTGGAAATGACACTTACCAGTAAGTCGGGATCCGTCGCCAGATGGTCACCCGCTTCGTCCAGAGGTTTTAGCACCGAACTCTTCTGTGCTTGCGCTCGCTGTCTATCCAGTCGCCGGTGCAAGATCTTCTTTCCCTTCTCCCGTTGTGCCGGAGTGAAACTCCAGTATGGACGCCAGCGTGGACGTCGGTTCGGGGGCGATAATAGGCTATTTGTCCCGGACCCACGTAGGGACCTATGTGTTGCCTCCAGACGGGCCCGTCCAGTTTGCGATAGATGGTTCTGCTCCTGTACCAAGGAAAGTTGCGTAGGATACGACGGCACTGACGCTTCATGGATATGTTGCAGGCTTGTGAAGATGGGATCTTGCTCAGGAAAGATTGTTAGCGGGGGTTGGTCTACAGGATCGGCATGCTGCTGCGTGCCTGGCATGGCCTGTACTGGTGGCATGCCTAACTCCAAGCCGTAAATGTGGTCCATGAGCTGAGGATCGAGCTGCAACTCTACGGGAGGGTCTAGGTCCATTGGGATATCTTCATACTCCTCCTCGCTGAGCGTCTGCCAAGCGTGCGCAGTATCGTCAAAACGCATGGGGATGAGTTGTTCGGAGGGCATTGTCGGATTGTATTGGCTGGGGAAAGTCGGCTGCGTTGGGTAGATCGAAGTCTGGTCGGATGAACCCCCAAGCAGCGGCATCGAATTAAAGTACGTGGACTGCAAGTCCCGGGAGTCCTGTCCATAATATGCAGGCTGTGTTGAGGATTCCTCGGAGGTGGACAGGGAGAAGATGATTGGGGGAGCTCCAATGGGACCATCGTTGAGTGAGGTGGGGACCGTTTGCTGCATAGTGGCAAACGGAGGAAACCAGTTGTTAGCAACCATTTGATTTAGACCCCACGACTGCTGTTGTTGTAGGAAGAGTGTCCAATCCTCCCACATGTGCTGCTGCGGTTGGCGATCGCTCCGGTTTTCCGCCTCCTGCCTGAGCCGCTCCCTTTCCCTGTCCTCCTTTATGCGCTCTTCTTGCTCGCGATGACAACACGCATTCATGAGTGCCAAAGCAAGGAGGGATTGTTTAGGGGTATTCTGCTTAGGAAATCGCGGATTGCGTCCTGCCAGGCGGGTGGATGGTCGAGTGGGAGTGGACGGCAATGAGGACAAAACAGGTTCGTGTTGTTCTGACGGAATTCCCACGACGTTCTCCGAGATCTCGACTCCATTTGACGTTCCAAGTCCTTGCGTTGATAATTTCAACTGGTCTTGGGGGACATCGACATAGGCGTCGGTCAGGTCTTCCAGAGGAAATTGGACACCATCCGTCGGCCATGGGAATGAAGCCTCGTCCTGGTCATTCTGGTGCTCTTCCAGATTGTTCGGGATGATATTAACCTCGGCCGTGTCGAGAAAATGCAGCTTTCGACCTGGACGGGGTGTTTGATTTCCTTGCCATTCGACGTACTGCTTGACCCTCTTGATGCTGAACACGGCACGAGTCCGGCGCATAAGACGGTTGTTGATCTGCTTTTGAACGGGGGCTGGAGTCCTTGCGCCCTTGGGCTCAGTGGCCTCATCAACTTCTTCAAGGGCGATGAAGCGATTGCCGTCCTGAGCAAGACCGAAATGCATGCTCGAGTCTGAATCGTACACAGAACTTGTGGCAGAATCGACGGAGGTGTCGCCGGACATAGAGTCAAGAGAATCGTCAGGTGCACGGTATCCACGGCGACTGCGAGGGGCAGGAGTTGACGGAGCAGCGGATGGAGACTCGACTACGTGGGAGACAATCTTCTTCTGCAGTTTCTTGGAGGAGTGTGCCGGAGCGAGGAACTCGGGAAGCTTGACATGCTTGCGTTTCCGGTGTTCAGTTGGGGTGGCGGGGAACACACGGGAGGATGGGAAGATACTTAGTCGGAACCCGCGAAGGCCAGGTTGAGACTGGGTTAGCGCATGAGTATACACGAGATAAGTCGATCAAGAAGCAACACACCATGTCGAGCATCTGTTTAGTTAATAACTTCACGCCGGCTGCATAGTGCCAGGTAAACTTATGACCCGGGAGAGAAATCCTTTCTCCGTCTTCCAATGGTGCTTTGATCGCAGAGCGATACACGGGCACGTTATTGCGCATGCATGACGGATGCCTTGCATCAATATGAACCTAGTTGGAGCATGAGCATGAGATAGTTGACCATGTTAAGTTATTCCAGACGTACCTTGTGCGTATTCACGTCAAATCTCAGATCGCACACAAAGCGGGGCGCATCGCTATCATAGAGCCGAACGTGGCAGGAGACGTCTCCCCCTATTCGTGTGACCTTATGATCCACAGGGAAGATCGAGACGATGGCACCCTTGCTGCCGTGAACAGTTAAGGTGCCTATGCGTCCACAATCGACAGTAACGCCGAGAGATCGGTTGCCGGGTGTTCGGGGAATGACCCTAGATGAAGGGGGAGGAGTGTGGGGTTGAGGATCGGTGTTGTTGTCCATAGTTATACTATGGTCTGAAGATATCGGCATGTTGAGCATGACCGAGTGGGAGCGCTAATCAAATGAAGTTCGTTGAGGTATGAATGTTAATGTTGCTGTCGTTGGATATGTTGTCGTGAATTGAAATGGGAGAGAGAAGCTGATTGAGGAGCGGTGAGGGTGACAGCGCGAGCGTCAGGTTCCTGAACGCGCGCTGTTTGGTCATCACGTGATAGTAAATCACGTTACCTTTGCATTCCGTGGCCAATAAACTCGCTGTTTGATGTGATGGGCATATCTCGATGTTTGATACTTGGGCATACGTGTGCCCAGAATTAAATACTTTCATTTCCCAAAGACAAACTGTCAGCGCCAATGGCGACTAATAATGCTGGCATTAAGTGACGTGATTGCAAATCTATGTTACATGATGAATCCTTCTACTTCCACCCATACTCACCCCTCGGTCGTCGCATTCCCATCTAGTCTCTCTAGCCTACAACTCATTGCCCATCTATATCTAATATTTTGCGAACAATGAACGGGTTGCTGCGTACTTGCTTGCGATTAATAGCACGCAGGAGGCGATAACCATCGACCTGCCGGGTGTTCGATTAGGATGACTTATCGAACAGGAAAGAGAGCGAAGGACGTACCCTGCGTACCACCCCACAGGGTGGAATGAGCCATACATATCGTATATCGCACCCGATATCGGCGGTCCCGTGAGCGCCTATCCAATTCCCCACGTCAGCGCCGTCGCATCTCCACTAGCCGGAAATGGATTACGCACAAAGAATGCAGCGATAGAGAGCGTCATCCCCATCCTCCGGCCCATATCCGTCAACAGCCCCATCTCCGCCAGCGGCGCGCCCATCAAGCCCACATATGCCCCGCTCGCAAACCCATATATCACCGCGATGACGACGATGCTCGCTGTGGTGGTGCAGTACGGCCAGACATAGGTCGTCACTGCCGCCAGGGCGGTGAAGGGAATCAACACGTTTACGGGGCCCATGCCGTCTGCTAGCAGGCCGGAGGAGAGACGCCCGAATGTGGAGGCGGCGTTGGCGATGCTGACGATGTACGGGGCGAGCGAAGGGCTGATCCCTGGCTGTTGGGCGGAGACGTTGAAGTACGTCAGTGCTATATCAGAGTCAGCGTATGCCAGCTCGGTAAGAAAGGGAACACACCGGTGTACAACCCCAGGAATGTAACGCACGTCGCGGCGGTGTATAACGTATACGTGATATTCTTGAACGCGGCTGGGTTGACCAGCCCGCCCTTGACGTTAACCGGGGGCAACCTGCGCTTCATCACGAGGTTTGCGAACCCCGTTGCGCCGAGCAGGATAAACCCGATGATGCGCATCGTCCATGGGAACCCGACGAGAGGGAGGAGCTTGGACACTGCTATTGGGAGGACGGTGCCGCCTAGCGATGAACCGATGGCGACGATACCGAAGGCCATTGAGCGCTTTTTGTGCCCTGTTTAGGGTAAGCCAGCAAAAAAATACCGTAAAGCGAGCGAACGTACACCAATGGGAGACCACAGCCATCGTCGGACCGAAGACCCAGCCGCTGCCTAAGCCAACGACAATACCTTGGGCGAGCACGAAATGCCAGTACTCCTTGCATTCCGCTACCAGGAAGGCAGAGACGACAAGCACTGCAGAGGATATGCCGAGTGGTAAGTGGAAGTAGCCCAGGTCGAATAGGCGGCCGGTGAAAAGGCCGGGGAGGAATGTAAGGGAGTATTGGATACTTCCGATCCATGCTCTGCCGTACATCAGCGACAGAGGGAGATGAGAGAAGGGAGAATACATACATTGTTGATGGGCTGACGTCGGGCAACAGTGTCGTCTCGTAATAGTCCTGGAACACGCCCCAAGCGTTGACGAACCCGAACCTGATTCTATGAGCGTCTCTCCTCCCGCAAAACAGAGCAGGACATACGACGCGAACGTGATACACACTCCTCCCACGACGACCAACCAGGCTCTAAGCCCTCCGTCAGGGAACTCATCAGTCTCATCGCGCTTGATCGCTTCCTCCCCTTCGCCAGGGTACACCCGCTCGTCCTCATCAGCCACCACCTCGCCCTCCTTGTTCCTCCGTATGCGGGGTGCGGGTTCATGCCCATGCCCATGCCCAGAGTGCGGGGAATGCTTCTCAGTGCTTTGCGGTAGTGCGTCATGCTCCGAATCGGGGACGATCGTTGACGCTGCGGGAGAGACGGGTTCATCCGGCACCGCGGTCGTAGCGAGTGAATCCCGGTTGGTATCGTCGCTGAATGTGAACGTCATTGACCTCTAATCACTAAGCCTCGAGCAATAATCGTTGAGCCCTGAAGAACGACAGCGAATACGAGTCAGAGCAAGTCCTGTCAGCTTAAGAAGGGGATGCGCGGGTCTAACCGGTTACCTCGAGCAGGGGTTTAATATGAGCATTAGAGCACGATGCTTTGTCATTATTAACCGATGTCTGCTGGCCTTTGATCAATACAAAAAATGTGGGCGGCCGGAACCCGGCATCGGGTGGAACGACCATGTGCAGTTCAGTCAGGAGAAAAGAAGATTTCGACTCGGCACTGGCAGGGACGAGCGCCGCGCCGAACGGCACAACTTTTTACCGCCGAGGGGGTTTGTCAGCAAGTGCAAAGGCGCCCAATATACAAGAATCCCGACGTATGTTGAACAAGTTGATTAGAAAACATTAATATTTGTCATTCATTGATCATACATGCACTGCACGCTCTTGCGAATACAAGCCCATGCCGCAGGGTCACACGGACATAAGCGACGACAACGGAGACACCAGCGATTCCTCAATATTGGCATCCTGTGCTGCACACGGAGGTTGCTGTTGTTCACATCAACCAACGCCCAGGGATCGGTGAAGTTTACTGGTACTGTCGAGTCATACATAGCTATAATCCGAACTTGACGGATGGAATCACCACGAGGACAGAGCGCTGATCCGCCGTTGATGTCCTCATCGTACAAACCGAGTTCCAAAAGGCAACGATATCCATCTCGTTGTTCGCAAGAGCCGACGATCGAGTTCGAGACCGATATCCCTTGTCGTCGGACGTCGTACCCTCACACGATCCTGAAACTACAGGATATACATGATAGGACATGATAAATTGAGATTAAGTCAATAGAAGGTATCACATTAACGCGCACACAGAGTCGTCTAGCCGAGTGTCCAGCTCCCAGCTCCCAGCTCCACCCCACCGCCTTACAAAGTCCATATTCTCTCGCTCAAAACCTCACCTTCTCACCCAGTTCTGCTCGTCACGCAAGCCAGCGAGCTGCAGACTTCCGCCCAGAAGCCCCAAGCATCCACCTACGCCTACTCAAACCAATCCAAACCACACCAACCACAGCTCCAGCTCCAGCTCCGCGCGCTACAAGTCCAACCCCCGATCATGTTTCACCTCCACCGCTTCGGGCTTCGTACTCCTCTCGTCCATCTTTTCCCATATAGGGTCAACGTCCGGCCCGTCCAAATCTCCCGCGCCGTCCCATCCCCAGCACCAGACTGCGTAGTGTCAGTCACATGTCCACATCCACAAACCGCGGGGCGGGGGGAGTAGAAAGAGGTGAGACTTACCAGACTCTGGCCCAGGCTTGAACTCGATCCCCTCACTTTCCTCCTCGATGAACAGCCTGTCGTGCGGTCCGAACCAGGTCCGGTCCTGCGGATCTGCGCGGGGGTCATCAGCTAGCCCTCCTAGGCGGACGTAGTTCCGTATCGCGGTCAGGTTCTGCCGAGGGGGGTGGATGATATCGTATACTTTCTGCGGGCGGGGGGTCAGTTGGGTACAGGCAGGGGGAGAGGTGGATGCGGGGCAGAGGACGTACTTGGTCATAAGCGAGTTTCACACGAGGGACCATGATGATCCTCCCATATCCCGCATTCCAGTAATCGTTCCCGATCAACGAGCACTCGCTAGCAGAGCACTCTCCCTGACTGAGCTTGGCCATCCTGAACCTCACATGCGGGGCAGCGTAGAGCGGAGCAGGGTCGAGTATGGCCACTCCGTTCCAGCAGGACTGGACTTGAACGGGTAGGTGCACCTGGAACCGTCTCGCGCTCTCGGGGTGGTGGAATACGTGCTCAAAAGGCGCGTTCTCGAGCGCAGTGCCGTTGATATCCCGCGCCACCCAGTTGTCGTAGAACACAGGCGTGTTGAGCTCGTCGTGGAACATGTAGTCCGCTGCGCATGTCAGCCCGGCATTTTGTCGCCGACTCTGCCAGATCAGTTCGAGCAGGTCGTCCACGCACGGCAGGATATCGTTCATGAATACGACGCTGTCGAACACCTCGCCTTCGTTGTCCCTCTGCTCGTGCAGGGGTACGAGGGCGCTATTCCGCACCTCGGCGAGGTATTCGATCCTGTGGTTGAACTGGCCTCGAGTGCGCTGCGAAGTTCGGATGACGACGCGCATGCCTACTGCCCTCGTGAGCGCGTCGAATATCCTCAGTAGGGCCTTGGTCTGGTCCTTCGACCCGTTCTCGTATATCGACACAAAGACGTTGTGATAGCCCAGAATAGCTCCGGTACGGAAGAGCGTGGAGAAGATATCGGGGATAACGTCGAACGAGTTGTAGAGGTTGATAGCGAAGAAGTACTTGTGCTGCCTCGCGGCTACTTCTGCGCGCTTACGCTGTTTCTGGATCTCGGGGGGTTCGGGTTCGCTCCACGGGAAAGAGCGGCGAGGGGGAGGAGCGTGCCCGATGAGGGGGGCATACCTCTGGTGCGCTTGATTGATATATTGTTGTTGTGCGTTGCGCGTGCATTCCCGTGTATGGTGAGCGGAGAGATGAGTGACGAGTTCCAGCACCCTGCGTCGCTGGTCGATAGTTGGCATCTGTGCGCTCCTCCTCCCTGCTGGCCGGTGATCTGCGCGTAGTTTCGTAGCCCCACTGCCGCCTAACCATGGAGAAGAAGCAGAAGAAGGAGGGAAGACGAGGCGTGCTACTAGGAGACCTATGGATACGCCTATGAGAAGGACAAGTGGGGGTGGTATGCGACGATATGCTTGTAATAAGTATGCAAGTGGTGAAGCTGGTGGATGTTCCTTTATTGGAGATACTGACAGAGAAGGACGACGAGTGTAAATTGACATGGTGGTCGAGGAGTAAGTGTATGCGCTAATGATTAGCGTCTAATTGACGTGTTATTGACACAGCCACTAACGCGCCTCTTCGTTTTTACGTTTCAATCAGTGTTACTTCTCTCTTCCTTCGTGCGGACTGGCGGTCTCCCTTTTGTACTGTCGATGCTCCGTCGGTCAGCATCAAAGGCTTTACAATTGACGACCAAACACGCAAGATCTTCTTCTCTTTCAATCAATCCACCACCATCAATAAAGGACAACATCCATCAACCAGACGACGAAGACGACGATCCATTCACCGACATGGCCAACGTCGACAAGCCACCGCCCAAACCTCCACGGGTACTCGGTCTACCACCAAGAGTATGGGCAATCCTCGCTTTATTATCCTTCATCCTCCTCCTATCACGCATCATATTCCCTTCATCTCCAATACATCCTCTCGCACAATCATCCCCATTCCCTCTAAAACCAAGGGATTACCTCAACGCATCCGCTGCATCTCCACCCCCATTCGACTTTTGCCCAATATTCGGTCCAGGAGATGCACTCGCAGCAAAGTACGGTGCGCACGCGCTCCTGCGGTCCCGCACCTACCTCGGGTCAGGCGCGCGCGTACAGCGCGTCATTAGGCGCGCGCTTGAAGGTCGCCCTGTCACCATCTCCGTCCTCGGAGGATCGGTATCAGCATGCCACGGTGCAGGGGACGACCCAATCTCACCCCGGTGCTACCCAAGCAGGTTCTTCAACTGGTGGACGAGCGTCTTCCCCCATCCAGCTTCGGAGCTCACGAACGGCGCCGTCCGTCGTACTGACACGGGGTACTTTGCCTTCTGCTCTGCTCTGCACCTTCCGGACCGTACAGATCTCGTCATACTCGAATTCGACGCAGAGGACCCCAACGACCCCGCGTGGAGAGAACACTTTGAGCTCCTCGTACGGACGATCATGGTCCGCCCTGAACAGCCGGCGGTGATCATTCTCGGCCATTTTGCACCGCAGATGCAGCAGATGCACGGGTTTTCAGGCGCAGAGTTGCATCATACTGCCGTGGCGCAATATTATGACATCCCGCATATAAGGTGCGTGATCCCACTCTCTATCTCCCTCCTTTCTCAGACTAACAACCCACAGCATCAAAGGACCGTTATACAACGACTACCTGCTCAACCCCGACCTCACCCGTCAAACGTTCTACGCCGATCCTATCCTCGCCAACCCAACAGGTCACGAGCTGCTCGCCGACGTGCTCACCTCCTACATCTCCTCCCAAGTCTGCCTAGCATGGGACGCAGCCGTCGGTCGAGGGGCGTACGAAGTCCCCGAGCTGCTCAACACAGAGGGCTTCGAGGAGCTAGGGGAAGCGCGTGGGCTGTTCGGGGGTGTAGGTGTCCGGCTCGGCGGGCAAGAGCTCAAACAAGCTGGCAAGGAATCCTCTAAATCCCCAGCATCTGCACTCTCGGCACAGGAACGCGAAGCCCTCTTACTCCCCTTCCGCGTCCCCCCTCTCAGGATCTCAGCGCGTCCTGCGCGTATCCCCCGACTTCCCCCAGAGCCCTACTGCGCCTCCGCGAACGACCTGATCAACCCCCTCCCTCCCTCGCTATTCTACGGCTCAGGGTGGCACGCCTACCACCCGTCGACGTCCCATGTCCACGACCTCAAGCCGGGCGAGGAACGACATTATTGGTATGCGACGCTTCCTACCTCCCGTATCCGCATACCGGTGAGGCTTATGGAGGGAGATGTCGCGGTGTGGTATTTGAGGGAACCGAAGGGGATGGGAAGCGTGGTTAGTTGTTGGGTGGATAATAATTATGGAGGGGCGAGGGTGCTGGAGGGCGAGGCGGACGTGAACAACCCTGTGCCGACGTGAGTCCTTTCCCTCCTGGCTCAGACACCTTAACGCTAACTCTCTGTTTGACAGGCTTACGTTCATAGACCGCTCTGTTGCCGCAGGGTCTCACTATGTGGAATGCGAACTGCACGGCGAAGAAGGACACCCGGTGGCGCCGTTCAGGATCATGGGGGTGTTTGCGACTTGATTCATGGGGTGGGGGTGATATGGGGGTGTTGGGGGTGGGGAGTGCTGTAGATTGCGAAGGCGGAGTGGGAGTGAGCATGTAGAGTGAGCAGCGGAGTGGAGTGAGTGCGCAGAATGAGCACTTGGCGCAGAATGTAGACATAACCTCCTCGATCCTCAACCTCAACCTCAATCTCCCACGCACGCACGCACGCACGTACGGACTAGAAAAAAAACCCAAACCGCGCAAGTTCCTACTTACTCTTCGTTACTGTTACTGTTACAACCTACCTTTACTGTTTCGCTTTAGCCCGACTGTCTGTTTATCCTTAACTGCGTATTCGCTCATCTTTGGGTCATGAAGAGGTAACTTGAGCGAGTGGGCCCGAATGCGTGTGTTCGGGTTCTGAACCTTCTGGTTGCGTCTGTTCGCGTTGGGCTCTTTGTTCTCCTTTGTTTGCTCCCCCTCTGTCTCGCTTCCCTACGTGGAGGTTGCGGGTGTGTACATACGTAACACTTTCATTTCTTTTCGCTCTTACTGTCACACGCGTGGGGACTAACCCCGGAGAACATAACAGAGCCGGAATAAACCATCCCATGAGCCATTCCCCCGCGCCGCGGGCAAGTCAAGCGCTCAGGACCGGACCCGATTCTGTCCCAAAAAAGTCTCGAGCAAGCTCTGGGAATCTTAACGCCGCTCTGTCACCGAGCAGACCGGTCAGTATTTACGTCTGTTTATCAGTTCTGATCCCGTGTGTTCTCTCAGGAATTACGCACACAAGAACTGAATGGTTGGGGTTGGCGTGAACCAAACTACCCGCAGGGGGCTGAACGACCCTCCAGGCCAGTTAGACTCAAGGGCAAGCGACGCCTGCCGAGAAAGCCTACCGGACCAAGCTTAGCGCTGCTGGAAGGAGGAACGGTGACAGGCGCTTCTTGGAATCTGCTTCTTGGACACGTGGTACTGGCGTGGTGTTGCTACGTAGAGCGGGGTGGACGAGCGGCAAACCGCGGGGCTATTAAGTACTAGCGTCGATCGTGGTAACGGTGATTGCATCCTGGGTTTGATTTACAGGATTGTACACCTTCAATATGTTTAGGATTGTCTTCGGAGAAGGGCGCAAAACATTTGGCACGCTGTGAATGGAGTTGAACGAGCAAGTTGACAGTACCCCACTTGAAGGTTGTCTTTGGGCGGCAAGAAGAGCCAAGGGCGCCCAGGGTGAGATGGTAGCATGCTGGCCTTGACAGGTCATCCAAATGCAGAAATACGATCCCGTGTCCATTCAAAGAATATTCTTAAGGTTGGGACCGGGGTGCGGCTCGCAACGGAGGGAAGAAGGAACCCCCCGTATGACAGGCGTAGAGTTGAACTGTTCTATAAATGAACGTCGAAGCACGATCTTGTGAAAGGAATTGGGAGAGAGACCTGTAATAATATAGTTGCGGTTGTTGACATTTTTTGTCCGTCTGGGTTCGTGATCATCACAAAATATGGTCCGGAAGGGGTTTCAGGCGAAGTCTACTTGGTACATTGAGGAGAGCCAGTTTCGTAGAACCATTGTTTCCCCTCGTCCCGTCTTCCAAGCGAATAAACCCTCTACAGAAGCTGTCATCGAAATAAAGACACTGTCAAAGATGTTTGTACAATTTGGGCCAAATGGAGGGCCAAAGGGAAAAACATCGCGGAAGTGTCAAACGCGTGGGCCCCAAGGGTTATCTCCGCCCATTCCCCGACGGCCGATGCCGGCACGCATAGGAAATCGCCCGATGTGGACCCTGAGGCTGTGTTCCATATGCCCATGGGAAAAGAAGGAGCAACACGGAAGCAAAGCTTTGTATACCATCTTCACGTGATGATCAGCCGGCGTGTCTTTGCTCACGCTTGGGCCCAACTCCAACTGGCCCCCACTGGGGAAAACGCTCTTAAGCCGCCGCAATCCCCGCCGCTCTTGTTTCCTGATCTCCGTTTCCCCCTCTTTCCCAGCTTGCCTCAAGGTCTTTCCAGAGCGGATTTTGCCCATCTCAGCCCACCATCCGACACCCATCCCCTTCAACAGATCAACCATTCAACACAATGAACAGCATCTTCCGCGCTACTTCTCGCTTGTTCTTCCGGAGCACCCCGGTGGCGTCCTCTGTTGGCCTGTCTCATGCTGACTCTCCCTCTCTGGCGCCCCACACTTCGCCTGCTGTGTACCCCCGTACTCCTGGTGGCCGAGCGCTTGGCGTTACTGTGGACTCTGGCAGGATCGGTACATTGTCTGTTCATGGTAGAAAGGGCCAAATTATTGGTCTCTATCCTGTGGACCATATCGTTACAAGGATTGGCAGTGATATTTCCTGTCACATCAGGATCTATGAGGCGACAATGCCCCATTTCGCTTGTAACCTGAGGTTTGATGTCGAAACGCATGAAGTATGTTCCAGGATACCCTATGCCTTTAATTTAGCTCACGCTTACACTCATCAGGTCCATTTGGATGCCCTCCATCACTCCTACAAACGGAACAATATTCCCGTCAGCATCTCTGCTATGCAAGGACCATTAGCAGATGGAGAACGCATCTCCGTTCTGGGCCACAAGTTCACCTGGAAGTATGCTGACGACGTGAAAGAACTAACTGAAGAAATGCTCGACATGGTGAGCACTCTGTCATTGTAACTATGAATCAGAGTTCTCATGAATTATGTCAGTCTGTGCCTGGTCTGCGCGGGTTTCGAATGACCATCGTATCGTCTTTCGAACTCCAGCGTCACAGGGCGGTCAACCTGCCTGAATTCATTGCCCCCGCGCACTCGTCCAAGAGGTTGCACAGGAATACATTTCCCCGGGGTGTTGAGTCTGCTCCACTTGCCCAGTCGACACCAGCGCGTGTCCCCAGACGCGGTTATCGTGCACCAGACGACACCCCTGACTCCCATCTTGGTGATGTCTCCATCAACTCGGCCACAAGCTCGGTGTATAACTCGGACTCTAGCATGCACTTTGGTTTGACTCAGGACGGTGATTGCTATGTCGCTCTTGAAGAGGTCGACGAAGCTACGGAACCGAAGGACGAACGGACACCACACTGGGTCCACAAGAAGATCAGCGACCGCCTCGTACGCCGTGCTGGATCTGTATTCAGCATCAAGAGGATGGGAGATTACGTCGAATCCCAAGCCCGTCAGACCCCGCGCCCATCACGGAAGCTGCATGTGCTCGACAAAACCCATGTCAAGTATATCCCTTACTGCCCCGAGGAGCGTAAAAAGAGCCCAGAATTCGACCGGGCCTCGCCTACCACACCCCCACACAGCTCGTCATACGGCCCGGACAAGAGGCTAAGTGACGGTTTCACTGTCAATCAGGTCGAAGGCCCCATTGCCATCAGCACTGAGCGTTCGGTTGTGCTCCGAGATCAAGTGCTACCAAGAGTCAGCTCTTCTTCCGACTCATAGTTTCTATTACTGATGAATATGCAGATAGAGAACACCATCCTGACTACGGACGACCGGCCCTCCGAATTTGTTTCAAATCAGGCAGTGGTCTCCTCACTCGGCGAAGGTCCCAGTCGACGACGAAGATTGCTTAGTACACCAGCTAGACCGGCACACACACCGTCGCAAGGGCTGTTTCGCACTTCGACACCCAGGATTGCCAGCTCCTACTACCACGCTCCAATCCATCCCGGCGATACCGCCCGTCCCGTCCCCTTCCACCTGAGACCTGATGAGCAGATTATCCTAATGCACTTTGATCAGGCTGCGCAGGGATGGAGCACGAATAACGACCAAATGGCTGAAGAAGAAGATTGGCCCATGGACATAGACCCGCCCGAGCTGCCAGAGGCCCAGATTGTCCAGCAGGTGATAAGCAACCCCCCACAACAGGCGGGCCCGTCAAACTCGGTTGGTTTTCCTTCCCCTCCCAAGCAGAATCTCTTCTTGCCGAGGGATCAATCTACATCGCAAGCCCTGATACGTCGTCCCCTTTTCCCACATTCCGCCACACGGCCCTTCCAACCATCCCCGCTCAACCCACTCCACGCCCAAAAGCTTCGCCTGTCCCCAAGCCCACTTGCCTATCTACTCTTCGTCCATCTAGTTCTAAAATACGGGAATCCTTGCACAATCTTGTCGTTAGTCGCAATCTTGAGCAAGCTCAGTCAACCCCAACTCGTATTCCAGCGGCCACAACTTCCACTCAATCTCCCCCAACCAGTACTCAAATCGCGATCTGCGCACCTACCTCTCCCCGACTCAAGTCGCGTAGTCCACAAAAGGGAATTCTAGTGGGTACATGAAATGCATATTTGACAAGTCGTATTGACATAAGTGCAGAGTTTGATTCCTTACATGAGCCCCTCCCGTGTGCAGGCTGTTCAGAAGTCCCGACGAGGCTGGACGAGCACTGACTCGATGTCGACGAATCGACGTCAAGCAGCGCAGCCCTATCCCACCCAAATCACTGCGGAACAACGCAGCAAATGGAAGAAGGACATGCTACGGAACCTGGAGAAGAAGCGCAGGAAGGAGAACCGAAAGGCACAGGCAGATGCGAATGCGCAGGCACAGGCGCAGGCACAGAGCACGGTCCAGGTGGAGGCATCCGAAACCCTGCGACTGGAGGACGACATAATAGTATGTCCTATGTTTTCTAAATCACATAAAATCCGTCGCTGAATCCTTTGGTTAGGTTGCTGAAGATATATTAAGCAATAGCAAAACTGACACGCCACTGGGTTCTGTCAACTCTGATGTCGATCATGAGAACGAAATTGACAAGGGCGAGAGCATTAGCAGTGGTGAGAGAGACGATACGTTGCTTGTTTGCGTGAGTGTGTTCTTCAACAGAACGAGATTAGGTCTAATATACCCGACTGCTGCCCTACAACAGAATGATCCTGTGGCAGCGCAAGTTGCCCCTCCCACGATACAGGTGCTGGACCCGGTTGATACCCCCGAACCTCAGATCACATCACCCCCCCAACCTCAGATCACATCTCCCCCGACTTCCCTTCCAGCCGCCAATGCAAGTCAGGGGGATCCCGTCAAAGCGGCTCCCCTCGACACCGAAATGAACGAGATGTTGGTCAGCAATCTCGAGCAGACGACGAACTTGCAGTTGCCTGAAGACGACGCTGCGCCCACCGCAGGACCGACGCGGAGAGGCAGCAAACGCAAGGTCCAGGATTCCACAGAGCCTGTTGATGTCCCTCGCGCTACAAAAGTTTCTCGCACGGCAATGGGACGCAAGGTGAAGGAAGTCGTGCCGGACGTCGAAGCGACCACCGTAGAGGCAATCCTTGAACAGCCGGAGGCCGATACGAACGGCCGGCCGACGAAGACGTTGCCTCGAACACGCAAGAACGTCAGCAAAGTCGTCTCTGAGGACTCGCGGGAAGCTACTCAGCCTCGCTGTACGACTAGGTCGATGACCAAGAACTCAGGAGCTGCAGCTGTGGTGTCAGCTGGCGTTCAGGGGAACCCCGCTTCTGGGCAAGTTCAGAAGCTCGACACGGTGCTTGCCCCTGATCAAGTTGCGATGGGTGGGCAGCAGGCAGCTGCCCCAGAAGACGCAATACCACCAGAATACCTGCAGCTCCACCGGCGCCCAACTCGCGCTCTACGGAAGAAGCCTCGCACTGCCAGCAACATCGCCCAAACCCAGCCTCTCCCAGTTCCTGTGGTTCATACGAGAAGCACACGTCGTAGCAAAGCAACGGCAGAGCCTCCTGTTGCGCAACCGTTGGGAGATGAAGATGGGGTTCAGGAGCAGCCTTCTGCGCCTGGGCATGGAACGGTTCGCCAGCAGACCGTTCCGCAGAAGAAGTCCGCCAAGGTCACCGGCAAGCGCAGACGAGCCGTGGAAGATGAAGAGCCACCTGCAAAGTCTGCTGAAAGCACGGGAAAGGTCGTTGTTGAGGACCGTGTGGTGAACACAGCAGACGAGCTCCCTGTTCCTAACTCGTCGAAGCGGCGAAGAACTTCCCGACGCGAACCGATAGTAGTCGAAGAGCCGGAAGAAAAGCCTGTTCGGCCTACCAGAAGATCGCGGAAGCCATCGACACCTGCAATCGATGCACCTGCCCAAGACGCGGAGATACCCTCGGGCAGGAGGACGAGGAGCTGGGCAGCTCGGAACGCCGGAGTGCAGGAGGCAGCTGTGCTGCCCGATCCCGTTCCGGTCAGAAAATCTCGCACAGCGAGAAAGTAGGTGCTGCCTGGATGCACACCTAAAACTTGAACATTTCTCCTTGTTCTATTTTGGGCTCATTGGTTTTCATTTGGTCTCCGTTTTCTCTTTGGGTTAATTGTTTTCTTTCTGCTGTTGTTGTCTCTGTTGCCTGTCTACTGGTGTAAATCACTTTCTCCTTCTCACTTCTGGTTGTATTTATAACAGATGTTTTCTAGTCAGCTCGATGTAGCTCTAGTCAATGTATACCCACCATCTGCGACTCTCTACATTTGCGTGCCCTATGAGTGGGTTGATCAAATACGCAACCTGTCTGATGCCTGATCTTCCCCATGGAGCACTGAGGTTCCTATTCTGCGGGTCAACACGAAGGATATCACCGGCCAATACACAGGAATGTTGTTCACGATGATCAGTATTATCACGACGTCAACATGATTCAATCCCACATGTTGTTTATCCAAAACCAAATACATACAAATGCGGTATCAGCCGTACACTACCCAAGTAGCACATCAGCAAATACACGCGCCCAATAAATCTAGCAAGGAATTCACCCGAAGCCCTCACCACCAATCTCCCTGGACCTTCATCGCGTCCGCAACCTTGATAAAGCCAGCAACGTTAGCGCCGCTCAGAAGGCTGGGGCGGACATCGGGTGACGGGGTCTCGCCGGAGAACTTGCATCCCGCGTCGTAGCAGATCTATAACCAGTCCATCAGCAAGGGAAAGAGCAGCAGGGCGAAATAGCGCACGTTAAAGCAGTTAGACATGATCCCGTTCAGCTTCTGGTCTACCTCCTCGGTAGTCCATGTCAGCCTCTGGGAATTCTGTGCCATCTCCAGCCCAGACACAGCGACACCCCCGCAGTTGCTCGCCTTGCCCGGAGCGTACCATACGGCGTTCTTTCCCCCCTTCCGGCGGGAACCCTCGAATATCTCCACAGCGTCAAGCGAGCAGCCCATGTTACTTCCCTCAGCGACGATCTTTACTCCGGCGCTGATGAGCGCCTCTGCTTCCGGGCCGGACATCTCGTTCTGAGTCGCGCAGGGGAGGGCGATGTCCACTTTGGGGAGCAAGGTCCACGGCCGTGCGCCAGGAACATATACCAGTCCCGTAGATGCAGGCAGAGCCAAGGAGGAGAGCGACCCTCCGTGCAGCTTCATAGTCTGGATCTCCTCTACGAGGGATTTGGTGATCCCCTGCCCTGGGTTCAGGTTAGAGCTGCGCAGGACGAGCGAGCCCTTGCTGTCCGAGAGGGAGAGGACTGTGCCCCCTAGTTCGAGCACTTTGAGTGCCGTGTACTGGGCGACGTTGCCCGATCCGGAGATGGCGACAAGTGTTGATGGGGCGGTGAGCGGGCGCTCAGGGGCGTGCTTGGCGATCATCTGCCTTTCGTCAGTTTTTATTCCAGTCAAAGGGGAAAGAAGAGACACACATGCTGCACGTAGTATATCAACCCGAAGCCAGTCGCTTCAGGCCGGATGTAGCTTCCACCCCAAGTGATACCCTTCCCAGTCAATACGCCGACCCACTCGTTCCTCAGCTTCTTATACTGTCCAAACATGAACGCGACCTCCCTCGCACCAACGCCGATATCCCCCGCGGGGACATCCGTATCCTTCCCGATATGCCGCTGTAGCTCGGTCATAAACGCTACGCAGAACCTGCGGATCTCGGCGTCCGACTTGCCCTTGGGGTCAAAGTCCGACCCACCCTTTCCACCACCCATCGAGAGCCCAGTAAGCGCGTTCTTGAACGTCTGCTCAAACCCGAGGAACTTGAGGATCGACAGGTTCACACTGGGGTGCAAGCGCAGCCCGCCTTTGTACGGTCCAAGAGCGGAGTTGTACTACATACAGCATGGCTGGGTTAGTTGTATACGTGTCGTAGGAGTGTGGGGTGCGGACCTGAACTCGGTATCCTCGGTTGACGTTACACCCGCCCTTGTCGTCTTCCCACATGACGCGGAACTGCGATAGGTTAGGCATGTTCTGTGAGGAGGGTGGAGAGACGCACTTGGGCGATACGCTCGGGGATGTGGACGATCTCGAGTGCTTTCTTGTACTCGGGGTGTTGGGTGAGGAAGGGTGCGAGGGAGGTGATGAGCTCGAGCAGTGCCTACGACGGGTTAGCATGTTGTAGACGAGGATGAGGGGGAAAGGAGAGTGCAAGAAGATGTTGAGAGTAGATAAACGGTGTGATATGAGGAGGAGAGGGAGGAATGCTCGGCTGGTATGTGGGGAACAGCCAAGAGGAACCAAGAGGAACTCACTTGCTCAAACTCCGGTTCGGACGGGAGGACCATTATTGTTTATTCCAATGTCTATTGGTCGGCAGGTAATAAATGCAAAGTATATTCAGACAAGTGTAAGTAAGCAGATGGTAGAGCAGAACAGCTAGGATATCGATGTTGACAAGGGGAGTGAAAAGAGGGCGCTGATATACCCCTTTCCCCTCCCCCTCCCCCTCCGCCGTCCACTTCGATAAGGCTGCAAATCTTCACTTCTCATTACCCCGTTAGAGGCGACACCGGCTGCCGTCGGGGTTGTCGCACGACGCTGTCTCTGAGTCAGGGCCATGGTGGATGGGCGACAGAACACCGACAGCGGGCGTGGCAGGATGAACGTCAACCGACCCTTTCCGTAAAGCGGCGCGGACTTGCCGATTCAACGACCACCTGAGGGTTTGGCGCTAATTTGTTTGAACAACCGTGCACTCACTACTGGTCGAGGACCAGACAGCTTATCTTATTGACGTTATCAGGTTGTTCTGTCAGTGGACAGAGGTTGATAACGTTGACATGAACGAATGACGTCTTGCACTAATACTGGCTGGGCACTGATTCCCATCTGCCTGAGCGCATCCACATCGACCCTCTCTCGAAAACCTATAACCGGTATAGCGCAAAACCTGTTAGGAAGCGAATCGATGAGCGAACAACGAGGAATTCATGCTTCTTCGGCCGTTGATCAACCCCATATGCATCAGGGACGACGACGACCATGTGCATTGTACATAGTCTTTCGTAGGGTGTCGAATAACATGTTCCTTGATTTTAATGTGAGCAATGTTGTATGGGAAAGAAAATCTGTCCTTAGAGGGTTACATATTTACCGGGCGCCGTGTCTGCGATGCCCAAGTACAGTAACGATGACAGCGAAGATCTTCATGAAGAATGCAGCGAGGGTAAGTTCATGTCAACCATTACGACGCATCTCCTCCGGTTGTGCTTCCGAACGCCAGTCCATTGAAGGACAGTCCCAACGAGAGAAAAAAGTTTACCCATGCGGTTTCCTCAACCATGCAGCGGCATCCCTCCGCACCCTTGAGGAATAAAAAATGACATTTCTGCAGAACACAAGATGCAAGTGAAAATCAACTACTGCCTGCCGTCGACCGCCTACCAACTCCAAGCCTCGAGCGCCTCCTTCGCACTCTCCGCCTCGATCTCCACAATCTTCCTAACCTTATCGCTCCTAGGCCTGATGACGCACATAAACGGCTTAGGCTTGCTGTTGAACCCATCCGTGTAGTCCCATATATCTGGCAGTGGCTGGCCCGGCACAGGAGAAATATTGAACCCCCACATGATACGCGCTGCGAGGAGGAAGATCGAGTTGGAAGCCAAATGCCGGCCGGGGCATATCCGTCGTCCGAACCCGAAGGGCAGGTCAAAGTCTTTCAGCCTGGGGTCGGTAGTCGTCAGGAACCGCTCGGGGAGGAAGTTGTCCGGGTCGGGGAACATGACTGGGTCACGCATTATACCGTCCAGGTTGGCGAAGACGGTGGAGCCAGCAGGGATGAACATGCCGTTGTACCAGTCGTCCTCGGTCACTGCGTGCGGGGTGCCGCCGAGGACGGCCACGGGTCGCCAGCGAAGCGCTTCGTTGCAGGTTGCCCGTATGTAGGGGAGAGAATCGTAGTCCTCAAACGTGGGCATGCGGTCTGGCCCGATGACGCGGTCGAGCTCTTCCTGCGCTTTGCGGAGCACTTCTGGGTGATGGACGAGAGCCACTGTGGACTGCTGAGTACATACGTTACTTAGGGATTAAGAAGCCACGTACGGATCATGGTCAACAGTGTCGCGGAGGTAGTCTCGATACCTGCACCGAACGGCGTCGAGCAAGCATAAGCGAGTGCGAGCTCGTCCAATCCCGTCTTCTCCTCTCCAGCATCGACCAGCTCCTTCACCAAGCAAGGCTTGCACGACCCATCCATCATCTTGGTCTTCACATCGTTCACGAGATGAGTATAGAGCTCGATGTCCTTCGCCTTGCGCTCCTCGGCTTCCTTGCGGAAGATTTGCATCCAGCGCTGTTGGAGGATTAGCTCGTGAGGGAAGCAAGAGGGGAGATTCATGACGTACAGGAAGCTTGAGCAGAATCGGGAATGACTCAACAGCGTATTTGCCCGGGATGTTCACGCTTGTCAGATCTGCGTCCTGTCAGCACGGATCAATGCAAAGCAGCTATTCGCTCACAGTCCATAGCAGCATCGTTCTCCCGGATGATCCACTCGTTGAGGTTTTCGATCCTCCTTCCATAGGTAACGCTGACGACGACACTAGCCGCATACCGCTGCAAGTTCGTCTCAAACTTCTCCGGCTTCTGATGCATGTCCAACATGAGGCGCTTGCTCTCCAAGCTCTGGATAGGCTTGTACGTGTCTGCCGCGCGGTTATGGAACCCCGTGTTGAGCACCTTGCGCCATTTGCGCCATTCGGCATTGTTCGGCATCATCAGGCCACGACGGTTGTCGCTCAGGATCTCTTGGGCCATTATGAACCTCGGACGGGAGGAATAGATGTTGGAGCGCTTTTCGAGCAGATCCCATGCTGCTTGTGCAGTGCCGAGCACGATCACAGGTGTCTTGCCCAGGTAGATCGATACCACAGGTCCTGGGCTGTATCAGCATTGTTCTCTGGTTCGAATGGCAAGCACGTACCGTACGTTGCGTTCCATTCAGCGAACTTTCTCCAAGGCTTGAGCTTGGGAAGTTGGTGCCTGTTGCCGACGAACGGCGCCGGTGGTGGACCGGGAGGCATGTCCTTCCTCTTCAGGTGAGTGAGGTAGTAATAGACTCCCAGTGCCGTAAGAGCAACTGCCGCAAGGGCAAGATCGCGGTACGGAGCGCCAGTGAGGACATCGGTAATAGGAGACATTGGGCTATCAGCTGTGGGGTGGACAGCGACAACGAGCAAGAAGGTTGTTAGGGGGCAGAAGGTGCCAAACAGCCCTTACTTATAGGCTGTCGAAGGACGGACCATTGCCAGGCAGGGTTTTACAAGTCAGAATCAAGACTGAATATGGCCAAGTGGGGAAAAGCAAGGTTAAAGGCAGCGGATTGGATGAGCGGAACAGCGGGCGAACATCCCCCGGGTGAAAGAAGCGCCGGAAGCGGGGCAAACGTCACCCGCACGCTTCAATGTTTATCCGGGCCCTCACCGACCGCACGGCACTTCTTCCCTCCTAGCTTACACATTATCCGGTCATTTATGAAGCATGTCATGACCCAAAGCCCCCCAATACACTCGCGATCTTGTACGAATCTCATTTGATCCTGGTAGTTGCCCAAAAAATACATGTCTACGTCTCGAAATGATGCGAAGTAAACGAACAACAGACTATGCGGACGGATTATGGAATGTCGTTTGTCGGTGTTTGCACAGAAGAAAGGAAAGAAGAGAGAGACAACCAAGCTATACAGCCCGAAACCATGCAAAGAAAGAACGATGCAAAGGTAGAGAGGAGATGCAAGAAATCGTGTCGAGATGCAGAGAAATGGAAAACAATGAACATGTACAGTAAACAAGATAATGTTGCCTCAATTAACCCACTCGGCCGCAGTAGTAAGGTTATGGAAAGGCCCTCTCCTAGCCATCAGGTCGTCGAATGAGCCCTGCTCAGCGATCTCGCCGTCCTGCAAGCACAAAATGCGATCACACATCTGCATGATCTGCAACTTGTGGGTGATCATCACAACTGTCTTGCCAGGCGTGACTGCGCGAAGGGTTTTCAGAATTGCAGACTCGTTCAGCGCGTCCAGGCTCGCGGTGCACTCGTCGAAGATGTAAATATCTGCTTCCCTTACGAGTGCGCGGGCGATCCCTAGCCTTTGCTTCTGCCCCTCGCTCAAGTCGTGCTCGCCGTTGCCCTTGCCGATCGGCGTATCGTACCCCTCGGGCAGCTGCATGATGAAGTCATGACTGTTCGCATCCTTTGCTGCGGCGACAATGCGCTCCAAGGGAATATCAAAGCGGCCATAAGAGATGTTCTCCTTGACTGAGGTGGGGAAGACAGCCGTTTGCTGCGTCACCACAGCAATGCGTCGGCGCATCTTGGAGGCGTCACCGTCCCACAGCGGTTGCTGATCCAGCCAGATGTTGCCACTGATCGGCTCGTACAGGCGTTGAAGTAGAGCAATGACAGTGGTTTTACCACATCCAGAAGAGCCAACCAGTGCGACACACTCGCCAGGGTTGATCTCGAAGTTGACTTGCTTAAGGATCGGGTTTTCTGCGCGAGACTTGTATGCAAACTCGACTTCCTGGAACCGAATGACGCCGTCAGTTTTCAATTCAACAGTTTCAGACGCATCCGAGGGAGTGCTCTTTTCGAGGTCAAGCAGCTTCAGGATCCCGCCAGCAGCATGGATCGCTTTTGTCATGACCGGAATGACCTGCAGGACCTGTGCCCCATTCGTGATCGAGAACACGACGAGTGTCATGACTTGCACCATAGAGCCATACGTGTACAAGCCTACAGAAACAAGTTTTGCAGCGACAAGGAAGAGCACGGCTTCGGAGATGAAGATAAGCGCATTGAGTAAGCCGAAGGCGCAGCCCACGAGCCAGGCGCGCGATATACCAGTCTTCACAGCACTGTCCAGAATCAGAACGAACTGCTTCCTAAACGTTTCCTCAAGACCGAGGCCACGGATCGCGCGAATGTTCCGGATGGCGTTGCAGTACTGTTCGGAGATGACTTCCCTGCTCTTTGCACCCACACGCTGTGCCTCGATGCTAAGGATAAACTGACCGACGGCAGCAAGCACAAATAGGGGCGCAAGACCAAATCCGACCAAGGCGAGTTGCCAGCCAATAATGACTGCCCACACCATGGCACCACCGAGCATTGTAGCAGCAGTCACAAACTGGGGAGCAACCTGTGCGATGAGCTCCGACACGTCGGTTGCGGCATTCTCGACGACGGGAACAACCTTATGATATGGGTTCTCGTCGTGCCATGTCTTGTCCTGTTTCATGACGAGACCAATCATGCGAGATCGAATCTTGGTGAGCCATGCGTGACCGACATACTCTGTGCCGAAGATCTTCAAAGCCATAGTCAAGCCATCGCCGAAGATGACACCAAGCACGGTACAACCGGCAATTGTCACAGCGGTGAAATCCATTGCCTCTGCACCAAGAGCGACCTGAGCGAGGAGACGGGCGAGGAAGAATGAGAACAGAGGGGTAGTAGCACCATTGGCGACAGCAGAAAACAGACTGAGTACGAGTACCCACTTATGTGGAACGAGGGGTAGAAGACGCTTGATAACTGTCCATGCGGGTACGACTGGATCTGGCTGCGGTATCAGGGCAGCTGCACGATCCTGAACGACGATTTCGATCTCCTTGGTTGCTTGCTCAACCTCGTAATCAGTCCAGCGCCTTCGTTCGCTGTGCGTCGACTTCGCCCTGCGCTTCGTACGTACGGCTGCACCAGTTTGGCGTAGATACTCCACTTCATAGTCGTTCGTTGCGTCCTCACCTCCATCCGATATCGACTCGAGTGATGCTCCCATGAGGTTGTAAAATGGCTCTGGCTCCGGCGCGGCTGTGCGACGTGGGTAAGGGATCTGGGGAAGAGCACTCGCCCGTTTCGGCCGAGGAAGAAAGGGGAGAAATCTGGAACGATGTTTGGGCAGCGGTGAAGGGGTTTGTTCGCGATCTGCGATCCTATCCTCTTCTTGATCCCCAAGCTGGTGTTCAGGATGCCGGTGGAGCAGATCAGAAATAGCATTCTTTAGGTGGCCGACCTGCATCGTCGTGTGCTTGCGCCATCGAGAGATTCTGGTATCCTCCGCCTCCTCCGCCATCGCATCCCAACCTTGCCATCCGTATTCCTCGTCGTCGATGCTCTGGGTAGCTGCTCCACACCCGCCCGCCTGCTCAGCCGCCATCCGTGCAAACTCGCCGCCTTCGACTTGCTCGAGGTCACGCCGGAAGCCTTGCTCTACGACGCGACCGTCCTTGAGGACGTAGGCGAATGAGGAGGGGGAGAGCTCAGACAGGTCATGGGTGATAACGATCGTAGTTTTGCCCCTGCGCCAGTGACGCAACGCAGAAAAGACCAGAAAACGGGAGGAGATGTCGAGATGAGAGGTGGCTTCGTCCAGGATAAGCACTTCAGGGTCGCGTACACGCGCACGAGCCAGGGCAAGCCGTTGCTGTTGCCCACCACTAAGCTTCTGTCCAGCAGCGGATTCCCCAAGAAGACAACCGAGTTTTCCAGGAAGAAATTCGACCCATTCGTGCATCATCGCCATTCTCAATGCCTCTTGCACTAGCTCATCGCTAACGTTCGAAGGATCGGATGCAGCAATGCAGACGTTATCGCGGACGCTCATGTCAAACACGACACCCCCGCCGAACTGCACTAACGCAGCGCGTTCTCTAAGTTCTGCACCATCGATAAGGGGGACACCGTCCACGGTGATGACCCCCAAGCTGTTGTCCTGGACAGGAGGAAAATTGTACATCCCAACGAGAAGGGTAGCGAGGGTGCTCTTGCCAGATCCAGAGCCGCCAACAACGAATGTCAGCTCCCCAGCGGGGAAGAAGACACTAACATCCTCGAGGGCTGGTGGCCAGGGACGCGATGGGTAGAAGAACGTCAGGTGGGAGATGTCGATGGCGCCCTTAGGCTGATTCGAGCGAGAGTTGCACGTGCTTGAACTAGAAGAAACACGAGCACGTGTCTGGGAACGCATGGATGCGATGCTGGGGCGGGAGATAAACGTTTTGACCGAAGTGGTTGAAAAGGCGCGCGATGGCTTGCGAGCAACTGTCAAATCGATTAGACTGCGGACTAAGGACCGGGGGCGCGGGCGGGGCGTGGGGAGGCCAGCTTCAAGATCGCGCTCGTCCGTGACGTCCTGGCCATCAAAGCTGCTGTGGCGCGGAAACTCGTACGGTGGCAGATCCTCCTCATGCACATCTTCCTCGCCTTGCGCCAGGGCCGCTTCGTATGCCGTTTCGTCCATCTCAATTGGGCCGGGCTCTACAAGTTCCACGAGCCGTACCATGGCTTCCTTTCCCCTGAGGTACTCGGCCACCGGCTCCAGCAACATTTGCGCGTTAGAGGAAGCGATTAGGCACGCCCAAAAGACACTCATCACGCTGCCAGGGGACAGCTTGCCCTCCTGAACAAGACGAGCACCAAACCAGAAGGCAGTGACGAAGGTTCCGGAAATGATGAACTTGTTTGTGCCTTGTCGGACTGCCCAGAAGGCAGATTGTCGGTTGTCTTCTCGCTCCCTGTGGCCGAGCAACGCCGTCAGATAAGATATAGTAGGTTCGGCACCGTTGTACACCTTGACGGTCGCGATGTTGTCTAAGGTGCTGCTGAGGAAAGAAGGAATGCGCATCTTGAGACTTTCGAAAGCCTCCGCGTCCTTGGAAGAAAAGCGCTGGAGCGTTCCGTCGGAGATGAGCATGACCGGGATTGCGGATAAAATGAGCAGCGACAGCAGTGGGGAGCGCACGAACGCGAGGACGAGCGCGATTAGCGTAGTGGTCAAATGTTCGATGACTTGCGGAAAGCGCTGAGAAATGGCAATACGGACGTGCTCCGTATCTCTGCGAGGAAGGGTCAACTCGACGCTCACTTCAGACGCCGCAGCACGTACTCAGTGAACTTTGCCTGCATGCCGCCGGCATTTATATCACCTCCTTCTTGCGTAGCTTGCATATCGAACCACTGCATCTCCCTGCCAACAACGCTCACAAAGACGCGTTCCCGGATTGTCCTGCACACGCGCTCGCTGCATCTCACCCACAGGCTGCTTCCCGTGCAGCTCACAGCCATGACTCCGACCGCCAGCCCGCCCAGCTCGGCGGAGGTGATCCCTACACTGCGAAAGAGCGTGCTCGCGTCTGCAGACGTAGCACCGGTCACGGGAAAGTTGGCGAACGCGTCGAACGCCTCGCCGATAACTTGAGTCATGAAAGGGGCTGAGCCGCCAAGGACGAGGGAGATGCATATTGCGGGAAAGAGCAGCGTGCACTTATCCTTGGTGGAGAGAGCGGAAAACAGCAATGCAGTGGTGGGACGTGGGCGCTTATAGTCGGTATAGGCGGGGGGCAGCACAGCAGTGGGCAAATCTTGGGGAGTCACAGGAGTCCGCATGAGCCGTGGTTTGGATGTCGGCTCCGGAGCAGAAGGGCGAACAGATTGCTCTTTCTCATCTTCGGGAAAGTCAGCTACGTCCTGTTCTCCGAACGACTCTGTGGGCGAGTATGGCGAAGGTGACGGCAAAGAAGAGGGTACAGTCACCGGCGAGCTCGCGTAGGAGATCGCCGGCGTGGATGAAGGGGTAGCTTCCGGAACGTTGATGCGAAGATCGGGACGCCGCATGTTCGTAATATGTGTCTGTAATATATGCACAGAAGGAGGGTTGAGGATGAGTGTGCTGCGAGTCGTCAACACCAGCGTTGCCTAAGACGTAGGGGACTTACATTACAATTTTTGAGCTCGCTGAGCTCACAAATTAGTGTATTGGTTAGTGGATGCTTGTGTTTGGTCGTTGTCTTGGAGTTCAATCGGCGTGTAGAAGATGGATGAGGAGAAAGGGGATCGGCGAGGAGGGCAAGGGGGAATGGGGATGGGAGAGGGAGACGGGGGGAAAGGGGATGCCGGATGGAAAGAGGCAAGAGGGGGTAGCAAGGTAAATGAACAATACTCGCCCAGGGTTCGGTGCGGGAAGAAGTCACTTTTGTTGTACACTCCCACAAACGTCCGTGCGGAGAGCTTACAGAGAAATTTCGCAAACCTTCGCGAGGGTCCACAAAACGGAGAACAAAAGACCTCTGCCTGGACAAGAAGCAACCTTCTTTCAGACGCTTTTATACCAAACGGAGATGGATGCATCCCATAGCTCCTGCTCCTCTCCGCGTTTCTCACTGGCGTGTGCCATGCCCATTGTCTACCTTTTCTCGCTATTGGCGTCCGTTATGATGGGAGATCACCTCGCACTGGCCCGCGCACCTAGGGTATCGTCGATGCTCGCTCAAACAAAAGGCCAACATCGATTCCGCTATTTCCGCTGCTTCTCATACTCAAAATCCAGACTTCCTGTCATCAGACCGCGTCTAAACCGTCAAGAAACGCATTGAAGGAGCGCCAGCAATGGACTGTCAAACAAGACTGATGAACAACGACGTTTGGGTGTCCAACAAACACACCGCCGGAAGAACCCTTGTCCGTAGCGGAAGCAAACATCGGATCCGCAGCGCCGAGAGAAGCCCCGAACGTTATTCTCCTTGCAACTGTGAACGCCCTTTGTTGCCGCCTGTTCTGGGTTTACGGTCTCCTTTCCTTAATATTCAGGCGTCGTAGTGCTGAATCAGCGCTATGGGCCCCGGTTGCTCTCAGCGCCGGTCTGCAATCCGCTGGAATACACATATCTCTTCGGAAAGGAACATGACAAACCCGCGGCCGGGGCCGTACGCGTATCACGGTGAGGAGCCTAGGACTGTAGTTTTTTTGGATACAGGATCCAAGGGTGCCCAAGTTTTTAGGCTATAGCTAGTTCTCGCTAAAGAAGTGACGGCAGTTGCAAGGTTTTTGTTTGTTCGAGAAGCGCTTCTTGTACGCTTCCACGGATCATCTCCGGCTCCAAAGCTTTCACTCTCCGCGGCCCCCAGGTGTAAGCCCGAGTCCATCGAGTTTAGCACAAAGTACATATCAACATGAACTTATATTTATTCTACTTGTCACATGACTGCTTCCTACTCTGAGGATCTAGCGGAAGTACTGAGGGGCATACCCCTTGACCTCTTCCCATCCCTGGTCAATCACATCCACCACATCCTGGGGCAAAGGTCCCTTCTCCGAGTCTGAGAGGTTAGACTCCAGCTGTTCGGGGCTCGTCGCTCCGAGGATGACACCGTCCTCCGGTCCAAGAGCCGAATGATGCTGACACCAACGCCAAGCAACCTCCGACATGCGCAGACCGTGCTTGTCAGCCGCATCCTTGATCCGCTTGATCGCCTCGAAGTAACCATCGCGGAAGTACCGGCTGTGATAGACCGTGGCAATATCAGGATTGAGCGAGAAACGACCGGACTTCTCGGCGTCCTCCGGGGAGAGCATCTTGCCGGCAAGGAAACCGCCTGCGAGGGGATTGTAGATGGTTAGACGCATCCCATACTTCCTCAGAGCAGGGACGAGCTCCAGCTCAGCACCACGAGCGAGAGCGTGGTACATGACTGTGCCGATGTCAGTAAGAGCTGCTGGATTGTGGACTCTTTTGAGACGCACCTTGATATACCTTCGGTTGGATCCATCCCCTCTCCTTGCACAGTGTCACCATCTCGGCCACCTCCCAGGACGGGAAGTTCGACAGCCCCAGAATCTCGAACAACCCTTCCTTGTGCATCTTGTCAAGCTCAGCGCAAGTCTCTTCGAAAGGCGTCGTCCGGTCCGGCGCGTGCAGGTAGAAGATGCGGACGCTCTTGCGGTTGAGCGTCTTGAGCGACGTGAGAAGGGCTTCGCGCACACCGATGGGCTTGTGGAAGTTGGGTGGATTGGGCCAGACCCTGCAAATGTCTTAGCAAAGCTGATAGAGCGATGACAAGGTCAGTCTCACTTGGTATCAATCACAACGTTCTCGGGTAGCTTAAGCTTGCTCAAGTATGCTTCAGTCGTCCCAGCAGCGTATCCGCGAGCAGTGTCCAGCTCAGTATAACCATGTTGGAAGAAGACGTCCAGGATTGCTTGGCAGTCGGGAAGTTCACTCGTACGAACAGCTGAACCATCATCAGCATATCGACATACGATGCAAGGGGAAGAGATACGCACGTCCGTTGCCAGCCTCGCCCATCGTCATCGTCCCCATGATCATCGGTACGCGAGAAGGTGCCATGGTGGTGACAGTATCGTTCGACTAGATCGGGGTAGTATCAGTGAATCACGCAAGGGTTGGAAGCTCCCTCAACAGATGAAGTCAATCAAGCCTAAAAGCTTTATACCCCGCACCAGGAGGCTCCGTCCATTCTCAGGCACCCTCTCGCAGCTTAATTGCTCTCGGTATCTCGCACGGACGGGCCGAACACACGGTGGAGAAGAGAGAGGTCACGTTAGTCCATTGGATGTGGAGGGAACGGTGCGGAGTTGCGGAGGTACTGACCCTGCGGGGCATTGAATCCCCGGACCAGGGTCTGAGACCAAAGACGCCAAGGCGAACTTTATTCTCAAATTGACTCGCATCTCTCCTGTCGGGATTGATGCCGAATCAATGTGAGTCAGTCGGCTGCTCAATGGGATATCACGCATTCGAGGGGCATAATATTGGGAATGAAGCACCGGGATAGCTTAACTCCGCGATGCTCTATGAACTGGCTTTCCCCTCAAAAACATGGCAGCTCTAGTGGCTCGGGCCTATGCTTGAAGATGTTCTCCCACACATGTCTTGCTAGCTCTGGTAGCCCACCCTTTGGGTATTGGTACACTATCCTCAATGCGCAGGAAACGCTGTTTGAAGTCCGGACAAGTCAAGATTCAGCAGGGGGACCTCGGGGGAAAACGTGTCTACCCATCATTATGATCCGCTTTTCCGTATCTTCTGGCCGTCTGCCATCGCCAGTCATAGCCGCTCGCCACAAACAGACGCTATAAGTGACTCGCGCGAGCCTGCAGCGGTGGATTTACATCTTGAACCTGGCCTTTCTCCTCATGCCGCCTCGCAAGTCAACATCTCGGAAAACTCGCTTTTCGAAAGCCCGTAAGCCGCTGCCTGGTCCGGTGAAGACCACGGGCTTAGACAGAGAATCTGAGGACGTTGACATTGTGGGGTCTTCAAAGAAGACCATGGTCAAACCAACCTGCAAGCTTACAGATGTCAAGGAGACTGATGTGTTCGGCGTCGAGAAGCTCAATATCTCCGCTCTGATCAACGACTTGGAAAAGTGGGCAGGCGTCAAATGTCTCCATCTTATGAAATGGGCGGAAGGAAAACACGATGTCGTGAGCATACTGTGGTCTCACTCATCTCTACGGCCATGTGCTAATGTCATCACAGATATATCGTTGTGAGTTTCGGGACGGAAGTAACACCATAGAACACATCATTGTCAGGCTCTGCAAGCCATGCCTGACGTCGAAGCAGCTCGAGTCGGAGGTATGTGCCCTTTGGGTTAGAAACTAAGTATCTCAACCATGCTCCGTAGATCGCGACCATGCGATACTGCCGCGACTTCATCCCCTCCATTCCGATACCCTCAGTTTTTCACTGCAACCTAATCCCTCAAAACCCTATCGGATGCGAGTACAGCGTCCACACCGTGGCCTCTGGCCTCACCGCTCGCACCATGTGGCAGTACTGGACGCAAGAGGAAAAACTTACCCTGATGGATTCGCTCGCGAATGTCCTGCACGAACTCTTCACCCACCGCGTCGGTGGCTTTGGCTCGCTCTACCTGGTAACCCAAGGCCAAAAAACCCTAGACAAGTTCGAAATTGGAGAAACAATCAAACCTCAATTCTTCAATCAGTCGTTCCAGCGTTCCGTGGCCCCTTTCGAGTCTGTAAAACCACGAATTGCCGCCCCGCTTCGGCCTTGGAATACGGCCAACGCGTGGATGGTCGCGAACGTTCGCCTGCAGCTCGAATACCTAGAGCAATACCCAGAACACGCGGCAATCAGTGTCGGTTGGGATATTGCCAAATATCCGACCTGTCTGGACGGTTACAAAAGCGTGCTGAAGGGCCTGATCAGCCTCTCGGAGATCGTGCTCTGTCCTCCGGAGCTTCCATTCAGCGTCAACTCAGCGCTCTGGCGACCCTACCTCAACATGGACGATATTATGTTCTTGCCCGATAATGCCAAGATCACCAGCTTGCTGGATTGGGAGATGACTGCCGTCGTCCCTCTATGGCAAGCAGCAACCGTACCCGAGTTCATGGAGGAAGGTCCGAATAGAAAACCCGCGGAACTTCTTTCCTGCTACCGTGATCGCTTTCTCATGCGCATGGGAGAGCTGGATGCGCTCATGGACACGACTCGTGCGGAGGTCGTCAAGTGGACGGATTGCTATCTGCAGGGGAAAATATTCAGGGAGCTAAAGGAGCATTGTGATAGACAATGGTATGAGCTTGATCAGAGGACGCGGGCTCTTATGGACGCGTGGGCTGCGCTCGTGTCCCCGGCATTGTAGATCTGTAGATCCATGATCTGATTACACGCTAGTTTGTTTGTTGATGTCACAACCATATGCATACTCTCGTAGTTACAAACCCGTTACGACCACACTCCACTGTGCCTTCCTTCTCTGTGTCATTTCTCTGCAGATACACGTTAATGCACATTGTTAAAATCCCGACTGAATCTTTGAAGACAACAGGCAAGTTGGTTGCGACCTTGCTTTTAATATCGTTGCAAGAAGAGTAGTGAATGGCGGCTATTTTACCTCGTTACATAAGCATGACTTGTAGGACATTCCCAACAACCCTTCCTCCTTCTTCCCCTACCCCCAGGTCTTCACGCCGGACGACAACGAGTCTTTCTTCATCAATCCATGTCCATACAACATCACCCCACCCTGAAAAGGTCTTTGCCTTCCTGTAGCCTAAGCGTGTCACCACGGTGCTTTCCCAGAAAGGGTTTTTGGGGAGTTCCGTCTCCTGGACAATATCGTCTTCTTGGTGATCCTGCCGTAGGAAGTAGGGCGAGAAGTCGACGACGCAGACTTGGAAAGAGTTCGAGGGGGTAGGCGAGATGAGATATATGCCACGTGTGCCGTGGGTAAAACTTGTGCGTATTGGATTGGGCAGGAGAGGGTCCAATGGGATAATTCGCGTATTGTCTGGTCCCCAAATAGACCAGGGCACAGGGGATGCATCGTTGTCGTCGACAGGATGGACACTAGTCTCTAGGCCCGGCGGGTGAAGAAGGGTGCGGACGAGAAGGAATAGCGCATACAATCCATTTTCAGCGATGCGAGAGGTGACGCGCGACGGGCGGAGGGTGATTGCTAGAAGCTGATTCTTGGGTGGGCAATACCAAGGGTAAGACGTAGGATAGGGGGTAGAGCGGTTGGGTGAAAAGTACACGGAAAGCCGAATATCGTCCCGCAGGCGCGGGAGGGCCAAGGAGTGCGAGAGAAGGATGTGAGTGTCGTCTTGATTCTCCTGATTCGGTGACGAAATGGTGTACACGTCCAATGTCGGTCCGTCACCAGTCACGCACCCGGCTACCAATTCGTGCTCGCCAATGAATGCAAGCGTCTCGTAGTGTCTCCAGTGAGTCTCCCGTCGCCATTCCTCGCCGGTCTGCCAGTTCCAGACAACGATCTCGTTCAATCGGGTATTCCCCAAGAAGGAAAGGACGAAAAAAGCAACGAGTGAGCGAGACAGCGAGCAGGCGAACAGCTTGACGCCGGGAAAATCACCACGCCAGGTTTGCTGGTAGGTCATTGTACGGCTGGTGGCGGAAGGGTGGTGTTTTCCTTCTAGGGTGAGAACATGCAGGGTGAGACATGATCGACTGCAAGGATAGAGGTCAAGCGATACGCATATGAGCTGGAGGAAAGGACGTACTCAGGTGTGCGAGTGATATACATCACCAGGTCCTGCCCGGGGTCGATCAACACATCCTCTATGCGTCCAACCACCTTCCCTCCCGGTGGCCTGAAAATCTGGAAGTCCTTCTCCTCGTCCTCTTCCGCATCGCCTGTTTCACTCACTGAAACATCATCTTTCCAAGATGGAAGCTTGACGAGCGCAACATGCCCTTCATCGCATTCTGCATACCACCCTCCCCTGAGATCTGCTCTCCAGCCAAACCAAAGGCCAGGAGGCATGTGGATGGTCTCAACTCTCTGCGGCTTCAGGGCCTGCCAGGCGAGTGAATGTTCACTCAACAAAGCAAGAGTGTGAGCGGGGGAAAGAGACGTGGGAACTGGGACCAGTGAATGCGCATACAGACTGATGATGGATTGCAAAGCGAGTGATGAAGAGAGGCGTAGATAGAGCAGTTTACAAGTCTACTGGGACATTGTGTGAGCATTTTCGCAGAGAGCTCGAGAGGATGTACGCGTACCCGACTACATGCCAGCATGCTCGGAACAGGGAGATAAGACATGATATGGGTATGAGTTTCCTCGGGGAGTCGAAGGAAAGGCATGGTGGATGTGAACGAGTTTGGCAAGTTCTTGAACGCGTTCCCATTATGAGGAACGTCAAATCCTGCCATTGGTGGGCGGCGGTGCGATACTCAAAGCTTAATGTAAGATAATGACCCAGATGATGCTCGTACTTAAGCAAGAGAGGCGACCGTCCGACCAAGAGATGTCATTGTCAGCTTCTAAGATGCGCATACATCCAGCGACGCGCACCAACCTCTTCTCCTTAACCGCGTCTTCCAATCAGAGACGTCACATCACGCTTCTTCGGAAGCAAATTCCTTTCCTGTCCGATCCGACCATCCGCTGCCCTTCTCGTCGCCGTCATCCTCCCCGCTCCCCCCCAGCCTTTGCCCATCCGACTAGTCGGCCATTTGGTCGACAAGATATAGAATATGTTGAGGTTAGGGACGAAGAGGGCATTCCGGACTGGTATGTATGTTGTCTTCAACAGGTGATTGTTGTCGGTGACGATATCAATCCAGGTGCCCGTCGTGGCTTCCAGACAAGCGCAAAACGATCGGCGGACGTCACACTCACAATCGATGGAAAGACCGTTACTGTACCACAGGGTATTACCATACCCATCGCTATCTCGGATTGTAGGATTAATGGTGGTGACAGGCACCGCGCTCATCCAAGCGTGCGAAGCTGCAGGCGTAACGATTCCTAGGTATGTCTATCGTTTTGTCTGTGTTCCTCGGGGCAAGTACTAACGCACCCGCAGGTTTTGCTACCATGATCGGTAAATTGTCTTAATTTTGTGAGACAAACATGAGAACTCATTTTTTGCTCCTCATATCAAGGCTTGCTATTGCAGGTAACTGTCGGTAAGTGTGGTCAACCCAGACCTCATTTGGTCGCTCACCTGACGTTCTACAGTATGTGCTTGGTCGAGGTTGCACGATCTCCCAAACCCATTGCATCATGGTATGTTATATGAAATTACCAGGATAGAGTTGTTCTCAAGCCCTCATAGCGCGATGCCTGCCATGCCTGGTGCACAGGTGTTCACTAACACTCCAATGGTCCACGAAGCGAGGTGCATTCAATCGAAATGTTGCGAGTCCATTGTGGCTGACGGTGTTCAGGGAGGGCGTAATGGAGTTCCTGCTCTCGAACCATCCGCTAGACTGCCCGATCTGTGATCAAGGTGGCGAGTGTGACCTACAGGACCAGTCAATGCGTTACGGCTCGGATCGATCAAGATTCCATGAGATTGTCGGCAAGCGCGCTGTAGAGAACAAAGACTTCGGTCCGCTTGTCAAAACATCCATGAACCGGTGTATCCAGTGCACACGCTGTGTACGCTTCGCAAACGAGGTTGCTGGTGTCGAGGAGCTGGGCACGACCGGTCGTGGTAATGACCTTCAAATCGGTATGTATGTCGAGAAAGTGATGGACTCCGAGCTGTCGGGGAATATCATCGATCTTTGTCCTGTTGGTGCCCTGACCGCAAAGCCATATGCCTTCCACGCTCGACCGTGGGAGTTGAAAGACACCGAGTCGATCGACGTAATGGATGCCGTAGGGTCGAACATTTTGGTTCAATCTCGCGGTCCGAAAGTTATGCGTGTCCAACCTCGGACCAACGACGATGTTAACGAGGAGTGGATCAACGATAAAACGCGTTACGCATATGATGGCCTCCAGTTCCAGAGGCTCATGACCCCGCTCATTCGGCAGGGCGACCGATTCGTCCCTGCCTCCTGGGAGGGTGCGCTCACGACTGTGCGTGAAGGCCTTGCCAGTTCTGGTGCGAATGGCAACGAGATCAAGGCGATTGCAGGTGGTCTAGCTGACACCGAGTCGATGGTCGCGCTCAAGGACTGGATGAACCAGCTCGGCTCTGACAACACCGCGCTCGATTGCCCCGGTGGATCCGAGCCCCCTGCCACTGGCGTCGATGTCCGTGCCAACTACCTTTTCAATGCCACTATCCCTGGGCTCGAAGAGGCAGACGCAATCCTGCTCGTAGGCACGAATCCCCGACACGAGGCTGCCGTCATGAACAGCCGCATTCGCAAATCTTACCTTCATACCGGCCTTGAGGTCGGCTTCATTGGCGAGCGGGTCGAGACCACCTACGAATACGACTACCTCGGTGCAGATCTCAAGGCGATCGAAACGTTTGCAAAGGGCAAGCAGGGCTTTGCGGCTAAGTTCAAGCAGGCTAAAAAGCCCTTGATCATCGTTGGATCCGCCCTGACGGAGCATCCGGATGGGAAGGCGGCGCTGAAAACGCTTGCTGAGTACGTACAGGATAACAAGGCCAAGCTATTGAATGCCGAGTGGAACGGATTCTGCGTTCTCCAGCGGGTACGTACGATCCTTCTCAGTTCTCCATGGACAAAACACTGACGCAAAGGGGCTCCCAGAACGCTTCTCGCGCTGCTGCATATGACATTGGGTTTGTTCCGAGTGCTGCGGCTGCCAAGACCACCCCTAAGTTTGTCTACCTCCTTTCTGCTGACGATGTCGACCCCAAAACAATCCCCGAGGATGCGTTTGTGGTTTATCAAGGGTCGCACGGCGACCTTGGCGCCCAAATTGCCGATGTCGTGCTGCCGGGTGCGGCCTACACCGAGAAGGGAACTACATGGGTCAATACGGAGGGGCGGGCGCAGATGGGTAGGGCGGCCGTCTCCATTCCAGGCGCGGCGCGTGAGGACTGGAAGATTATCCGGTGCGTCCCTACCTCTATGCTTCTCAACATGAGCGACTGTTCTGACGTGGAACCTATTCCTAGGGCCCTATCTGAAGTCTGCGGCGAGGCCCTACCTTACGACGACATCGTTCAGCTGCGCGATCGAATGTGGGAAGTTTCGCCTACATTGGTACGGTTCGACACTATCGAGCGAACCTCTGTAGAGGTCGCCCAGTTCGGCCTCGCTCAGCTGGCTAGCGCGTCCACGCCAGCTAAAGCGAGTGGCAAAACATTTGAAAAGCCGATCAAGAACTTCTACATGACTGATCCGATTTCCAGAGCGTACGCGGTTTTTACGTATGAGCTTCCGGGATCACGAGCTGATAGCGACTAGGTCCGTCACCATGGCGCAATGCACGAGGGCGTTTGTCAAGGGTGAGGACTACGGATTCTCAAAAGACGAGACGGCGGAGCAGGCCTCGTTTGCATAATTTAACCGGGGGAATCTTGGGGAAGCATCATCTGCGGACTAGGTACCCTGGATGAAGTACCTACCCTTGAATACTCTGGTCGTGTGGGCGCGAAAGCGGACTAGGGCAATAAGGTGTATTGTAGAATATCAGAAAAACTATTTCATTTGCAAACTACATCGAGGCACGCATTCCTGGGAACATATCCCTTGACCAGAGTATCTAGAAGTTCCCAACAGAAAATGAATGCGAAAGTGAGCATACATAACAGCGTGTTTGGGATCCGAAAGCAGGTTCGGCATCCATGGATGTAGATGGAGCCGATGCGATACTTGATGACCAACAACAGATTCCGTGCGATATAAAGAAAAAGGAAGAACGAGATCGCAAATCTATGCAAATGTGAGCTCTGGCGCTCGAAACTCGAAACTTTTCTTACAAGATGGATGACAAACAGAAGACAAGCACGCCTGCGCGAAACTGGTCCACTGCGACGTCGAGAACATCCCGATCTATTCTCCGGATAGAACGGATCCGGACGGATTTCGAGTTCAGGCGAACAGGCCTTGCTCTAAAGCACTCGGTTTGTTCTCCGGGCGCAGAAAAGGCCCCTCGGCGTGGGCCTGTCTGGTGGGCACCCCGTGGAAGGGTGCTTGCATAGGTTGTCCCAATACGCCGCCACTCAGAAGCAGGCATGAATCGATGATGCTTCGAGGCAGCCTCGAGAATAAGAATAGAAAAATGTTGTAGAAGATTCCGATGGCTTTGGTCGTGGAGGCGGTGGGCATTGGAAATTGAGACGGTGGTGTCTGAGGGCCTCAAAACTTGATAGATCCACCTCCAGAGTGCCGTCATTTATGTGCGGTTGGTTCGAAGCTACACTCATTCAATGTACGGAGAGCCGGATCAGTAGACTTGGCTCATACTTAATGTGCTTAGAAATTGACGTGGCGTGCACTTGGGCGTAGAACCAGTTCGGATCTACCCGAGGCGGCTCAATCATCTCTACCACCCAAGCCCGTGGTGCGCCTTTGAGCACAGAAAAGTACGAGCCGGAACAAGAAGGTCACTAAATTGATATCCAATACATTGGAGCACTGCTAGACAGGTCAACACCAAGAGAGTATGCAAAGTGGATCGTTGGGGATTTGGACGGATCCAGCAGTTCAACATCGAGCTAGTGCTCAGATGGGGCTCTCAGCGACCTCTCCACGGATGTCGTGTGGCAACGATGACGATGTGCGATCTTGATCCCCTTTTTGAGCTGCTAAAGTGAGGGGTAGCATGAGAAAGACAGTACATGGTTAACATCTCGTGCACTGGAAAATGATCAACAGGAAGGGAAGGGAAACAAGAATGGGAAGGATGTATTTCTGCTTCCGCAGGGACACATGTGGACGTGCTGACCAGCTCCGCGCAGATGCTCTTTTCCCCCTGATCAATGTGGACCACTAGAGGAGTGACTGTCTTTATTTATGTTCGCGACAATTTTGATACTGGTTTCTTTATTCACTGCCGCTGTCCATATCGCATTCTCCGGATATCGGTCAAGGAAGATTTCATGTGATAGCCGAAGCAAGTCACGCTGCCGGGAGTCGAGAAAGTTGGAGGCGACTGTATGATTGCCCAGTGCAGAAGATATCCGGAACACAACTTCCTGTGCGAATGTGGCAATCATGCGTGCTTTTTATGGATACCGGGAGAAGTTGCCACTAATCGCAAGTGGGCCTCGAGAACACGCTCCAAGGCCGTCGAATCTGATGGCTAATGGTGCCGGATTCCTCCCAGACATCCGGTGCGCACAGGCTGCATGTTCTTATCTGAGTTGCAAATCTGATTCTCTCCATTCAAGACGTCATATGCACACCAAGAATTTTGGTATCCCTGAACCAAACGGTTCGCGCCGGATCCCTTGCCAGAGAATCACGCCGAGCCTGCGTAACATGCCCGAAGGAGGCTACCAGTATCGTCGGCGCTTGTCCGATTTTGGATCTTCAGTAAGCCACTTGTGTGTACGCTTTGAACTGGTTTACTACCATGACTTAGCAGGCGGCGATAAATGTGAAGTCGGGCCGATACAAACTGTGCGCTACGCCGGTCGGCCTCACCCTTGTTTACTTGCCTGACCTTCTCGAATGCTACACAACTGCTTCTTTTTTGCTCCGCGGGACTCTTTGGAGTTATAAAGACGGAATTGCCATGCGGCACAGAGGCGACAACCGGAGTAATCTGGACCCTGCTAGTGGGACTCCAGTCCATCTATCCCGTTCCGACGTTGAGATAGATCTAAAGGTTACAGAACGCAAAAAAGAGCGAATGGTGCGGATCAAAAAGAGTGGGCCTTCGCAACTTCCGTCGTTCGATCCCTGCGCTCCTGACCTTGTGGGACATGTGATGCCCAAGCGCCCAGGTACCCAGAATTTCAAGGGCGCTTGTGCAGCTCGGCAGTATCTAGAATCTCTCAGCAAGAACGCGGTTCTGACGTCAACCTCCAAGGCTGTGCTTGTGCGGAGCGGCTCCAGGCAAGATGATCCGTTGTCACGGCGCCTATCCCTACAACGCCGTCCGTCCTATAACAGGATATCTATTTGTCGATTGTGTCGATGAGCTTGGAGCGCTGGATGCCTGTTCCAGACATGACTGCTCGGCCAGGCGGCTAAATTTCCACTATCACCCACCGATCTGTACCCTGTTCGCCCACACGTTGTTCCGCTTGGTCCTCACTCAGTGATACAACGTGTACGGTTGCACATGGGTTGGTGGGATCGAAGACTATATGCGCACTACCTGGGCGTTTCTATCTGAACGTCCTTGTCGCCGCCGGTATGCGAATATATCAATCCCGTATTTTGTTCATCTTTAAGGAACCTCGCTGTACCGATCACTCAGATCACTAAACATGAATGAAGATCACACTTGGATGGGATCTCGACTCCAGCACCGCAAGATCTCTTATCACCATCAGCAATATAATACTTTGCAGAAGTCGGAGTACGCATGCCGGACTCCCAGTCAGCAATATGGCGATGTCGTTGTAATGGACTGCCCTCGACCGAGCTGGGCGTATAATTAGGCCTGCGACATCTCATCTCTGAGCGGAGAGTCTGTTTATCAGCGACCGATCCCAAATACTTAATCTATGCTTACGCTGGGATATCTTGCTGCCACGACCCTCCTTGCACCACCTTTCCATCTCTACGACATGTCAGAAACTCAGTGGGTTTCACCCCAGCGCATTGATCCGTCACTGGACATGCTCCCCGTTCATGTGAGCGACTGTAACTTTGGGTTGGTATGTGATTTGATGGGATATCCGCCTAAAAATGTTCACTTCGCAATTTAGCTGGTCTTCACGTGGATGTTGCCAGGTCCCCTGGACCGCCGTTCTCTCACTGATGCGGTTTCACGGACCTTGACGCATTACCCCCTGTTTGCTGGACGACTCGTCGGAGCAGAGAAGTGGCGCATCAAACTGGCAGCTGGGAGTCAAGTAGCTTGCCATATCTCCTTGGCCCATGCGTCACTTCCGATCACCTACTGCGACAGTCAACTTGTGCCAACGGAGGAGATGCTCAGAGACTTCCATCCCGATGTAGTCGACCCTGTACTCACGGACAACGACAACCCTCCTTCGCGCAAGGAGCCGCTGGTCAAGATGAAAGTGACAACTTTCGTGAACACCGGTGAGACCACAATAACTTGGGCATTCTGCCATGTTCTAGGTTTTTCCACTGCCTTCAATGGTGACACGAGCTAACCCAGTAAATAAAGGAGATGGATTGACGTTCTTCCGCTTCACCAACATGATCTCGCAATTCTATCGTGGACTTCCAGCTGTGCATCCCTTGCCTACTTACGAGGCTTACTTCCGTCCTCCTCCCTCCCTCCCTCGCCATCTCGTTGCTCCAGTTGCTCGAGAGCTTGCACCCCACCTCCTTCAGCACTACGATAGGGAGGAAGCCGGTGAATTGTACGCACGGTCTTTTCTCTCCACTACAAGACTCGACATGCAGTTCAGTCTGGAGGAAATTAATCTATTGAAGCTGGAGGCGTCTCGCAAGGCTGGTCAGAACGTCTCCAAACAGGACGCCTTGGCTGCCTATCTCATCACGGCAATCAACCGCGTTCGGAAGATCCCAATCAATCAAATAATCAATCTCGTCAATGTTAGTTTGATGCTCACTACCCGGTGTACTTCATGCTGATCTTTGCGCAGGTCAGAGGCGAAGCGGAGAGCCCGGATGGCTTCCAACTTCCGGTTCAGTCTGCTGCAGGAACCCAATTACTGCATGTCTTCTCTGCCTCCATCGCTTCAGAATATACAAAAGACCTGGGAAAAGTGGCGAGATACGTAGGAGGTCCATCATGACCATCACCGTGCTCTTCATTTGTTAACGACAGATCCATTTAGAGACCGTACGGCAAGTTAGAAATGCTGACTACGTTAAACGTGCAGCGGCAGCCACGTGTGCCATTATGTCCCAGCTGTTTGGCGCCAATCGGCAGGCCTTCTGGGGTGCGGGTCCTAACCAGGTGGTTCTTAACAATTGTTACAAGTAAGCAATCTCCTTCGTATTGCTCTGTCGTCTCACCCCCAGTTGACAGGCTGACTTCTCCCGATACACACTTTGGCTATCCAGGAAGAGCAATATTTGTCGTGAATGGCTCTATGGAACGTTACATCCGTATATGGGCCGGCAATCCCACGCGCAATGGGGACGGCACGTGGAACGAAAATGTTGGCAGCGCGGATGTGTCCTTCCGCCTCGAACATGAGCTGGCCGAACCTTTCATGAAACTGCTTGCCGAAGACAGGAGGAAGTGGGCACGAGCCACCCAATTGCCTAAGAACCCCGTTCCTTTGCCTCTTACTCAATACCGGGAAGAGCTGTCACTGCAGGCATTCTCACGTCTGTGATACGAAGCACCCCTCTGAGCCGTGCTCAAAGTTCAGGATTTTCCTTCCTTGTATTGAGCTTTTCTTTAATGACCGGCCCACAAGTGCGTGATATTGATATTCGTGTATTAACGTAGGACCTCAATCATTCGCTTGTCACGGAAATGCAATTCACTAGGTGTCCGATGATGCTGCGGGACGAATGGGATGAGCGATCCGGCGTAGAACCCCTCTGTCCGGAGAAAATGCAATATTCTTGAGCAGCCTAGTGAATGTGAAACTTTTATTTTTGCATATCGTCGGTGCATCTCATGGAGGGGATTGCAAGAGTACCCACCCCGTTCTTGAACCCTACTTGGAGGACAATAGTGACTAGATGAATTGGACAAAAATAATTCCAACCTCTTGTCCACCTTAGGGGGAAATGAGAAAGGCCAGCTGTTAGACAGGACATTGGAAAGCGGCCTTTGTAGCATTCAGCATCAAACAAGGGTGCTTGATGTGGGCCTAATCCATATGTCTGATGTGTCTATGTCTTACAATGAGAGAGGTAAAACCATACGAGACCCCTACACTCGTATGAGTTTGCCTCAGCGCCTAAGCGTCTTGCTAACGCCGAGGGTCAAATATGTACACCTTCGGAACATATGAAAGGTCCCTAAGCGTGTCTTACACAGAATTGTTGTCTCACTCAAGGGCCGCCAACAGCGGCTGTCCTCAGCACATAGCAATGCCATAGCGAAGAGTGAAACCTCTGGAACTAAAACATGACGACTCGCCGCCTCACTTTTTTGGCCGCCGGGCCTACAAGACAACAATGGGCCGCAAAGAGCGCCACAACAAGGCCAGTGTGAAGACGAAAAACGGCTTTTAAGCAGAGAGGTCCGGTTCATTGTCGAAACTACGACTCCCTATTCTCTGTTTTGTCTATGGTCGGTCGCTGGTCGACCCCTCACAATCATTCTACACCTCTGTAACTGTCTGTACACTACTTGCTTAATCATGGCACCCAGTCGCCGAAGGATACCTGATATACCGAACTGCACCTACTCCACGTATATATTCCCCCGGTTGGGAATTATCGGCGGCGGCGAAAACATCCTTCGTACGAGGGTGACACGACAGCAATTGAGAACTTTCATAGAAGTTAGTCTTCTCTTCTGAGGACTCTCTTGAGTCGAACCGGAGTTGACCATACCTAGGAACAACATATACCCTTGCCCGAGACTGCCAATCCTAACACTGTCAGAGATTTGCGACGTGCTATTTAACAGCATCGTACGCGCCTCTGGGAAGAAGGTCGACGAGTTACCGCACCAACGTGAGTTAATCAAGTGAAGCGAGCTGGTAAGAGCTAAGTCCTGCTTAGGAGACCATTCGGCGCTAGACGCCGCAGGAATCCTTCCCAGCAGACGGCACGGAAGCCTGGGCATGCATCGACCACTAATAAAGAGACGAATTCCTTTTCACCTTCTGCAGGAATCATGCAGGGAAATGGAAGCGAAGAGCCAGAGCAACAAGACGCCGAGATGGATATGGATGAAGAAACCACAGAGGCGATGTTGAAATTGCAGGAAGGAGACGACGGAGAAAACAATCGGATACAGCAGAGCGAGGGTGCAGAACCCAATACGGCGCAAATTCTCCGACCTACACAGCAAGTCGGAAAAGAGCGAGTAGCGTCAGATACACATACACATACCGTCAATCAAGCACAGCCCAACGTCAATAATCAAATACCTCAGAATGGGTGCGAACGGCCTAGTACAGCCCAGATGCAGACACAAACTGCAGAACCTAGTGCGACGCAAGCCCAGGATAGGCATGCAGAGCCTAACACGGCACAGGTCCAAGACGGACCCAGCACCCCGCCACGGCCGCCGCCTGATCCAGATACTTCTTCCCCCTTTTCCCCAGAAACAAGAGCCGCGATCAGACGAGGAAAGCAAAGAGCAGATCCGGAGCCAAAGGAAGAAGAGGAGGAAGAAGAGGAGGATATCTCTTCCAATTCGGAGGAGGGAATGAGAGAGGCGCAAATCTCAATGGACGAGGAACTGGCACGCCGAATGCAGGAAGCTGAATATGGCGGAAGTTTGGCTCCGAGTAACCAGGGCCATATCAGATTTTACCCCCCGAACTAACCTTGTTTATTTGACCATGTCTGTATCTCCAAAGAACTTTTAGTTACCTGCTTTCTCTTTCACCTGTAGATGCACTGCCCTATAATACCCAAACGTTCACATTTCTTCGAGTATGGCCATTGAGAATGTATAAGCACAATGAAGCGTCATGCATGTAGAGCACGTGAAGGCTGAAGTGATACAACTTGCCGGGAACCGGAATTGGTCACGATGTAAAGCTAGTCTACCATTCGAACGTCTCCTGAAGTCGGTGACTGCAAGGCTAATGACATCTTGTTCTTCGGCTCATGAACAACAAGGTTATTCTGCACACTGGAAACCGGGTATCAGCGCTGTGAGACAAGCTCACGTATCGGATGAGTTGACTCACAGCCTCATCCTCAGGAGAATCTTCTGGCTCTGAGCTTGGGCTTCCTCCCCAACCTTCAGGGCACGAGCGAATAATGCGGCCCTCTGATCCTTGTTCCTCGCCCGCAGCACTTTCGCCGTGCTGTCGACTCGTGCTGCAATTTCCCCATCCTGAATAAGGCCGATGACCTCCTTCTCGAGCTCGACAACGGGGATTCCAAAAGTCTCTGCCATCCGATTGAGCTGAACACTTGCGTACGGCTGGAAATGAAGAATAATGGCGCGGCGGCGGATGCGAGTAGTGAGATGCTGAACATGGGGCCACAGGTGGATATCTAGCAGATGTCGGGCAGAATGGCGCTCGAGAAGCTCTAGGACAGTCTTGAATTTGCTGTTCATATATGCTTCAAGGATGTCGCGCATGTACGGTTCTTGTTCGAGGTAGACACAGAATTTCTCGTCTTCTAGAACAAGCGTTTTGACTGCCGATCGAGATAAGGTGGCCAGTGAGCACAATGATGCATACACCGCCATATCACCAGGAGTTATCATCTGACAGCAGATCAAATATGAGATAAAGACTGCCGTGAACTGAAAAAGACAATACGCACACTTGACCAATCTCCTAGTTGCGTCCCAGCTTGTAAGAAAGCCCTTGCTGCTTGCTCATACCCGCCCCTCCCAAGGAAGCCAAGCGCGTTGGCTACTTGTAGTTTGCTCTGCACGATCGGAGAGTCCTCAAGTCCTGGCTGTGCGGCCGGCTTCTTCTTGGCGCCTTTCGCGTCTTGGTTTTGTATCCCAGGATCAATGACGGACTCCGCTTTGTATACGAAGTTCTGCAGCTGATTGTACGATTCTTGTTCCATCAACAGCTAAGACATAGTTGAGTACAGGCAGCGAAATCGCAAATAAAGATTTATTACCTCAAGAACCGAAAGACACATCTCAAGTACATGTTGGCTTGTTGTGCTGAATTCTCTTGACTTGGTGTAATGCTTCATCGCCTGGGCCGAGTCACCGATCGCTCGGAAAAAGTCACCTAAATCTCGGTGACCCATCTGTGACGCTTTATCAATGGGAATCCTCCTGTCTTTACTCGAAAACGATACTCACCCTGATGCTTTCCTTGATCATATTGCTTTGATACGTTCGCAGCTCCACCTCCAGCTTTTCACGCTGATTCTGATTTTCTGCTCGCACGCGGTCTATCCATTCCTGATCTTGATCCACCTGCATCACTCCCGGCAACTGGTTATACGCGGCGACCGCATGCACGTACGCGTGAGCGTCGCGCATAGTGAGCAGGGTCTGGATTGCCAGCTGATAGGCTTGTGCTGAGAGCGAAGGGCAGCAGGATGCAATATGCAGCAAACGGCGCACTCGGCTCTTGCCTGAAGGCAAATGTCCCAGATTAGAGACTCGGAAACAGTCAGGTGAGCGTGGCATACCAGAGTACGATGAGATGTATGCCTCGAGATCAAACGGGTGGTTCTCGTCGACTTTGACTTCTGGTTTGGTGCGGCTCATGAAGTCCTTGATTGCAGAGGCGGAAGTCGACGCCTGCAGCTGTTCTTGCTGTGCAAGCTGCTCTTCCGCATCAACATCTTCTTTCAGTGTAGAGACCATTGGACTAAAGGGATTGGCGTGAACAATGGATGAGGTGGACTTTAGAGTCACTGTTCACAAGGTGTGTTCGAAATGCTTCCGGCGACGTGAACGCGTCACACAGTAAGAACGCCAGACAGACCGCACATGAATTAATTACCCCACACCAGCAGTTAAATTGCCGTTATCTACAGACTAGTTCAAGCAAGGTAAACAGCTAATGGATCTATGGGTGTGTGGGCTATCTTTTGTGAAACGATCTGGGGAAGAAAATGGGTGTCCTATAGCTAGAAAATTCAAGTCGGTTCACCTCTGCGCGGCTGCTAGTAAATCGCTGGGGATGGCGGGGATCGGGATGCCATTGTCATTGTTACTCGTCATCGTCGTCACGCCCATTGGAGGGCTTGAACAATGCGATGAGATCATTCAGATCGAGCTTGTTCTTACTGAGCTTGCCGCCGCTCAAAGCCACCGTTGCCACTTCACGCTTCTTGTCCTGCATCTGTACGAATCGTTAGACTTTCCAGAGAGACATGGCAGAGGAACCTACAATTAGAATACGGTCTTCCACCGTGTTTTCAATGACTAATTTGTAGATATTCACTGCTCGCGTTTGTCCAAGACTACAGTTTGTCTTAGTTCTCTTGGCCTCAAATAAATCAAGTGGACATACCGATGAGCACGGTCGAACGCCTGATCCTCCAGTGCCGGATTCCACCAAAGATCCACTAGAATGACGTTGTTGCAGCATACGAGGTTGAGTCCCACGCCACCAGCTTTGAACGAGATCAGGATCACAGTGGTTGCTTTGTCGTTCTTGATCTTATTGATGGCCTGCTCCCGCTCAACGGGTCTAAGGCTGCCGTCGACTGCGAGCATAGTTAGAAATGAATCGGACGCAATCAATGAAGGGACGTACTCCTGGAAAACTTCACGCCATGATGCTTTAAGAACGGCTCCAACAGGTCGAGCATACCTGTAAATTGGCTGAATATGATAGTCTTTTCTTCACGATTCGATCTATCCGCGATATCTGTCAACAGTTCCACGATCTTGCGGATCTTCGCGCTGCTCGGGGGAAGTTTTGGTAATCCATTGGATTTATGGGATTTCTTTGGGAAGGCAGCTTCATTGCGGGGAATTGCAACAACTGACTCGTCCGAGTCATCTGAATCTAAATTGATGGCTGCCAAGCTTTGGCGACGAGCAATACGGTCGATGTTCGCACTGTCGCAGGCGTCGCAGGTGGGTGACTTGGATCCTTTCGGCAATCTAAAAAGTGCATCAGATATATGAACCTCAAATGGAAAACGGACACCGACGGTTCTAGACAGATACGACACATTTCAGGCTTATCTCCCACATTCATTTTCCCAAGCAGGTCAGCCAGCTCGTCTTCTTCCTGTTGGGTGACCTCTTGCTCATCTTTGTCGTCTTTTCCTGCCTTTGGATCCAGCGCATCCTTTTCTTCACTGAAGTCCTTGCTGACAAGTCCAGGATGACCGCATGCTAAATAAGGCTAAGCGCCTAACGCCATCCCAGCATGGACAGTTTACACACCTTGTCGGATCCTCAACAAAAGCACCAAGACGCTAGTATAGTTTTTCATCACGTCGCCTCTTTTCAAGAACTTGTTGAACGTGAGCGTGGTACGCTCTTGGAGTGCGGCGTAGAATTCGCGCTCGTCCTTATCGAATTCGCACTGCACGACTTGTACTTCGCGAGGGGGCAACTTCAGCAAAGGCTGCCCGTTGATCATGTCAGTCTTCGTGCGGCGAAGCATGATAACCTTCAGGATGACTTGCAGACGTTTCATAGGGCAAGCAGGTTTGCCAGCCTTCACAGGCTGAGATATATGCTGGCGGAACTGGGTCCAGTCATTCAGAGGCTTGACGACCAAGAACTTGAGCAGAGGATACAGGTCATCAACGCTATTCTGCAACCGATGGTCAGGCGAGGAACGGTGCGAACGTATGGTTTACGGACTTGGATGGGGGTACCGGTCAGACACCACTTGAATTTGCTGTTGAGCGCACAGCAACCAATGCTCATTTTGGCGGACTTATTTTTGATGTTCTGAGCTTCATCTGTGCAATTATCAGCGAAAGCCTGTCACTTAGGCACAGTTCCATTTCTTACCGAGGACAATCCGCAACCAATCGATTTCGAATAAGGGGCATGCAGGCTTTTTCTTGGACTTCTTCTTGACCACTTGTTGAGCGAACTCGTCGGAGTCTTCTTCATCACTACCTTCGGCGATGAAGTCCTCGAGTCCCGTCTTTGCTTTTGCTTTCGGTTTCTTTGCGGTCTTGGAGTGATCGGAGCCCCCCTCGGAAGCTCCATGCTCTGACGAGACCACACTGTAGGATGTGATGACAACATCAGCACGCTCAAGGACACTGGCCTCTGTATCAAACAGTTACAATGAGTATTAGCGGATGACACAATAGAACATGCCTTTAGTGCGACCCGACCCATGATGTTCAATGACTTTGAGCCCGACTGTCATCTTCCCAAGCTCTTCTCTCCATTGCTTGATCAGGCCGACGGGGCAGATGATCCTGCATCCGGTCAGTATGATGAGTCCCAACTCGAGAATGACGACGTACAAGGTACCTCTTGCGTACCCTTCTTCCTTCTCTTTATCGGTCCTCTTCCCATCCACGATCCTCGTGAACGTCTGAATGGTCTTTCCCAAACCCATATCATCTGCCAAAATACCTCCCTTCGCCTTTCCCTCTTCTCTGCTCTTCATCCACATTCGACCCTTGACCTGATGGGGCATGAGCTTGATCGTGTCCCTGAAGCCCTCGACGTGGGCGTCACGTTCCATATCAATTCCATCGATTTCGGCGTCACCCACGCTGCTTTGGAACAAATCTTGAAGGGCTTTCTGCGCCTCTTGGGAAGTAACCTGGACCTCAGGAACATCGCCCATGTCCATACTTGAGCCATAACCATTGGAGTACGACGACGGCTGGGCGGAACGCGACCCGTATTGATAATAGCTTAGGTCTCGACTGGTAAGAGGAGGGTTAGACGGGATCGAGATCGGATTGCCAGGGCCCAGAACTGGACCGCTGTGTGCTGTGTATGATGATGTTTGACCAGCATATGGATACATCCCTCCTGGATTGTTGGTAGGGTACGGTGAAGGGCTGGGCCCCTCCGACGCGGTCACGTTGGCGCGGTGAGACTGCGGCAGTTGATTTCGCAGATCCGGGTTGTAAGCCTGTGGCTGATGGTGATCTTGCAATGGTTGTGGTATTGATTTTTCTTTGTTCAAGGGCCGTGATTGCTCTGGTCTCGGCTTATTGAATCCACGGCTCAACCAGGATGGGAGTTCTTCCTGCCCGGCTGTCCGTGATGCACTAGGGGGTTGTGGCCGTGTGGAAGGAGCTCCAGACTGATGAAGAGGCGCAGTTGGTGCAGAAGATGCCTGGGTTGGTCGCGTTTGTGCATTTGTATGAGCAGATTGTGCAGCCGCCTCATGTCCGGAATAGTTCCCAATGGGCTCGTTTGTTCGAGGAGGCGCATTCATGTGAGACAGACCCTGGTCTCCTTCTTCTCCTTCACTATCCGAGATCACAATGGTGTTTCGGAAGCCATTCTGGTTGCTCTTCGTAGGATCATTGAGATTGGCACGCGGCGATGGTGTTTGGCTTGCACTGGACTGGGAATCGGGTGGGGTGGGGCGCCGGTGTGCCATGGGCGGATTCTGTTTAGCTCTTAGTTTCGACGGTGGTGAAGAAGAGCTAAGTGACTGCGAGTCCTCAGCGGAGAGAATGAAACGACGCGGATGGAGAAGCTCACAATTACATCAGGGCTTGGTTGAGGATCGTTAAATTGATGACGCCGTTGCGGGGTTGGAGGATCTGATAAATCATTTGAGGTATCCAAATTGCTAACATAAGGCGAATATTATCAGCGTAATTTAGAGCTGGTTAGGAGAATACATGCCTTCGTGACATTTGTTAGTTGGACGGACGAGACAAGGTGCACTGATGACTCCCACTAATGCAGGGCGTGTTGTTTTGCCTCCGGGACGCGTACGCGTGCCCAAGAAAATCAAGTCACATGAGCGGAAGCACATCAACATTCCTGATGCTTCTCGCGGTTCTTTGAGAACGACCATCTGGGCATAAACCAAAGCTATGCTGTTATCTCGCTGGCTAGTGATCCTTTGCCTCTCACAAGCTGTCTGGCTTGTCCATGGATGATGTATACCTAGAGGACTCGTAGGATGTCCAGCATCCTATTCGTGAGTCCATTTTAACGCCGAATCCCGCCCTCAGAGGACTACGATTGCACATCGGCCACCTTGTACACCAGCTTTCCTGGATGCTGCCCATTCTTCATCATCTCGAAGCCTTTCTGCACATCTTCTAATCCTCCTATTTCGTGCACCTCTAAAGGCTACATATTTATGTCAGTGAAGACTTTTTTGGTTCTTAGCCACTGGCTACCTTGATAGTCCCGTTCTTCAGCAATCCTGGAATGCGCTTCGCCCACTTGACATGTAAGGCTCTGTGAACCGGTGAGCTTTTGACCAGGTTCTCACCCATCTGCACGTCTTTGCCCAGTGCAGTGTAGGCCAGCATCCACTCGGTCTTCACTTCAGGTCGAGGGAGGTCACCTTTCGGGACTAGGAGACAGACAAGGTGACCCCCACTGGGCCGGAATGCTTGCTGTGCCAATTTGTACGTCTCGTTCTCTGAAATGCTGTTCCTTTGTGTTAGACATTTTCATCTGACAAACGACTGCGCGTTACCAATCTAGACCAAACTCGATCGCGTCGCAGGTTTTCTCCTTCAACTTACCTACAACATCTGGATCCTGTGTCCCATTGAGTTCTCTGAGTGGCAGAAACGTCCAAACAACGTACATGATAGTCCAAGGTGACGTCTGCGCCCCATGCTTTCAGCATGTCAAATCTTCTTGGGGAGGCGGTCGTAGCGACTTTCAGCCCGGTCAACTTTGCGAGTTGAATCGCGAACTGGCCGACAGATGTGGCACCGCTCCAAATGAGAATCCACTTGTCTTTCACCTCCTTCGACGGCTGTGGGAATGGGTCCGGGAGCTTAAGGTGGAGGTAGAGGGCCTGTATGGCAGTAACGAGAGGGATTGGCAACGATGCGGCTTGAGCGGGCGTGATGCCTGCGACTGTCGATGTCAAATCCCATTCTGTTGCGATGTACCTGAACGATGTGAGCTCTTCACTCACACAGTGGGACACTCGCTGATTACTCTGCGAAGGCACCAACACCCTTACTAACGCCACCTCGGACGAATCCCCATCGTAGTTCGCCTGGCTGAACCTCCGATTTCGGGACATTCGTACCCATCGACACAACCTGCCCGACAAAGTCGCACCCTATCAGGTCTCCAGGTTGGCTGATGTAGGCTGCATGCTATTCGCTCTGGTCAAATCACACGCAATAATCTCAATGGCGACCTACCTTCCAGTCTGTTGGATTTTGACCGATCTCTATGACTCGGAAACTGTCCTCTCTGCTCAGAGCCTGACGCTGGTCATCCATTCATTGGTACATACAGGATGTCATTTGGACCGATCGTCGGAGTGAAGACCCGCTCCACTGCGACTATTTTATCCGGCTGCACAATCAACGCCTTCATCGTTGTCGATTTGTCGTTGTTTGTCTTCGCCTTCGGCCTGGAGATGGGCTTGCAATTGAAAAACGAGCGTGCTTTACCTAGGAGTGAGGTAACCATCCCAGCCGATACGTGTGAGACCAGTTGCCCGCTAATGCGGATATAGCCCAACTAATCATATTGCGTGTGTGCCACAGATATAGGCTCAGAGGATCAAACGATTATCCATCCGCCATCTGGGCTCCGCTGCCATGCTGGCTCCCGGTGTAGGGCAAGGTCCGATCTCCTCGTCAATGGCAGGAAGATACGTGAACAACCCTGGTGGAACCACCCCAGCACACCTCCAATTCCGGCTTTGGACCGATGCCCGGCGGAGAAGAAGAGCCCCTGTTGCTAAGCAAAGGGCAACTCCGGGCAATGAGTCCTTCCAGCGCGTGCTCAATACTGGGACTCGCCCCTAGCGGGAATGGACAGGTGGTCTGTTGGCGAGTTCTAGCCAATGATATGCTGGGCAGTAGTCAGGCGTTCGAGGCTCTCGCTCGTGATACAGAGAGCAAGATATTGAGGAAGGTGGTAGGTTCAAATCAGTACTAGGAAAATCAGGTGAAGATGGGACAGCAGGCAGGATGCAGAAGAATCAGAATGGGCCCTGAACGGTTAATGACGTTGATGCACAATGTGTTTCTTTTGGAATACGAAGCCGGAAGGGGACATTCCTCCGGTTTCCTGTCCGCGGTGATGATGTAGCAGAAGTCTTGCGATGAAATTATCATACTTGACAATCCGCGGGCCTATCAAACGGGATGTTGTATGGGTCAGGACATCAACAAAGGGCTACTGAATGAACTCGCCCCCCACATGCCACGGGATAGCAGCGCAAAGCCCTTTGATTATTTGCTTTTGCTGAGATGATTTGTTGTTGGAAGCACGGGATACTGCTATACCTTGATGAAAGACACATGGGCGGAGACATTGGGAATTGGACCAGGGAAAGGGCGGGGACATGGTTTGAAAGCCACGTGCGTCCATTATCGAGATTGATTGCGACCCATCCACTAGTCTGCACATATCAGTCCTGAAGTTGACAGATCCATGGTACTCTTCGCAAAGCTTGGACGCTTTGATGGTACATAACAGCGAATACGTTGATCCCATACGTCCATCTTCGTCTGCACACATCAAGTCGCTCTCACGCAGTTATCGCAACCCTTCCGCAAGGATCTCGATCAAAGATTACGAAACAGTGTACAGGGCAAAAAGCGGTTCTGCGAGTCTGTATAAAGACCAAGCCCGTTCTGAGCTTCTATGAAAGACAATCAAGGCGTTCAGCTGTTCTCGCTCGCCAAGAACGTCCTGAAGAATCAGGTCATACACATGAGAACAATCCTGCCAGGAAAAAGGACTGACATAGAGGCGAAGTTGAGACTGTCAAGGATGTCGTCTGCGCAAATATCGACACAAAAATGATTCGGTCATGTAAACAAGATGCCAGCTGGATGATAGAAACTCGTTTGTGACATCTTTTAGCATTCACTTGTACGCTGCGGCGCTTATGACAAGTCTTGCGATTCGTCGCCTGTTCTTGACACTTCGATCTTCCGTCAACTTTCTCCAAATAGCGAACCCGCTGCCTTCTTCCAAGTTGTCCAGTTTTGCCAACATTTCTCGAACCTCGAGCAAGAAACCGCCCATTTCAGCGATAGTGACCTGAGACCAAAAGTGGTTCCCTGCCCAGGGCGATGCTCGAAACACTCGGGGAGCCGCGTGGCGTAGTGAAAGTAGCGTGGACGGATAAGGGATCAGGAAGGATAGTATGTAGAAGACCAGTTCGCTCGGAAGCCGAGAAAAGAAGTCATAAGATTCTTGGACCACATGGGTCGACAATCGCTCGTTATCGGGTGCTGATGCCAAGTCGATGGGGAAAGACAGTGGTTTCAGCGGGTCCGTTACCATGTACTTCAGGCATTTCTCATCAGTCTCACTGGATTGCATACGTGCAACTAAACAACTCACCTCCTCACCCTCAATCTCCTCCCACCAGACACCCTGCCTGGAAGTAGCCAAGCCACAATCATTAACACGCCGTCTGTCTAGTCCGCGGCGCGCCTGAATCGATTGCCACACGTTGCCAATGTCTTCCTCTGTCGTATGGGCCAGCAAAATCTCCGAGCATGCGTTGTGCACCGGGACCGTTGACGTAGTATTCACAGGAACCACCCGCGGCCCGATAATAATCACATCGGAGCCGAAATACTGTATTGCGCTATAACAAATCAGCGGCGCGGCTTTCAATATAGTGGAAGAGAAGACTCACTCATACGAGCCAACATCCGACCTCTCAACTCGCCAATTTTCCCGGTCCGCCGGCTGCCAGCCTCTTAGTGCTCTCACATCACTCAACCATTTCGTATCAACCGGCCGAACATTTCGGTATCGTTGCTCATTGCCACCACCGTATCGGTCCTCGTGGAACCGCCCTCGGAGGTCAACGCCACATAATGCGCAGTATGTTGAACGAAGGGGTTTGCTGGCGGGGAGGAAATGCATGGTGTAGCCGTCGTCAACGCCTAGCTTCAGTTGGTGCATCGTTGAGCACACAAGCGTATCATTGGTTTGGACGGTCCATCTAAGGTCAATATATGCGATTGAAGAGCGTTAATTTCGCTTCATTTTCACGTTCACCTTGAGATTTGATTAGCATGCAAGGAAGATAGGATGCTAGCATCACACTGGGTGATTCCTCTCCGACGATCTACGGCTTGGCATGCATGCAAGATCTATGAAAGAGGCGACCACATTGCTTGGAGTAACTCCACGGAGAAGTCTGGACCATACGTTCGATGACTTGACGGAAGGAGCTCGGGCGATGGCGCATTCCTCCAATTTCCGGTTTCTACTGGTCTCACTGTAACTGAAAATCCTAGAATTTAATCAATACGTGGCAGAGAGCCGCGATGATGTAAGGTGGCCAGGAAGTCGTGCACATCGGAGGATAGATATCTATTGCATTGTCATAATGTACATTGGTACTTCAACGGTGCTGGGATTTCTGCCAGCGATGAACATGCCTTGGGAGTGACGTGTCCCAGGGGCAGGCGCTGGTAGGGACCCTTCCTTCGCTAAGCGATTAGTGGTCTTCTCAGATTCGGTTCTATTACAGTAATATCCATCGACTCCTATGCCGGGTATTAGAAGATGATCGGTCACCGATTTCCGTACGCACCAAGCCTGATAGCGAACTAATCGCTCGCTCATTATCTTCTCGCACTCCCACGTTCGTAAAGTCCCCGAATACGGAAAGATCTCCTCCCTCTCAGATTTACCATATACCGAAGAATCGTTTCCACCACGGACGAGCGATACCCTTATTTGCGTTCTCGACACCTTCTGCGAGGCGCTCGTAGTGCATTGGGTAAGAGGGTGGATATAATGTTCTCTCGCCAGCGACATACTGAAACAGAACGCAACTTAGACCTCTTTGTTCTGAAACAATTCATGAACTTGAACGCACCTTCTTCTTGAGCTTGTCCTTCGACAATGCGCGGATAGCTTCGACCGCCATAGCGGCCTTCGGGGTGGACGGCATATGCTGGGAGACGGACTCTACCAGCGACTGGAGCTGGAACCGTGGCTTTAGAGGATCTAGAGGTAGTCCAACGGCCAAACGGTGCATTGCATGTCGAAGTGTAGTGCGTGAGGGAGGCATAGTTCAAAGCACCAAAGAGAGGTAGGGACCCTTGCAGCAGACCAGCAAAAAATGAGTGTTCGCGGAGGCATTTTTCCTATAGGGACCGGTGTTGGTTGGACGCGTCACTCGGGATGGTTGGACCTTTCTGCTCAGCCCATACGTTGCCTGCAATGCGAACGCCATCCATTGTTCACTAAGTTTTATTCTCCAAATTGATTTCTGGATATCTCTGCTCAGCAGTTGTGCCTTGCTTCTTGACCATGTCGATACGTTGCGGACGGGACCGGATGCGACTGATCTGAAGAAAGAAGCCGGCAAGAACCAGCGCCGGACCTTCTAAAGGCGCTAGTAAAGCTGAACGCTTCAAATACAACCCCTTCCACATAGAATGCCGCAAACCAGTACCGCGAATAGAGCATCCGTGCCGATGGATTTACATATAAAACTGCCTCGACCTGCGCCCCGATGATTGTTGTACATCCCCTAAACTACGATGCGTGGTCTCCTGCCTTCTATACTGTTGGGCGCTTCTCTTGTCTATGGACTGAGCCTTCCCATCTTGGGAGGGTTCTCCTATCAAATCAATGGATCCATTATTGCTAAATATCCTTCGGGCGGCGATACTCTCTGTTACTTCCAGATCGGTGCTTGCGAATCACAGTCCTTGTCGATGTATGCGTCCAATTTCACCGCTGATCTGAGCATTTCGGGTCCTCAGAACTTGCCGTGCACCGAACCAGTTCGTTTTTGTCATTTTTTGTCATTATTAAATGTTCATTGGGATAAAGCTACCAAACTGGAACCTGGATGTGCAGAATTTCGGCGGTGTCTTACGGCGGTTAATATCGAGTCAGTCTCCTGTAGTCTCTACTTCCTTGAACGCATTATGACGAAATCTATAGACAATCCGGAACTTTGAGTACTGGAGATATCCACGGTCTGTCAACAGCTGTGTTCTTTGATTCGGGCCGAACATTGATGCGTCTCATGTAGCTGCGCCTTACACGCCTCCGGCTGATGGGATCCACGAGTCTGGAATTGTATGAACTTCTCAATCCGAACGTGGACGTCTGCTCATACACGTCCAGTGGATCATCAGCCCAACGATGCAAATCACCGCGGCTTGGACGAATACTGACGGAAGTAAGTAACGAACCTGAGAAGCGAAACTTTAGTGATTTGTTCTCAGGCAACGTCAACCTCGGGTTTGCCTGGGATGGCGTATACGTCTATGCGACACCCAATGCGACGGGATTCGCTGCAGAACAGAACATTGAAGACGGTGGTGACTGCCTGAGCGTCGTCGTACCTCCATTCAATTCAGTCCGATTGGATACATCTCGCTAACGCTGCGCCCAGGAGTTGTTCTTTGTTCCTGACTGTACCGGGATCCTTATCGATATTCCGGGTCTTCTTGATTGGTGCATCGAGCTTCCGCTGCATCTTTGATCGATAGGAGACCTCTCAATACGGTCATGTGAACGTTGTGCATTTGAATTGGGAATAGGATCGAATTTGCGGTGAGAATCCGCGGGCTTCGTTCGTCTGCGAAAGTTCGCAGCTCTTATTCTCCCCACGGAGGATTCTCACCCCATGGTACGGATCTATGAACCACATGTGACCTGAAACGGGGACATTCTAGATCATTTGGTGCAGACTGGTAACTGACTTCTAGCTCGATTGATTCGGTAATCTACCGAGGCACGGTCTTGGCGTGGATCAAGCGGCATCTCATTTGCTTCAACCTCCGAAACGGTCATCGTGCCTTTGCATGCCCATTTCATACTCGTGCGAGACTGGATCGCTTCCCCTTTGGGAGGGTCACATGAGACATATGGGGTAAAGAATGTGTCTGTAAATCTCTCCATTAAGGGCCGGTTCTCAACACATACATTGATCAGCAAAGACAGACAGTATCTCCTCTCTACTTTCTACGTGCCTAATTGACCTCTTCTTTCTCATCGGCAGGAAATGGACAGAGACACTCCGGCTCGAAGGGTGTTCGTACACTTTCTAGCTTGTCATGTTTCTTGCAAACTTCCAAGGCCTGGTAGTACTCCTTCCATTCTGCCGCACTTTCCCCCAGATTGGCATCGCTTTGGGCGGGGGACGCAGAACGGGAGGAGGAGGGTTTTGGCGTACGCTTGCGTCGCTTCGGAACAGTGGGAACCTCCAGGAACATCGAGTTGGAAGGTTCAGGCTTGACCGGCTCATAAGAGGGACGAGATCCACGACGCCCTTCGTCATATAGCCTCCAGTTGATTGAGATGTCAGGGGCACCACCGACGACATATGACTGAACGTCTCTGGTGAGTGGACCATTCGGAGGTGGACCGTACTTGTTGTCGAAGATGGAAAGAGTAGCTGGACCACAGTCCCATCCTACTGCTTGAGACTTGGCGTTGAGTACGGGTACACCAGTCTTGGCTGGATATGAGAGGGGAAGACAAGTGGGGAAATCCGGCGGAAGAGAGGTACGGGAGATCTTTGTTGTTCCGTCGGTCTCTGACTCAGCCATGATGCCGTCAAGGAGTTCGGTGAGCGAAATATCAAACTGTGTGCCTGATAACACGACCTTGGGGAGTTCGGCTTGAGAAGACATGTCACCGGGAGTGACAGGGGGTGAGGACGACGAGTTTGACGAGGATCGAGACATAGCCGGGGTGGGAAGGTTGAGCTTGGTGACAGAAGATGACGAGACAAACTTTGGAAAATTTGTATTGGTAGAAGAACCGGAAGTGTTTCGGAGGGCAGGATCCAACACGCTGTCCGTCAGATTTGTACCTCGTTCGTATTTCTCTGTAGCGGGTGTGGGAAGTCCTTGTTGGGGGTATGGGTTTGCGGGAACCAGCGGTGGGATATATGCGCCTATCTCGAGGGACAGTGAACCTTTGTCGTCAACGGGGGTTGGCAGGCACAAGATAGGGTCGATATAGAAGGACTGCGTGGTCGTGGCTAAGTTAATGGTGGGTATATGCTTGGTTGGCTTGATGGTCTTCGCCGATGTGGAGATGCCATTTCCGTGGTTTCCTGCCACCACACTCGGTTCGCTCAAAGTGTCCGCGTCGGCTCCGCCCACCGCGGTCTTAGGGCCTTCTGGACCAGTGAAGAATGAATCGAGCAAGGCGAGCATTGTTCCGTCGTTGTCAATCACACTGTCGAGACCACCGTGGGCGGAAGTGGTGGGTGTGATGGTGGCTGTCGGACAAAGAGGAGGTGGAGAGAACAGAAAGGGACTTGGAGAAGACATGATTGAAGTGAAGATTAGTGCTATACAATATTAGGGAGTGTCGAGATACTGGAGGAGAGCTCTTGGGGAGTGAGTGTAAGTAGAAAAGCTGGATGTATGCGCCGTGAAGGAGGAAAGTCACTGCCAGGAAGAGGGCTATTTGACACCGTCTCATATTTGGCAATGTTCTTGCCACACAGAGAGCATACCAGTCGGAGAAGACGAACACATCAGACGTCCGGAGAATAGTTGACTCACAGCCACGGTCTCCGTCGATCAGTGCAAGATCATCATCAGAACCTCGACCATAAGAAGACATACCCACGGGTTTGGTATTTGACAACAGTCAGAAGGGCCAAAGAGCGTTACTTTTGTTAATATTACCTGGTCACGATCCTATGACCCCAACATCATACCATGTTCCCATCAACAACCGGCCATATATAGAAAGCGGCGAGATGGTGAGACGTGCTTCTATTGTTTTAGCGCGCAGTTGCCCCTGTCGCACCACAGGTCGTCGCCCTCGCTCAGCGAGAACCGCTGTGAAAGTCAACCAACAGCGTCAACCCTTGTCTTGTTAGCAAAACGCTGTGCGTTTCTTCATACGTACAGTACCCTGACCGAACAGAAATAAATGACGGAAGTGGAACTGTGCACTGCCTTGGCGCATGCTTTGACCAACGTCACACGCCTACGGACGGAAGCGACACAACCCCGACAACCGAAATATTGCTTATATACCGGGACCACGCAATGCTGCGTTTCATTTCGCCACGATATCTTCACGCCCACGACACGAACAGGTTTCTGTCCTTCTCTGATCTATCTTGATATTGGGTTCTGACGACACAAGGGATACTGAGAGTACAACATGTCGGCCAGATTACCACCAGAAGCGCCCAAGAGCAAGGTCCTCGCGAGCTTAGCTCGTGGGCCATTGCGTTCCATCATTATGGTTTTAACAGTTGTGCGTACTGCTCGTCGCGGTGCCGTGAGCGCGAGCTGATGTATTCACAAATAGGCTGGTGTTGCATGGGGGCTTGCCTTGTACGTTCAAATGTGATTATTGCTGTTAAAGTGTGGTCCTGATTCTCATTCAGCGGTATCCAATCATTCCGAGATATCGGCTTCGATCGAACCACAGGCGGCGGCAATTCGCTAGTCACATTCGACATTATCATTGGCTCGCTGATGTGCGGCTTCGCTGTGATGATGATAATTGGCTTCATCGTTGCATTAGTTGTGCGTCGCTGCCCTCACACAGCAGATTACAGCCGTTATATTGACGAGTATTCACAGAATCGTCCTACACTCGCGCGCACTTTCTCATTTCTCTCTATTTTCGCTGGATTGGTACTCTGCGCCGGGCAGCTGTTCATCGTCATTGCTCATTTCTTCTTTCAATCGCTCATCATCGACGAGTGCGAAGCTGCCACGACAAACGCCACAGTCATCACGGGCAATCCCTTCTGGTTTGGTTATAGCGAGCATACGCTGTCCGCCACGGACGCGCGAAACTTCTGCAATAGTGCCTTTTCCCGCCAATCGGCGAGCACCATCATTTGGCTCCTTGTGGCCATCGTTGCGAGCGCAATCTTTGTCATGATCGCCATGGCTTGGTCTTATCAAATCCTCGATCCTTCCTATGGTCGTCAGGCACCCCCACGTGCCGATGCGATCCGAATGGGCTCTTTCAACCCCAGCGGCGAGCCCTACGACCAAGTCCCGTACGCGCCACGTGATCCGTTCGCAGACAGCAGAAACGACGCCTACGTCCCGCCGTATGATCCTAACATGCCACCGAAGTACACTGGCGACGAGTCTGGCCGGGTTACTCCACCCGAGAAGGCTGATGGCGGGAAACAGGGAATGTATGGTACTGATCGGGATGCGTGGGCGGCGAGTGACACGGACCTCGCTGGGCCGAGGATCCAGGAGAGAAGGCCTGGGGAGATTTAGTGATGAGGATCGTCCGGACTGATAAATATTGTTATCGGAACACGTCTTGGCATTTTATGTTTCCCATTTGTATGTAGCCTATACAATATATTTCTTGAGGATAATCAGTGGCAGAAACTCGGTGCGGTAAAAGATGTGCTCACACAGTTCGCGAGCACCCAGAAAGTGACCCTCCTAGCCTACGTCTCATCGTCGATAAGACTCGGCGAGTCACCGGGCCTCTTCTCCGTCGTCCCATTTTACCCGAAACAAAGGGGTGGCGGAAAAAGGTTCGCTCTCCTACTTCTCATATCTTGTCCCAAAAATGAATCCAACTCACTATTTCTGTTATCTGCCATCGTCACCTTTTCCCACTTAGAGTGATAGAAGATTTCGCGTGGCTGGATGGCATGTGGCGGCCATGATGGAAACGCAGAAAGAGTGGGTGGATCGATGAGAGAAAATAGTCATCCAGAGAGGAAAAAGAGGCCTGTTTGACAGGTGGGCGGAATTGTCGATACTGTTTATTGTTGGAAGAGGTGGAAAGAGGTGAAAAAAGTGGTTGGTGCGGAAAACGAATTTGTGATGGACCGAAGCCAATCACAGCATTAGGCTATTATGATTCCTTCCTCGGAAGACCGGCATGTGCAGGGACCCGGGAGGGCGGAGGAGTCATTGCCAACACGGTAGGCGCGCGTCCTTTTGATGTTCTCTCCACACCATGATTGATGGTATAGCTTTGTTAGTTGATATTTTAATTGTTTGTTCAGTCGATGTACAGCACTGAAAGGACGCCCTTGCCTCTCCTCAACGTCGCACAGTTGTCGCTGGCTGTGCAGCGGAAGGAACCTGATTGGTCGACAGCCCCCGTCACACCCTCTCCTGCACCCACACACTCGACCTCATCATCTTCGAGCATCCACACCCTGCTGGCCTCATTTTCCTCCCCCCTCTTTTCCTGCCTCCTCACCATCCACCGCTGAGACGATGTCTACACATCGTCCGGCCCACCCGTCGCCGTTACGGGCACCGCCGACAGGGCCAGCAGCGTTGCGAAACGCTCAGGCCAAGGCGGCTACCCTTGGCTCGGGCGGGCATGCCGTACCTACTGGCCCCCGCGCTTTGCGGCAACAACAGCAGCAACATCAGCAGCATTTGCAGCAGCAAGGGATTCAGCAGGCGCAAAAGCAGAGCATGTTGAGTCCATCATCGGGCGGCTTTGGTCTACGTAGTCAGATTTCATTTCCGTTAAAGCGGTCGCCTCTTTCCATACAGCCCCCCATCCATAGTCCTCTACCAACACTCGCCCCACCGCCCGACGCGCCGACTGGTCCATCCAAGCGATCAGTGGTCAAATTCAAAATACATTCGAAAGGATCTGGTCGGAAACCACAATCTGTACCGACCATCATCATGGCACCCTCAGGGCAGACAAGAAACGCCCATCATATTTCCCCTTCGGCTGCGGCAGCCTTTACTTATCCTACCCCGAGTACACCTTCGCGTAGCCACTTACCACCAGAACCCACAACTCGCCCACCGCCTTGCCCACCTGAGCCTCCGCCACCTGACGAGCCGGCTCCTCCTTTGCCTTCGCCTGATGATGACTTCCCCCCTCCCCCTTCTTCCTCCCCACCACCGCCGCCTCCCCAACCAATGATGGAACCTCCGCTTAGTCCTACACCCCCAAGAGAGCGCGACTACTTCGTAACTTACGATCCTGTACTACAGCCAATGTACAGAGACACGAAAGGTGAGCGGATCTCGACGCGCGTGACGCGCTGCCATACTGATGAACTCGAAAAGGCAAGCAGCCCATATATCGATATGAGCGCGAAGGTCTTTCAGACACGAAGCCAAAAGATCCACGTCGTCTGCTGAGCGCAGAAGACAAACTTGGTCGTGGACGCGGTAGGTATCGGAAGGAAGTCTACTTTATCGAGTACCCAGTAAGAGATGTCTGCATGTATGCTGTTGAATATCTGTCTTATTCTCTCTCACTAGCCTGACTCCGACAATGCACCTGTACGCAAACGCGCACCAACACCACCACTGCCGTGCGCGTTGTCTTTCATCAATATTCCTACGTCTCTTCCTAGTTCCACGCTCCACCGCCACCTACAGAACACCTTCGGCTTCATGAACGACTTCACCTTCCCGTACGACCCTCTCACAGGTCAGGCATATGGTCTATTGTGGATCAAGTTTGCGTCACATCAATTTGCTTCCCAGTGCCTAGCGTCCGCGGAGGCGTTCAGGGCTGGCAAGACTGCCCAAAACGGCGTATCTCCCTTCTTCCCCCCAGGGAACTGGGATCCTCCCGATGGCAGCAAGAAGTGGATGTCACAACTCAAAGCGACGTGGGATGACTCTGGAGAGGAGCACAAGCGACTTCACAAGCTTGAAGAGTCGCGCCGACGAAAAGCGTGGGAAGATGAACGCCGCAAGAAGAAGGAAGAGGACAAGACACGAAGAGACAAGGAGCGCGAAATGCGGTTGAAGAATGCGATGCAGCAAGAGTGCGAGTCAAGAAGTGCCGGTTTGGACACACCATTGGGCGATGGGCGTACTGGTAGTTCTACTCCCGCTACTCTAGCTGAACAGAAGAAGAGCCCGGGCGAGCTTGCGCGTGAGGAGGCTGAAAATGTTCGCAGGAAGAGGGAGATTAGGAAGAAACTCGCGCATAATCGTTACGAACATCTCATTTTCGAGGGTGCTTGTGTCGATGATGAGGCTGACCTGAGGGAGATCGCCAAAGTTCTTGACCGTTTTGGCGTGGAAGAGGTAGGGCATTTCAACCCTGAAGTTGAGCATACGTCCTCTAACACTGTCTTTCAGGTCATCACAGACTCTCTCAATGTCTACGTTACGTTCTCCCGCCCATCGTCGGCACAGCGCGCAGAAGTAGTCCTTTCCAATGCCCAGCAGTCCCAGACTTCCGCATCCGCATCACTACGCCTCCCATCTGCCGTTTCATCAGCCCGCATGCTTCGGGAAGCGCCTCTAGATCCAAACGAGGAGAAAGCCGAGCAAGAGCGCGTCATCAAGGAAGCGTCCGACGAGCTGGTTGAAGAGCTCAAACGAATGGTGCGCAAAGATCTCCGTGAGCTGGCACGTGGTACTGTCCTTGAAACTGTTCGTCAATTCCGTGCTGAGAAGAAGGACCGTCTCGCTGCTCAGGAGGCGACAACCGCACCTGTGTCGATCACCCCACGGATCCTCGATATGAGCGCTTTGAAGGGAATGAAGATCATGAAGAAGGGAGGAGAGAAGAAGCGGTTAACAGAAGGGAAAGTAATGGCGACCCACCCTGTGGAAGATGAGATGGAAGTTGCCAAATCAAAGCCCGTGAAGGTGTCCCCTGTGGAGCCTGTTGTTATGCCAGAAGACGAGGAAGAGCCGATGGAGATCGACGCCGAGTCTGATGACGATAAGGCTGCAGAGGACCTGATCAAGACGGTACTGAAGAAGCGGAAGGCGTCGACTGTAGAGCCCGAGTTGGAGCGAGCTAGCAAGAAGCGGAAAGCAGAGATTGACTTCACCGATAGTGAAGGGGAGGAGGAAACACCTACTCCAGTTGCAGTTGAAGTCCGAGCACCCTCTCCTGTTGCACCCATTCCCCCGCCTGCCAAGAAGAAGAGTGCGAGCCGCAAGCGCAAGGTTGAGGTGGTCCCCTCCCCGACAGACGAGTCCAATGGAACGACGCTGGCAGAAGAACTGGAGGATCAACAAGCGTTGCTCGAAGAGGACATGCGGCCAACGAAGAAACGAAAGATGGTGTCTCCACCAGCATCAGTCAGCGACGTCCTTGATCCAGTGACGGGTGATCTCGATCTATACAAATTGGGCTTCGAAGACGAGGAGGATGCTTATCAACTGAGGATACTGCTCACAGGAAAGGGGTCACCAGAACCAGAAGAGGAAGAGCCCGAGAGCACCGGAGACGATGTGATTTTGCCCCCGCGTCATCCCGACCGCCCTGTTCATCACAGTGGTTCCGCGAGGACAGAGGGATTCTACAAGATCCCTGCTGCTCTCAAAGCGAGCTATTTGCCTCAAAGAAACACGACTACAACGGATGTGCCGAAGACGGGCGATGCCTCAAAATCACGCAGCAACAAGGGTATCACATCCCGCGCAAATCGTAATCTCAACCGCAACGCCACTCGTGCCATCGCCATGGACATGGAACGTAGTCGCGGTGGCGCAGCTCCCAGCAGCGAATTGTTCGCATTCAACCAACTCCGCGCGCGGAAGAAAGAACTCAAATTTGCGCGCTCTCCTATTCATGACTGGGGTCTGTATGCGCTCGAATACATCCCAGCTGGAGATATGGTCATTGAGTATGTGGGTGAAGTTGTTCGGCAGCAAGTCGCCGATAAGCGCGAGAAGGTGTACGAGAGGCAGGGGATTGGGAGCAGTTACTTGTTCAGGATTGACGACGACCTTGTTGTTGATGCCACCATGAAAGGCAATATTGGGTACGCCGGAAGTCTCTAACGTATTCATGGACCCTCTTACTCACATTTCTCGCGTAGTCGTCTGATCAACCACTCCTGCAGCCCCAACTGCACTGCGCGCATTATCACTATCAACAGTTCCAAGAAGATCGTCATCTACGCCAAGACTCCTATTGAGCCTGGAGAGGAAATTACTTACGGTTCGTCCCTGTTGATATTCTTCCCATTGCATCGCATGCTGACCAGTATCCTGACAGACTATCACTTCCCCATTGAGCAGGAGAAGATTCCCTGCTTGTGTGGGTCCGAGAAGTGCCGTGGATTCCTCAACTAGATTGTTTCCCCTCATCATTTGGCTCGTGCTTCTTCGCTTGCGTATCCTTCATGAACGTAGCGTCTCATATTAATGTGGAACATGTACACAAGTGTGCTCGGTGCTCCATTTATTTTTTTCCTTCCTCCTATCAACGTCCTCTTGCTCCTTCTGTGTCATTCTCATACACTTATTAGTATTCGGCTTCTCTGGTTTACTCTGTGTCGATCACGCATGTAGCTGTACTGTATTTCAATCATCACCGCATCTGTCCCGCCATCTAGCATCATATTTGACTGCCTTATCAAGGATGATCTATGAACAAGCATGCCCATATTGTACTCCAGGGACCTGGTGAAAAGCTTGTAGTCTCTGTCGCGGATGCCATCGTGGTCATGCCCAAGGTCCTGAGGCTTTGTCCTGTCACTAAGGAGGCCTGGCTTATGATGTCTCGATTCCTTTATTCGAGATGACCGTAGGTTGTCTCCGATGACCCAACACGGGTGCTATGTAGGATGGTGAAGTACCGATCGCAAGTAGCTGGCTGTCCGACGTTTGCCGCCCAATCTCTCATTGATCGACCATGAGAGTCAGACGGTGTCTCAGCGTGCCCAATGAAGTTGTCCTCTACCCTCAAGTAAAGACATCGTCGTTCTCCCCACAAATTTCGGCCGGTCGGATGCGGAGATGCTTCTTCCGTTGATGCACGTGGTCGCTGGCGTGAGTCTATCGCCCTTCGTCGCGTTGACTTGCAGGCCAGCGACACTCAAACACACATGCTTGACGGCGCGCTGGTCCTAGCACTCTTTGTCTTTCAAGACCAGTTTATACGATGACCTTGAACCCATGCCGGTGATTGCACCAGAAATGGGAATACGACACTGGCAGACTCCAACATCCGTCTTCGGTTGAGCACAGGATGCTCATTCCAACCGCTCTACTCCCTCAAACATACCGGACGACTTAACCGCCATCTGAACCTGCTCTGTCTGAGGGGCTGCTCTCTTCAACCGGTGATTGGAGGGTGAGATCTGGAAGCTCGAGTGGGAAGGTTGGAGGGTGTGATTGCTCCGAGAGCCTCAGCTGGGAACTGGTCCTATCCCGTTTGGCTTCGGAGGGGCTGCATATATGCGACTGGTGCATATAAGTACCCACTGGCTCGATGGTCCTGCTTCTTCCCGACTACCTATACACCCTCTTCTCCATACCCGCCCTTCATTCTTCGACGCTTCACCCAATACCCTTGCTCACTATCACTACCACCCCTTCACCTCGACGGCATGGCCCGCCGACATACTACTTCGTCGTCGCTCCTCTACCCATCGGGTCGCTCTTTGCCCGCCCAGATTCAGCTGCCGGCATGGGAGACACTACACCCCATGCAGACCTACCTTGCACCGGCTTCGCACTTTGCGCCTTTCAATCCAGGTCTGCCGAGCACCTCCCCTTTTGCCATGCCGATCCGCTCCGTCCACAATCAGGCGCATATATCTACCGCTGCCGGTCCGAGTAACCCCTCCACCAGTCTTCAGTTTCCGTTTCTCTTCACAAGCAGTCAAGACTACGACCATGCTATTAATGCCTGCAACCGGGAGATCAATCACTGGACCCGTCAACGCGCATATATCGAGCAACTTCGCTCTAGGCCGGTCCCTAGCGCGTTGGCGAGGGTTTCCAACTCTGGGCCGCATGCTCATCAATTGAAGTACCCCGGTGACCCGTTCCTCAATGTATGCCCGCCTGCGCCCAGGTTCAATTCAAATGTGCCCCTGCCAAACGTCGGGATTGAACACGAGGTCCCCCTGCATCCAGATGAAGCACGCGTCGATGGACTCCACCTGAACGGCGTCATACTGAAACCTCCTGGCAAGGTCGTCAGTGTTGAGCAGCTCAATCTTGGCATTGCGAAGACACCGTCTTCGATCGAGTCGAAATCTGGCGCAACCGACGCCAGTGCTACGCCTACTTCTGCCGTACATGCGTCTGCTCGTGATTCTCAGGTGACGACTCCTCCCATGCGGGTCATAACTGGACAAGATGTTGTTGTGCTTAATGGGCTTATGAAACTTCACAGTCGTTCTACGTCTGCTTCAACCGTCACCCATGATGATCATGCCTCTAACACGTCTAGAAGCCTCGGATTTGGAAGTAATGCAATAATGAACGACCTCACGATTCGGACCACTGACCTCACTATGGAATCCGACGGCGACGACTGTGAGGCGGCCACGCCCGGACTCGTGCATAGTCCTTCTGATGGAACAGGAAATCTTTCTCAGTCATCCACTATGTCGTCGCTGCCTTCTGTGCTGGCTCCCCCCATGCCAGATTCCCCGTCTCTCGTGAGTAGTGCGACGGCACCTTTTACCGACAAAAAGAACATGCCCGTGCGTGGTCGAATCCCTCTGACTCTCGACCTCTCCAACGATAACCGCGTCGCATTTCGCACCGACCTCCCCCTCAAGTTCGACAACTTCCCGCCGGACGGGTATCCTATTTTAGGTGGGGAGAACAGAGAACCTATCGGCTGGTCTGCTGGTCCCACGCCAGTCATGGAATCCCTCGGCAGATGTATCAGGCGAGGAGACGCAGCTCCTGTCGCAAACAAAGAAAACGCTAAACGCGTGAAGTTTAAGACTTGTTCCAAGGACGATTTCGAAGCGAACGAATCTGACAATGAAACCGATGATGAGTGTGAAGATAAGACCAAGGAGCCGTCCGCAAAAGGCAAAGGCAGTTCCAAGCCAAAGCTCGCTCCGAAAGCGCTCTTGAGCCCCCGGCGGGCAATGAAGGCAGCTAAGAAAGCTAGAATTGAGGATCGCGACGATTGACTTCCTTCCACGCTCTGATCATCGTTACCTTTATGAGATTCCAGTTCATATTTCCGTCTTTATGCTCATGCACACCATGCTCAAAGCCGAACTCCTGTCTATTCCGCCCTCCTAGTGTTGTGTTTCAGATATAAAGCCGTATTTTCTCTTGTTCCTTGCTTGATGTCTCTTTTTGCTCATTGAAATGTTTCGATCCTCATGGGAGCTGAATCGCTCGTTGTAGATGATGCTAGATCAAAACTCAAAGCCAATGTTGATATGCCACAAACAGAACTATGACACAGACCGAGGACCAAAGATGCCATCTGTCTTAAATACACTTTGTTCCATCCTCCGACTAAACTAGTTGTTGAAGGTCATTGTTACCATTCATTCTTGATATCTTATTGCTGATCGTCCTTTGAGAACGTGTGAGCTGGTCATGTGGCTCATCTTCTTTTTGGTCGAGAGACATAAGGTACGGGCATCGTTTTATTGATACATCACATCCAAAATGATACAATCCACTGATTCAACCCTATATTACTTCAGTCAAATGGTACAGGGCGCAGTCCGGGAACGTTGAGCGGAACAGGCCTCCTCTCCGAGTCCACCTTTTCCGCCTGCGCCGCGCCAAACACCGCCGGAATCTTGATCCCACAACAATCACCCCAGGTCGACTGTACATGCACATGGCCCTCGTGCTGCACCATTCCCTTGCCTTCTTCGAAGGTGATGTCGGAGATGGGCGTGCCGGTGAAGGGGAGCAGAGAACCGAAATAGAAGTGCTGGATCACGGGAAGCTTGCCTAGGACTTCACCGCGGTACATCTTGAACATTCCGCTGTTGACTTTGTCCCACGTCTTGACGGAGGAAATGTCGTCCAGCATGGGGGAGTGCCATCGGAGTGAGGCGGTCTTGATCTACAGAGACGTTGCCCGTCAGACAATCGTTGTAGAATTAAACGGCAAATACGTACAGAGTTGATGAATGCGATACATGCCACATACATGTAATCTTTGCCAAACATCTCCAACACGTCTGCATCATGTATGCTCTTCGGGCGCAGATACTTATGCCCTCTCAGCTGCGCAGAGCCAAACACGAAGGGGAGAAAGTGGTAGTCGTCCAGGCCCCAAACACCGTGTGACCCGGCCGGCTCGAGCCAATACGTTTGTTGCAGGGTTCGCATTACGCCGATGTATCTGACATCATGGTTAGATGAAATGAGTGAGATGATGGAGGTGCGCACCTCCAAAAGACTCTAATGATAACGGCACGGTCATCCGCTTGTTTCAGCACGCCAAGTTTCTCCAGACACAGCCTGTGCAACGACGTCAACCTCCTATAGTAAATGAAGAGGGATTATGCTACTTACAGCCAGCATAGGAAGTTCAGCTCCATCCCGCTCCCATAGTCGATTCGCGTCCGGTTACCCCAGCTCTCGCTGAAGTAAACGGACAGCTCGGGTATGGCATCATCTGGTATGCCCGTAATCTTCTTGTGCAATTCAGGTGATGCCTGTTGTATAGTGAGAAATTGATTCACTTGGAGGAAAGAAGGTGCCTTACCCGTCCCACTTTGTCGTAGAAGTCGCGAAACGCCGGATTACCAAACCGCGACGCTGAATTCGACACTGGTGGCGTGTCCTTCGATATTTGCTCGACATCATCCAGTACGCCAATAATCTCCTTCACTCCCTACAACCAGATTCAGCAGTCTGTCCCTTCTCAAAAGTCTAACACGCCTGCGCACCTCGGATAAGTCACACTCGCTCGTAAGCTTGATCCCTACGACCGCGTCGTTCAGGCGCTCGATGAACGTCATCACACTCGCGTATGTGGGCGAGGTCTCCCATTCCTTCACCTGCTCCTGAGTGAGAATGCATTTTGTTGGTTTTTGATACGATGTCGTTGGTTCTGACATTGCTTGTCGTCGTTCGTGTGCGAGTTGCTTGATGTGTGTGGTTGATGCGCGACGAGGGACGCTCACGTAAAAGGACGGGCGGACCCGGTCGGAGGTGCGGCTCGGATTTACAGAAGGGGACCACGTGGTCCTAGGGTTGTGTTCTCGCCAAAGTCCACGTCTCTTGCTGCAAGACCAGAGCCAAACGAAACGAGTCTATCTTCAAGACGCGATCGGATTAATTTGTGAGAAAATCCATCCTTGCACCTGTTGGTCGGTATATTGATCCCTCTCCCAAAGATTCAGATCACAGTACGACGACAATCGCGATATCCTTTTGCTCTGGTCTGGAATCACGCGCGCATCATGATAGACAGCAGCCAGCTAACAGACCTCGCCAACGGTCTGGGCATCGCATCGGTACTCCTGATTGTCGCATTCCATTTTGTGTCGGTGAACTGGTCAGGGTTAACGACAAGCAAGAGCACGGGAGTACCTGTGGAGAAACGATGAGTGGTGGATAGTGGAAGATCATTGTCGGGATATGGGAGTTGGAGGTGATTATCGTTGGGGTTAGAGAGGATCAGTAGTGAGGAAAGGGGCCAGGCCAGATGGTGGTGAGCAGAAGGTGGTGCTGAGGTTGTGATGTGATACAGGATTATAGCCCGACAAAACCTGTATGCGTCTCCCGTACCTATATATCGATTTCAATAGGCCGTGTCGAAGGATTTTGGTCTCCTTACGCTCCCTAGTGACTATAGCTCGCTACCACAAACAGTGGGTCTAAGCCATGATACACTGCCGTTATCTACATGTAAGAATACATCACTGTCGGGTACAAACAACATGCAACGTATCGTAATGACATTAAGGCGGTGCCTCGCACCTCCATCCTTTCCTCGCAGGGGTATCACGTCGCTCGTGCAGCAAGCCATTGCATGATCACATCCAGGTTGTGTTGAGACTTCATCGAACACTACGTCCGGTTGTGTCAGGCAGAATACGATGGACGAGCAATGTATGCATACGGAGTAACACTGCCAACAAGTCAAAATCATTGAAATAGAAACCCAACGGCGTACTCACAGACACGGGCCTATTCTGTATCCTATCGAGTTGTCTACACACCATCACATGAGCCTCATGAAAATATATATCCCAAACACGTACAAGAGGGGAATTAGCTCGTTAACGGGAAGGTGACCTTCCAAATCATTCTTGTTGCCGAGCTGCGAGGTGGATCAGTGTCAGATAGATCACTGATATATGCAGTGCCCACCACCAGTAGAGGGACACCAGCAAGATGTGGACGATCTAACAGGTTGTGCAGCTCAAATCGAGCGGTGTCGATCTTGTCCTTCTATGCGCTCGTCAGTAATGCTGTTCAGCACAGCACTCGATGTATGCATACATCCGCAGCGTCCACGACGAATCTATCCGGAAGATCAGCCATGTGATATTATCGATCAAAGAGTTATTTACGCACACAATTGCATTTGTACCTCGGCAATACCGATCCCACCTGCACCGTTATAAGCAAAGTGATAGATTTGATCCGTGACCGACTAACATGTTACGGAATTTCGGTTGCCCTGGAAGGTGTGTTAAGCGTTTTAGTCACAACCGCTGAAAAATAGGCGTGCCAGCTACATCCCATATCTTCAATGTGATATTGCCCTTGGTGACTGATCAAACAAGTCATCGATACGCGTCCCATACGTAACATATCCTTGTAAACCTTTTCGGAAACTGAATGCCACAGTGGGCACGACCTCCTCACTCCACTGTCCTGATCCCAATACATTTACGAACGAGGTCTTCCCTGATGCCTGTTCCACCCATATCAGCGCCTCCCGCATCTTCCAACCTGCCAAGTCATGACGTGCCTGCAAGCCCACCACGGATATCTCAACCTGCTTAGCGAAGAAGATATTGCGGAAGAAGTTGTATATCGCTGAGAAGAAGAGAGACATCCCAGTTGTATTAGAAAATTAGAGTGCGTATAGGGGAATCCAGAGTCGTAGAAGTCGTCGATATCGTCGTTGTGGCCTGGGGAATTGCTCTTATAGGGCGTGTGGTCCGTAGAGACGCAGGACGCCGCGTCCGCCGGTCATCCTCCCTTTTTGCGCCCGTCAAGTAGTCTAGGTTGTTGCCGGCCGTAGGCTCTGCTTTGCTCTGCTCCTTTGCCCAATGGAAGTTATACTACCAGTATATTCCCCTCTGGATGTGCCTCGCTTTCTAAAACCCCAGGCTCGAAAACATGGTGCAATGACGCTACATACTCAAGTCGGGAAGGCGGACATGGTCTGCGGTGCTAGCTAACGCATCATTGACCCTCGGCCTGGTCATTATCGAAACCCAAAACTGCCAGCTGCTGTTGTATGAGGGACCATCAACACAATAGCGACATCAAGCGACATCAAGCGACAATCAGGATGGATTACAGTCAACTCTCTCTGATTCTGACATCTCAACTGATCGATTGGAACCTACCAGTTTTCACGGCAGCTATTTTTAGATCACAGTCTCCAAGCACCAGCTGTTGCTTGGTGCTCCCTCTATCTAAAGGATCCCTGCTCTTCCGCCTTTATGATCCTCGAAAACACTGGAAGTGAGAGAAGGGCCTCTGAAATATCTGCACTGCAGTCAGGTCCCCTCCCCATCGAGTGTCTTCCTCTTGACGGGCTTGCAGTCTAACATGTCTAGCATCGGTCTCACCCTGCATTCCTTCGCATCATCCATTCACCCAATGTGGGAAAATATTACGGAACATACGGGTCTCTTGAAAGAAGCAGACGGTGTCACAGATGGATCACAGGAAGAGACGGACCAAATGAATCAAGGCTCCCTCGAAGTGGATCTTCCTCGACTTGTTCACTTTCCTTGGGCAACGCACCCTGAATCTTCTCAACAAATCAACGGGGTATTTTATGCTGGCGCGACCGCCATAGCTAACGTACAAACCGACCGCTTATTGCTGCTACTGGTCGAACGATGCCCACATGGGTCGAAAACTCTCCTGCCGCACTAGACAAGTTGGCCATTTGGATTTTGGGCGTCTAATACGGTTGTTATTGATTGTGCCAATACCCATCGTGCCAGATCACAGCGCAGATGCATTGGCCGCCATTTCCTAACGAGTGATCCTCATATCCGTCGAAGAACAAACCAGCATAATTCTACTGCGCATGTGTTTAAGGAGTACGAGATCCCGTGTTGGGCTCTCGTGGTGAATGGGCTGTGGTTTACTATCATATTCCTCAGTTCGCTGACATCGTCGCAATGATTGTCAAGAAATGGTTGGGCGCCTACAGAGAAGATCTATTTCGAGCTCCTCTTCAGCGAGCCATGCGACGCCTATCACGAGAAGAACTGAAGAGCTGGATGGCACCCTCAATATCCAATTGCTACCCTTCCCAGATTCACGTGGTCGTCCGTTTCTTTCTTCTCAGACTGTTTATTTTCGCACTACCAGTCAGTTCTGCTCTGTGTTTGCCGATATCCATATTCCAACTCACATGGCTTGAGAAGAAAGCTGTAAAGGAGGGAAACCGGGAAGTCCCTGCTTGGACGTCCCTTATTTCCGTGTCGTCGCGGAATGTGCGGAATACCTCGTAGTACCATATGGACGAAGTTATTATTCCCGATCCTGTGAGTATAATTTCTATCCAGAACATCAATCAATCCTAATCACGACCTTTCCGACGTGCTTCTGGCTCTCTAGGTACCTATACGCCTCCTTCGCCTCGTCGAATTTGAACACCTTGTCCACAACGGGATGTACCCCCGCGACCTCAAACAGCTTGCACATTGCCTCGAATTGTTCCCTGCTGCCGATGAGTATGCCCCGGAAGATGACCCCTCGGGCAAGCGCGAGCATGGCGATGTTTCCCGGGTCACCCTGCTCCGCGACGAACCCGATCGAGCTGATGATACCGGAGTACTTGATGCATTTGAAGCTCTTCTGCAGCGTACCCGGCCCGCCGACCTCAACGATGTAATCAACTCCTTCGCCATCTGTGAGTCGAAGCACCTCCTGTTCCCAATCGGGGTGCGTGCGATAATTGATGAACGCGTGCGCACCGAGCGACTTGGCGAGTTCAAGCTTCGCGTCGGACGAGGAAGTGATTATCACATTGGCACCGGAAGCGACGGCAATTTGCAGGCCAAATATAGACACGCCGCCTGTACCTTGGATAAGAACTCTGTTTCTCGGAGTATCGGGTGAGCGATCAGCCTAAGAATGGTACGGGACGGGACGTACGTATCGCCTCCTTTCATGGGAATAAGCCCCATCAGCGCATTATACGCTGTCACAGCTGCGCAGGGCAGCGAGGCGCCCTCCTCGTAGGTCCATCCTTCGGGCACGCGAACAAGACAATACTCGGGCACGACAGCGTACTCGCGCAAGAACCCGTCGATCGCTCCACCATGCGCTGTGAGCAGGGCGGATAGCGTCGGCCCACCAGTGAGATGATCGCGTGTGAAGTTTGGCATTACCCGGTCTCCCAAGGTGAACTTCTTACACCCTTCGCCGAGCTGGACAATTTCTCCTGCTGCATCAGAAACAGGGAAGATGTGCTGGCCCAAGGGAAGGGGATATTGATTTAGGGCGATTTTGAGATCGCGGTAGTTGAGGGACACTGCATAGATTAAGTGGGTGATTTTGGGACAGCGGAGACAGGCGCACCAGCATGCACCTTCAGCAATACCTCGCCATACCCTAGTTGTGAAACGGGCGCCTCTCCGAGCGTAAGATCATCGATTGACTCGTACTGTACAATGCTGTGTCAGCACAGCGACCTGGCAATAACTTGGGCCGCAGGTATGCGTACCTTGGGAAGGCGATACTCTTTTGCGACCGCAGGGAGGCTCGTCATGATGGCTGAAACGGTTTGCTATCGAAGGCTAGACGACGGGAAGTTACGTTGGGGATTGTGAAAAGTTGGAGCTATGGTCGCCAGCCTACGGGTCGAGGCGACCCTTCTTATGGTCTGGGCTACAGCCAGCCAGGCATGCTGACGCACGTCGAGTCGTTGGTGGGTGGGAGTGGGCCAGCGGAGGGGCGGTCGACTTGCCGGCGGTAAGTGTCCGACCGTCGCCGCATAAGCCCCAAAAGTGACGGCGGGATCACCGTTGGCCTCGCTGTTCCGGTGTCTCCGCATAAGCACCTGCCCCGGCCCACTCTGCATGAGCCAGGCGGCGGAAATAACAGAACGGATGACATTTCTTGCGCCAGGTGATGGGATAGCGTTGCTTTGAGTACAGGATAGTCGAGGTTGGGGTGTGAATGATTAGCCAGGAACAAAGTAAAACATTAAAGCTTCGTCAGGGGCCATCTGCCACACAAAAGAAGCACAACAACATTACCTACGCGAGATAAACTGCATTGATCAGCATCAGACTCTTGCTGCAAGATAACTAGCTTGTGTGGAGCAATATTCATGACGTGGTATTACATCGGGCGAAAGTGTATTCAACGTCGAAAAAGCTCGTAAATTAATGTGCTGTGAAATTCGGCCGGGTAAATTATTGGCCGAGGAACGAGGAAGCTCGACAACCCCTGGGACGCGGGTGTATACTTTGATTTCTTTTTCTCACGTGCTTCTTAGTCTTATCGCGCCCCAACGCGTCAGTGACGCGTTGGATCTGAATCACCATGTTCTCGCAAGGAGGCTCACAGCGTCCACAGCGCCCAGGAACAGCATTTTCCCGCCCATCGACCGCTCGCCCACCGACGCGGATGAGCAACACGACTGTCTACCGAGAAGGCGAGTATGGAGGGAACTTTGTTATAGCGGTTATTGAGGGTCGGGGCGTCGCGAGAGAAGTCGGTATCGCTGCTCTCGATCGGGACACCGGACGAACGGTTCTTCTCCAGGTGCATTCTCATTCTCATTTTATCCATGGACTAGACTGAATACACGTTCCTCTATTTGAATCTAGGTCGCTGACTGCCAAACCTATGTCAAGACCCTGCATCATATCTCCCTCCACCAGCCCACGACGCTCCTCGTGCTCGACACGGCACTCTCAGACCGGACTACAGGGCGATATGGAACAGGAGGAGGAGGACCGAGCCTGCTTGTACAGGCTCTGCAGGATGAGTTTCCTGGGGCGGCTATCGAGCCTGTGGCCAGGAAGTGAGCCAGAATCACGTTCCTACTGTGTGAGGCTGAATGTGTATGCGCAGGTATTGGAATGAAAACGCTGGTGCGTGATCATGTCGTTCTATGTGGAGGTGTTGTGTTCCTAACTTCTGCATAGGACGGGACTTTATCAAGCAGCTGATTGTTGAGGATGAAGAATGCCCAGCCACGCTGGTCGCAGTTCACGAGAAGTAAATTCGCCACAACGTACCAATGTTCGTGATTGATGATGATTGATACCTCCAGATATTTTGCCCTGTCTGCAGCGTGCGCCCTCTTCAAATACATGGAATCGAGACGGAACGCGATTTTTGCCATCCATTCTTTGAGAATCCAATACATTCCGGTGGAAGGTTGGTTGTCATGGGCATGCTCTTTCATGCCAAAACTAATGCTACGCATATAGGCACGATGCTAATTGATGCGGATTCTGCCAGAAACTTAGAGCTAATCAACAATCTGACGCACAAGAAGAGCAATCACAGCCTATTTGGCAGGTCGATCGTTAAGGGATGGGCGCGCTGTCAGCTCATCGGACCTGCATGATCAGGTATTCTGAACGACTGTTTCACTCCCATGGCAGCGCGCATATTACGTGCCAATATTCTCGCCCCGGTTACTAGTGCGTTTGCTGTGGTCTGCCTCTCCCGGAAGGTCCTGATACACGTCAGATCTGAATGCCATCAACCAGAGGCTTGATGCTGTCCAAGGTTCTGGCGTCCTTTCTCTTCTCCGCTGGTGCTAATCTTGGACTTAGAGCTCACCGATATGGAGGATCGTTTTACCTCCATCAAAGAGTCGCTCCGCGGGCTGAAAGGGGTTGACCTGGACAAACTTATCACCGCGGTGGGTCTTGCCGTTCGGCACGCCTTTTCCCCGAGACTTACTTTTGACCTGCCCTTTGCTCATATAGCTCATTGTCTCCGAGGCCCGACCTACCACAAACGTGAAGATAGCAGAGCAACGTGTGGGACAGATGTTAACCCTTCGGACGGCGGTCCGGGCGCTCAAGGCGGTTCGAGAAGCCCTCGGCGGGTGTCGATCCGATTTGTTGAAAGCAGTTGAGCGAGTAAGTTCCGGATTTTTTGGAAGAGAATTAGGTTTATCTCTCAGGAAGTTGATCAACGATGATCGGATTGATCAGCTTGATTCTCTGATAGCTGAAGCACTGAATGAGGATGCGGGCATTGCCAAAAACGGTGTGCACAACAAGAACATGAAAGTGTACGCCGTCAAGGTAGGTTGATTGCTGAGCGCTGTGCGTGAAACATTCTGAGGCTTCGCAGGCCAATTACAATCGTCTTCTCGATGTTGCCCGTGAGACATACAAAGAAGACATCACCGAGGTATATGCGCTTCACCAGCGGATCTCGGAGGAGCATGACATGCCGCTGGATCTACAGTGGACGGAGAACGGATTCCACTTCACCGTCAAGAAGGATGAGGCACCCAATGGACGTCTGCCGAAAGGGTTTGTGGATGTGAACGCCAAGGGCCCCAAATGGATGTGCTCGACTATGGAGTTGGTATGTTCATGAATACCGCTTGACGAAGGTGACTGTGCTGATAATTGGCATAGAAAAAGTGGAACGCGCGGGTAAAGGATGCCCTGAACGAAACAATGCTGATCAGCGACCAGTGAGTATCTGGTGTCAGTTGAGACTACCGCTTGTTCAAGCAATCGTCTAGGATCATACAGGACGTTCTTGCAGAAGTGATAGAATATGTTGCTGTCCTGTGGAAGGCGTCCGAGGCGGTTCGTGACAGACTGAAAAATAGGGGATAGCACTGATACGTAGCAGATTGCACTCCTTGACATGCTCTGGGCATTTGCGAACGCTTCCATCAGTAAGCACTCGTCCTTGTGTGGTTATCTGGTGCTGATCTCGTGACAGAGCATAGCTATAGTACATCTTTCCTAAGGAGGTTTTACACCCCTATCTTACCCTTCCCAGTTCGGCCTGAGTTTACGTCCACACTCGCAATCAAAGCTGGCCGTCACCCTATCCTAGAAGTAGTGCAACCTCCCGGCATGTTGGTTGCGAACGACGTCTACTGCAGCGATGGCACGAGCTTTCAGTTGGTGCAAGGTCCGAATATGAGCGGGAAGAGCACATACATCCGGCAAGTTGCATTGCTAGTTATCATGGCCATGATTGGGTGCTTGTGAGACAACATATTCCCGCATCGCTTGGAACGCTGACAGTGAGCAGTATTCCAGCGGAATACGCGAGTTTCCGTCTGCATGACGCGCTCTTGACGAGGCTGTCGAATGACGACGATGCTGAGCGCAATCTGAGCACCTTTGCCCAGGAGATGGCAACATCCGCTATGATCCTTGGAATGGCAACGGAGAACTCGTTGATTCTGGTAGACGAGCTCGGCCGTGGCAAGTCATCTTGCTGTACACTCTACCTGGACAGTGGTTGAAAGGGTTGTTGTCCAGGCACATCTCCTCATGAAGGAATAGGTATCTGCCACGCTCTGGCCGAAGAAATGATCCAATCGAAGGTGGGAAGTAGTGTTCGCCACTTGGTTACACTGATAGTATCTCTTAATCAGGCTTTCGTATTCTTCACTACGCAAGTATGTTGAGATGTGTCAGCGCCCTGATTAATCATTTTTCTAGGCATTTCAACGATCTTGGCGCGACTTTGGGGAAGCATCCGACTGTCACGAGGTATGATAGTTATTTCCCCTGTTCCATAGTGCTTTCTGACACCCTGTCTCAGCCTACATCTAGAAGTCAATGTAGGCAAGGGTGAAATGAAAGAAGCACTACTCTAACATGTATGCAGACGACCCGGCAAACGACGTCAACTGGGTTTAACATGGTATTCCAACACAAGTGAGTTGGAGCACGTTTTCCTCTTCGCCTAAGGGATATTGACTGGGTAAGAATTCGTGACGGGCCGATGGAGGAGCAAAATCACTATGGTACCTGTCTTGCCTGGGTGGCTGCCGACCTGTCTTATTTGGTGGCATCCAGGTCTAGAGCTGGCGAAACTGGCTGATCTTCCTGACGGTCTTCTGGCAACATCTGCTCGTATGGCGGAGCATCTGGCTGAAAGAGAACGCGTGCGTCGTGCTAAGAGCGAAGGCGGCAAGATCAACACTCGGCGGAAACTATTGATCAAAGTGAATACTCTTTGATTTCGGATTCTTCCGCTTGGTCCTGAGTGATCTGACGTGGCTTCTATCTGCACAGCTCAAGACACAGCTCGCACAGGTCCTGGAGCGTTCAGATTTGCCAGACGCGGAGCTTGCGGTAGTCCTTGCTGATATGCAAAAGAAGATCGTCAGAGATCTCGGTCGCACGTTGCCAGGCTGAGATTCTATAACGGAAGCCTGCTGTGTTGAAACCTAGAGGCTGGATGGCTTCCCTACATCTTTGTATGGCATTGTGTTGCGTCTTCTCATCGTTCAGCCTGACGTCCTGAGACCAATGCTTTCTCTCATCCTTTAATCCCCCCCTTCGTGCTGTCCACTGCAGCTAAATTGTTACGGGCCTGTATCATTTAATGCTTTACTGCGATAAGCAACATTCACAAAACATTAGTGAAATCCATATGTTCACCAAATATTTTCGTTGTGCAGATTCCTTGGTTTTGACTATTTCGTTGACAAGGTGAAGATTCCTCCAGATGGATGCTTTCCAATGAACGACAAACAGAATGCCTCTGTCAATCAACCATGGACGAGCGCGATGTTATTTCGATCCTTCAGGACTTGTAATCAAATCACAAGATACTGATGACGACCTTTCCGACATGTCTGCCCTACAAATACCTAGATGCAACCTCCTTCGCCTTCTCGAACTTGAATACCTTGTCGATACCTGGATGTACACCCGTGACCTCAAACAGCCTACACAACAGCTCGAACTGTTCCCTGTTCCCGATGAGAATGCCGCGAAAGAAAGCGCCTGAATAGCGAGATTGCCTGCGTCACCCTCGCCTGGTTTGATTGCTTGCCCATACGCATACGTTAGCGATACTGCTCACTCAGAAGATTCTCGGACGTTCGGAGCTTGTGGCTCTTCTACTGCGCTGCTTCCCATCCCTCCTCTCCCTTCAAACCCCATTCCTTGAGCCAAGCGAGAAACTTTGAAGCAACGACCTTCTGCCCCTGTTCATGACAATGACCATTGTCGGTGAATAGCTCGGTCCATCCGATCCATCCGTGGGTATCGACGACAAACACGTTCTGATCACCGAGCGCGACTCGGTGCGCCTGCACAGCGTGATAGGGTGACGGGTTGTCATAGTATGATCGCATAGCGCCTGTCTCCTTGAACTTGCCCTAAGGACGATCAGGGAAAGCATCCCTTGAGAAGACACATGTACGCACCCAATTGGTGAATATGAATATCGGCTGATCCTTGTAGTACTTCTCTCGTAGTAGATCAACGAACTTCTTATAGGTCTCCGTGAACTCTTCGACGGGAACGTTGTATCGCTCGCTCCCATCGTTAGCACCAACAAAGATAACGAGATGCGTCGGGGGGTCATCGCGAGAGAAATCCCAGTCGGTCACGTAGTTATGCTTCTGGTTGTAGTAATATCGCGTGTCTTCTGTCTTGAAGAACTGGAACGAGAGGCCATGCACGTTGCCCCAGCATTCAATGTCCGTTAGCGCAGCCCCAGGCTAATACACGGGATGATCAATCAGGTTTCAGTAATATATCGGCTGTGCTCACCTGTGCATTGACATCCTTTTCCGCCCTCAGCTCCTCTGCCACGATCCAGTCGAAGCAGTCAATCACTCCTCGTTTGCAGTACTGTCCGCTCGAATGAGAATCACCAATGAATTGAAACTTCAGCTTCTGTGACTTGTATGGCACAGCGACTGCGCCTTCGTTTAGATTGATGGAAAGAAGGTGTAGGTTGGCAAATTCCCACGCTTCCACCGCGAAACGAATGACCGTACGTTGACTATTGGTGCCGGCAGGAATTGGGATGCGATTGAGTCCAGCATTGAAGATGTGAGTTTCGTAAGTGGCATAGTTGATGCTCACGCCAACGGGAAGGTTTTTGCTGTTCAGGTTGCCACAGATGACGGCGACTGTCGTGAGGTTGGTCGCGACGATGTCGAACCCGCTGCCCGCCCTCGTGGATCGTCAATGACGCGTCTCAGGTGCACAGGATCAGCCTAACGCACCACCACGACGTGTTATCGACATCCCACCGTCCATGCAGACGCAACAGCGGATCTCCAGGTTTCAACTCGACTGTCATGGCACGTTGCATGCGAGGCAGCCATAGCTGATGTGGTCAAAGCAGTGGGTGAACAAAATCTCCGAATCAAACGCTTGCTGGCGTTCTTGCGCGGGACTGGACTGAATGGGCTCGCTCCGACTTTGTCAGCTTTCTCATTGCCTTCCTCAATAATGGTAACCCATTTAATGATCGGAAAGGATAAGCGCTAGAAGGATCGTCGGATATCCGACTCTAGCGCCGGATTTGCATTAATTTGCACCGCCGTCTCGGGCAGGGGCCCGTTCGCTTGTCACCTGTGAGTCACCGCCTATCTAGCTGGGTTATAAGACCGCAACTGCGGGCTCCGTGCCAGTCCATCGATCATCTTTTGCCCAGAAACCCCAACCTCGAAACTGCAAACTCACGTCATGGAGAGTCAAGCTTCTGCAGAACAGTCCTCCGTTCGCAGCCACCCAGCATACGAAGATCTCCCTTTGCCCAAGGGATGGGAACAACGAGTCGCAGCCAACACTGGGAAACCCTTCTACGTCGACCATAACAATCACAAGACCACTTGGGCCGATCCTCGCCACCCCCTGTCGGAATACAACCTTGGGCCGCTTCCTGAAGGATGGGAACACAGACTGTCAAACATCGGTCAATCGTACTTCGTAGACCATAATACTCGAACAACGACGTGGCTCGATCCCCGACCAGCTCCCATTGGGAGGGCATCTGGGGAACCGATTAGTGTCAGCCACGAAGGGGCGCATCTAAGCGGTACCAAGCCTCTTCCCTACACTGAAAGCGATACCGAGCCTCTTCCCTACGGCTGGGAACGCAACCAGACAGACGACGGTGAATGGTATTACACCGATCACAATACGCGAACCACGACGTGGGAGGATCCTAGGTCTGAGAAGGCGAAGGAAGGGGATGGGTCGAATCTGGGCGGAGCTAGTAACACCGAAGGTACTCATGGGGATGAGGAACCGCGAGAGTGAAATCAATCAACTGAGAATGCAGAAAGGAATAACAGAGAGGCCACTCAATTATCATAACTGTACTGAAGTGCCTCACGATTGTTTCACGATGTTGGGTCTTCGCGTAGGTACAATGCCATCAGATGATGCTGCTTCTGCCGCGTGAAGGCAGTACTAGTGTCAAGAATCATGCCCCATAAGTTTGGAAGACAAGACGCTGATAAGCGCTGGGAGGCGTCTTCTTGGCAATTTTAGCTCAAAAACTCATGAGACAGCGCTTTATATGCTGCAACCCCCTCCGCAACTCACGGCCAAATTCACCTCATAGTTTGCCTTCATGAGCTCATAATGACGCTGACAACGTCCACCGTGGATACCCAGGCTACAGTCGTGGGCGAGGTGACCTTTCTCCCAGAAACAAGCTCGATCGAGTCACCACTCGGAATAGGCGCCCAACGCACTGATTCCGAGACTTCCGTAGACAAGACAAGCATCGAGAAATCCACTGTTAGCGATGTTGATACTAAGCCAAATCCCGAACACGAGGCTTGTAAGCATGAGGGTTTACAGCAAGATAAGTCCGGATTCGTCCCGGATTGGTTCGACAAGTTCCCAGCGCCGCCCGACACTTCCGATGCATCCGACATTTGGAAACTCTACGTGCGAAAAGCAGAAGAGCATGATAGTACTCTTCTGAAGAAGTGGAACGAGGGACTCGATGTTTTCTTACTGTTTGTGAGTGAAATATGATATATGCATGGTACTTTAAGGACCACCTCTTTAACAATTGGCAGACTGGTCTCTTTTCGGCGGTCCTTTCTACGTTCCTTATAGCATCCTGGTCGTCTTTGCAACAAAACACCACTCAAGCATCCTTAGATGCACTTGGGTCTCTTTCTCAACAACTCGATGCTCTGAAACGCGGACAAGCCGCTGACCCCGCTCCTTCTTACCTTCCTGAGCCGTTCGAAGTACCCGCCTGGGCAGTAGCCGTCAATGCCCTCTGGTACACCAGCTTATTCATCACCCTATTCGCTGCTGTTCTTGCCATGCTAGTAAAGGATTGGCTTCGTGCCTACAACGACAACATCGGATCTATCCCCCTCGACAGGGTATATCAGCGCCAATTCCGCTACGATGGGCTTTATCCATGGTTCCTTCCAGCAATAGTCACCTTACTGCCGCCCACGATCCACATGGCCGCATTCCTCTTCTTCACCGGACTCGTCATATTCTCGAGGCAGGCAGACGTGGTTCTGGCATCGATCATATCTGGTCTACTTGGAGTGGGATTTTCTATATATGTCGCGCTCTGCGCCGCTCCCGTTTGGTTTCCGGCGTGCCCCTATCGATCACCGTTGACCATGTTCATCCATCACACTCGACGGGGCTGTCATCGTGTTATCCAAGCAATTCTGAGCTTGCGAAGGAAGAAAGAAACGACTAACCCTCTGGTCCGGGTCAATTCATTCTCTGACTTTTCTGCTTGGGACAAGTGGTGGAAGAGGTCACGGCTGTCTCCACGCCAACAGGGGAGCGCACTGGAGAGGACGCTGTTTGCGAAGCTGGAAATTCCACTGCAAGCTCGAGCATTGGCTTGGCTGTCGACCTCGACCGACCCAGAAGCACAACAGAAGGCGCTCTATATCTTTTCTTGGTGGGGGCCGCCGAAGACGGTTTGGGAAGCTGTCCAGGCAAGAGTGGAAAAAGCCGCTACGATCTACCTCAATGAGCGTACCCATAACACCGACTCCATACAACACGATCCCGAGTCTTCAAATGAACAACTTGCACGCAGGGCTATGATCGGGACTCTGTTTCCACCGAAGGCTCAGCAGGACTTCCGGGAGCATCCAGTAATACCGGTTCTAGAACAGTTCCCATTCAGCCCCTACGGTCAATCGCTCATCAACACGATACAAACCTTCATGCTGAAGGAGGACACATACATCATCCCCTACACCGAACATATAACACCGGAGCCAGTAGGATGTCTTTCGATCTGCGCACGGCGGAATATTTCTTGTGTCATGTGGGTGAATACAGGGACAAAATGGGTTGGTGCAGTGACGCGCTTCTCACCCTGGATCGTCAGATACCATTGGAGCGCTCTCTGAGTCAATGCTTCGTCAAGTACATCGTTCTTCTCGGTCGAGTTCTGGACATAGATGACGAGCCAGTAGCGACCTCTTATCTTCCAGTTGGAGAATCTCGATATCCTAGTGTTGGAATCAAACCTGACGAATTTGTGTTCAGTCCAAGTTGCCAGCGTCTTCTTATGCGTTGTGTCTTGGCTCTCCTAGCTCGCTCGCTCAGTATCGGCTCCCTCAAACGAACAGAAGATACCGATTACCGAAACCTGGCAAGCCGATTGTCAGTCGCCCTTATGCTGCGTGTCAAACAGTACCCACAACTGGTTGATGCGGGCCGAAAAGAACCCTCGGCATTCGCAGTTCTCGTCGTCCAACAACTTCGCGCTGCGCGACTCGAGCTGTCTTGGATACATCGAGGACACCCTACTCATATTGTCGGTTCTTTATTGGATTCCCTGGATTCGACATTCCGGATATCGTCTCCTGCAAGCCAAGCTTTGTGGTCTCTGCGGTATCTTACGTCTTCTGCAGGAGATCCTCTGGAGATCATAACGCAACTGGATGATTTCTACAAGCCATTCAGCATCTTGAGCGCGTTTAGCCACACGAGCGCTGTACCCTTTCCCGGATCGGACCGATTCATTGCTGATGGCAGCATGCGAAAACTGGTGGACCTGATCCTCCAATCTACGGATTCCAATCTTGGGCTGTGCGTCCCGGCCGTATGCATCACATGGAGCGTGCTGTCAGCAACAAAGAGAACAAGACAAGTTGGCAATCAAGAGCAGCTCCCAACTCATAAAAAGTACCTGGAGAAGGCTGGATGGTTCGACCTTATGACGAAACACGGGGGCGGTGAGTTCGTAATGCAACAGTATCCCCTCACGCACGACATGATGGATTCGAAAGCGTTGCAAAGTATGCTGATCCAATGCCATGCTTGGAAATTGCCGGCTCGCACGACGCTGATGGGATTCCTCAATACCACGATGCTGCATTCTGGTAAGAGTCCTCAGCGAAAGCACACGTGGGGGCAGGTCACAGCCCACTCGGACACAGAGCAATTGAAGAGGTCCGGGGCGGTCGTACAACGAGTCAAAGCATCCTCGGCCGTCATAGTGAGCGAGAAAGAAAACTATCAGGAAGAAGCGCGAGGAGTTCTGAAGGAAACCGAACGCGAGGTGAGACAACGTGTGTAAACTCCGATTATCGGAGACGCGCCTTGCCCCGGTTGATAGGGGCGCGTGTGTAACGAGCATTATTTAAGGCATTGTCATCCTTCAAGTTGATAAAAATTAATGGATTTGCTCAAATACAGCAGAAGAATTACAAAAAGTACAGAACATTCGTTCGACATGTGAAACCGCACAAATTAATGATCCGTCAAAAGAGAGAATATTAATGTCCTCATGCCACGGCCGTGGTGAACGGCGGCAAAAAGTGCAAGGGTTCGCCTGTTGGCACAGGTCATGTTCGACAGCAAGCACTCAACGTTCGCCATCGTCCTCCTTACCGTTTGACCCTCCTTTTCGTCTCTCTCTATTCTATCATACCCATATTGAACGACATCTAGACGACTCAGGAAGGACATCGTCATCGTCGACCGCCATACAAGGGCATACATTGCCCCTCGCTATCTGCGTCAAACCCGCGTTTCGACGCCAGCTAATCGTTTGCTCTGCGGTCAACCAACAGCGAGCAACTAGACCGCCTCCACACTCCCCTCCCCCTCTCCTTACTACCCACCATGTCGGTCCCACGACCGCAAGATATCAACGACCTTGCTCTTTCCCCGTCCACGTCGGACGATGTGCTCGTCTCGGTCCTCCGCGAGCGATTCCTTTCTGATACCGTCTACACCGCAATTGGCAGCTCCGCCCTCGTCGTCGTCAACCCATACAAGTATGTCTCAAGCAACGCTGACAACGTCTTGCTGGACTATGCGGCCGAGTACCGGGACACTGACGCACATGACGACCGACATGTCAAACCACCGCATATATTCCAGTTGGCGAACAACGCATATTTTCACATGAGGAGGACGAACATGGACCAGTGCATCTTACTGAGGTGCGCGCAATCCAGTCTCTTCTTGCCATCCAAACCGCTGATTTGCTCCCCAGCGGTGAATCTGGTAGTGGTAAAAGCGAGACCCGTCGCTTGGCCATCAAGTCGATCCTTGAGTTGTCCGTGACGAGCCCAGGCAAGAAAGGCGGAAAGATGGCTACTCAGATACCGTCTGGGGAATACATACTCGAATCTTTTGGCAACGCACGGACACTCCAAAACCCCAACGCTTCCCGTTTCGGCAAATACACCGAGCTTCAATTCTCGGAACGCGGTCGCTTATGTGGCATCAAAACCCTCGACTATTACCTCGAAAAGTCGCGTGTTGCTGGTGCACCGGGTGGCGAGCGCAACTTCCATGTCTTCTACTACCTCTGCTCTGGTGCGTCCCAGGAAGAGAGGCAACATCTCAAGCTTGCGGACAAATCGACCTTCCGCTATCTCGGCCAACGGCCAACAGGAGGCAGGGAGGCGGTTACAGAAGACTCCCAGCGGTTCGATCGTTTGAAAATGGCAATGAAAAGTGTTGGATTGTCGAAGCGACACATCGCGCAGACTTTCCAGTTGCTCGCAGCCATCCTCCACCTCGGCAACATCGACTTCACGATGGACAAGTCGCGTAACGAGGATGCTGCTGTTGTTAAGAATGTTGATCAACTCGAAATCGTTGCCGATTTCCTTGGTGTACAACCACATGCGCTCGAAGCTGTCATGCAGTACAAGACAAAACTGGTGCACAAGGAGCTGTGTACCATCTTCCTCGATCCTGAAGGCGCAGGTGGCAACCGAGACGACCTCGCGAAGACCCTTTACTCGCTGCTCTTTGCATTGCTCAACGAGACGATGAACCAGAACCTATGTCGTGACGACTTCCTTACATTTATCGGCCTATTCGATCTCCCTGGGTTCCAGAACATCTCTTCTTCCGCCAGCCGTACCAACTCCTTGGATCAGTTCTGCGTCAACTTCGCCAATGAGCGGCTCCAGAACTGGGTGCAGAAGCGCATATTCGAGAGGAACAACAAGGAATATGAAGCGGAGGAGATTGCCAGTCTTATTCCCACGATTCCGTTCTTCGACAACTCTGAATGCATTCGACTAATGTCACACCAGCCTGGTGGACTCATCCATATTATGGATGATCAGGCGAGGAGGCAACCGAAGAAAAACGATCATACCATGGTTGAGGCATTCAGCAAGCGCTGGGGAAATCATTCGTCATTCCGCGCCGGTCAGATGGACCGTTCAGGCTTCCCAACCTTCACCGTCAACCACTATGTCGGACCTGTGACATACTCTGCGGAATCCTGGCTCGAGCGTGACACCGATGCTCTCAATCCCGACTTTGTTTCCCTTCTTCGTGGTGCAACTTTGAATGCCGATGAGTCACCGCCTCTTCATATGGGCGGCAGCGAAGTCACCGGGTCTATTAATCCTTTCGTCCGCAGTCTTTTCTCTGCCAAGGCGATCGCGACCCAGGCACACCCGTATAACGAGGATACCATCGTAGCTGCGCAGCAGCCAGTCATGCCAATGCGTGCTCCCTCGACTCGCAGAAAGCAATCTGTGCGCCGTGCGCGCGCTTCGCAGCAAGTCAACTCTCCTCCAGCTGTTCAAGAGGACGAGGAGCCGCCGAGGGAAATCAAGTGTGTTGCGGGTGAATTCCGCACAGCCCTCGATGTGTTATTTGAAACCCTTGATGAGACGCAAGCCTGGTTCGTCTTCTGTATCAACCCCAACGATTCCCAGCTGCCGAACCAGATGGAAGGTCGTGGTGTCAAGGCACAAGTGCGTAGTCTGGGCTTACCAGAGGTCGCCAAGCGTCTGTCGGTGTCCTTTGAAGCAAGCATGACGCCCATCGAGTTCTGCGACCGGTACAAGAGCCAGATGGTTATGCTTGGGATAGGGATCGAAGACGACTTTAGAGAGCGCATCACGAGGACGCGCGATGCCCTTGATCTTGGCGAACAGGACGTTGTTGTCGGAAAACACAAAGTTTTCCTCAGTCATACCGCTTTCCACGTCTTGGAGAACTACCTGCGAGCAAGTGATATTGATGAGCAGAAGCGGAACCGTAACCGGGAATTGGAGCGCGAGGAAGTGGACCGTCCCACATTCGATCCTTTCGCGCCCTATTCACCTCTTAATGCAGAAGTCGTCGATTCTCCTCATCCTGGTGTTTATCATAACCCGCGCTCTGCAAGGACCAATTCCTCTGCAGGTCTCGTCATGAACGCTGCGCCGTTCCGTGGTGCGGCTCTGGATGACGGAGCAACTGATGATGGGCGGTCGTATCGCAGTGGCACCGACTATGATACTCGCAGTCGGGCAACTAGCCAGAAGGATGAGGTGATGTCCATGACCTCTTACGCACCGACGAACAACATGTTCCATAACATGGATAAGCAGGTTATTCCGGAGAAGGACGCGCTTCCTGGAGAAGCATTGGAAGGAGAAACAACAGAAGATCTGCGCGAGTCCGTTGGTCGTCGGCGATGGGTATTTTTCTGCTGGATGCTTACCTTTTGGATCCCCAGTTTCATCCTTTCGTTTGTCGGGAGGATGAAGCGTATGGATATCCGGCAGGCGTGGCGCGAAAAAGTGGCGATAAACATGATCATCTGGTTTGTCTGCGGTTGTGCCATATTCGTCATCGCGATCCTTGGCAACCTTATCTGCCCCACTCAATATGTGTTCAGCACAAGCGAGCTGCAAAGCCACTCATTCCAAAACAACCCGTCGCAGTTATATACGGCCATTCGTGGAGAAGTTTTCGATCTTACCAACATTGCTGCCCTTCACCTCACGGCTGTTTCGGTCGTGCCGACGAAATTGATTACCAACTACGGTGGGGAGGACGCGACATCGTTATTCCCCGTGCAGGTCAGCGCACTGTGTAATGGTGTCAGCGGCTCTGTCAATCCCTATGTTATCCTCGACTCTACCAACACCACCACGAACATCTATGCGCAGTATCATGACTTCCGTGCTTTCACGAATGACTATCGCCCTGATTGGTACTTCGAGACTATGGTCATGATGCGATACAAATTCCGAGTTGGCTTTATGGGTTACGTACCCCAGGAAATTTCCGATATGGCGAACAGCGGTCGTGCAGTAGCCATTTACAATGGCGAAGTATACGAAATGACCAGTTACATCAACATTGGCCCGCAAGTCAAAGTGCCCAATGGCTTCACGCCGCCGACTGGAATCGACACTCAATTCATGTCTCAGCAGGTGCAGGATCTCTTCACGTACAACAGCGGGCAGGATATTACTAAGCAGCTGAACTCACTGAACATGGATCCGACGACGCTTGCGGACCAGAAGACGTGCCTGCGTAATCTGTTCCTCATCGGGAAAGTTGATAACCGTAACTCTCCTCAGTGTTTGTTCGCCAACTACATCCTACTAGCGCTCTCCGTGATGATGGTTTCGATCATTGGGTTCAAATTCTTGGCTGCCTTACAGTTTGGATCAGCACGGGCTCCTGAAGATCACGACAAGTTTGTGATTTGCCAGATTCCTTGCTACACCGAAGGCGAAGACTCTCTCAAGAAGACCATTGATTCCATGGCCAAACTGCGTTACGATGACAAGAGAAAGCTCTTGTTCGTTATATGCGATGGTATGATCGTCGGTTCCGGAAACGATCGCCCTACTCCCCGTATCGTACTGGATATTCTTGGTGCTGATCCTAATCGTGATCAGGAGCCGCTCAGTTTCCTGTCACTGGGTGAAGGTGCCAAACAACATAACATGGGCAAAGTCTACTCAGGTTTGTACGAATGCGAAGGACACGTCGTCCCGTATATTGTCCTCGTCAAGGTCGGGAAGCCAACAGAACGGAGCCGGCCCGGTAACCGTGGCAAACGTGACTCTCAGATGGTTCTTATGCACTTCCTGAACAAGGTTCATTTCAACTCGCCAATGAACCCGCTCGAGCTCGAGATCTATCATCAGATCAAGAATGTCATTGGCGTCAATCCGACCTTCTACGAATATCTGTTCATGGTGGATGCTGATACGACAGTTGATCCCATGTCGTTGAATCGCTTGATTTCTGCCATGATGCATGACAAGAAGGTTCTCGGTGTTTGCGGTGAAACAGCGTTGTCCAATGCTAGACATTCAATCGTCACAATGATGCAGGTATGTGCTATGTCCCCTTTCTTGATTATATTCTAACACTTCATGTGCGTAGGTTTATGAATATTTCATTTCGCATCACATGGCAAAGGCTTTCGAGAGTCTTTTCGGTTCCGTCACTTGTCTTCCCGGTTGTTTCACGCTCTATCGCCTTCGTACTCCTGACAGCAAGAAACCTTTGTTCATTTCGAACCAGGTCATCGAAGAGTATTCCGAAAATCGCGTCGATACGCTGCACATGAAGAATTTGCTGCATCTCGGTGAAGATCGTTACCTAACCACATTGCTACTGAAGCATTTCCCAAACTACAAGACACAGTTTGTCCGTGATGCACATGCCTGGACCGTGGCACCTGACGAATGGAAAATATTGCTATCTCAACGTCGTCGGTGGATCAACTCAACTGTACACAATCTCGCTGAACTCGTGTTCCTTGAACGGCTCTGCGGTTTCTGCTGCTTCTCGATGCGTTTTGTCGTCTTCATCGATCTGTTGTCGACCCTGATTCAGCCCGTCACGGTTGCATACATTGTCTACCTCATCGTCCTTGTTGCTGGAGAACACAAACCTCTACCCACCATTTCGATTATTCTTCTTGCGGCCGTGTACGGTCTTCAAGCGCTGGTGTTCATTGTCCGCCGCAAGTGGGACATGGTAGGCTGGATGTTCTTCTACATTCTGGCTATCCCCGCCTTCTCATTCTTCCTGCCCCTGTATTCGTTCTGGAGGATGGATGACTTCTCCTGGGGCGCTACTAGGGTTGTGTTAGGTGAGAAGGGCAAGAAGATGGTGGTGCACGATGAAGGCAAATTTGATCCCAAAGCCATTCCTCTCAAGTCGTGGAGCGATTTCGTAAGCGATTTCATATGTGTCTATAGAAGCTTCATTGATCGCTTAACCCTCATAGGAAAACGAGCTGTGGGACAAGGAATCAAATCACTCCATTGGGTCATGGGTACCTCCCAAACCTGGGAAGGAAGACTACGAATCTCGTGCCGATTCTGTGTATGGTCGAGAAACGTATTATGACCCCGACCCCTACTCTCGGAGCCGAGCTCCCAGCCAGAACATGATGCACCCGCCCGCGTTCGCCTCGGGTCGCAACTCGCCGGCAGATGTCGCTTCCCTCCGTCCCTCAATGCGTGGACAGTACGCCGCCAACGCGTATGGTTCTCGTCCTGGGAGCCAGGTTGTTTATGACCCACCTGAGGGTTATCCGCCACCTAATTACCCTCCTAGCCGGCAAGCGTTCTCCCGCTTACCTTCAACCCAATCCGGGCTGGCAAACGTGCTGAACTACGATGACCAAGGGGCGAATGACGGGTTACCGTCAGACGCTGAGATCGAGGCTGCCATTCGGGACATCCTTCGTGAGGCCGACCTGAACACTGTCACCAAGCGCGGTGTTAGGCAACAACTGGAGCGAGTGTTTGGTATCGATCTTGGACCGAAGAAGTCGTTCGTCAATGCGACCATTGATCGTCTTCTGCTCAACCCGGTTTGAGATAACTAGACACTGCTGTGGACCTGGACCTTTTTATTTCCTTTTTCGTCCCTGATGCTGTGCATGGTCTGCCGATGAACCTTCTCTTATCCCTCGTTACGCAATCCACTCATAAACTGTACTGCTATCACTGCCACGGACTCTCCTTTTACTATCAGTCTATCTTGCATTTATGGACTACTACTTAGAACAATTATGCAAAATAGTCATTGCATACGTGCCGGACCTTGGACCCAAGCCTTGTGCTGGCGTGATTGGCAATGCATCGAACACGCGCCCATTGATGTTCTGAGGGTCTGGTCCATCCGGGTATTCATGTTTGATCCCGTGACAACCAAAAATGGAAACTGGTAGATGGGCGGCAGTGAGATGCAGAATTCTCATGAAGTGCCACGACAGCGAGCCTGTAACGGATTGCTTCTCTTCTACCACCTTCGATATATTGCTATTTGGAAGGTTGAAGAGCAAATTGAACTCATTCAGGTAAGTCGGTGTGGGGAGAGCGGGGATAAGATCCGGAGATAATCTATGAGATGCTGATGTTATCGATTAGGTGATGATAATACCCGAGAACGAACACGAGGAAATAGCAAAAAATAACTGTCAAAGAGGCATCAAGTTAAAATTGCCAGCACATAATTGTATTATTCTTTGCGCAGCCTTCGGCATCCGGGTCTGTGCCGCATTCTAATACTTCTCGACTCCTCTCCTTTTACCTTGACCTCCCGCATACCATTTGACGCTCGTTGTTCATCCCATACCATCATCATCGCCCCTCCCCCAACATCGCGACCCTGCACAGCGGCGACTAGCCCGCTCACGCACCCTCGCGGTTGATATACATCCCCATACACACACCCACTCCCGCTCTGGACTCACGACCATCTTGTTTAATGGCACCTATGATGGTGGGCCCCCAGCAACCGCCCGCCTTCACTGTCAGGCCGCAACCGCAGCCTCCGTACGTTCCGCGAGGGATTTCTATTCACTTATCCCTTGCTCATGATCCTCCCAGCGGCCCGCTGGGTGATAAACGCAAACGAAAGGAGGCGCCAAGAGAAAAGACCGGTAGGTGCTTTGCTCAGTCATCCGTTATGCCTTCGGCCGAGGGTTTAACGCCGAATTATTAGGTTGCTGGTCATGTCGAATTCGCGGTAAGGTAATCGCTTTGTTTAATGTAGCTGCTACACTATTGCTGAACTAGGCGATAGAAGTGCCAAGGTCGGGATCTTGCTAACCGTAATGTTTGCACTATCTGCAACAAGCTAGGCATCGACTGCCTAGGTTGGGGACCAAAGATCCCTGATGAACTCGATGTATGCTATTCAACTATGCATTCGCAGATATACTCACTCTATTACAGAAGAAGTATTGGAAAACGAAGTGGACCGCGGAGCTCGATGCAAAGGGCAAGATCAAAGGTCGAGCACGAAACATCCCCAACAAACTTCGACCGCCTTTGCCTGGTTTACAACAATCCATCGACGACCTCGACATGTCGGATGGTATGATGGACGACCTTGATGGGCAAGGGTTGCTATCAACAGACAGCGCCAACCCTGTCAACCTCTTCCCTGCTCCTGCTCCTTGGAACTCGGCTCCAACGCCTAACGGTATGAACGGTGACGCCTCTGGTGAGCCACCTCGCTAAATGATTTGTCATTGGGTCTTACACATGACTAGTGATCTTCAACGGCGTGTCCCTGCCAGCACTCGGTGGAATCACCACTTTCGGATTGCAGAACACTGCTGGGCCCAGCTTAAGCACGTCACCCGAGTCGTCATCTTCTCTCCTAGGAAGCAACAGACTCAACGGCGCCGGCTTGCACCTGAATACCGTTGACCTGTCTCACCCTGGAACTTCATTCACGACCAGCACCGGATCGTCCACCGATAGCGGTACGATACTCTTCTCGGCCGAGGAACTTTCCGCATCATCGGCGTTCGACACCTTGGGCAATGACACTTTCGCCAACGCTGCGACCCAAGCGTGGGATGTCAAGCAGGAAGTAATTCCCGAGATCTTCACCGATGGCACGAACGGCATCGGCAGTTCACTCGTGCCCACCATCCCGATCCCCATGGCACCGCCTGCGTTGGACGATGCCTACGAATGGATGTGGTTCCAGCAGTACCAGAACGACACCCGCTCGATGCAATACCTGGTACATGATACTGCAGCGAAACAGACGCTTGAGCAGGTGATGGAACATTTAGCCGCCTCCTTCAGTCCTACTGTGATGGCATACCTCGCAGCGGTACGGCAGAAGCAGTTGTTCCCTGCCTGGGAGCTTGGCGATGCCATCAAGTTCCGCGACAAGGTGCTCAGGCGTCTGCGAGACGATTCCGGCCCGAAGGACGAGAAGAAAGCGATGACCGCGCTACACATGGTATCCGTGTCATTGTTTGATGGGTGCAGACCCGCATGGCAGCCGTTCCTCGACTACGCGCGCGATTGGCTCGAGCAGTTACACTCGAAGCAGGACGTCCGCGCTGCGCTGAGCGCTGCGGACCCGCTTACATCCTTCGCCAGCAAGACAACGATGTGGATGGATATCTTTGGCGCTATCTCCCAACAGACGCCGCCTCGATTGCTGAACATGTACCGTGTGCTATTCGCACCGACTAGCACGGGAATGGCTTGGATTGACGCGTTTGCTAACCCTAGAGTGGTTGACATGTGCGTACATTGATCTTCTACTCCGGTGTATGTTTCCCTGACGTAAACGCAGGGACTCCACCATGGGTGCCGAGAACAACGTCATGCTCGCATTTGCCGAGGCAGCCAACCTTGACGCCTGGAAAGCCTGGCAGAAGTCAAAACAATGTCTGAGCATACCCGAGCTCGTGAAGCGTGGAGACCAGATCATGTCAATCCTTCGCCAGCCCTTCGGCGGGACCTCTCCCCGGGCCTTTATCGGACCTCTCCCGACGCAGAACCCGCAGCAGCTCATGTCCACTGTCTTCCGTTCATCTGCGAAGATCTACCTACATACTGTCATTTCTGGCTTCAGCCCCGCTGTGCCCGAAATCCAGGAGGCGATCACAGAGACGGTGAACTCGCTCGCGCAGCTGTCAAGCACCGACGAAAAGCCATACGATCGATCACTCGTACTCCCATTATTTATCGCCGGCGTGATGACGGATGATCTCAATCAGCGCTCATTCATCGTAAACCGGTTCACGAACATCAAGGATGTAGCTGTCGGAAATTGTGGCCAAATCCTAGAGCTTATCCAGGCAGTGTGGGAGAGGCGGCAGCTCTCCTCGGGCCAGGAGATCAGCTGGCGCGAAGTAATGAAGGAAAAGGGCATGAAGCTGCTATTCGTTTGATTCTCCCTTATTGGGCCTTCCTGTTGTTTATCCTGTCTGCCATTTGTGGACAGAGAGAAGTTTTGGTCGTGCTTTGTATTCTGGTTCGATTCTTCGTCTATTCCAAGCTGTGCGATAACATGCCAACCAAGATGTGTTAGTTTCGTGTATTTATTCTCGTGATTCTGCGAGAGGGCGGTTAAAAAAACATGATGTATCCCTAATAGTGAGCTGATGACAAATGCATGCGGTGGCCAAGTTTATCTAGTCGTATACTGCGCCGAACGTCCGCCGATGCCGGGAAAGAAGCGCTCGTTGCTTTCCTGATTGGTTGAGGTGATTCCTCACTCACCCTGATGGAGGCTTCTCTTCTCGAGCCAGCGGTTAAGCATCGCCAGAGCCTCAACCGGTTTGTCGTACGGTACCTGCGACAGAAGCTTAGCTTAGTGGGGCCGAGGGAGTAATTATTAGCAGAAAAGGGAGAAAGGAGGCTCATCAAATGTATTTTGTGCGTCTTTGGTCCGTCGGGGCTCGCCCGGTCAATGAGGAAGGAAACAGCTGACTCACCATGTGCCCTGCCGCATCGACAGTGGCGAACGTCAACCCCTTTGCGTGCTTTGTTAGCCCTGCACGGCGGCCGTGGACGGTCCACTCGGTTAGGTCTCGGGAATTGAAGGCGAGCTGACCGGTCCACTCGAGCGCTTCGACCCAGCGGGAATTGCCGACCTGTGAAAAAGGCGGTCAGTCTTTGTTTTGCTTTTGTTCCTGTTTGGTAAGGCAAAACGTGGATGACGGTGCTGGCCGGAATGCTGGGGAAACAGGAGACCCACCCAATTGCAAACATTGTCGTACGTTCCAACATAGATAAGCACGTCCATACCTCGTTCAAGCAGACCGGTGACGTAATACCTGTGCATACAATTAAGCATATTTCGCTGAAAGGGTCAGATGAAGGCGACGTACTGCGTGGGATGCATCTCGTCCAAATTCATCGTGACTGCCTTTCCGTCAGTATCGCGCTCAAAGAAAAGCCGGCAAAATAGCCGCGGTGGCCTGTGGTATGCCAGCGGATTGAGGATGGGATGGATACGTACACGCCCGGCTTACGTCTTGGCTTCCAGACACCCACTCCTTCGCATGCTCATCAACGCCCAACAAGGAGAGAGTAGAAATGAGATTGAGATAGGCTGACATCCATTGCATGATAGGATAGCAGGACACGACAGGGTTGTCGGTTGTCGGGCAGATCTGTCATGCCAGTTAATCGGACCAGTCGTTGGGAGCGAGGGAGAGGTGAATGAGCACAGACCTCGGCAACATTGTACGGATTTCTCCCACTCTTCCAGGTCGGCATCCACAGCTCGCTCTCACAGAAGGCTCTTGCGGCTCCGCAACCAAGCTCGTCCCGAACCGTGACGCAGCCATCCCGTAGCATTTGCTCACAACGGGGTATCTGGATGATGGGTGAGTTAACATGGACCGGTTGATAACGGACGGCGTTGTGGGACGTACAACAGGTTTCATCCGCACGCACTGACTGATATCTAGGTACGGCGGTACTGAGACATTCAAGCATGCTAGATCGTAGTAGCTCGTGAGCATTCTGTCCCCAAACGCCCGAATTCCAGCAATCGAGAAAAGAAGGGAATTACGTCAGTATGCGCCCATTCGTGCAGGATAAGAAACAGCATACGTGGGCACGTCCGTGTATCCGTTTCCGATGAGTACGCTCTTCAAATTGATAGGCTGTAGCCCTTGGAAGGCGGCTCGGCGGTTGGAATCTATGATGTAGGACGCATATACGGGGATATACCGTCCCTGCACAAGTTAATCAATGCGATCACCCCAGTATTTGCAGCATATACATACGGCGTACGATTCCCCACTGATATGAAAGTCTCGGCCCTGCATCCCGAATCCCTCCAGGAAGGCATGTAAGAATGCGAACACGTCCTTCGCCGCCTCCTCGCTCGTGCCTCTTACTCCACCCGCCTCTGGGTCCAAATACGAGAAGCCGACTCCCGCGGGCTGGTCGAGGAACAGGAGGTTGGCTTGCGTGTTCCACGAGTAGGGGTGGGGCGCAGTACCTGAGTTAGAGGTGGGTGTGGTGGAGGAGACAGGGAGGACGCGACATGGGCCGAGTTCCATCAAGAGGCCGATAGCGCTGGAGCCGCCTGGTCCACCAGTAAGCCACAATAGGAGTGGATCGGTCGCAGGAGAACGTCGGGATTCGAAGTACTAGGGGAATTGATAGGTTCGTAAAGCAGAATCGTGGTATAGAGTGACAAGACGTACGTAGAAGAACATATGCCTCGGCCCTGCGTCTACATATCCTGTGTATGCTGCCACCACAGGATCGCACCATTCGGTACGCTTAATGCGGACTGAATGATGAGGAAAATCGGGGTGCCAGAGGCGCGTATATTCCGTAGTTGAGATAGTTGCTGGAACAGCATGGTCGTCGGTGTGTTGGAAGATGAGCTGAGCTCACGCGCCTAACACGACCACGACGGCGACGAGACAGCAGAGTAACTTCATTATGCAGAGACTCGATTGCACTTATAGTAGTGTCAAGAGCGCACTGGACGTCAAGAACAGCCTGCACAGGAAGCGCAGCCAATCATGGGAATGAAGCCGACGTCAATGACTGACCCGCGAGGATGATTCCAGAAGAGATGTCAACTTACGCATCTGAAGGTCTTTAATTTTGTCATCGAAGAGGACGAGGAAAATACAACGGGAACACAACATTACATATCATATTTGTTCTCGAAAATCGACTCTAGTGACTGTCCACTGTGTGGAATGAGTACAGCTTAACTATTGTCTAGTTTGCTGCCTTGCATCTCACTCGGATCAATCGACTACACTGAAGCTCTGGATTCCCTCTTTCGCAACGCCTCATTCTGCTCCCCACTTCCACCCTCATCGCTGGATTGGCTGCTTTTACTTTCAGTGACCTCACCAAGAACGACAGAGGGCCGAGCTAGCTTAGAGCGAAGGACCACAGCGTGATGTACTGGCGGAATCTCTCCCTGCTCGGAGACTCCGCTGGTCCTGCAACGCTTGATGACCCGATCATTAGCTTCTTGCATGGGGTCGTTGGCCGCATTAGGAACAAGAACTGTCTCCTCTCGTGATTCTGCCGATGATAGAAGTTGTGCCCCTGCAGAGGATGAATTGTTTCCACTGGCCTCCCAACCAGGATGACGTGCAGGGAAGTGGTAGAGGAGGTATTTGATACCCCACTCCTCCATACAAGCTAACCGGGCGCTGGGAAGCTTCATTTTGTCATGGACAGCATAGCCAAGATAGAAGAGAGTGAATAAAAGCCTTGAAGAGCTGTCATCAATCTTTGCCACTAGACGAGACAATTTATCGCCGTACAGAATGTTGATAGATTCATCAACCCTGTCTTTCCAGAAAAAACCGCGATTTTGAGGCTATCTGTAAAGCCCTCTCTAATTAGGTCGTCCAGCAAGGAATCCTCTACCGAGAGTTCTAAGCAGAAATTCAGGCAGCACAGGTACGACTTGCCCCACCTCTCAATTGCCTCCCAGGAGCTATCATCATGTAGTCTCCTCAGAGTGCGAACCAGAGGTCCATGTCGAGATATTGTGTGCGAAAAAGGTCGTGCAAGAAGCAGTCGTTGCAGTGACGGGTATCTTCTCCCTAGTTCACACAGGCGCTGAATTAACTTCGCACATGAAATAGCGCGAAACTGTCCTATATTTTGTGTGAAGAGAGTAAGGATATCAGCGTGCGGTGGGCTTTGGAGCAGTTCTGATTGATACAGACTCTCCAATGAGTCGGTTTCAAGGAATTCATCGAAGAGGTCTTGAAGACGATTCAGTGAATCGACCGACCAATACCGCGACTCCCACCCACTTTCCCAATGCCGAGTGACATTATGAGCTTCCACCCTCCCAGCCGTTGAAATTTCAAGGTTAAGGAGAAGGAAGCGAGTCAGGATGATGATCGGAGTTTCAAGCCCCTTCCCCACCCGCATGTTCGGCAAAAATATTCCAAGGGTGAAGGCCCGATCCTGTGGGAACTCAATAGAGGGATTGTCAATGACATGACCTACAACATAGTCCACAAATGCAGAAAATAGGAAGACACAGGATGATGATTGAACCCCCGTCCAACTTGATCGGAACCAGTGCTGAAGGTCTTGTGGTTGCGGACCAAGATTCGCGCCAATAAGCCTTATCAATGCCTTATCATACGCCTCCAGGTTCCGAAAGTCCCAGATCTTTTCTTTCAATGTTTCGTGATACAAATTCCAGAACCGCTCAACAATTGGCTGTCCACCATAGTCGCGTACCAAAGCTGAGATCACTGCAAGCCATTCTAGTCCCTTTTCCGTAGACACCTCTTGGTTGCGCCCGACGTATGATACAGCACTACGCAGAATGTCATCTCGTAGTGAACCCTGCTTACTTGCCCATGATAGCAATTTGTACCATGCTAAGAAGTACAGGGTCATGTCTCGGGTCAAGGGATCAGGGTGATTGAGAAGCCAAGCGAAGGCGTTGGCCTTTAGTCGGTCACCTAGCTGGGCCGCGAGAATGGCCTCACCTCGCTCGCCGGGTGAGAGAATGCCAAACCTTGTTGTAACATGTTGATCTTCGTCATGGGTTTCTTCTCCAGACACCAATGGCGTAAGACTATCTTGAAGTGTGATCGTTTCTTGGTCCTTCTCCGGATCACGGATGCGAGCACTTTTGGTCCTCCACGACCATATTCTGTGATGTTTCGACTCCATTTCGTCCAGCCGAAGAATCTTTCTCCATCGTGGAATGTGTCGTGGTGCTATCGCAAGAACTAGCGTCTGAATCGCTCTAAAGAAAGGCGATTTATAGGGACAATCGACCCAAAGTATCGGCGCCATGGCCGACCCGGTATACAAGGCGAATGCAACGACGAGCACAGTGAGCACGATTATTGAAAAGAGCACCCAACTGACAGACTGAGCATAGACGACCAGACCGGTGAAGAAGGGAAAGACAGCGCCGTGGATCGCCAACGGCAGGAACGAGATTATGGAAGGTACCTTCCACGCATTAAGACACTCGAACCGAAGCTGCCTCTGCAGGACTCGCTCCCGTGGAACACAAGAGACATGTTCGTTGTATTCCCTTAGCCATTCCTTGGCCAGCATAGCCGCAACGGCAGAGAGGAGGCTAACGAAGAGACTGATGAACCATAGGATATTGACGATCAGAGTTGAAGCAGAGATCTGAAATGGGGCAGATTGGAAAGCTGACGTTGGAGGTACAGTCCCACCAGAGAGAGCAACGAGCTGGGCAGAGATAGCAGCGAGACCATCTGCAGTGGCCTGACCGCTGTCCGGTTGAAGCGACGCCATTGAAGCGATGATGAAGGCTGAGAGAACAGCGGAGAACAGGCCAGTCTGTCGTATAATTGGTATGAAGGGCAGCAATGAGAAATGCGAGGGACATACGAAGATTAGAAAGACGTCGATCTCCTCGTTCCACCTCTTGAACAGAGCATCATCATGCTCCTGGGCTTTCTCAACATACTTCACCCAGAGGGGGCCATCGTCTCCTGCATCGGCAGGTTGGGGAAATTTTTCGATCCATGGGATGGTCTTCTTGCGTTTATCCTGTTCAGCAGTGTCTGGCTGAGCACCAGGCGGGGTCGCCGTCTATTCAGCTTCTTCCGCACTGGGCACGGACGCTTCGCCATCGCTGTGACGCGTAGTATGCGTACGAGAGACTTGTACTCCAATATCAGGCATGAGCGTTTGGAGACAGAGGAGGGACGAGAGACAACATGCCCGCAGCAGGACTAGGATCGCCAGGTTTTGATCCCGATCAGTGTGACAATCCCGGTCGTTTGTTCACAATAGACGCCGAGTCCGACCAACACCCAATCCCAATTGAGCGTGTATTGAGCGGGTTTGTGTCATTTTCACGAGCTATTCTGCGCGGTACATAGACATGGATGGTCGCTGTGGTGTCGCCGGGCCGACCTTGACTTGAACTGTCATCCTTCATATCCCGCACTTTCTGAAGAGCTATGTATCATTCGCAAGAACCGGTTTTGGAACGACTGGCCAAGGTTCGTAGAGAGGGTTGCATTTCGTCCAAGTTCGTTCTCTTTATTTCGGAAGGACGGCATAGTCGGCGTAATGCACCCGCAGAGGAGACTGATACAAAGTAGGTTAACCATCCGGAGAGGTCTCCCCAGCGCATTCCGTCGAAGGCAGGTCGCAACTATAGTCGCGCGGGAGTGGATGGTCTGTCGTGCCCGTCCTGCCCGGATATAATTGTGGTGAGGTGCGGAGAAGCTGCCAGCGAAGCTGAGTTCCTTGTGGACTTGGTTGTTGTGGGCGAGACCCCAATTCTTCCTTGCTTGTCGACTGAGTTATCGTCAGAGAGTTTCCCTTCCATGTCTTTATTCCATTGTTGAATACAGTGCCCGATAAATGTCAAAGAATCTGCTTCTCATCCCCCTAACGACAGCGGATTCAATTTCCCCACCCAATTACATCCGATGAATTTTGCGGGGTAAGAGGGATCACGCGCCTGTCTCATTCAGTTCCCGTGCCGCACCTTAACAGCGCTCTTCATTCGACCATCAACAGCAATTGCTCCTCGAGCAAAACCACCATCTCGCTTCTCTTTACTACTGCTCCTGCGGTTGCTTTGTTCTACTCGTTTGGTCGTCCTCATAACTGGACGGCAACAACAATAATATCAGGATTAGTGGGTGCGGAGGAGTGGCGAGGAGAAAGAGCTGGCATTACCCCGTACGTTTCCACATCGTTGGCGTGACCAAGCTACTACTTAACTTACACAGCGACCACCACATACATATTCACGATCAATAATAAACCTGCGCAATGTCAACTGCACACACTCTTTGCCCTCGCTGTCAATCTCCTCACCTGACACCGACCTCACGGCGCTCATCCACGTTGAGTGCCATCTTACCAAGGCGAACTCCACCCCTGCCACCCGAAATCCTCCTTCTCATCATCACCTCCCTCACCTCACCCCAAGATCTTCTCTCACTTGCTCTCACTTCCCACTTCTTTGCTGCGCTCATCATACCACTCCACGTGCGCTACCGCGCCCTCCGATGTCGTTTTCGAGATGACCAGCTGTGGAAGGAACTACTTTCCTCCCCCGCTAAGTGCGGTGCGATACACCGACTCGCAGTACTCGACCGAGCGGGCGATCGCGCTGAGTACCGTGTTGACTGGACTAGACGGGAGAAGTACCGCGATCGATTCCCACCCTCCGAGCGTCCAGGGCAGGTTGCACCTCACGCTGATGACCAGCTGGCAATGCATCATGGATCGGACGCCCTGTGTCGACTTGCACCATCCTTCAAAAAATTACGGAGCTTGACAATGTACCTTCCCGCAATGTGCTTTGTCCGTTTGAAAGAGTTTTGGCGAGAAGTGAGCCCGAGGTTGGAGGCCTGCCATCTCAGGCTCAGCTTTATGCATCCTGCCGTGATGCCTGAGCACAGAAGGCTCGCTCCTGTAGTGGCACAGGAGATGGCATCAGCGAGGTTCAGGATATTCTCGTTAATGATTGAAGGTATGTTCTTAACGTCTCCTCTTGCATATACGTTGTTCTTACCCTGTCCAGAATACCGCACAGATGTGATCGAACGTGTGCTCCGCTCATTTGCGCGTTTGCTCAGAAAATGCGATGACCTGGAGCACCTCTGCATCGAAGTTGAAAACGCAGCAACAACGTCTTACCAATGCGCGGAACTATGGAAGGCGCGCTGGCTCAAGCTTCTCAGCCTCGATCTGTCAGGGTTGAGGATGGAGGAGGTGGATGAGTTCGACGAGTTCACCGAGCCTGGTGGTGTTGGTGGGGGAGGGGAGCTCGTTGCGCATCCGCATACCGCCGAAAGAGACGATGGTTTGGACGAGGACGAGGACAATCTGGATGCCAGTGGAGCTGAACAACCCAACATTGAACAGTTCTTCCTTGCTCTGCACTCCCTCCAAACACTCAGGCTCGACTGTTACGCACCCCGCACTCCAACAATCCGACCGGACAGCATGCCTTCTCTGCGAGCTGTAGGCCTCCTAGGCAGCACGCTAGAAGTCCAATGGGCGATGCTGCCTACCCTCGTCTCTCCCCTCTCGGATGGTAGCTACCGTCCAATCGACAGCCTCCAGTGGGACCTCAAGTACTATCCTTTCGCAGATACCCGCTCGGGCACTGTTTTCCGCCTATTCTGTCACCATTTGGCGCGCGCCGGTACGTTGAGGCAGGTCATGCTTGTGCGGAGCGCGTATGGAACAGAGAGCTTTCCTTGGGTGAGGGAATTTGGTAAAGCCGTACCGGGAATCGAACATTTCGTGATCGACCCGGATGGGATAATGAGCTTTGTGAGTCACGGACAAACTTCTATAATAGAGTGACGACTGACTTCTTCCGCGTATAGGAAACCTGGCTGGAGCTACTCTCGGCTTACCCATGCCTGATCACTCTCAATCCGACGAATAACGGCATTCATCATCCCTTCCTCAAACCCTTTTCATCAAACTTCGCCTCCCTCGCCCTCTCTCGTGCTAGTGGTGGTCCCGCAGGCCATCATGGGCACAGTTATCTCGGTATGTCCGGAACGTCGTATTCCTCCTATGCGGGATATGGAGGGCTGGGGGTGCAAGTTCCCCAAGAACTGCCTAACATGAGAGCGGAGCTCGGGCTGGAGGTCGATCCAGACCTCGGAGAAGCAGGTGTCGGGATGGAGCTGGGTGTGGGGGGTATGGCCGTAGACAACTCTGAGGATAAACGGGAGGAAGGAATGCTCTATCAGCTCAGTACAGTCTGCCCTCAGCTGCGCCACGTCGACGCATGGATACGAGAAGATGTGCGACCTTCGTCTCGTCCTTCCTCTTCCTCTTCTTCCAGTACGGCCGGTCCACACGAGGGCGCGCCTGCCGCCATCGAACTTACGGAACTGGACCAGGCTGCTGAGGCACGTAAGGCGAAGGTGAGGGAGATGGGTTATGTATGGCGGAAGAGGGATATGAGCAGGCCTTGTGAGAGGGACTGCTGTCGGCTTAGGCCGCCATATGTCAGGGAAAGGACGTGAACGAGGTAATGTATGTTGGCGAAGAGTGGACGGAAGACGGTGGGCGTGAGATGTACTGTGGAGGGACACTTAATGTGTGTGATGTATGTCACATGTTTGTCTCCTAGGATGGTTTTAGTACTGGATTTGTATGTATGAGTATATCACGGCCCGATTGGACCGCAGGATGTATTTGCCATATGCCATATTTATCGTAATTTTCCGTAGTACCAGTTTCGAGCAGTGTTCAATCTGAACTGGACTACTGTCGATAAACTCCTTACTCTGTGGTTGTTGAGAGTCGATCCTGCTTTGCAATCCCCATACCCCAAACGAGCTGAAACATGAAGTTTCGCCATCAATGATAGCAGGGTTTCGATATTCCAACATACACCAGATAGATCTTTTTGGTGAAAAAAGGGACTGCGACAGAGCTGAGAAAACTAGTTGTACGGAAAGAGTGAGAGGAAGAGAATAGAGGATTAGGCCTATGACCCAGGGACCAGCGGTTTGCCACTCAAACGGGTCTCCACACCACGACGATGGTTTCGATTCTTCAAATGAACTTCGAAACCAGACAAGGTCTCCTCGGGGTTCTTGCCTGGTTCCGGCGGGGGTGCGTTTTGCTTGGGAGGACCTGTATTGTATAACTAAAAAAGGCGGAGTAAGACGAGTATTCTTTGAGACGGCTGATTAATATACCTTGCCAGGGCAATCCAGGCATTTGACTTTCCATTCAGCAGGTGCATTCGGGTCAGCATTGGCTTTGGGCACAATCTCGATTCGGTCGTTAGGATATTTTGCCATGAGGGCCTCATATGCATCGGCGAGCCACTTCGGCTTCGGTATCTGTACATGTATCAGCTGAAGCACCCTCTGAAATGCTTGTACCGTTAACGTACCCTAGCCGTAGTCTTAGGTTTCGATGGTGAGGGAGGCTTGGTCGACGATAACACAGGACTCGTCTCTGGCGGGGCAGCTGTATCGGTGGAGACGGGCTTAGTCGACGACGATTTCGTAGGGGTTCTGGGTACTGCTACAATGAATTCTTCATCTGATGACTCGCCAAAAGGCATATCAGCGAATGCTGGCGAGGGATGGCTGGGTTTCGATGCATCCTCCACAGTCAGTGTGCCAGCTGGCGGGGCCGTCTCTAGAGTCGGTAGTGTAGGTATGGCCTCAACCTCTTCCGGAACTCCCTCCTCAACTGGTGGAGCCTCGAGCATCTCGATGTCGGGAGTCTCTGCCTCCAAGCTAGCAAGGGCAGTTGGCTTCTTCTTGTACTTAGTGCCTCGTTTAGCGGCCTCTTCTGCGTCTCGAAGGTTACGATGGTATTCTTCGCTCGTATTGTACTCCACTTCTCTTGGCCGCCGGTATCGATGCCAGTACTTTCCTGCAGGACAATGAGGGTGAGGGCTACAAAGTAAGGAAATTGATACGACATACCACAAGCACCGCACATGGTTTTCTCTCCGAGTGGACCTTTCCTGCGCCCAACAGCGATGCTCTCGGGGCAACCACAGTTCGAGCAGTGCCATATCCCATTGATGACATTCTCTTTCTGTGTGTCAGCGTACTCCATTTCCTTAGCCTCGCGCTCCTTCTCACGCAGCTGCTTCTTGGTAGCAGGGCGCTGACGTTCAGCTGGGGTCTTCTGAGCGGTGGCACCCTCGGAGTTTGTAGCGGCTGCCTCAGCAGCAGCGACTTCCTCGACAGCTTTCTGGGATTTCTTCCTGGGCGGTAAAGAAAGCGTGGGGCCAACAAGAGCCGGCGGAGCAGGACCAGTCCGTTCGAGTTGTTCGGGCTGAGGTAGATCCTTGGCGATGTTCGCTGTCGCAGCAGCGGCAGCGGCACGCCTGCTTGTGAGGACGGGTACTAGTGGCACTTGTTCGCGGGGCGCCATGCTTCCAACAAGGGGAATAGAGCGCTGGGTCTTGAGCGGCTCGCGATCCGGCAGCTGCTGGACCCCGCGCCGTCCACGTGTCTGTCGCTTGCGCCTGCGAGCTTCCTTTTCCCTCTCTGCCTCTTCGCGGGCAATCTCAGCTTCAGTCAAGTGGGACAAGATAGGTGTAAAATGCATTGCTTCGTCAGCGTTCCGCGTGAGGTAGGTGGGCAATAAGGGCGGAAGGAAGGAAGTGCGCAACTCTGCGTCGAGCACGGGTCCTTCGAGCGGGTGTCCGGAGATGATTAAGCTCTTCCGCATGACCTGTACTTGCTCGCGAATATCGTGTGCAATGGCAGTTTTGAACTCTGGTGCAAGTCCCAGATCAGCAGCATAGGATTCGGCCCACATTTCGGGGCTGACGGAGGTATTGTTGATATCCCACTCGAATTGATCTGTCAGGTTGATGACGCCGTAAGTGATGTCAAGCTTGATGAGCACACGCAGTTCGTGATCTGCGGCGGTCCAAGTGATCTCGCCTTCAAGCTCGTCCACAGGTTTGGCTGGTTCGAGTTCGATATCGATCTCTTCTGCCTTGACAAAAGCAGATTCTTGAACACTGGGAAGTTCGACGATATCCATATCGTCACCGATGCCTTCACCGCGCTTCCGCTTCTCGTCACGCTCACTGTCTTCCTCCACATCACCTTCCTCTTCATCTCCGCGTACAGCAAACTTCCCCTTCCTCCCGATCTTAGCTCTGAGCCTTCTCCGCCACCCTTCCCACCACCCGCGATCTTTCTCGCCTAGCTTCCCCCTCCCCTCGACACCAAGCATCTCCCCAGCAATCAGATCGATCACGCCATCCGGACCAGGGAGAACAGTATCCTCCGGGGAGAAGTCGAATGTGCCTGCTTCCTGCAGCTGCTTGAGGACGCTGTCCTTGATCAGTGGGAAGAAGTCCTTGAGCGGAAGGTGGAAATCGTCACAAATCGTCTGCGCAAACAGGTCTGGCGTCATGATCGGGTCTGTTTCACGTCAGATCAGTGGCCATCCTCGCTCAGCATAATGAAAACCTACCATGCACGTTCCAAACAAACGTATCCCTGAACCGATAGTGGTCATGCTCCACCTCAAGCCTGATAGGAACCAACACCTCTCCCTTCCCGTCCGCCTCGCGAAGCATCTCCTTGCTCGGCTTATACTCTCTCCTTTGTGCGATAACAGCATACTGCTCTCTCGCCTGCGTCGGCGGGAGAGCCCAGATCGTCGCGCTCCCCGCAGCAGCGGCAGTAGCAGCAGCAGCTTGCTGAGCAGCACGGTCGATGAATCCTGGTGGCTCGTTTTTCCTCGACCTATTCACCGGTGTACCCGCTCCGGAAGAGAAGGGCAACGCATGACTAAATGTGCGTGTTTCCCTCTCCCGTTCCCTCTGCTGGTCTCTCAACGCTTCCCGCCTCCTCCTTTCCCCAGGCCAGAGGATCTCGAACCCAATCTTCGCCGGTCCACCCATCTGTTGTTCCCTAGCGGCCTCAACGGCCTCTCGTGCCCACCAGCCTCTAGGAGTACCGAGCTCAGCTCTCTCAGCACGTTCCCGCATCGCGCGCTCAGGGTCACGTAATGCGTTTGCCCACGCGTCATCCCGCTCCATCCAGTCCTTAACATGGGCGATCTCACCCTCGCTAAGCTCCGGCAGGGAACCGCCGTACGTGTAGTCCGGCTCAGGGGGCTCGGTCCCAGGCAGGCTCGGGACAGGGGGGAGGATGGACACGCGCTGGTGAGGGTTGGTAGGTTCGGGGCGGGGCACTCCAGGGTGCATACGTTGAGGCGCCGCGCTCGTAGGTGTTTGGAGCTGGAGCGGCCCGTTCGGAGGGGGCATGTTCGTTTGCCCTAGACCGGAGGCACCAGCGGTCGGTGCTCGCGTACGACGCATCTGCTGTTGGAGGGAGAGGGGGGTCATCCCCGGTTGCATCATCCCTGGCATGCCTTGCGCGTTCATCTGCTGCGGCTGACCCGACGCGCCGACCTGCTGCCCAGGCTGTTGCCCTTGATCTGGCATGTTCATCCCCATACCCATTGGTCGTCCCATCCCCTGCGCGTCTCTCTGCTGCGCTGCGACAGAGTTATACATCATGCTCATCCCCGGCGGCAGCCCAGTTGGGGGGATGGCTGGCATCGCACCCGCAGGACCAACCTGGACGCCGCTTGGCGCGTAACCTTGTGTGGGAAGGGGTTGGGAGGCCGTCCCAGGGCGTGGGAACATGCCCCCTGCTCCAACCCCACCCGCAGGCCCAGTCATACCCCCACCCCCGGCTCCACCAGCAGCGGAGAACGAGTTCATCATTCCACCCGGTGGTACGCCTACTCCTCCTCCAACACCCGCGTGAGCAGCTTGCATCGCTGCGAATTGGTCTCTGAGCATTTGAGATTGGCCGGGATGTGCAGAATGCGGTGTTCCTTGGACTGGAGTTGGGAATTGGCCGGAAAGAGGTACAGAACGCGTGTTGATCGGAGAGAGGTGGGGGGCGGTAGCAGCGGCGGAAGCGGGCGACGCGTGTATGCCAGAGGCTGGGGTAGCGGATACGGGGGTGTTAGACTGACCGAGCTGAACAGATTGCAGCGGCTGGATGGTCGGTCGACCGGAGGACGAGCCGGGTGCAAGGGGGAGAGAGGGGTGCATGAGGGAAGGCAGCATGCCCATCTGCTGCATCTGACCCATTTGGTTCATTTGCTGCATTCCCTGCATTCCCTGCATCCCCTGAAGAGAGGACATGCCCATCATGCCCATCATCCCTGCTGACCGGTTGGTTGGGCTCATCTGCTGCCCCGTCTGCTGTCCAGGTTGACCAGGTAGATGCTGTTGGGGTTGTTGCTGCTGCTGCTGTTGATGTTGCTGCTGCTGCTGCTGCATGCGCTGTATATATTGCGTGATAATGACCTGACGCTGTTGAGGCGGCATTTGTGCGATCTGGGGGTGCATAGCCAGCAACTGTGGTGGTATGGAGAGACCCTGTTGATGGGGTGATGCCTGAGACGGGGGTTGGAATGATGTAGACATCGTTCAAATTGCCGTCGCTGTAGACTCATAAGATAACGTTGAGGGACGTCGAGAGTTACGCGCCGCTGTACTCAGATCTCAACAATATTCCCACACACTATTGCTCATTCCAGCGTCGTCCAACAAAGTGCGATCGAGTTCGAATAGGGTTGCCAGAGATACAACACTTGTTCTTTCGTTCACTGCAGACAGCAACTCAACAGAGTACACCTGTGCTTGATAGTAAAGCAAAGGACGCGCAGAGTAAATGCAGAGATGACTCGATATTTCCACAGGGCAACAAAGAGGCGCCGAACACCGAACAAGCCACGATTAACGCCAATTTGGGTTTGCTCCCGTTTGGGTTGAAACACGCCACCCGGAGACATTACTTCGGCTTCGAATGACATCCGTGAGAACAGGCAGTGCTACCTAATGCTATGGTGGCTATGCAGAACCCTTGCAGGCATAGCATCGTCTGCCACTCCATAGAGGTTTATAGCACGGATGCTTTGTATGTGGACTGGAACATTTGTACATAGATGACCAGGTCTCTGCATAGCAAATCCCCCTATCTTCTGTTGTGCTAAGGACCAGCGATAACTCTCATTCAATCATCTGAGGACCTAACAAAACCTGCATATTCCCTTACCACATATACTGGCTGCCAAGATCTCTGCCAACCTGACAGGTGGTTGCTTAAACACAAACACAAGAACATGGCATAGCTGTGCATCTATGCAAAGGGACAATGCCCACTCAGATGGTCCTGAGATGTTTGGATGAGCCTAGGATAAATGGCAGGATGTATGACAGACACAGATTGCTGACCTGGCTCAGAGTTAGTGAGCATCACTCACAAGATCATCTCTCTTTGAGAACTGACAATTATTTTAGCTACTTACCTGAACAATATTAATAACTTTGCCTGTGACTCACAAAGCAGCTATGTAGTAATGGGACATCACATCATAGTATGGCAGATGCCCAATGCCTTTGGATGCCATGGTAGGGTGCTCAAGTTTGAAGCGACCTCCCATGGACTTTGAGCACCAACTGCATCATATGGCATCACTTTGTTCTGCTTTCAACAATGACCATCAATGCACCTTAGCTAGCATAGGTTGATCCAATCTGTCTGATTGACTTCCACTGAGTCTCTAGCTTTGTCTTGCCAATCTTCTTATCTTGGGTGGTTCACAATGCAAGGCAAGGCAACACTGAGGCTGCCCAACACTTATCCAACCACACTTGCATCGCGGAAATGGTCCCTTGATGCCCATAATGGTCTCTTGCATGATCCTTCTGATGATGAATGTATGCTGCAAAAGAAACAAATGGGGCATAGCAAAAATAGTAGATCAAACAATGCTGGTGCATGTGAGTTTGTTGCAGTTCCTTCAATGATGAGAACATCAGATTCCTTGCCATTGCCAATATCTGCCTTCACATCTCCTGAAAGCATGCCAAAAGTGCATCTTGCAGCTTGCTGAGCCTTTGGCAAATGAAGACAAAACTCAAAGAGCTTGGACTTTGTTCAGCTTGGCAATCACCCTTGAGGTATCTGCAACTTTGTAGTCTTGTTTTTGTGTCATTGAAGATATATGCACCTTCAGGTGCTCAAATACAGGAAGCCAATTGGCTACATCTCCCCAATCAGTCAGCAAATCTTTCACCCCTCCCCATACAAGTATGTGCCATCCCCAATATGACTGCTGCAACAGTCCCTAATGCCTGGTTCTTCTAGCACCATCCACATACAGACCTACACACCATGGGTCCCACTCAGGAAGAATCTTTGTCCAACAGTACCTTATTTGAAGAGGTAAAGGCTTCACATATGCACTCTATCCTGAGCCTGACTGAATTTTAGCCTGGTCAGAAAGCAACTCCCACTGGACAAACCCATGTTGGGCAAACAAGTGCATCAAAAGTAAGGTCTTCATCAACTTCCTCTGCAGCACCTTACATTGTGAGCATCTCCTCCCTATCTATGGCCCATTTCCTAATTGCTGTCAGCCACAAGAGGGTTATGGCATGACTGTGTATCCATATCCATGGGCTGTACAGGAAACTGTATGCAAGCCACCAAATGTGTGTGTACCCACATGCCTGACCACTCCCTGCACAGAGCACATTAGCTCAAAACAGAGAAGTGGCTGATATCAGTCAAGTTCAACATCTGCAGGTGCAGAACCCTGGCTTGTGACAAGATACTGGTGGGAAGATTCAAGACAAATACTCTGAAGCTGAACAATCGAAGACTACAATGATCCATGCTCAGGTATCAAAATCTGCATCACCCATTACTGCGGCAAAGAAGATTCTTGATGCTCAAGAAACAGCTCTTCAGGAGCACAAAGCAAAAATCTGTCTTTGTGAATAAGACTTTCTCAAATGCATTCAGTGTCAAGCAAAGGAACAAGCTGAGGAGCTCGTTGCCAATGCTGTAGCAGACTCAGACCGTCTCCAAGAAGAACTGCACTGCACAAGAACCAGACATGCCCAAACTGAAGCGCACCTGCAGCAGGTTGGAGGTCAGCTTGCTGAACTGAAATGGCTGAAGTTAGAGGGCAAGAAATTGTCCACAGCCCTACTACACAGACTTGAACAGACTTCAGAAGAATGAAAACAGCTGGCTTCTCGCCTGAATATGTTTCTACAGGACTGGACAACTTCAATCTCTACTTCTGAAGTCTCCTCCACCTCTCTGCCTCATCAGAGCTCCATCCCTGCACTGGGTGTTCTCTCAGCACCCCAACCACTCAATAAACAGTACAATGTGAAGTGGGACAAGTCTAAGAATATCAATAAAGAAGTAGCCTTTGCTCTGAACTTTGTATGCATATATGCTGACATGATAGACAGACTCAGGATGTAACCAAGGAGTTTCTTAGCTCTGACCACAATAAAAGCAAGGAAGAAGACCAGGACCATGATAATGACAAAGAGTTAGAGGACAGATATGCAAGTGACGGGGCTATCATTCTGCCTATCCAATGGCATTGCTTGGTACATCTCTATTTCTCATACCCTTGATTACCCTTGATGGGTTTAGCATGAATTGACACATCAATACCACTTGCAGGTCAGCCCCACCAAAGGGATAGCTAACGTGGGCACAACTGAAGGCCTAGATTTTGGTACGAGCAAAATGAGTGAGCACAATATCCAAATACAGCATGAAGTTGTCCAGGCAGTCTGGGATAAGATCTTGGTAAGTTTGTGGGAAGAAAAGAGGCAGATTCCACAACTGATGAGCATAGGCAAAGCATGATTCCCAGATATGGACCTCCAAACATGTTTGCCTGCTGTCCAAAGGCTATTTGGTTCATCTCTTTCAGAGGATCACTTGGAAATCTCTTCAGCATGCATGCAGAGAAGCAGACAATCCAACCAGAACAAAGAACGTGAAGAGGAACAAGGGCCACAATCGCTATATGCAGCAGAGCAAAAAGGCATGCTGGCTTCTTTGTATTCAAGACTGTAGTCAGTGCTCATTGTGATACAGAAATATGGGCAAAGGCTGAAAGCATGTTCTGAATTCAAGAAAGCACATGGATGGGATCTGACTCCCTTTGTGATGCCAGACTTGATGTTGGATGAGTGGAGCTCAGCTGGTGAAGAGACGTGTCCCTGAATACCCGGATCAGCACAAGCGGCATGACAAGTGGGTGGAGAAGATATCTCAATGTCTACAAGTGCCCTGTCACCTGATTGACCAAGGGTGCTTGAAAGTGTATGAGACTATTCCCCCAGGATTTCACCTACATTTGGTGTGTATCTGCTTTGGGTCATAAATATTACCTGACTGTCTAGCAGTTGGACCATGTTTCCCTGTGACTCAATGAACTGTTGCATTGTCAAGAAGTTGGAATCTGTGTCTTCCTAGGAAATGTTCACTTGAAACTCCCAAGCCATCCAGTACCTATTGCAGCAGTTGGTCAAGGTAGTGATTATGAAGGCTATGAAACCCTGATGGCACCTTCCCAGTAAACAAGCAGTACCAGTGTCCATCCATAAGCAAAGATGTGTGCAACAATCTCAAGAAATGCTGCAAAGTGGATGTGACTTGGGTTCATCTGGAATCTGAAGCAGTTGAAAGTCATCCTGTGATGCAATATCATCCTGTAAGTCATTTGGCTGGGATGCAAGCTTCCTACTGACAGAACTCCATGCAGATTCACCACATCACTTGGGATTCCAATGCACAGAAGTCTCGCATGAGTGGGTTTTGCAGTTCAAGCTTGTGAACAGTCCCCATGCCTCTCACATTTAAGCATTACACCTGTATAATTCTTCTGAAAGGAGGAATCACATGTGTAGATATGTACTGAGGAGCCTTCTCTTTGTATGTTCCATTGTATGCTTATGAATTATGCACAACAAACATTATATCTTGACTCTGTTTTGGGTGGTCATACTGTGACCTCTAGAGCCAATAAGCAGTCAACACCTGGCGTGCTGAGCAGGGCATACCTCGACTCCATTCTGGGTGGTTACACCATGACTGTGGAGCTTACCTGAACTTGTCTCTAATCATTCCATTCTGTCCCATTGTATCTTTGATAATCAGTAATGGGTGGGCATATATTTCTATGGAAAAAATACCAGACACAGAGAACCCAAGATACCAACCATCAAGATCCCAAGATACTAACTGTCAAGATCCCAAGATATGAAGCATCAAGATCCCAAGATACCAGACACAGAGATCCCAAGATACCAGACACAGAGATCCCAAGATACCAGGCACAGAGATCCCAAGATACCAACCATCAGGATACCAAGATCCAGAACATCAAGATACCAGGATATGAGGTAAGGATACCTCAGCCAGATGTTGAGATACTAAGATATGAAAGATCAAGATCCCAACATGCCAGACATAGAGATCCTGGAGTGCATTTGCTACTACAGAGACCTGAAGGCAAGATGTAAATATACCTGATTGTAAGATTCACTGCAGGGAGAGCCCAGCATGTTACCTTCAGTGAGTTATTTGGTGCGGACCAGATATCTGATGGGAAAGTGGGAATGCCCTATGACCAGAAAAGCAGGGCATAGTAAATATATGTTGGTTGATTCTAAGACACATTATATCCGTATGTGGGAACTAAGTGAGACCCCTGATGGATGGTGATGTGGAACTTGGTGGTAGTCCACATGGGGTTGAGTCACCACACTGGGTGGTGCCTCCACGTCCTCCTGTTGAAGGACCACCAGGATGACTAACCTGTGACACACCTCCCTCACTACTTTTGATTCCCCTGGCAATCCTCACAATATCATGCTTAGGGTGTTTGACTTTGAGACACAATCTCCATTCTAGAAGATTGATTGCATTGCATCCAATTCCAGGTCCGTAGATGGGTTCGATTCCTCATGGCTATGGACTGACCATGATGCCAGTGCAGCAAGCATAATCCTAGGTTTGAAGTCATTGAGTTCCTGTGCATATAATCAGAAATATATCCAGGGTACGTCAGGGAAATGAGTGCACAGGAACTATGAATGAGGGCTTCATGCACTTCTTCTTGAACAGATCAACATACTTACATCTTTCGTCTCTTCTATTCTTGAAAAATCCCCACATCCATTGATAGTGTTTGTCATGCACCTCAGGTAAGATCAACATCTGTGAAAATTTCCACATAGCATGGCTCTTATTCTTGTCAAATCTGTCCTGCACTGGTCAGTACTTGCAGTACTGATACTGCCATGTATAGAAGTGGAAAAGCTTGCCAACAGAGAGCACATTGTGCCACTGCTTATCATCCAAATTGAGGCCAATCTCCTCAAACATCACAGTGGCATCAATACATGTATGTGGTTCCCCAGCTGAGGGCTGATGTGACATTACCAACTGTATGGTGTTGAGCAAGAGGAGCACCCCCAAGTTGAGGATTTGTGTACCTTTGCCTCTCTCGTCACCAGCTTCAACACATAGTCATTGAGTCATTCATATGGGTTTAGCAATTAAGAGGAGAAGGAGAAAAATGAGTGAATGGTCCATGACTTCTAGAAGCATACATCTCTGTCAATGAGCTGCTCACGTTGCACTTCACCTATGATGAAGATTGGTGAACTGGTGATGAGCACTGGTGTTTCCAGGTTGACCTTGCTTGACCATCTCAGCATGATCCAACACTTGACGGAGTCCCAGAGCAGCGACAGCCAATTGTGTGATTCCAGCCAACCATATAAATTGATATCCTAATACAATTATCTGTTGGGAAGTCAGTTTTCCAGGTGGAGCAGGAAAGCACTGCTCATGTTCTAACCTCCACCCCATGTTAAGCAGACAGCTAGCCAGCATTTATCCTATGCCCATTATTCTTCGACCCAACCATGGTTCAAATTAGTTTCATCTGGAAAACCACTGCGATCTCCCTTCCTCAGAAGTCAGTGGGGAAGTGGGTTGTATGGCAAAACAGGTCATCTTGCTGTTTCTACTCCCTTCAACCACACAATCCACCACCAGTGCAGGGCAGAACAGAGAGACATTCACAGCATGCACCAAGGTGGAGAGCATTGAGATCAAAATTCTCCTGGAACCACTCATCATCCCCAGCGAGATTGGAGCTGAATCCCTTCCAAATGCCCACAAAGGGCATGACTCCCTGATATCATGCAGCTGTGGTAGCCACTCCTGAATAAGAAAACACTTCATGTCCTTCTGATGATCATTGATCTCTGATTGCCATTGAATCCTCTATGCATGCACACAGTCACAAATTGCTCACCAGGCAGGGCTGTGGGATTCTGCAGAGCAGTCACAAGTTGATCAAGGACAAAATCCCTCATTTTGCACACCTCCATGGCCTTTTGAAATGCCAGAAGGACTAGCAGGATGTGAAGGCGCCCTGAAGACAACAAGGAAGTTAGACTTTGGAGTAAAGGAGTTCTATAATGAAGCTTCTCTTACCTCCCATGGCTAATTTTGCCACATGAGCACCCTCTCAGTTGTAGCGGTCTATCTGACAGCTAGACCAGGTGTTTGCTATATTGGAAGGCAGAATATATTGGAGATAAAATGCCCAAGTTCCCAGATTCTATACACGCTGGATACTTCATGGAGTCAGGGCAATTCTTTCATGAATTATCTGAGAAACAATGTACTGAGACACCTTACTGTGAAATGCCATAGCTAACATCCATTGCTGCCAAATCATGAGCTCACAATCTCAATGATTGACTTGCAATGCTGTCAGAGTGTTTACCATGTCTACATCTTTGATATCACCATCAAGTACTGGTTGTGACAGAGTGCCACAAGAACATGTTTTGATCCACAGATTCTTGATGAGATCTGCACTTTTTGGGTCACATATATCGGCCAGGCAATGGATGAACTCATACTCTGACATGCACAGTAAAAGGGTGAGGCTTCCTATCTGCTTCCTGCTGTCTGGAAGAGCTTGCTCTCCCCTGAGCAAGTAGTCTTCCATTTCCACATGCATAGAAACATTGAGCCCTGTTTGAGATTTTGTCTGCTTGCGAGCAAATTTCCGAGAGGTTGGAGAATGAAGGGACTGCTCATCATCAGATTTCTGCTTTCTTGACTTGCAAACAGGATGTGCTTTGGGAGAGGTGACAGGGCTTACAAATGGTGAAGTGAGGGACTGGAAACCACTGCTCATGCTGGGAATGGTCAAACCCTCTGATTTGTCTCCATCTGTCATACATGGGCT